AACAACAAATGCCTGAGGAAGGAATTGCTATATTTTTAAAAAGCAAGTTATTGAAACACATTATAAGTTGTGTTTACGCTGTTGATTTGCAAGGTTTAGGGTAAGTATAAAAAGACAACACCAGGGCAAGTGTTTAAAGTGAGATTCAGCCAGCAACAAGAATCTGATTAGTTTGTGCAATTGTGACCAGTCTAATGATAACTCAGGAACAAAAACAGAAGTTGCTGGAAATGCCTGAGGAAGGGTCACCAGACCCAAAATGTTAACTCTGATATTTTCTTCACAGATGCTGCCAGACCTGCTGAGCTTTTCCAGCAACTTCTGTTTTTGTTCCTGATTTACAGCTTCCGCAGTTCTTTCGATGATAAGTCAGATTGGTTCCTTGGTATCTGAACAGTTTGTGGGTGTGAATAGTAGTGACAAACGTTCAGACCTCTGGATGGGAAAGTGGTGTGTGTCTGCCTCCAGTAAAATACCTGAAACTCAAGAATGCTCCAGTGATTTGTCCCATGAATTGCTACAAAACTCAGCAGGTCTGGCAGTATTTGTGGAGAGAAAGCAGAGTTAATGTTTTGAATTCAGTGACCCTTCTTCACAACTGGAATTCTAGATGCACTTCTGAAGCAGGGTCACTTGACTCAAAACATTAACCCTGCTCTGTCTTCACAGATGCTGCCAGGCTTCCTGAGTTTCTCTGGCAATTTCTGCTTTTGTTTCAGATTTGTTTTCAGATTTTAATTGCTGTAGGCTAATGATTTTAACCAGTAAGTCAGAGGCTTTGTAATTTGTGAACCACTGTGACTCCTGTGAGTGAAAGAATTCAAAGAAAAAGTTCAGAGAACGAAATAAAAGACTTGGGTAAGAAAAGAAAGCTCACCATCGAATCTGGAGGACTGGAGCCATTACCCTGGTATTTTTTTTCACCTCCATCCATAACACCAATGTGTGTTTTAGACTGTGCATCTTTGCATGTGTGTGTCTGTATGTAGGCGGGGTTTAAAGTAGTAGAGTTAGATGTCAACAGTTCATAACTGTTTACCTGTGGTTAGAATCTATTTACTTGTAATAAACATTAGTTTTTGTTAAATACAGGTATCTGGTCTGTGTTTTAGCCTGTTTGATAGGTAAATTGAAAATACTGTACTGTTTGATAACATTTTTCTTAACTTTTGTGATAACTCCAGGATTAGTAAGGCTTAGCTTCGAGCACACTACCACAGTGAGGGAAACAAGAAACGTCTAAGTAATTACGCTTAAGCAAAAAACCGCATATTGATTCTGGCATCAGAATCTGAAAATCTGGTTCTAACTGGTTAACTCAGTTACAATTCAGCCGTGATCGAAGAGTTATAAACATCCTCTTCCTTTGATTGTGATGGATACAAAGCAACTTTATATGAAAAATATAAGAAACATGGGTTGGCTGAATTCTCAATAAATAAATGGCCAGTTCACTCAAATAATGTTAAATTAATTATATGTCAGTAATACACTGGCTAACAGTACACAATAAAAGTGTTATCGATTTTAGGTTAAAAAAGATTTGTTTACTCTATGCATAATAAAAATTATAAAAGTCTCACAAAACGTTACTGTAGTTGTGATCTGTTGTATTGTTTAATGGGTGGTCTGCTACAAAATGTTCAGACTAGCAAGATATTTGTCCTTATTACTCTATACTCTGTGCCCCTGATATACACCAACATTTCTGAACAGGTGCTCACTATGGCAAGCATTCTTTCTATTTACCTGTCAACGATCAGAGACCGTTCCTAATGTATGCTGACAGCACCAAACAGCTGGTTGCCATGACAAGTTAATGCCACATTGCTCAACGCATGAAGTTCCTATACACAGCAATGCCAGTCATCAGCACGCTCAGTTGCCCTGCCATCTCCTTCAGGGCAAATACCTGCAGAATTCTGAACAATTTTATAAAGCAACACTGTTCCTTTGTACAACACATTATTAAATTAATATCAAAGTTACATGCTTCAAAAGGTATGCCATCTGTTCTAGCACTTTGTTACAGACTCAGTTCATATGAGTTTACTGTAACTTGAGAGTTATGAGTAATTTAATAGAATTAAGTGATGCAAATTAACTCATGATCATGTTTGAATTCCATTCCCCAACAATATCTGAGAGGACTATTTCATGATTTCATTTACTTTCCAAATCTGTGGCAGAAACTAAATTAAACGTAGTACACAGTAACAGATCCAAGATTTAAAGTTTGAGAAGATGAGAGCTCGGGTTGTGGATGAGGTTGTAGACTGGCTCGCCGAGCCGGTGGGTTTGGTTGCAAACGTTTTGTCATCCTGCTAGGTAACACCATCAGCGCACCTCCGGTGAAGCATTGGTATTCTGAACCGCTTGTTATTTATATGCCTCAGTTCGTTGGGGTGTTTAGTACCACTTCCAGTTCTGTTTCTCAGTGGTTTGTACACCAGGTCTAATTCAATGTGTTTGTTGATCCTGTTCTGGTTAGAATACCAGACCTTTATTGGGCGACAGGGTGGCACTGCTGCCTCACAGCACCAGGGACCTGGGTTCGATTCCAGCCTCGGGCGACTGTCTGCGTGGGTTTCCTCCAGGTGCTCTGGTTTCCTCCCACAGTCCAAAGATGTGCAGGTTAGGCAGATTGGCCATGCTAAATTGCCCGTAGTGCTCAGGGAGGTAGAGGGTGTATATTAGGTGGGATGCTCTGAGGTTCGGTGTGGACTTGTTGGGCCGAAGGGCCTGTTCCCACACTGTAGGGATTCTAATTCTAATTCTAAATTCTAATTCCAGGAATTCCCTGGCGTGTCTCTGTTTGGCTTGTGCGATTATGGATGTGTTGTCCCAGTTGAATTTGTGTCCCTCTTTGTCCATGTGTAGTGAAACAAGTGAGAATCGGTCATGTCCCTTGGTGGCTAGTTGGTATTCACGTATCTGTATTGTCAGTTTTCTTCCGGTTTGGCCTCTGTAGTGTTTCTCACAGTCCTTGTATGGTATTTTGTATATTTAACCGGTTTTGCTGATTTTGGGTATGGGATCCTCTATGTTCTTCAGTAGCTGTCGTAGGGTGATTGTTGGTTTGTGGGCTGCTCTGATACCTAGGGGTCAGAGTTGTCTCATGGTCATCACTAAAATACTTCTCAGACAGACCACAACAGGAAGACTCAACACGACCAGATTCACTAATCACCCTACCATACATCAAGGACATTTCAGAGATGACCACAAGACTACTCAGACCCCTAGGTATCAGGGTAGCCCACAAACCAACCACCCTACAACAGCTACTGATGAACATAAAGGATGCTATACCCAAAATCAGCAAACCTGGTGTAATATACAAATGCCACGCAAGGACTGTCAGAAACATTACATAGGCCAAACTGGAAGGAAACTGACAATATGGATACATGAACACCAACTAGCCACGAAGAGACACGGCCAATTCTCCATGTCGCATTACATACGGACAAACAGGGACACAAACTCGACTGGAATAACACATCCACAATCGCCCAAGCCAAACAGAGACACGCCAGGGAATTCCTGGAAGTCTGGTATTCTAACCGGAACTCCATCAACAAATACATTGAATTAGATCCTGTGTACAAACCACTGAGAAACAGAACCGGAAGTGGTACCAAACACCTCAACAAACTGAGGCATATAAATAACAAGCAGGCCTGAACACCAACGCTTCACCGGAGGCGCACCGACGATGTTACCTAGCAGGGTGATGAAACGTTTGCAACCAAACCCACAGGCTCGGCGAGCATGTCTACAACCAGAACTGAGATTTATAAAAAGTGCTAATTTAGAGTGCATCATTTTGCTGCACTAAGTCACAGGAAGGGCAATGTTATAAAACAGCACATTTTCTTTATTTAGCATTCCAAAGACAGAGGTCCAATCCCAAGCATAACAGAACGTATCTTAATAACAGTAATCCTAGCACTTCACTGGAACCCATCTGCGCATCATCTACTCCCAAATGACGCAGTCATAGCATCTGACATTTCCAAACTTATCCCTTCTACCTCCACAGGTCAATGTAAAATTAATGTCAGCTAGTGCTGAAATTGAGGCATTCAGCTGAAAAACAGTCAGACATTTAAAAATAATAGGCATATTCATGTTGGTTGTAATCTTGTTACTGAGTTTCAGTCATGTTCCATCAAGGACCTGAACGTATAATTGGAACTTAGGCTTCTAGGCAGTGCTGAGGCATTGATTTATTCATTTGACTTAGAGTTAGATGCAGATTCTAATGCACTGAAAATTCTTTTGGCCAATATTCTTCCCTTAAGCAACACCATTAGAACCAATTAAATGGTCATTTACAGTTTGTGGGATATTGCTTTATGCACATTGTCTGCTGGAATTGCCTACAACGTAACAGTGACTGCTGTTCAAAACTAAATAATTGACTGTCATGTACTTTGGGACATCCTGATAACAGTTCCTATTTACTCTCAGTTTAATGATGGCACAATAAATCCTCATTTTAATTCCTGCTGCATTTTGGAGTCTTTTAAGTTTAATGAATTTTTTTTCTTTGTGCTACTTCTACTACTCAAGTGGTACAATCTTTGAGAAAACAGGCCTGTATTCAGTTCATTCAAGTTTGCTGCAAAAAATGTTTTGAACAAACAATTCGTGGTCCAACAGCAATCAAACCAGAAATCACGCTTTAGCATGCTTTTCTGTATTTCACAGTTTTCTATCTTACATTAATTACAGGTATTCACTTGAACACCTTTTATTCAAGCGCTCACCAAACACATCACTTTTACATTCCTGACATTCACTCCTATCACATTCATACTATTGGATTACAATGGCAGGAGGTATTATTTCCTTTATTTTCAAAACAGAGAAAGCAAAACTTCATCTCTGTAGATGACAGCATCATATTTACATTTGATGAATGTGATTTCTTAACTTGATAACTGACATTTTATAGACTTATATTAGGATACCATGACTGTGATGTGCCTTACCTGTTTGGAGTCATCATATACAGGTGTATCAGCAAAACAATAATGATGGAACAGACCCATCTTTTGACTGAGGAGGCAGTGTACCACATGAGAGCGTGCATTCTGCCACTGAATAAGGCGAATTAATCCTCGATTCAATGAAACTCCCAGATCCACTGACCAGTTGTAGGTATAAAGGGTTAGCTGGAAAAAAAAAGAGTATATCAGTATACAAAAAGAAAAATAAAGTGCACATAGTAAATAAAGAGCATATTTTTCAAAAAAAGGGGCAAGCAAATGAATAAAAACATTTTCAGGAAAAGACTGGACTATATGCATGGTAAAAAGTTAAAAAAAAAGTTCACATTTCTGGGTAAAGGTTTTAGCTTAAAACATGAAGTTGTCTTTTATTTTTACAGATATTGGTGAAATTAGTATGTCCATGCAGTAGTTATTTCCATTATAATTAAACTGAAAAGTACGTTAGTCTCAACTCAAATTACAAAAGGTAATAATTTTCATGTCTAAAACAACTACAGGATGAAATTCCTGCTGTCAATAATTTTATGAAAAATATTGACACAAGTATCAAACAAGAAATCCTATTTCATACTTGCAGTTGTATTTTTAGGAAATTTAATCAACAGAAGGAATTACCTCATCATAATCTTACCATAACCGTAATGTAACTTAATGAGGTTCATGTTTGGATACCTTTTTATCAACGATGTCAATTATGAGGAATCGCTGCCGGGGGACCATACCCCTCCCACTCATCCCTGGGCTTGAGGAATCGCCCGATTTCTCAGCCGTATTGAACTCTACTGCTTCAAACTTCTGAAATCCTTTGTGAGCTTTTCATTTTATTGTGAGACACAGAAAGAAAAGTAATATATAAGCACATGACAAAGCTGTGAGAAGCTCACCTGTCTTTATTTATAATGGATTTTCAAATAATTAACAAAAAGAACAATTCATTTTAGAAATAATACATTCACATCCTTCAGATTTTAAAGAAAGCAACTCAGGCATCACAGAATATTGGAGTTCTATCATGTCACTCCAGAGTGATAAACTGTGGATTGAATTTTTGATTTCCCAGAGGATAGTTACCTACTTTAGCTATTCCATTGTGGGGAAGCATCACTGTGCAGTCTCATTTAATGCAAGGGATGTTTTCAAAAAATCATATGGACAACGAGGTTCATTTCATCAAACAATTGACTAAAGAAGGAGGGCCAAAGGTACAGATCACTTGCCCTGAAATAGTGTGCAATGGAAGCAATCCATTGATAAAGGGATATAATGAATAATAGCCTTAAATAGCCATATTTCTTTTGCTGTTGTGATGCATATGATGATGGGATGCTTTTATGCAATTAAATAGAAACTCATGGTGGTTTTGCTTTTGTTAAAAATGGGCATTGTGTGGCATTTGTGTGGTACAAATATTAGCTAGCACTCACTAGCTGAAATCTGGGCAATTATCTGGATCAGGATCCATGAACTGCTTCATTATTTGAACAATATGACAAAAGCTGATTAATGTGCACACATCAAAGCACAGTCCTAATTCTGACCTTATGAATGAGGGAAGAATTGATGATCAGCTGAAGGTAGCTGTTTTCTCAGTTATTGCCCTGAGGAACTCCTGTACTGATATCCTGCATCTGAGGTAATTAGCCTCCAATGAAAAACAAGCCTGAAACATTTGCAACTATCTTCAGACAGTAGTTCCTCACAGATAATCCATTTCAGCCTCCTCCACTGGAGTAAAGACGGTTCTGGAAGTTGCTGCCATGCATGAATCATGGAGGCCCGTGCAGTCGCAAAGAAAATTAGAGTGATCACTGGTGCATAAAACCATAAGATATAGGACCAGAATTATGCCATTTGACTCATCAAGTCTGCTTTGCCATTCGATCGTGGTTGATAGGATTCTCAACTCCATTCTCCTACTTTCTCTTCATCACCCTTGTTCCCCTTACCAATCAACTACCTATTTATTTGTCTTCAATACACTCAATGAATTGGCCTCCACAACCTTCTGTGACAATGAACTCCACAGATTAACCACCTTCTGTCTGAATGAATTCCTCCCTCATCTCAGTTCTAAATGTTTGTCCCTTCATTGAGGCTGTGCCCTCAGGTCCTCGTCTCTCCTGCTAGTGGAAATATCTTTTCCACATCCACTCTATCCAGGCCCCTCTGTATTCTCTAAGTTTCAATGACATCCCCCCAGTCCTTCTAGCTCCATTGAATACAGACTCAAAGTCCTTAACTGCTCTTCATATGACAAGCTCTTCACCACCAGGATCATTCTTGTTATCGTCCTCTAGACTCCGTCCAATGCCAAAATATCCTTCTTACATATGGAGGTCAAAACAGTTCACAATATTCCAAGTGCCATCTAACCAGAGCCTATACAGCAGTACATCGTTGCTCTTGTATTCCTGTCCACTTGAAATGAATACTAACACTGCATTTGCCTTCCTAAAACTGCCAACTGAATCTGCAGGTTAACCGTAAGAGAATCCTGAACTGGACTCCAGAGTCCCTTTGTGCTTCAGGTTTTCGAAGCCTTTCCTCATTTAGAAAATGGTCAATACCTCTATTACTTCAATATCACAAATGCCAGTCTTCAGCCATGTAATATAAAGAAATGGCTGTAGACACTGGATAATACATAGGCTATGGGTCTTGACAACATTTTGGCAACAGCACTGAAGACTTGTGCTCCAGAACTAGCTATGTCCCTAGCCAAGCTGCTGCAATATAGTTACAACTCTGCTATCTACCAAGCAATGTAAAAAATTTCCAGATATGTCTTGACCACTAAAACAGGACAAATCCGTCAGGATAATGTCCTATCAGTCTATTCTCAATCATTAAACTGATAAAAGGAGTCATCAACAGCACTATCAAGCAGCACATGTTTAGTACTAGCCTGCTCACTAATGCTCAGTTTGGGGCCACTTGGTTTTTGAACTCATTACAGCCTCAGTACAAACATGTGCGAAAGAGCTGAACTCAAGATGAGAAATCACATGACTACAGTTGGCATTGTGTTCCATCAAGGAGCCCTAGAAAAACTGGAGTAAATGAAAATCAGGAGGAAAAAAAACTCTCTGCTGAAGGCAGTAAGACCTAGCATAAAGAAACACGCTGGTGGTTGTTGGAGGTCAATCATATCAGCCACAGGATATCTCTGCAGTATTTCCTAGGGTCCTAGGTACAACCAGTTTTAGCTGTTTCATCAATGACCTTACATCCATCCTAAGGTCTGAGATAGAAATGTTAACTGGTAATCGCATAATGTTTAGTTTCATTCATGATTTCTGATATTAAAGCTGTCCACGTCCAAATGCAGCAAGACTGGAACAACACCCAGGCTTGGTCTGATAAATGGCGAATAACACTTGTAACACAGAAGAGCACACAATGAATATCTCTCAAAAGAGAGAATCTAACCATCACCCTTTGATATTGAATGCAATTACCATAACTGAATCCCCTATTATCAACATCCTGGGGGTTACCATAGATCTGAAACTGAACTGGACAAACCATGTAAATCCCATCATGGGGAGGTATTATTGCTGGGCTGTTAATCCAGAGACCCAGATAACATTCTGGAGCCCAGGTTCGAATCCTACCATGGCAGATGGTGGAATTTGAATTCAATAAATGTCTGGAATTAAGAATCTAATGATGACCGTGAATCAATTGTTGATTGAAGGAAAAACCCATCTGGTTCACTGATGTCCTTCAGGGAAGGAAACTGCAATTGGACAGGTAAGTTATTTAATTTAACTTACTGCACAAGATTTTATCTGTAATTTAATGCCCTTATTGTATAACAATCCATATCAAATTGATTGATTGCCGTATTTAAATAGTATATTTTTATGATTACCACATTTCAAAATGGTCTATGATACATCTATCTAAAATGAAGTTTAATAAATGAAACATTGAGACATTCTGGATACAGACTGTTTCTTACAGTGTGCTCAAAAGCCATTTACTGGGAAATAATTTATCATGCATAAGAAAAATTCTGACTTCTCAGCAAGAAAAGCAAGCATAATTATTCAATTTAAATGTTTCAAGAATCCTAGCAATATATTTTTAAATTTCCAATTGGATACACTGAGACATTTAAAACGGCTTTCTTTCCCTTTGTTCTCTGCCATATGTCACAATTAACAGTCACTGGAATGCAAGGAGATTTTCACCTCCTCATTTCTGGATTCAAACCTTGTTGCTGCAACATGAAAGGCAACTTGTTTCACACAGCAAAATTATCAAACCTGTCCAGGAAACTAGGTTCCTGTTGTGCAAAAGTGCACAGTGCTTAATGTGCATTATACTGTTCCTGTGTAAAAAAAAAACAGATGGCAGTTGACAAAGTTTCCAATTTTACTATAACACTGACCGCACAACAACTGATCAACATTTCCTAGGTGTATTTAAGCATTAAAATTCAAATTTTATAGTTTACCTCTGTGAGTGAATTTAGAAACATAGAAACTAGGCCATTCATTCTTTTGAGCCTGCTTCGCCATTCAGCACGATCATGGCTGAGCCTCTATCTCAATGCCATATTTCCACTTTCTTTCCACACCTCTTGATACCTTTACTATTCAAAAATTTATCAATGTCTTCCTTGAAAATATTCAGTAATCTGGCCTCCACAGTCTTGTGGTAGCAAATTCCACAAACTGACCACATTCTGAGTTAAGCAATGTTTCCTCATCTCAGTCCTAAATGGCCTACCCATATTCTAAGACTGTAACACCCCCACCACCCCCCAACCCCCAGACTTCCCAACACAGCAAAACTTCTTCCTTGCATCAAGTCTGTCTAGACCTGTCAGAATTTTATATGTTTCAATCAGATTCCCTCTTATTCTTCTCAACTTGAGCGAACACATGTCTACCAATCTCTCCTCATAGGACATTCCTGCCACTCCCTGCAGCACCACAGTGTCCTTTGACTGCACTCTCTCTATACCAACGATATCATCTATTAGGTATGGAGACCAAATGTGCCATCAATTTTACAAATGCAATCTTATCAAGGCTCTGTATAACTGAAGTAACTGCTCCCTACTTCTGAACTCAAATCCTGGGTAGAATCCTACAGTGTGAGAACAGGCCATTTGGCACAAGTCCATACCACCCCTATGAAGACCATCCCACCCAGACCCACCCCTCTACCCTCTCCCTATAACCCTGCATTCCCAATGGCTAATCCACATAGCCTGCACATCCCTGGATACAATGGGCAATTTAGCATGGCTAATTCCCCTAACCGGCACACCTTTGAACTGTGGGAGGAAACCCATGCAAACACAGACAGAATGTGCAAATTCTGCACAGTCGCCCAAGGGTGGAATCGAACTCGGGTCACTGGCGCTGTGAGGCAGCAGTGTTACCTACTGAAGCACTGTGCCGCCCTCTTACAATGAAGGCCAATATACCACATGCCCTTTGATTTGCTTGCTGCACCTGCCTGTTTACTTTCATTGACTTGTATACAAGGATACCCAGAACCCTTTGTACATATATGTTTCCCAAAATATCACTATTTAAATAATATTCTGCCTGTTTTTCACACGGAAGTGTATAATTTATCCATGTTATGCTGCATCTGTGTTTGCCCGCACGTTCAACTTGGCTAGATTGCCCTGAAGCTTCCTTGCATCCTCCTTACAACTCAGAATCTCACCTAGTTTTGAGTCATCATCAAATATTCCATTTAGTTTCTGTGCCCAAGTCATTTATACAGACCCAAGCGTTGTTCCTTATGGTATAACACTAGTCACACCTACCATCTGGAAAAAGACCCACTTATTCCCACTTTCTGTTTCTAATCTGTTAACCAACTCTCAATCCATGCCAGTTTGATACCCCAATCTCATGTGCTTATATGGAAGCTTATCAAAAATCTTCTTGAAATCCAAATACACCACATCCACAGGTTCTCCCTAATCTATTATATTAGTTACATCTTTAAAAAATTCTAATAGATTAGTTAAACATGATTTTCCTTTTATAAATCCATGCTGACTTTGTCTAACCTGTTAATGCTTACCAAGTATTTCGTTATTATATCTTTTATAACATACTGTAATATATCCCCGTTACTGATGTTACACTATATAAAGGTATGCAGTGATTAGTTACATTTGACATCTGGACACTAATAAATTGCCAAACCCACCAGTGCAAGGTTTACAGCAGGCCAGAGGAGCAGAAAAGTTGACGTTTCGGGTCGGGATCCTTCTTCAGAAATGGGGGTGTGGGGAGAATGGAGCTCAGAAATAAAGAGAGAGAGGAGGAGGGGTGGGGCTGGGGAAGATCGGTGGGATGGTGATAGGTGACTGCAGATAGGGAGTGGTGGGGATTGGTCAGTGAGGTGGGAGAGAAGATGGACAGGTTGTGTCAGGTCAAGGAGGCGGGGATGAGAGAGAGGCTTGGACATGGGATGAGGCCAGGGGTGGGGAGATTTTGAAACTATTAAAATCCACATTTAGGCCATTGTGCAGTAGGCTCCCAAGGCAGAATATGAGGTGCTGCTCCTCCAGGTTCCAGGTGGCATCATTGTGACACTGGAGGAGGCCCAGGATGGACATGTCACCCAGGGAGTGGGAGTGGGAGTTGAAATGGTTCGTGACCGGAAGGTGTTGTCGTTTGTCATGAACAGAGCACAGGTGCTCTACAAAGCGGTCTCCGAGCCTCCACTTGGTCTCACTGATGTACAGGAGGCCACATCGGGACCAGCGGATGCAATAGACCACATTGACGGATGTGCAGGTGAAACTCTGTCTGATGTGGAAGGTTTGTTTGGTGCCTTGAATGGAGGTGAGGGGGGAGGTGTAGGGGCAGGTGTAGCACTTCCTACAGTTGCAGGGAAAGGTGCCGGGGGTGGTGGGACTAGTGGGGAGTGTGGAGCGGACGAGGGAGTCGCGGAGAGATCGGTCACTATGAAACGCAGATAGGGGTCGGGAGGGAAATATATCTTTGGTTGTGGGTGGGATTGTAGGTGGCAGAAAATGATACATTGAATACAGAGGTTAGTGGGTGATATATGAGGACAAGGGGGATTCTATCTTTTTTTGTTGGGGGGAGGGGATGTGAGGGCAGAGGTGCGGGAAACACAAGGGATGCAGTTGAAAGCACTTTCGACCACTGAAGCAGGGGGAAGTTGCGGCTGAAATAAGAGGACATCCGGGATGTTTGGGAGTGGAATGCCCCATTTTGGGAGCAGATGCGGCGGAGGCGGAGGAATTGGCAGTAGGGGATCGCATTCTTGCAGGAAGGTGGGTGAGAGGTGTAGTCTAGGTAGCTGTGGGAGTCGGTGGGCTTGAAATAGATGTCAGTTTTTATTGGTGACCGCCTCAAAACCCCTCCTCTCTATTTATTTCTGAGCTCCCTTACCCCCTCCCTCCATTTCTGAAGGGTCCCAACCCGAAACGTCAACTTTCCGCTCCTCTAATGCTGCCTGGCATGCCGTGCTCCTCCAGCTCCACACTGTGTTACCTCTGACTCCAACATCTGCAGTTTTTACCATCTCTCAGTGCAAGGATGAGTTTGGATTTGTACAATGCAGTCAGTTAGGTAACTTGATTTGCAGGAGACTAATACAAATTAGAACACATCCATACCTTGTTCTGTACTGTAACGCCACTGGTGGAAATTACGTCCAATCAGAATGAATTGTCTAGCTGAACCAGGTCGAGTAGAGGAGTGTTGACTGAGAGAATATGGCAGGAAAGTGGAGCCATGTGGAGAACTAAAATAAGAAGCAGCAAAGAATGGAATACATTTTGGTTCAGAAAATGCATTAACATCTGAAAAATTCACAGACGTGTGGATGCAGTGGCCTACAGTCTTTTTGGAGCAATGATTCAATTAGAATTTTTAAATCATAAGAAGGGTAAGCAAAAGCTTTGTCCAAGTGGTTGATTTTAGGGATGACCTTAAGGAAGGAGATTCTAGAGTGAGAGTCCAGAAGACTATAGGCAGTTTCACCAACTTTTGTTTTGTTTGTGGAATGGGGTTTGAGTGGTGGAGGTTCACATGCTATTGCTTCAACTTTATGAAGCTGGTGATTAATTTGAAGCCACAATGATGAGTCTATATTACTCCAGAGAACGACAACAAACACAGCATGCACTATTCCAACCAAACAACCTTTGTAAAATTCCTAACACTTTTGTAAGAGAATGCACCCTTATTCTTATAGAGCTTGAAAAACACTTTCATCAGACAAGTCTGTGGCATCTTTGCTGCACATGTCAGTTCTCATTTATATAAGGATGGACATAATTTATTTTTCATAGACAACAGTACAGGACATGCTGGATGTTGAGAGGGATGAGACTGACAAGCAGAGTGGGACTCATCTGCAAGGCACAACTAAGATGTGCATTCTTATGTGCTAAAAACCTTGAGTTGGCAACAGTGATAGACCACATTAAGTAAAGCCAAAACACAAGCATTACAAAGCATGCAGAGAAAACCTTCATGCCTTAAACAGCAATAGAAGCAAATTGTCTTTGGCTGCTCTACCCATACTGTGGTACAACAAGGTTCAGCATTATCTTCATATTATTTTAACTGGAATTCAAACAACAGAGATGAATACAGAGTTTCAAAACGTCATAATAATCTACACCCCATATCACAAAAACATTCAAACTTACCTAATTTTTTCAAAGATTTTAACAGTTGTGTCAGTGGCAAGATTGCTGATCAAATTCACAATCTCAGTGAGAATGGAGCTGAGTAAAAATCGAGAGCCAATATCAACAGAACACTGCTGTACTGAGGGACATCCTGTGTGAGTAGATAAGGCACATAAGCAAGTCAACACCAGTATCCAATTATTTCAAAGCATTAAAGGCAACAAAGTAAAGTAAAATGCTGATGCAGCATATGGGAGCGAGAAGACTGCAGATAGTGGTCTAATGGCAATATCACTGATATTCCAAAGATCTAGGCTAATGTTCTGGGGCTATGGTCCAAATCCCGCTACAACAGCCAATGGAAATTGAATCAATTGATAAATTCAATCTGGAATATAAAATTGGTCTTAGTATTGCTAACCATGCTAACAAAGACTATCCATTGTCATTAAAGCCCATTTGGTTCAGTGAAGCCCTTTAGAGAACAAAGTCTGCCATCTTCACCTAGTCTGACCACATGACTGCAGTGATAGGGTTTGACATATATGACCTGCTGAGCTAAGGTAAGTCATGTAACTGTAACCTCAGCAGTCATGTGTCAGTTTGTTTGTTATATGGTTGTTCCAAGATGAACTCATTGGCTATATACTGTTAAATAAAGACTACTTTAAAAAGTACTTGAGAGGCTAGCCTGAGCATGTATGAGGAACTAAGGAACCATACTAAAACATTAATTTCTGAAATGGCTCAGCTGGTCAATCAGTTTTAAAGTACATTAAGACTGGCAACCAATGTTGGCATTGCTAGCAATGCACATATCCCATGAATGAATTAAAAAGAAATGTATATTCAAGCCAGACTTCTCCTTATGAAAGTTCCAAGACCATTGTTATGTCATGTAAGGAAGTGTCAAGTGAAAGTAAAATATTATCTTGCAAGAAAATTGCAAGCTTCAGCCACTCCAGCACCCACTCAAACAGTTGGATCAAGAGCAGCTTACATATCGCTCTCTCCAGGAACTGAAGGTTAAAGACACAACAAAAAATGTTTCCTTAAAACCTCGGGGGAGCTATGCCAAGCTTTGTAAATAATGTTACATTCTGTGTTGATAAAGTTGTTCGACAATTTCTTATCTATGTTGTACTCTTAATAGCTTCAGGCCACAATATTATGTGATTTTAAAGAATGTCTACAAATGACTGTCAACTTAAAATGAAATTTTAAAAAAAACTGAAATGCTTATTTATTTATTTATTTGTGAGCTGTACTAACAAAGTTTGTATTTTTCAGGAGAGCTAATAACTACCCATGCACATGTCATTATCCATGTGGACCAGTCAGTGGTGCATCATCACACCAACAACTATCAGCAACACCCAAAGTAAACTTTCTCTCCTATTCAAACCAACAGAATGATTCATTAGACATGTTGTTGACACATTATAAGATGGTGCAGTAGTTGACCTAACGACTGTGCAGATAGACATGTGGCATGGTGGCTCAGTGGGTAGTAATGCTGCCTCACAGTGCCAGGGACCCAGGTTTGATTCAGGCAACTGTGTGGAGTTTGCACATTCTTCCCATGTCTCCTTGGGTTTCATCTGAGTGCTTTGGTTTCCTTCCACAGTCCAAAGATGTCCAAATTAGGTGGATTGGCCATGCTAAATTGCCCACAATGTCCAGAAATGTGCAGGATAAGTCACGATAAATCCAGGGTCACAGGGACAGGGTAGGAGAATGGGTCTAAGTGAGATGCTCTTCGGAGGGAAAGTGTAGACTCGATGGGCCGAATGCCTGCTTCCACATTCTAGGGATTCTAATGATTCTATAATAGGCAAGGTTCAATTAAAGCCAATATTAGAGAACTTTACAAGCACTCTCATCGCTGAATGCTCCATCACTCATAATAATTACATAGAACATAAGAACCAGGAACAGGAGTAGGCCATTTGGCCCTTCGAGCCTGCTCCGCCATTCAATAAGATCATGGCTGATCTTCGGCCTCAGTTCCACTTATTCACCTTTTCACCATAACCCTAATTCTTTTACTATTCAAAAACATTCAATGAGGAAGCCTCAACAACTTCACTGAGCAGGGAATTCCACAGATTCACAATCCTTTGGGTGAAGAAGTTCTGTCTCAATTCGGCCCGAAATATGCTCCCTCTAATTTTGAGGCTATGCCCTCTTGTTCTAGTTTCACCTGCCAGGGGAAACAACCTCCCTGCTTCTATCTAATCTGTTCCCTTCATAACTTTATATATTTCTCTAAGATCGCCCCTCACTCTTCTAAATTCCAACGAATAAAATTCCAGTTTATTCAGCCTTTCCTCATAAGCAAACCCTGTCAACTCTGAAATCAAGCTAGTGAATCTCCTCTGCGCCCCCTCCAGTGCCAGTACATCCTTTCTCAAGTAAGGAGACCAAAACTGCATGCAGTACTCCAGGGTGTGGCCTCACCAGCACCGTATACAGCTGCAACATAACCTCCCTTCTTTCAAACTCAATCCCTCTAGCAATGAAGGACAAAATTCCATTTGCCTTCTTAATTACCTGTTGTACCAGCAAACCAACCTTCAGCAATTCATGCACAAGGACACCCAGGTCCCTCTGCACACCAGCATGCTGCAATTTTTTACCCTTCAAATAATAGTCTCTTTTACTGTTATTCCTACCAAAATGGATAACTTCACATTTATCAACATTGTACTCCACCTGCCAGACCTTCACCCGCTCACTTAAACTATCTATATCCGTCTGCAAACTTCCAGAGTCCTCTGCACAGTTTGCTCTGCCACTCATCTTAGTGTCATCTGCAACCTTTGACACACTGCGCGTGGTCCCCAACTCCAAATCATGTATGTAAATTGTAAACAATTGCAGTCCCAGCACTGACCCTGGAGGCAAACCAATAGTCACTGTTCGTTAATCAGAAAAGCACTCATTTATCCCCACTCTTTGCTTTCTGTCAGTTAACCAATCCTTGACCAATGCGAAGACATTGCCTGTAACATTGTGCACCTTTATCTTATGCAGCAGCCTTTTGTGTGGCACCTTATCAAATGCCTTTTGGAAATCCAGATACACATCTACTGGGTCCCAGTTGTCCACTACACTCGTAATGTCTTCACAGAATACCAGCAAATTTATCAATCATCACCTGCCGTTCACGAACCCATGTTGCGTCCGCCCAATGGAGCAATTTCTATCTTGCTACTTCTTCCTTGATGATAAATTCAAGTATTTCCCCCACTACGGAAGTTAAGCTAACTGGCCTATAATTCCCCATCTTTTGTCTACCTCCTTTTTTGAACAGTGGTGTCACATTGGTTGTTTTCCAATCTGCTGGAACTGCCCCAAAGTCCAGCAAATTTTAGAAAATCACCTCGAGTGCATTTGCTATTACTCACGCCATCTCTTTTAGTACCCTGGGATGCATTCCATCAGGGCCAGGAGATTTGTCTATCTTTAACTCCATTAGCTTTCTCAACACTACCTCTCTCGTGATAATGATTATGTCTAGGTCCTCACCTATCTTAGTCTCTTTGTCATCAATGACTGGCAAGTTATTTGTGTCCTCCACTGTGAAGACCAACGCAAATACCTGTTCAATGCCTCAGCTATTTGCTCATTTCCCGTTATAAAATCTCCCATCTCATCCTCTAAATGACCAATGTTTACCTTAGCCACACATTTTCGTTTTATATATTTATAGAAACTTTCGCTAGCTGTCTTTATATTCTGAGCTAGTTTTGTCTCATAATCTATCTTACTTTTATTTATGGCCTTTTTTTGTGGCTTTCTGTTGACCTTTAAAGCTTTCCTAATCTTCTAGTTTCCCACTGGTCTTTGCCACTTTGAATGCCTTATCTTTCAATTTGACAGCCTCCCTTATTTCCTTAGACATCCATGGCTGATTACCACTATTCCTATAATCCTTCCTTTTCACTGGTATATATTTTTGCTGAGCACTTTGAAAAATTGCTTTGAAAGTCCTCCACTGTTCCTCAACTGTCCCACCATAGAGTGTTTGTTTCCAGTCTACTTTAGCCAACTCATCCCTCATCCTGGTATTGGATTTTATCTTCTCACTTTCCATCTATATTCTAAATTTTATGATCGATCCTTCCAAGAGGATCCCTAACTAGGAGATCATTAATTATCCCTATCTCATTACACAGGACCAGATGTAGGTAGCTTCCTCCCTCATTGGTTCCATTACATACTGTTCAAGAAAGCTATCGTGGATACATTCAATGAACAACTCCTCAAGGCCTCCTGACCAACCTAGTTCGACCAATCGACATGTAGGTTAAAATCCCCCACGATAATTGCCATACCATTTTTACAGGCATTAGTTATTTCTTTGCTTATTGCTCATCCCAATGGGATGTTATTATTTGGTAGCCTATAGACTATGTCTATCAGCAACTTTTTCTTCTTAGAATTTCTAATTTCCACCCAAATAGATTCAACCTTGTTCTCCATAGAATCTATATCATCTCTCACTACCACCCTGATGTCATCCTTAAATATCAGAGCAACACCACCTCCTTTGCCTTCCTGTCTGTCCTTCCGAATAGTCTGATACCCCTGGATATTTCATTGCCAGTCATGACCATCCTGCAACCATGTCTCCATGGCTACTAAATCATACTCATTTGCAATAATTTGTGCCATTAATTCATCTACCTTGTTTCAAATACAACGAGCATTTAGGTAAAGTGCCTTTATACCTTCTTTTTGAATTCTAACATCTCCATTCATAATATCTCCTGAGTTTTTCTTTCTCTTAACTTCATTCATAGTTCTCGATATAGTTAAACACTCCTGCATAAATGTTAACCTGCTGTTTCCTTTTCTATTTACCATTATGTTTCCTGTCGCTTTCCCCTTCCCTTCCCCCCACTACACTAGTTTAAAGTTTAAATTAATTATACATTGCTATATTGCATCTTCCTGTCCTTAAATTTGTGAATTAAACCATGTGATTTGTAAAGAGTAATATCATTTATTTTAAGTTTGGGTTTTGAATTATTAGCTGGTAACATACAGGGCTGTATTGGTTTTAGGTTAGTTATTAAATTGTATACATTTCTGTAGCCATGCTTTTTTAAAAACCAATTTGTAAGGGCTACTTTGAGCCGAATAAGTTTGTTTACACTTTAGGATTTTATCACTTAGCAAGGTGAACTGTTGTGTTTCAAGGTTTCTGTGAGAAATTTCTAGACTTAGAGTTTGTTATAAGCTTATGGGAAAGACCTATAGCTTAGAGGAAGAGATTTTTCTTTTTCACTTTTCCTCCTTTTGTGCAGTTCTGTGAAGTTGTTGCGTGGGGATGCATGTACAGAACAGTGCTCCTGAGACAGACAGAACATAGTAAACTAGATTACTTTAGAGTAAGGAGCTAGTGACAGCCCCAGACTGGAAGCGTTAAAACAAAAGACTGAAGGGGACATGGAGCAGAGTTTGCTTAAACCCAGATGTGTACTAACTCCAGTCTTAGAGTTAAAACCTATCGAGATAACAGAGAAAGGTATTTTAGTGTCAGTAATATACAAGGGTGGCTGCTGCATTCTGTACAAGAGAACGCTGCTTTACTTAAAACTTGTAAAAGTGTTTTTGCTTTATATTCATTCTGGCTGGCCAGCATTTATCATCCGTCCCTAAGTGCCCTTGAGAGGGTGGTGGTAAGCTGCCTTCTTGAACTGCTACAGTCCACGAATTTTAGGCTGACCCAGAATGCCCTTAGGGAGGGAATTCTAGGATTTTGACCCAGCAGTGAAGGAACAGCACCATATTTCCAAGTCAGGGTGGTGAGTGGCTTTGAGGGAAACTTGCAAGTGGCGACACTCCCATGTATTTGTTGACCTTGTCTTTCTGGTTGGGAGTTTTGAAGGTGCTACCTAAGGACCTTTACTGAATTTCTGCAGTCTTGTAGATGGCACACACTGTTGCTGAGTGTCAGTGTTGGATGGAGTGAATGTTTGTGAATGTGGTGACAATCAAGCAGACCACTTTGTCCTGGATGGTGTCAAGCTTAAGTGTTGTTGGAGCTGCATACTGAGTTTTCCATCAGCACTCCTGACTTGTGCCTTGCAGAAGGTGGACAGGTTTTGAGTGGTCAGGAGGTGAGTTACTCACCACAGTATTCCTAGTCTCTGACCTGCTCTTGTAGCCACTGTGTTTATGTGGCAAGCCTAGTCGAGTTTCTGGTCAATGGTCAGCCCAAGGATGTTGATAGTGGAGGATTCGGTGATGGTTATACAATTGAATGTCAAGGGGCGGTGGTTAGATTGTCTTCTATTGGAGATGGTCATAGCCTGGCATTTGTGTGGCGCCAACATTACTTATCACTTGTCAGCCCAAGCCCAGATATTGTCCAGATCTTATTGCATTTGAACATAGACTGTTTCAGTATCTGAGGAGTCACAAATGGTGCTGAACATTGTGCAATCCTCAGCAAACATCCCAACTTCTGACCTTTTGATAGAGGGAAGGTCATTAATGAAGCAGCTGAAGATGGTCAGGCCTAGGCACTCCTGCAGTGATATCCTGGAGCTGAGATGACTAAGCTTCAACACAACCATCTGCTTGTGTGCCAGGTCTAAGTCCAATCAGCGGAAAGTTTGCCTCAACAGCCATTGATTCCAGTTTTGCTAGAGTTCTTTGATGCCACACTCGGCCAAACGTGGCCTCAATGTCAAGGGCTGTCACTCTAACCTCATCTCTGGAACTCAGCTCTTTTGTCCATGTTTGAACCAAGCCTGTAATAAGGTCAGGAGCTGAGTGGCCCTTGCAGAATTTAAACTGATCGTCAGTGAGCAGGTGTTGCTCAGTAACACTGAAAATTTCAATTAAGTGGGCTTAGATAATAACTTCCATTACTTCACTGAGAGTAGGCTAATGGGGCGGTAATTGGACAGGTTAGATTTGTCTTGCTTTTTGCGTACATGACCTACTTGGGCAATTTTCCACATTGTTGAATAGATGACCATGTTGTAACTGTATGGAAGAGCTTGGCTAAGTGTGTGGCAAGATCTGGAGCACAAGTCTTCAGTACTATTGGGGAACTGTTGTCAGGACCTCTAACCCTTGCAATATCCAGTGCCTCCAACTGTTTCTTGCTATTACATGGAACAAGTCAAATTGGCTGAAGACTGGTATCTGTGATTTTACAGACGACTGAAGGAACCTGAAGATCATCCATTTAGCACTTCTGGCTGAAGATTGCTGCAAGTGCTTCAACCTTATCCTTTGCACTGATGTGTTGAGCTCTTCCATCATTGATGGGGATATTTGTGGAGCCTCCTCCTCCAATGAGTTGTTTAATTGTTCATCCCCCTTCATGACTGGATGTGGTAGGACTGTAGATCTTAGATCTGATCCTTTGGTTGTGGGATCGCTTAGCTCTATCATTTGCTACGCTATTTGACATGCAAGTAGTCTTGTTTGGTAGCTTCACCAGGTTATGTTTTAGATCAATGGGTTTATACATTTACCATGGGGTTAAAACTCTTTCAACTTGTGTGATAAATAAATGGATTAGTTTATTCTGTTTTACCTTCATTTCTTTTACTTAATAAACTTCTGTTTAATTGTTAAAACCTGCAACATTATATGCTTCTGTCTCAGTGAGAGAAAACCTCTCTAAAACCAAAACATAAACAATGATCTATCACGTCAGACTTCAGACTGGGATCTGACTTGTCCATAATAACATTAGCTGGGATCATATCACACATGTGAAGGGATCACCCTCCCCATTAAGCTCCTCACAGAGGGTACTTATAACTTTAAAAGGCTCATAACTTGTGGGACATTTGCTGTCATGTCTACATGTTAACCATTTCCAGTGAATCAAGAAAGTATCACCATCGAATGAGTTGACATGCCAAATTACACCTACTGTTGTTTCCTTCTAATAAGCAGTCTGCCACAGTTAGAAATTCGCTCCCCAAGAAGCATTGTATGCTTGAACCGTAATACAAGTTAAACCCATCACTAGGTAATCAAGATGAAGGACCATATCATGGTAAAGATCTAGGCTATTGTTCATCAACTTTTGAAAGTTTACCCATGCCTTTTTATTGCAAAATATTTTAGAATTTCATTGAACTTGCTGTACACAGGCTTTACACACTAAAGACAGACAGATTTCATCTTTTTTTGATTAAAAAACAGAATAACAGCTTAATGTTTCTGTTAAAATGCAACTCGTGTCATTTTTTTTGTTTGTTTTAAATTAACCTATTTTTTCTAATCAACCTGTTCAGAGATATTATTACACACCTCTGGAGCAGGTGGGACTTGAAACTGGGTGTCTCAGTCCAGGGGTAGACACACCACCACTGAGCCACAAGGGGGCCCTTGTAAATTAATTAGGACAGATTCATACAGGTATTGAACAAGGCTCCATGAATCAAGCGTTTACTGAAGCAGTGACAAGAGTGGGATTTGAAGCTACATATGTAGAACATAATGGGTTAGCAGTCCATCATCTTAACTTCTCGGTCATCTTGTCTCACATCTTAATGGTTCTTAAAACACAGGTGATATTAGTAAAAGGAAAAGCTCTAACTTTTAGGTTGTTGCACAAGTATTATCCAGATCCTCAGACACTGGTGCACCTGACAGCCAGTGGATTATTCCAGGGCTGATGTTCATCTCGGCTAAAGATCAGTAATCAGTACTGAAGAGAAACTAATGCAATCGTTCTAGTTTTAAACATCGCTGTTGAAGATTATTGCACCTGCAGCTTTGCACAGCTGGACGTGGAAAAATTTGTATTTTAATTAAAGTAATTAAAGGGGAGATGAATAGATCCTAGCCAATTCAGGCCTACAATTTCACCAACATGTTCTGTTAGTGGACAAAAAGATGGATGAGTACAATTAAGCCAAGTACCTAGGACCCAACAGACATTGATTAAGTGCCCATTTTTATCCATCTAAACGCATCGTAGTCCCAGATGCATCACTGATGGAGAAATGTCGACTTCAATTTTCTGCACGTACTCATACGTTACAAAACATTTATTGCAATAATAAATAAATCAGTTTGCCATTTCAGCTCATTTACAAACAATGACATAGTTCATCTTTAATCTTCGACAGAAAGAGAAAATGCATATTTATGCCTCATCACATGCTCATGACATCCCAAAGTAGCTTACTGTCAAAGAAATTTGGAAAATGACACAGCCAATTTGCAAACAGCAAGCTCTCACAAACAGTAATGAACTAAATGGTTGGGCGCTGAAGGAGAGATAAATGTTGGTTAAGAGATCTGAAACAACTCCCCTGCTCTTTTTTGAAATACTGTCATTGAATCTTCTATTTCTATCTTAAGAGTAGGGGCAAATACAGGGCTTCACCTTAACACTACATCTAAAAGACAGTGCCTCTAACAGAACAGCACTCCCTCAGTACTACACAAAAAGCATAAGACTAGATTATTCCAGCTCATGTTCAGGCCTTTGGCTCAGAGGCAAGAATGTTGTCATTGAAGAAGGCAAACATCTTGGGACAATGTTTTATATTACTGGTTAAAATACAAACAATTCTGAAAAGACAAAACTTGTTAAGTTTTCTGTGTTATTAATTTTTGGATGTACAAAAGAAAATAGAATGTCCAAATGCAACTTTCTGGAATTGCATAAAGAATTGAGAGTATGTACTCACCCAGTCTACCCATGAATGCCATCCACTGCTGACACGTGACATGAAACAGAGGATGAAGAGATCCCAGGTCTCCTTCCTCTAGCTGGCCAGTCCGCTTCCTGCAGGAAGTTAGCAGGCAAGATAATTTTTTTGAATTTTTATTTATTACAATGTATTCACCTGCATTTATCAAAGCTGCATGCACACCCACACTGGGATAGTACAACAGAAACTAATTTTCATCTTGTCTATGTAAATTGGAATGAGATAAGATATCTGATTTTCATTATAATTGAGGACTATTAAATACTCTGCTCTCTCCATTGGAATAAATACTTTAAATTGATCAAAGCTCCTCATCAGTTGCATGAAAATCATCGATTTTGGGAATAAGGAGTGTACCTGAAGGGTAAATGTCAGATGATTTACAGAATTGTATCTCAACATAGTTGGATATATTTATAAACAATGATTACATCATCTATACTTATCAGAGGACGGCCCAGTGAGACACAGCAGATTGATCAGTAATTCCATACCTGCTTTTAAAATACTGAAAATCAAATGCATGTAACGCTCCAACAGATGTAGGCCAACATGGGTGCACAAATTCTAGCAATAATTACATGGCTCTTCAAACACATTGCCATGCGAGCAGAAGGACTACCTATTAGACAGGACATGGATAGGGTGGTTCCTGACCATCTCTGGCAGTTTTCACAGGTTATCTAGGGCCTCATAGTCCCTGCCTATTCAAAAAAGATGGAAAATGGGGCATGTTCCTGAGTGAATTTCCATTTACCACACCTGGAGCAAGACATGCAGTTAGGCTCACTGAGAGAAAGTAAATGCACTAATTGTCAATTGACAGAAGGGCGTCCAGCTTGGATACAGACCTCGGAGATAGAACTTGTAATCTTTATTTGCATGTATAGTTAAGCATCTCAAGTAGTTAACAAATCAGGTCTGGAAACAAATTTCAATTTGTTGATACATTACTCACTGGTCTCTATCTACAGCAGTAAATAAAAACCACAGGGTCACAAACAGTGCCTACTGTTTACAATGGCCATACTCATATCTCCATGGCTTGTCCATTACATGCAATGGTTGGTACATGAGGCAGCATTAAAAACATTAAAAATGCACTGTTCAAAAGATAAATTTGCAAAGTTCTTAGAGATTGAGTTACTGCTGCTTCCTTATTAAGATGCAACTCCCAAGTATTTTTTTAATTCACTTGTGGCCAGCATTTATTGCCCATCCCTTGAGAAGGTGGTGGTGAGCTGCCTTCTTGAACTGCTGCAGTCCACCTGCTGTGTGTTGACCCACAATGCCATCAGGGAGGGAATTCCAGGATTTTGACCCAGCAACAGTGAAGGTACAGTGATATATTTCCAAGTCAGGATGGTGAGTGGCTTGGAGGGGAACTTGAAGTTGGTGGTGCTCCCATGTATCTGCCTTTGTCCTTCTAAATAGAAGTGGTCATGGGTTTTGAAAGTGCTGTCTGAGGATCTTTGGTGAATTTTTGCAGTTCATCTTGTAGATGTACACACTGCTGGATACAAGATGCAAGATTCATGCATTATTTACACTTGTGCAGATTCATGTTTTAATTTCACTCAGTCGACCCACTTAAAGTGTAAAAATTAAAGCTGTCCTGCACAGCTTGTTATTGAAGATCAAAACAACTGATCATTTCCAAAGGATTTCAATATTAATCTGCACAAGCCTCATGTCCTAACGTTACACCCAATTTCAGGGGGTAATCACAGCAAATGCAGGTGGTCTGGCTGAACAACCTGAAATCAGACCACCTGAAACAGTTTAAATGCTGCCTTTGTGATTGACATATAGTATGAGCAGATGGTTTGTGCCATGTGCTTGATACAGCTAACTAACAAGGATAAACAGGGATGGTAGAAATGGCGGGGAGTGCACCTTCTTGAAGCTGCCTGCCTCTGTGTTTGTTCCAGTTCCACTGTGGATGTTCGATCATGACTTGAAGACTGCTTCAAATGTTCCGTTTTGTGCCTACGACGGATACGACTGTCATCAGTCCTTTCTAGAACAATGTCATCTGTGGTCTTAGGGCTGCCAATGTCAGAGAAATCAGTCTTACTCTGAAAAATATAAACAATCCTTGTCACATTTCACATCGAGGAAGACTGTCCGCCTGGCTCTGCAACATAAAATCCCTACGGTATGTAAGCAGGCTATTCGGCCCATTGAGTCTACACCGCTCCTCCAAAGAGGATCCCACTCGACCCATGACCCTTACACTATCCCTGTAGCCCTGCATTTCCCATGGCTAATCCACCTAGCTTGAATATCCCTGGATACTATGGGAAATTTAGCATGGCCAATCCACCTAACCTGCACATCTTTGGACTGTGGGAGGAATCCCAGGCCAACATGGGGACAATGTGAAAACTTCACACAGACAGTCACCCGTGAGTGGAATCAACCCCTGATCTCTGGGGTTATGAGACAGCAGTGCTAACCACTGAGCCACAATGCTGCCCCAAACATGCAGTATCACTGACACACAAAATGCCTTTCTTAAAAAGAGGGCAATACAGCTTAACAATGACTGTGGACATAAATTAAGCAGCTGCCTGGACAGAGAAAGAAACTGAGTGTCAGTGAGTGATAGGAGGCAGAAAGGATCACAGAGGAGTGGGAGAAGAGAGAGACAGAGAGAGACAGAGAGACTTGGGGGGGTAGAGGGAGAGAATCAGTGATGGGCGGAATGTCGCCTCCGAAGGAAATTTGAACAACAAGCCTTCAAAGTTGCAGGGAAGAGGCAGGGAAGATCTCTCGTGGCTACTATGGTAATGAGGGCACTCTGGTGGGGGATTTCAATGTCCACTACCAAGAGCAGCTTGGCAGCAGCACTACTGATTGAGCTGGTTGAGTCCTAAAGGACATAGCCCACTGGACTGCATCTGCAGCAAGTGGTGAAGGAAGAACATACTTGACCTCATGCTTACCAATCTGCCTGCTTCAGATCTATCTGTCCATGACTGTGTTGGTAAGAGTGACCACTCACCTCGTGGAAACAAAGTCCCATCTTCACATTGAGAATACCCTCCAGCATGTTGTGTAACACTATCAACATGCTAAATGGGCAGACTTCGAACTGATCTAGCAACTCAAGACAGGACATCCATGAGGTGCTGTGGGCAATCAATGGCAGCAGAATTGTACTCCAGCACAAATGCATATCCCTTACTCAACTATTACCATCAAGTCAGGGGATCACCTCTGGTTCAATAGAGCTTGATTATGTTGGTTCTTTTTAAAGCACAGGTTCATCTGGTTGGGAGATAAGGTATTCACAAGGGAAGAAACCCCTTCTAAATTAACCTTGTTGTGGCCAGGTGGATGGGTGAGTTAATTAAGAAGGGGAGTCAGGCCATCCCTCCTCATCTGGGACCTTAACAGTTTTGGATGTCCCACTTGAAACTGTAACAAAATGGGAAACCTCACCCAAGATCTGGATTTAACCACTGCAGGCATTGCACACTCACCAGCATATCCCAGAAACTGCGTCGGCCTGTCTTGCTTGTTGGAGTGGTGGATTCCGAGTTGCCAGGGGTGGATATGGAAACAGGGACAGGGCTGCTTTTACTTCCAGTCATACTGCTAGAAAGGGTAATTGCTTCTTTAATCTCTGACCCTGACCTGTTAAGTCGACCTAACCATTCAAAAAAAAGAATGAAATATTAAGAAATGCTTGGAATATGAAAGTTCTAATATTACATTGGCATCAATAGGAAGGAAAGCAAAATACTGCAGATGCTGGAAATTTGAAATAAAGACAAAAACTTTTATCTTAGCAGGTCTTGCAGCACCTGCTGAGTTAGAAACAGAGTTAACATTTTGAGCCTGATATGACTCATATTAGACATAGAGTCATAAAAGCGAGATGATGGCCTAGTGGTTTTATCACTAAACTATTAAGCCAGAGATGAGGACCTGAGTTCAAATCCTGCAATGGCAGATGGTAAAATTTGAATTTAATAAGAAATATCTGGAATTAAGAGTCTAATGATAATCATGAAACTGATGTCGATTGTCAGAATAAACCATCTGGTTATTAATGTCCTTTAGGGACATAAACTGCCATCCTTGCTTGGTCTGAACTATACGTTATTTCAGGCCCACAGGAAGTTGACTTTTATATGAGCACTCTGGGCAATTACTGATGGACAAAGGCTGCTGCCCTAGCCAGCGATATCCACGTCCCCTAGATGAATAAAATAAGTTTTAAAAAGACTCAAAAAACAGACTCTGTTTCTCTCTTCACAATGGCACTGTGGACATTGAAGGAAACCGATGACACATGAAAGAGTCCAAAAGGGACATTGATTCAAAAACAACAGCATGCTTATTCAAAGTCCATATTTGAAATGCCTTTAATCACTTTACGGAGGTCTAAGCTTCAGGCCTCATATCTTAATATTTTTATTATGTCTCAGCATCCAAAGAGTATCTTAAAAGTGTTGAGGGAAGGTATTTTGAACATGGGGAATAGGTGGCTGATCACCAATGCTGAACAGAGTTCTGGGATGCACTCAATCAGAATTAGAAGATCAGAGAGTTCGGAGGAATTGAAAGGATGCTACATAATAATAGAGAGGCAAGACCATGAAAGACAAAGGATGTTTTTTTTTTAAAACTGGAAGTATAAGCAGATCAAGAACCAATGTAGATCAGCATGAACAGGAATGGAAGGTAAACAGGATTTTATATGGAACTGCAGAATTCTGGATTGAAACTCAACCGAACCCACATGAACCTGCAACCCAATTTTACAGAGGACATCCTTCTCATATCAGAAAACATTTGCACTGCTCTGCAAAAATGACCATACCTGGTTATCACAATATTCTTCCACTATTTTGTACCAAATTGATGTATGAATTTTAAACTCTTACCATTTGTGTCACATTCTGGCATGATCATGACAGGGCAGTAGGATTCCACACACAGTGGGCATTGGAGCATTCGAAATTCCATAACAACATCACAAAGAGCATGACGAAGACCATTCTGAAGTTTTTCAGTAAGTTGCAACAGACTGATGTTTCCCTGCTCCCAGATGTCAAAACGTACAAGGGTGTTGGGGTCTGCAGAGATAAAGCAGTGATTAAACTCTGCAGTTGAGAGGATAAGCTGTACAATCAATCTAAGGATTGCCAGTTTTACCCACATTCTGTGATGTGCACCTATGCGTTCACATGCTGTTCACCACTCTCTTGGGTGAACTGGTTACATCTGAATGCTCAATGAGGCATGTTAAATTATGCTGCTGCTCAGATACCACACTGCACACTGGGAATGAGAGCCCTGGCATGATATTTGTAAAGTGCCAACTGTTGTTGTGCATTGATAAGTGAAGGGTTGGTTGCATGAAGATGGAAATGAGCCAAGGCAGTAGCTCTTTTCAAAAAGAGGACAAAGACAAAATCAGTTAACTACGGACCATCTTAAATTAGTGAAGAAGAAAATAATGCATGAAAACTAACAACGTATAAAAAAACCTGTAACTAGGATGGTTTCAAACTTGTGCCTTAACTAAGTGTCCTGACATTTCTGTGAAAGTGACTTTCCAGTGAATACTGGAAAACCTCACAGTGTGATGTACCTCACCAGCTGGCAAGTCTTTCGTTAAAATTCTCCTTGATGCGGTGTTTAACAAGCCCATCGTATTTGAATCTGGGCAAGCTTTGCAAGTGGAAAGGAATTGGTGTAGTTGGAGAGACTACAAAGTGGATTTGCGGTCATCAAAATAAAACTTACATTAATATCACAAAGGGATCAGTCAAACCAAATAGAAACAAACTGTCAGAAGCAGCTTATGAGTCAAGAGAAAAGGACAGGAACGCAATGGGTACAAAGTCAAAGATAGGCACATTGGATTAGGATTTACCGCTAATATGGAGAACATGGACATTTGGGCCAAACAGTCTAACCCCTGTGTTGTAATGTTGATCTGTGCATCTGGACTTAGAAATAGAATACAAGTTCCTAAAATGACAGGGTACACTAAATTTTGGGAACAGTCAAGAAACTGAAGCTGAAGCTGTCATGCTAAAAGTATATAATGCTTTGAATAGTTTGACCTCAGCAAACTCTGCAGACCACATTATGAACACATGAAAATGATGCTGCCAAAAAGATGTGCTGGTCCATCAAGCAAGCACCACACCCATGATGCTTACAGCACTTCTTACCTCATATCACCAGTCCCACTTCCAACAAGAAATAGTCTACTATCTTCAATGGAGTTACTAAAACACACCAGTTTGTATTTATACTGTCCCTTTAATTTGGTGAAAAATCCTATTACTGACTTCCTTACAATCATCATCCTGTGAATCAGCACCGCAAAAATCCAATACTGGCCACACAGACATTGAAGTTACATGATTTGTCTGGGATTGGATATCCAGCAGAAAGCAGCTCACCTCCTGACACCCAAAGCTTTTCTACAAAGCACAAGTCTATAGTAGAATATTTGTTGAGATAGTCTCAGTTCCAACAAAACTCAAAAAAGGTTGCACCATCCAGTCAAAGCAATTCACTTTAAACATTCATTCCCTCCACCATCAGCACATCATGGCTATTGAGTACACCATCTACAAGAAGCACTGCATCAATTCTCCAAGGTTCCTTCAACTGCATCTCCAAAGCCAGAGACCTCTGCCACCTGGAAGAACAAGGGTACCAAGCACATGGGAAAAACACCACCTTCAAATTCCTCATCATCATCATGATGACTTTAATATGTATCATTATTATCTCATCAACACTGGGCCAATATACCGGAACACTCTCTAAAGCACTGTGAGAGTGTCTTCAATAGACGGACTGCAGCTGTGCTGAAGATGGCTCACTCCTACCTTCAAAAGGTCAGGAGCAATGGCCATTAAATGCACATATTGCCAATGACAACCACAGCCAGTGAATGCGCAAATTAAAGACTTTTTTTAAAAAAACAAACATCCAAATCCTGGAAGCAATGCAGAGAATGCCCTGAGATTCACCCTAGTATCAGAGGACAACGTTGCAAAGAAATGTCAGAATTATTTGATTTTTCAGCTTTGAGGTCTTTCAGGAAATTTAAAGGTGATATTATTAAAGCATAAAAAGATTCTGTAGAATACAAAGTGTAAACTTCAGTAGTTTGAGAAAACAATGACAAGGCAATAGTGTCGCCGAATTTGTAATCCTTGTAATTTAGCCCAGACAAATGCTCTGGAGATACGAATTCAAATTCAACTACAGCAGTTGGTGGAACTTAAATACAAACAATAATAAATCTGGAATTGAAAGCTGGTCAAAGTAATGGCGACCACGAAACCATCACTGATTCTTGTGAAGACACATCTAGCTCACTAATGTCCTTCAAGGAAAGAAATCTCCCACCCTTATCCAGTCTGGTTTACATGTGGAGTCCAGACTCTCAGCAATATAGTTGACTCTTAACTACCTTCTGACATGGTCTAACAAGCTACTCAGTTCAAGGGCAACAAATGCAGGTCTCGCCAAGTGATGCCCACATTCCATGAAAGAATAAACTAAAATCGTCAAAGTCCTCATCATTAAGTCCTAACCACTCAAACATGCCCATCTACAAGCTTTACTTTGGGTTATGACGGAATATTTCAGCACCATTCAACACATTAGCTTGATTGTGCCCCTATCACTCACTCATTATTCGCATTCCTCTATTCCGCATGCTCCCATCACCAATTCATACGGACACAGTAAGCACAATATACAAAACCAGTACAATAAGACACCAAGGTTACTTTAATGGCACACTCACACCTGTGGTCTCTATGCCAATAGCAGAAATTCATGGGAGTACCAACTCTGCAATATTATCCTCCAAAACAGATGCCATCCTGACCTGGTCATATTATATTTTCTTTACTGTCACTGGAAAATCTTCAAATTCCCCATCTATCTCTATTAACAAAGAATCATCATCACTAGAATTACAGCAGTCTAAGAGTGAAGACTAACACCATCTTCTCAAAGCAGACACTACGCAACCGTGCCCATTTCACCACCTTCTCAACAACAGTTTGAAAAAAAGACGACTCTGTTCACGGTCTTCCAACAGTTCCTGTTACAAAGGAACGGTGACCAGGGCGAAATCAAACATGTTAAACCTTATCTAAAGCACAATCAGAAATTTTTAATAGTTTGCTTGTGCCGTCTCATTCTTCCATTCACCGTCAATGATAAAGGTTTCAGCACAATAGAGTGGATCTTTCTCTACAACGTCATTCAAACTCATAATATTAAGAAAGTGCATCCTTGGGCTTGCCAGCGATACTCAAGGGTGTATTTAATTCCCAATCCTAACTTTCTTCAGGGCAGTAAAAAATACTCATATATATCTGTTTGAAATGTAGTGGGTACTTACCGGATATTTTTGCTTCAAAGTTGCTCTCATATCTGGAGACACAGGTCAACTTGTTGAAGTCTGCCTCCTGAATGAGATCCATGGGAAAACATAATCTGGAAGGGTCTGCTTGCTCTTGTTGCTGTGTTGTCACTATGAGGTTTCCATGTTGATCCACAATAGATAAGGCAATACAGGCAATGCCTGGCATAAACACAGACAAAACAGAATGATTTGGAGCAATAGTGGGATTTGGAGAAGCTCACAAAGTCATATTAAAGCAACTGCATTACCTAAATTTATACATAGTTTGGTTTGATAAACCAACCTTTTGTTGATATCACTCTCACCAAAATCTTAGAGCTTTGTTTGCTTTGTACGTTTATCTTTCTTGACCTTTCAAACATCTGGTACTAGTTCATCCAAAATTTTCCAAAAAATCTGAATGCCAGAGGCAGTCAAAACTCAATCTACTCAGACAAGTACTGGAAGCATAGGTGATCAGCTGATACTTCAAATTGGAGAGTTCACGTTATGCCTTTTTATTTGACTCTAATGGCTGGGTTATAGGGGAGTAGGTCTGGGTGGGATGCTCTGAGGGTTGGTGTGGACTTGTTGGCCGAAGGGCCTGTTTCCATACTGTAGGGATTCTATGAAGTCAAATTAAACATTGGATTCCATGAGAAACGTACACTGAACCATCTAGTGTAGAAATGCATCTCTCGGTTTTGCATGTTAGGAGTCAAAGAATGATCATTGTGAAGGTCAAATAAAGAGATTTGCTACCAAGGAATTTCCAGTTCTTGCAGAAGATCAACGTTAACCAAACTTAATCAATGAAGTGAATGCCAAGTGTGTGTCAATGCCTACATTAACAGACAACCACACACACACCCATGCACACCCACACACATCCACAGTTAATAATATGTGTTTATTCAGGAAAATGAAAACTGCAGTTGTGATACAATTGCCATATATAATCTCAAGAGTTATATACTTTGGTAAGTGATTGAATCTTACAAGAAAAATATAATGGAATGATAGAAGTGTGGCAGTGAGCATGTTTAAATTAATTTTGTTCATTTCTGAGTACAAAATCAAGCTCATTTTTAACAACTTGATGACCTTTAAGTAATAGATACAATATAATGTTCATTGTACCATGAACTCTGTGAAACTTACACCATATTCTTGTCAAAATGAAAATCATGAACAACGAAACAGGCTATAAAGTGGTAATAAACAATATTTAAATTGAGTTTCAATGTAGCTATGGAAAAACTAAGAGCATAATGGTCAAAATGTTTACCCTGTCTGGAAAATGTTTCAGAAACTCTTTTTGCTTTTTATCTGCTCGGATTCCAGAGTCCCAGGAAAACTGGATTTAGATTTTTAATTGTCAGGGTGGGCATCACAAGCATGCACCCATTAAAAATCACATTTCATTGAATTCTGACACCTAAGGAACATGGTGTGATTTACCTTTACATTAATGGTTATGTGAGCTGGGGGTTGATGAGCTCAGTAAAAGGTTTCAGAAGAGCTACTTTAAATTTTCAGTTCGGAGGCAAAGGGTAAACTCAATGTCTGGGATACATCACGGTGCAGCTGTCACGAACACAGCAACAAGCCATCAGGGATAATGGATATACTGGTTAACAAACTTAAGCAGCACAGAATAATGTTCAGCTGCACAACCAGTAACAGTTTTCACCCCTGGAGTTGAGGCTGGCACAAATGAGCAGTGACAAATGGAATTCCTGAGGAGGATGGGGCACTGCTGGCATCATTTGGGCAACAGAGGTTGGCAGAGGAAGTCCTGGTGCATATACGAATGCTAGTTGAGGAAGTGGAAATGGAAACAGGCTACTCTGGCATTCAACAGAGTAGCAAGGTCATAGTTCAACATTGGCATCCTCCAAGAAAGGAGGAAGTCAGAAGAGCACAGCAGGGTTTTAGATTGGAAAGAAGGTGCTACCCAAGACAGCAAATGAACTTCAAAGTTAACTCATTGCAAATGACACAATACCAGTGCTATAGGAGACGGTCTCAGACATTTGTAGGGAATCTATGAATTTGCACACTGGTGTCCATAGCAGTCCCCCACTGCAATCATCAAAAATACTGGACTGCTCAAACTCTATGTTGGTACTTAATTTGAACATTACTAAAAAGAAAAATGTACGGACAGAGCTTTTAATCTTTTTATACAGCTCCTCCTAGGGGTAGCATGAAATAGTTTGCTGAAATGTGTTGTTCACATTTTTGAGATACACTGTCTTCCCCGGGTAATTTAACGTAGACTACATACTCTTCAGGTCTCAAAGTACTTTTTGGCCTTTTCAGCAATCATACAAATAGGGCCCTTGACCTCTCTTCACCTTACAAGCTTAACAGAGAAATAGAGTGTAAATCTATCCTGATTAGATCACAGTTTGTTGGGGATCATGCAAATTCACGAATGGGTCAATGATTGCCAGTTTCAGATATACAAAGTGCCCAATCTTAACCTCAATTTGCTCTAGATAGGCACTGTCAAAATTATTTGAACAATGATTTATAAACACGGTTAAAGCTTATTTTCCTTAAATTCAAAATATTACAGTTAACAGATGAGATGAGAATGAGAGGGTGAAAGCTACAGAGAAGGGAACATGAACTTTTGAAGCTGTTTAAGTTTTAGTAATATCAATTTAATATTAAATTATTCAGTATTTTACCATTTGTGTAATTTATTCAGTAATTTATTCTGTAATCCAAGATGGTGCCAGAACAAGGCAATATTATACACTTTTCAATGTACCTAGGTAAGAATGACAATATTAAATAAATCTAAATCTAAATGGCAGAGGAAATGAACACCTTTTTACTTCAGACATCCCAATATGCACTCCATTCCAATTTTCAAATGCCTAATTCCTCCGCAGGCTGAAGATCCCACTCATGTCAGAAGGAAGCTTGTACATTTATGCTAGTGAAATATGTCAAAAGGCTCAGAGAAGAAAGTGAAACACCTAAAAGGGCTAGGCTTACTACTACCCCAGATATGAAGAATAAGGGATCAGCTGTCACTTTAACCTTGCCTTTGTTAGGGTCAGGCTGGGCCTCAGAGAAAAAACATTTGTGGTTTATTAACTGCTGACTACCCAGGAAACCTTATACCGAGTTTTCCCCTGGATTTATCTTGGGTCAAAATATCTTGGGTGATTTACTGCATGACTAAACACTTTCCTCACATTTACACGCTATATCAAATAGTTAAGACAATGTCTAATTCAAGTGGAAAATCACTTCAGTGTTTTTTAAGCTCTTAAATACCCAAAGTTCACAGCGATTCTACCCAGACTTTGTAAACGATCAAACCACTGAGCAAGCCACCACCTTAGAAACAGAAGTTTCGCTTCAGTTGAAGCTTCGGATATAGAAAGCAATGGGAATACCAGCTTCGTAATCAAGTGAGGGCAAACAAATTCAATGGATTTAGAGAGTCATAATGAACTACAATTATCAGGATGTACAGTATCAAGCAGTCTGAAGAATATCAGGATTCTAATGTAAAACATGCAGCAGGGAACAATAGCAGAACATGCAGTATTATAACACTATCTATTTCCTCACCCTGCTCAAATATTTACACATTAAGAATACAGCATTTGCTTTCATACCAAGAGTGTAATAAAATACTCAGCCAAAGTGACTAAACCAAGAATGGAAATGAAATGAGATTGGAAATTTCAAGAGTAAACAAAGAAAAAAATAAGCTGTGGGGAAGGGTTTTAATAGCATACTGCTGCATCTACAAATTAAGCAATACCTTGGAACTGGGAGGGTGGAAATAGATGCTGCACAAGTTCCACCATGGTACCTACATCAATGAAAAAACATTCATAGATAGCTTGTTCACCTAAAACACCTTCAACACCAATAATTATTAGAGGCAAGGCCCTAAACAGACTGAACAAGCTCTAGAATGAAAAAAAAACACACAACAAAAGGCACATAAGTAAGGACATGTTCATCACTGCTGCAATAATCATGTGAGTGTGGATAAGGATGTGTTAAGAGAAAGTGGCACAAACTAGAAAAACAGCATGGAATTACATCTGGCTGAGTGGAGTCCAAATGGAAGAGCAAGTTTTTTTTTTCCCCACAGTTCTGAACAGTTTGAGCAAATGCACAGTTGAAATCATGTTTTGCTCATGCCAAAGATGGAGGTAACAGAAATATTCAGCATTTTCAAAAGAAAAACATGGTAAAACGGTTCAAAGTCACTCGGAGATAGTAAGAACTGCAGCTGCTGGAGTCCGAGTCAACACAGTGTGGAGCTGGAGGAACACAGCAGGTCAGGCAGCATCAGAAGCTGATGCTACCTGACCTGCTGTGTTCCTTCAACTCCACACTGTGTTGAGCAAAATGGCTCATGGGGTGTTTTGCCCAAATGGCAAATTCTGGTTCTCCTAAAAGTAAGGAAGCATCAAAAAAAAAAAAAAGATGGGGCACTGTTAGTACCTGTTGGGCAGCAAAGAAACGTTAGCAGCATCCATTCTACGTTTCAGACAATGAGATCCTCACTTAAATAGTGGTACAGCTTCAATTATAATGCTGTGATGCATTAAAAAAACTCTATTCCAAGAAATTTGACAAGGAAAAGTACAAAAGGAATGAATCACAAGAAAAAATATAATACCCAACAAAGAGAAAATGGTGCAGGTTAAATAGCAGCTCATACACTGCCAGAGTCCTGACTTAAACCATGTCACCTGGGGAAGAAGCACAGATATCTCATGATATTTGAATGCGGATGTGCTGTCCCTAAGTGAATATGCACTTTCTATCAGTCCCTCACAGCACAGTTACAAGCTTGAGAACAAGCTGCATCTTGGTATCAGTCTATTTATATCACTTTAGGAGGCACAATAAGTTGTGTAGATGGAAGCAGGAAGCTACAAACAGAAATAAATCAAGAGCAAAATGAATTCAATCTGGGGAGCTCTGAGGACACTTATTCTGGGTCACAAATCAGACTATTTTATCAATTTGGAATGTAGACTTATGGATTAGAAATAATATAAAAGTGACTGTACATCATTTTGAAAATTTCTTTCTTTGCAATTTTAATTTGCATCATGGATAGGTGTTGGTTTTTAATCTTAATTCTTACTAATAATTTGGTTTTCTGCAGAGAATATGTAGATGAGTAACGAGATTTAGCTGCTATATACAGAAATCAATAAAAAATGGTTAGTGCACAAATGCAATGTTAATCAAATAGGCTAATAGAATGCTGGCCTTTATCTGTAAGGAGCAGAAATTCAAAGGAAAGGAAACTAAGCTTCAGTTTTCACCAGACGTTATCTGGAGTGCTGTGTTCCTTTGGTAATGAATCCCAGGAATGATATACTAGCATTGGAAGAAGTAAAGTACAGAATCATCAGAATAAATCAAGAAACAAGTAAAAGGTTAGATTATGAGAATAAATTGCACAAGCTCATTTTGTGTTATCTTGAGTTTACAAGAAGCAAGTGTTGGCTAATTGAGATTAAAATCATAAAGAAATTTCATAGCGTAGATGCAGATAATTTATTTTGGTGGGGAAATCCAGAGCAGAAGAGGATAATTTTAAAGTTAGAGCAGTTAGCTGTGAACTAGGAAGCTTTCTATTTCATATAAGTGTGCATCTGGAATTTGCTTCCCAAAACGCAAGAATTCTGTGAATTTTTCAGATGAAAACGCTGAGGCGGTGTATAGATTTTTTTTGGAAGAGTTGGGGGGGAATTAAAGGATATCAAGGAACATGAAGTAAAGTGAAGTCAATGGAGTAGTTTATGGACTTGACAGTAGAATGGTCACAAAGGCTGAATGGCCTACTCCTGTTCCCGAAAATGACAGTGAGAGACTGGGGACTCACCCTGAAATATCCGAATCTAGACTTATCAGGATTGGCAGAGATCCAGTGTAACAATATGGTGTGAAAGACTGCAAGCTATCAGCAGTTCTTCAGAGAAAGATGTGGGCAAAAACAGGGTGCTCATTTACTGGTCTAACAACATTGGCAAAGGAAATAAGATGTGCCATTTTTTCCATTCAGTTGGTCAAATAGTGCACAAATTTGTTACTACTATTTTCGAAATTCAAAAACAATCAGCACAATTGTTAAAATGTAGTAACAAGGTTCTTTTCTACCAACTGGAAAATTCATAACATTGTTACCTTATTGTTACCATGGTGAGCAATGTGCAGTAACCATCATATAATTCTAGTGTGAAGACTGATCATCAAAATTAAGCTCTCATTTTCTTTTCCTTTGCGTTTAATAAACATCGACATGCAAGATTCACCCAAGCGGTCATTTAATCTTGTTTTAGACTTCATTAAGTTAAATTTAAATTATTACTGTTATCAATTATTTCTCAAAGGATATATTAGAATACAACACAGCATGGTTAGTTTTTCTTCTGTCCTATTTTTTATCATGCAAGCAGTTCTCTGGTAAACTCCTATCCATGCCCTAAATTAGCATTGCTTTTCATCCAAAGCTCCTACCAACAGTATCATTTCGCTCTTATTTCCCTGTGGTGTAATATTTCCCCTTTGTTTTCTTCCACAGCACCTTTAATTCCTTTTGTCACTGTAATGGGTCTCTGCGTTACCTTTCTTTTTCAATCCAATGTAATTACGCATGTGTTTTTTTTCCTTTGATTCCCAGAGAAGTGTTCATTCTTGTAAAATCTCACCTACCTTGAATAACAAACTCCACAATGCTAGCAGTATCTCTTTCACTTCCTTTAGTCCCAATGAATCTCATCCTTCCAGCACCTGTTCTGGCTGTGATAGCTTTGTTTTACTTTCTCTGATATACGTCTCCGCAACTCTCATGTATTTTGGCAGCACTAATTCTTGTTCGCTCTCGTGTTGCATGGCATTACTGTTTTGTTTTGCCTGCTCCAAAGCATCACCCATTTCACCTTCTATTCTCTTAACGAAAACTTGCTGCATAGCCACTAATCATCCCACAGCAAGAATGGTGTCTCACCCCCTGTCCTTTCTGTGCATAGACTGTTACAGTCATTCAGCATGAAAACAGACCCTTCGGTCCAATTTGTCCACACCAACCAGCCATCCCAATGTGACATAGTCCCATTTGCCAGCATTTGACCCATATTCCTCCAAATTCTTTCTATTCATGCACCCATCCAGATGCCTTTTAAAAGGTTGTTATCGTACCTGTCTCCACCACTCACTCTGGCAGCTCGATCCATACACATACCACCTCTGCATGAAAAGGTTATCCTTCAGGTCCTTTTTAAATCTCTCTCTCTCTCACGTTAAACTTACACTCTCTAGTTTTGGACTCCCCTAGCCCAGGAAAAAGACCTTGGCTATTCACCCTATCCATGCCCCTCATGATTTTATAAACCTCCATAAGGTCACCTGATGTTTAATTTTCTACCTCCATCATCAATCTCTCCCCATTATAGTGTAACAGCCATTATCCATGCAACGTGCAACTTCCCGATGTGACACAGGCCTTTGGATTGTGGGATCAAATCCAATCAAGACCGTGAGATGAACTTCTGTGAAATTTGCTTCAGCCAATTTACCATTTACTGGGTGAGAGCCAACAAAAACCTTTACTTTGATCTGAAACTTCAAAACATGGTTAGTGTAGGAAATAAGAAATTTACAAACAAAAATTGCTGGAGAAACTCATCAGGTCTGGCAGCATCTGTGGGGTGAAAGCAGAGTTAACATTTCGAGTCCTGTGACACTGAAGGAGTAGCCAAATCTCTGGTGCAGCTCTATCATACTGCTTCCCTTCAGGAGTCCTTGAGTCAACTAGCTAAATTATTATCCCACAGTAATATTGTTTCTAATAAATAAGGTCACATAATACAACACTGAAAATGTCAGGATGTTCACTCTATGTGTTGTTCTTACTTCAAATGTAATAGAACCTCCTGCATGCAAGCAGGATACAGCATCATTCTTATTCAGAAAAGGCACCAAAGGGCCCTGTCCCATTAAATATCATTGTATACCCTTGAGGCCTACCCCATTCAGATATCTGTCCTCACTTTGGAATACATCCTGAATTCCTCCCATGCAGAGGCATAGTCTAAGGGATTACACCTGCAACTTGTAAAATTTTAGAAGTCCTCTACTTTAATAGCATTCCAGTTATTCTTATTTTCTCCCAATAAGTTTTGGTTTTCAATCAACTTCAGTAGCTCCTAATTACTATTAGCCAATTTATCTGACCGTTTTACTCTTCTAAACTTCAGTGGTATCCTACGCTATAAAATTTGGCACGTCACTTTCATTCCTCAAAACCAATGCAATGCAAAACAACACAACAGCCTTCAACTTAATTCTATTTTCAGAAACACTACAGGGTAAACATCAGTTTGCACCAAAAGAAAATGCAACGTTTGGCATTTCCGAGAATAAGTCCCGTTTAAATTCAAAGACATCAAATAGGCGTGGCATCAACAGATTTCTCCACCTAGGACTTCTCTCTTTGCTTAGAAGTGCCAATGCTTTTGCCTGCTAGATCTTTTTGATAAGGTATTCTTTCTGGATGGAAATCTGGAAATCTGGAAATCATACCAAGAATAGAAAATTCTTTTTACAACCATTCAGTAGCAAACTTAGGAGCCTGAAATAAGATCCTGATTTACCTGCAAGGCAGGGCCTTGAAAAGATTCTCATTGTTGGCAATTGCGTTGTGTGCGTTTTTGATCCATTTATTTTATAAGCTTGACACCTTTGTATGTGTTACCAGTATAGATTTTTTGATGCAATTGAATTTAACTGGTACCAAACAGAATGCACCTATTCCCTAGGAGTCCAACTATTTGCTATTTTCTAGACATGCTGTCACATTTCATTACATGTGATACTTGCCAGATATTGTTTGAACCTGAAGATCACAGAGGATTCTGCACTGGTTTGAACAAACACAGCTTCCTTTGTTGACAGTCTATAGAGTCCTTACTGAATCTTAATGTCACCAGTGCTGCCTCTATTTAATATTGCTGCCTGAAGATCTTGAAGTGATGATCACCCTCATGAGAGTTAGTAAAATCTAGATCTAACATGCCCTTTTCTTTACCAGTTTTCTTATTAATGCTTAATAACTAAGAAGAGCCAGTGATATGGTGGTAATGTCATTAGAATAGGAATCCACAAGCCCAGACTGACTTTCCAGGGACATGGACTCAAATCCCACCAGATGGTGAAATTAGAATTCAATAATAATCTAAAAGTAAAAAAAAATTAGTGGCAATTGATTGTTGTAAAAACCTATCTGGTTCACTAATGTTCTTCCTTTAGGGAAGGAAATATGCCATCCTTACCTAGTGTGGCCTACATGTGACTCCAGATATACAGCAATGTGGCTGACTCCTATTTGGGATCAATAGGGATGGGCAATAAATGCTGGTCTGGCCAGAGACACCCACCTCCCATGAACAAATAAAAAACAAAGACATCAATCCCTTCTCCCAAAAATACCAACTGGTACTATCGATTACTTGAGTCATAAATTTTCAGAGAGCAAGTTAGAAAGCAAACAGTTCATGAATGGCTTGGAAGCATACTTCCATAAGAATGGAGGTTTTTAAAATCTTAGCCCAAGAAGCAATACAGCTCAAAGTCATATCACAGTAATCTTCAAATCAACGAAATAGTCAAATTAACCTTTTCCACTGATATCAGAACAAGATCTTGAGATTACGTAATGGCTGGAAGACAGTGAAAACACATCTAGTGCAGAGAACTTGTCATGACATTCAACACAGGTTTCTCATCCTGACCTGAACCAGTTGCAATATTACATGAAAACAGCCTTTAATTTACAAGAAATTGAAAATATAACAGATACAAAAGGAGTGAAGAAGCTTGACATATTCTCATCACAGTGAATATGTTCCAGAATGAAACTAGATGTGCAAGAGAAAAGAACAATGACCCTGAGTGTGCATTAAGACTTAGCGACAACAGCCTTACCCTGTACCGAAGACAGAAAATCCCATTCGCAAGTTGAGATTAATGAATGATAACATTTAATGTAATTGCTAGTCTTCTATTTACAAAACAAAATGGAGGCAGAATATTATATTATTAAGAAAAACTAGTACACGTGAATCAGCTGCCGTAAAAGGAAGATCCATGTTACCTTTCCCGCCAGTCCCTTGACCACCAGGTTTATTGTAGAGATAGATGTCTGCATCAGATACACTTTTTCCATGAGTGTAGTGCTGTAGAAAATAAATTTCACAACAAAGACAATATATTCACCACTAAAATCAAATTAATTCACATAAAACAAACAGTCACAAATTCCATCTTTTGTACAATTTTCAGACACTTGCACATGTATAGTGCATACTGGATAAAAGACAACATTTCACTCCTAGCCTTGTACCATGACTGACGTGGCGGCTTGCCAACAATGTACACAAGTGTACAGTGTACAATCAGAAAATTAGAACAATTCACTAGTATTTGGAACTCTAAACTTTGCATCATCTTCAGTAGTTTCACAGTGTACAATTAATAAATTCAAATTAATTTCACATATACTAGATTAAATGATAAGCATGCAGCATCTGTGAAGAAAAAGGTCAGAGTTAACGTTTCGGGTCTGGTGATTCTTCCTCAGTTCCGAGGAAGGATCACCAGACCCGAAATGTTAACTGATTTTTTTCTTCACAGATGCTGCAAGACCTGCTGAGCTTTTCCAGCAACTTCTGTTTTTGTACCTGATTTACAACATCCGCAATTATTTCTGCTTTTTTTCACTAATCACCCCACCGTACATCAAGGACGTTTCAGAGATGGCCACATGACTATTCAGGGTAGCCCACAAAGCAATACCTACCCTACGACAGCTGCTGGCGAACATAGAGGATCCCATACCCAAAACCAGTGTAATATACAAAATACCACGCAAGGACTGTGAGAAAAACTACATGGGCCAAACCGGAAGAAAATTGACAATACGGATACATGAACACCAACTAGCCACTAAGAGACATGACCAATTTTCACTTGTCTCGCTACACACAAAGAGGGACACGCATGCGACTGGAATAACACATCCATAATCACACAAGCCGAACAGAGACACGCCAGGGAATTCCTGGAGGTTTGGTATTCGAACGGGAATTCCATCAACAAGCACATTGAATTAGACCCTGTGTACAAACCACTGAGAAACAGAACCGGAAGTGGTACCAAACACCTCAACAAACTGAGGCATATAAATAACAAGCGGGACAGAACAACGCTTCACCGGGGGCGCACCGACGATGTTACCTAGCAGGGTGATGAAATGTTTGCAACCAAACCCACTGGCTCAGCGAGCATGTCTACAACCTTATTCCCCCTGTGGGCTTCTGAACTCTGCGCTCAATTGTGAATGAGAAGCCTGCACTGTCTGAGAAACATTTATTTATTGTGCTTTTCCCTAGGATAGTCAATTAATAGTTTGAGGGCAGTGGGTGGACCCTTGAAGCTGGCAGGTCAAACTGAGGCATACCTGTTTGAAAGGAGTTTCAAGGAGCTAAGTAAAGAAGGCAGTGCTTCAAAATGAAAGTGCATCCAGGCAGATAAACTCATGGATCTCACCTGCAGGAACCCGGAAGTTGAATGGAAAATTGCAGTTGGCATCTTTCATAAGATGTTAAAGAGAAAGTAATTACAACATGCTAGTCAATTACGCGTCCAGCAAAGCTGAGAATAGGTGAGGTACAGCCAGGGTACTGGTGTGTAGGCCAACTGCGCTGTTTTTAGCATTGGCCTGCAGGGCCAGAGATCACATCTGATGGTTCTCCTATGTCATACTGCGCCACTAACAACACAAGATCATCACCCGATAGACAAGGCAACCTGGATTTAGAAAATGCTCAAAATTTTTAAAATTAAAATCAGGCTTTTTCCTCCCATTTAATTATTTAGGGCGTTCAGTGAGTTGTAATAATTAGCAGTGCATTAACATTCAAACCATTATTCCACATCAGTTCAGTGTTTGATTGTGGTCTTGGTTAAAAAGCTAATCGTAATCATACTTAAAACTGGGTTGAAAAACCTGTCATGCAAACTACTTCCACCAGAATCAGCCCTTTAAAAACCAGACTGAAATCACAAATGTCAGGCACATAAAACAAAAGCTACAGAATCCACACGCACAAGGTTGCAGGCAATCACAGATAGTTGTGGCTAGGTTTAAAGAAATCAAGACACACAGACACAAAATGCATTATCTCACTATGCCTTAGTTAGCAGAAAGAATATTATGTCTTCTGTATTTAGGGAAGAGTGACATATACTGCTAGTTACCCGGAAGTGATGTTCTACATTACTGTCTGTGTACTTTGGAGTATGAAGGAATATCAGCAGGTTCTGACGCAGGTAATATGCTACAGCATGCAGCCAAGGTAAACAGCAGTTTGAGATTGTGAACTGCACCACTTCAGTTGGTGGAGCGCCAGGTGGCTGTATAAACTGCAAAGAAGATAAAAAATAAGTTTTCAAAAAGCAATTGATTAAAAAGTTAACAGAACATTGAACCTGAATTAGTTTGAGTATGGAAAACTTGACTTAGGAATGAGTTACAATGAATTGTCGTCATAAAAATAATGGTGCTTTATGTATTTCCGCGCTGACCAGTCAGATTAACTTTTATCAGTACCGAAAACAGTGCACAAATTATTGATTTCACCACGAACAACACTCAGAAGAAGGAGAGGTTTGGAACTTAGGCGGTTTGTGTACTGAGTACATGTAGTTTGATGTCAAAAGTTTTGAAGAAAGTTTCAGGATAGGCTTTACTATTACAGGTCTACATGAAATTCTCAAACACTATCTAAAAGTTCTAAAACCAAGCAAATAAAAAGGTAGAAGAGTTTTTTTTAAATCACTGCAACCATATTAAAGTTTAAAATCATATTTTTTGATCTCAAATACAAAATCACAGGCTCTGTTATTATAATGATCCACTACTGCCATCTTGTGGACTTCTGTAACATTACAACCCAACTAAAATGAACCATGACTACGCTTTAATGAAAGCAAAATACCATGGATGCTGGAAATCTGAATGAAAGAGTGAATGATGGAGAAACTCGGCAGATCTGGCAAGATCTGTGGAGATGGGGGGGAACAGGCAGAGGGAGAGAGAGGGAGAGAGAGAGACTCTTCCATCTGATGAATTATGCCAGACTCAGTATGTTAACTCTGTTTCTTTCGTCTGAGTTTCTCCAGCTTTCTGTCTCTATGGTTTAACAATGCTCCTTAATTACCATTAACTTCTTTCTTGACTATCGAGGCTTTTACATTACAGTAATACTTGAAAGTGTTGGCACTACGTTCTTTCACCAGAGACCAGCCAGAGGTGGAGCTGGTGAATCTGTGACAGTTCACAAAGCTCTCAAAATAAATGAGTCTCTCCTCCTGTCTCATCAATGGACATTGAACCCTTTACAAATGTAGCTTTAATAAAAGGAGCAGGCATCTGTTTTCATATCATTTAGGTAAAAACAGATGAAAGGGAGTAATATCTGGTTCATACATTCAATTAATTAGACAGCAGAAAGACTGAACGCATTAGTACAGCCAGCCGCCTCCTCACGTTGATGCTCAATGTACCTCTACATCAGCCGGAGTCAGTTTGCAGTTCCGGACCAACATGACTGTGATGATATCAAGTGTTGCTTCATCCAATCGCCTTCGCAGGACCTTCACCAACTCATCTGTGATTTCAGGTCCTGAGAACAGCAATAATATTATTTAAACAATCTACGAATTATGCAATATTACTGTGAAGTGCAAAGCTGACCAATATGTACACAAATACACCAAACTCTTAGATGTACACTTGCACCGACATTAACAAGTGTTTGCATTGGACTTGTATTATAAACAGATGATTCCAACATATTTCAAGGGACAGGCCTGAGTGGTCCTAGCAGAACCCAACCTGAATACCTTTGCAAGTGCTGCTTGATAGCACTGCCTTGACACCTTCCACCACTTTGCTAAAGATCATGTAGCACCAGTAAGTAATTTAACATTTCATGATTAATTTAGTTATAACAATGTAAAGTATATTCATCAATTTACCTAATATATTATTCTACTTAACTGTAACTAATGTTACTTCAAATCATATATGAATCTGCTTAACCTCACTTGACAAAGAAATGCACCATGGGATGAAAGTAACACACTACTGTGTTTTAAAACTAAAGGACAAATGCCAGAAGCCCTCGTATAACTCATTTCCATTTCACAGAGCCGGACTGTGAGAAATTCAACTTTGAATATTGCACAAAGTCAAGTTAACATCCTTCCAATCCATAATGGGCAACGGATCAAGACAAGAAGGGAGTTACTGGAGAAAAGAAAATCTTCATCACAGCTGTGCTTTGTTTTATTTTGTAGTATCTTTATTAAAAAAGCATTTTAATTTGTGGAACAATCCCTCTTCTGTACCTACACTGGCCCTAAACCCCACCTCTTCCTCCATTACATTGATGACTGTATCGGCGCCGCCTCGTGCTCCCACGAGGAGCTCGAACAGTTCATCCACTTCACCAACACCTTCAAGCCCAACCTTAAGTTCACCCGGACCATCTCTAATACCTCTGTCTCCTTCCTGGACCTCTTTGACTCCATCGCTGGCAACCACCTAGAAACCAATATCCATTTCAAGCCCACAGACTCCCACAGCTACCTAGAATACACCTCCTCCCACCCACCTTCATGCAAAAACGCCATTCCCTATTCCCAATTCCTTCGCCTCCGCCGCATCTGCTCCAAGGATGAGGCACTCCCATACATCCACTCCCGTACATCTCAGATGTCCTCGTTTTTCAAGGACCGCAACTTCCCCCCCTCAGTGGTCGAGACCACCCTCGACTGTGTCTCCCGCATTTCCCACAACTCATCCCTCAAACCCCCGCCCCGCAATAACAACCAAAACAGAATCCCCCTTGTCCTCACGTATCACCCTACCAACCTCCGTATCCAACGCATCATCCTCCGACACTTCCGCCATCTGCAATCCGACCCCACCACCAAAGCCATTTTTCCCTCCCCACCCTTATCTGCTTTCTGCAGGGACCACTCTCTCTGTGACTCCCTTGTTCGCTCCACACTCCCCTCCAGCCCCACCACATCCAGCACTTTTCCCTGCAACCGCAGGAAGTGCTAACCTGCCCCCACACCTCCCCGCTAACCCCCATCCCAGGCCCCAAGAAGACTTTCCACATCAAGCAGATGTTCACCTGCACATCTGCTAATGTGGTATACTGCATCCACTGTTCCCATTGTGGCCTCCTCTACATCGGGGAAACCAAGCGGAGGCTTGGGGACCGCTTTACAGAACACCTACGCTCGGTTCGCAATAAACAACTGCACCTCCCAGTCGCAAACCATTTCAACTCCCCCTCCCATTCCTCAGACGACATGTCCATCCTGGGCCTCCTGCAGTGCCACAACGATGCCACCCAAAGGTTGCAGGAACAGCAACTCATATTCCGCTTGGGAACCCTGCAGCCCAATGGTATCAATGTGGATTTCACAAGCTTCAAAATCTCCCCTCCCCCTACCGCATCCCAAAACCAGCCCAGCTCGTCCCCACCTCCCTAACCTGTCCTTCCTCCAACCTATCCCCTCCTCTCACCTCAAGCCCCACCCCCATCTCCTACCTACTAACCTCATCCCACCCCCTTGATCTGTCCGTCCTCCCTGGACTGACCTATCTCCTCCCTAACTCCCCACCTACACTCACCTTTACTGGCTCCATCCCCGCCTCTTTGACCTGTCTGTCTCCTCTCCACGTATCTTCTCCTCTATCCATCTTCTATCCGCCTCCCCCTCTCTCCCTATTTATTTCAGAACCCCTTTCCCCTCCCCCATTTCTGATGAAGGGTCTAGGCCCGAAACGTCAGCCTTCCTCCTCCTCTGATGCTGCTTGGCCTGCTGTGCTCATCCAGCTCTACACCTTGTTATCTCAGATTCTCCAGCATCTGCAGTTCCTACTATCTCCTAGATTTGATTAAACTTATTTTTGTTAAGAGTTAACTTTGAAACAATGTATGTTCAAGTTTGGAACTGTATAATCTTACTATTTTAGAACTCAGGCATATGTATTCACTGAATGTGTAAGGCTATCTCACTACTTCACTTTTTATACATTGCACTGTATAACAATTTGCTCATGTTAGCACTTTATGATTTTCTGTATTGCATTCATATAGATGTAAAATTATAAACAACTTTTTCACAATATTCTTTGTGTGAAAAAAAGTAAGAAACTCACCAGACACCCACAACCTCAGAGACAGAAAATTCACTTAACAATTTGCTCCTAAAAGCAAATGGTCAGGTCTGTGATCTAATGAGCAACTTGATTTGATTTGATTTGATTTATTATTGTAACATGTACCTAGGTACAGTGTAAAGTTTTGTTTTACATGCAGTACAGGCAGATCATACCAAACAAAGTTCATATGGTAATATAACAGAGTGAAGAATACAATGTCACAGCTGCAGGGAAAGTGCACAGATAGCAAGATCACCATTAAATTTAAAATTTGAGGTGTCCATTCAGAAGACCAATAACAGCAGGGAAGAAACTGTTCTTGAATCTATTTGTACATGTTAACAACCTTTTATAACTTATGCCCGACAAAGAGGGTGGAAGACAGTATAATAGGGTGGAAGGGGTCTTTGATTATGTTCTGTTATGTGAATATATGGATAGGAAAGGTTTAGAAGGATATGGGCCAACTGCAGAGACGAGTTTAGAGTGGATGGACATTTTGGTCAGCATGGAGGAGTTTGGGCCAAAGGGCCTGTCTCCATGCCGTATGCTCTATGACCTCCAAATTCACCACTTCCTGGAGCAGAGATTCCACCCCTCACTTCAGACAGCACTTCATTCGTTGTAAAACCCTTTAACATTATTCAATAAAAGAAAGCATATGTCAGGTATGGACAGCAGGAATCGCGTGAGCCCCTAGAAGAGTATGAAGGCAGTAGAAGTATACTTAAGAGGGAAATCCGGACGGCAAAAAAAGGAGACATGAAATAGCTTTGGCAAACAGAGTTAATGAGAATCAAAGGGATTCTACAAATATATTAAGGACAAAAGAGTAACTAGGGAGAGAATAGGGCCAGTTATAGATCAGCAAGGCCACCTATGTGTAGAACCACAGGAGATGGGGGAGACACTAAACGAATATTTTGCATCAGTGTTTACTGTGAAGGATATGGAAGATAGTAAACTTGGGGAATAAATAATGACATCTTGAAAAATGTCCATATTACCGAGGAGGTGGTCCTTGTTGTCTTAAAACGCATAAAGGTGGGTAAATACCGAGGACCTGATCAGGTGTACCCTAGAACTTTGTGGGAAGCTAGGAAAGTGATTGCTGGGCCCCTGCCGAGATATTTTCATCATCATTAGCCACAAGTGAAGTGCCGGAAGTCTGGAGATTAGCAAACGTGGTGCCTTTTTTCAGAAAGATGGTAAGGAAAAGCCAGGGAGCTACAGACCAGTGAGCCTGACATCAGTGGTGGGCAAGTTGTTGGAGGGAATCCTGAGGAACAGGATTTACATGTGCTTGGAAAGGCAAGAACTGATTAGGGATGGTCAACACGGCTTTGTGCGAGGGAAACTGTGTCTCACTAACTTGATTGAGTTTTTTGAGGAAGTGACAAAGAGGATTGATGAAGGCAGAGCAGTGGACATGGTCTACATGGACTTCAGTAAGGTGCTTGACAAGGTTCCGCATGGTAGACTGGTTAACAAAGTTAGATCACATGGATTCTAGGGAGAATCAGTCATTTTCACACAGAACTGGCTCGAAGGTAGAAGGCAGAGGGTGGTGGTGAAGAATGGCCTTTCAGACTGGAGGTCTGTGACCAGCAATAAGCCACATGGATTGGTGCTGGATCCACTGTTTTTTGTAACTTAAATAAATGATTTGTATGTGAATATAAGAACTATGCATAGTAGTTTGCAGATGACACCAAAATTGGTGATGTTGTGGACAGCCAAGAAGGTTATCTCAGAGTATAACTGGACACTGATCAGATGGACCGACGGGCCGAGATGTGGCAGATGCAGTTTAATTTAGATAAATGTGAGAGACTACATTCTGGAAAGGCAAATCAGGGCAGGATATATATACTTAATTGTCAGGTCCTGTGGAGAGCTGCCAAGCAAAGGAACTTGGAGTGCAGGTTCATAGTTCCTTGAAAGTGGAGTCACAGGTATACAGGACAGTGAAGGCAGCTTTTGGTACGTTTCCTTTATTGGTCAGTGCATTGAGTATAGGAGTTGGGAGGTCTTGCTGTGGCTGTACAGGACATTGGTTAGACCACTTTTGGAATACTGTGTTCAATCTCGCTGATCTCCCAGCAATAGAAAGGATGTTGCAAACCTTGAAAGGGTTCAGAAAAGATTTACAAGGATGTTGCCAGGGTTGAAAGGTTTGAGCTATAGGGAGAGGCTGAATAGGCTGGGGATATTTTCCCCAGAGCGTCGGAGGCTGAGGGGTGACCATATAGAAGTTTATAAAATCACGTGGGGCATGGATAGGGTGAACAGCCTTTTCCTCAGGGCAGGGGAGTCCAAAACTAGAGGGTGTAGGTTTAAGGTAAGAGGGGAAGGTTTTAAAAGGGCCCTAAGGGGCAACGTTTTCACATAGAGGGTGGTGCGTCTATGAAACTAGCTGCCAGAGGAAGTGGTAGAGGCTGATACAAATACAACATTTAAAAGGCATCTGGATGGGTACATTAATGGTAAGGGCTTAGAACGATATGGGCCAAATGCTGGCAAATTGGACTTGATTAACTTTGGATATCTGGTCAGCACGGATGAGTTGGAACCAAGGGCCTGTTTCCATGCTGTATATCTCAATGCCTCTATGGCTCAAAGCTGATGTAGAAATACAAATTTTTCTTCCTTAGTACAGATTTTCAAAAGGTAGAGGCTTGGAGATTCGAGCAGTGTCAAGTAAGTCCAATTTCAGAATTTCAAATGAGATGGCTGATGACAGACGGAAAAATTGAATTTGAGACAGAAGGTACAACCTGTGCAAATTTGTTTGGTTAGCTGATTGTTCAGCTTGACCTCAACCTTGACTGATAGTGCAGATAACACTTCAATCAGTGACTAGAATAAGACTGCTGCAAAGGATTTTGATTAAAAGTGTTTCCTTAATACAGCACATCAGATTTTCACAGCTGACTTGCCATTTTTGGAATTCTGATTGCTGATCATTTTGTGATTTCACTTGTTACTGTAGGATACATTTTCCTAACTTTACAGCAATTTTATTCCCAAATTGCCTAGATGCTTCTGATTTAGTATCAGAAGTTGCAATCCTACCTGCCTGTCCAACACCGTGTACCATCAGTAGAATGTGCTTATCTACTTGGCCAACAGGTCGGGATGACTCCGCACTTCGGGAAGGGGTGGAATCCACAAAGGGTCTGGAACTCTGGATTGAACATAAAAGAAGAGAATTATGAGCAAAGTTCAAACTAATTCAGATAAAAGTGAGGGATACATAAAAATATCAATGCTCGACTTTACCCCGAGTTCATCAATGAGTATCGGTTCCTGGCTGCGTGTTAACGCCAGTGAACGAGAAGACAATGGGGGTTGAATCTCCCTGTCCCAATCTGGTGAGTTGCCACTGCATGTTGTTTCAGACAGTCTGGAAGAAATGATAATGTGTTAAGGAAGGAAGCAATTATCAGTGGTCAAATACTAGGCTACATGCAATTTACTGTAATATTACAATACAATTGAGGCTTAATATGATAGTATGTGATTTTAATTTTTTGCCAATAAGTTGATGCCCCTATATAAATCCAGACCTAATCAGGTAATGAGGAAGCAAGAACTGACCATGCATCATCCACCAACCCAGCAAAGAAATTAATGAAAAAGTAAATCAGCCTAATTGGAACAAACTAGTACTATATCTCTTTAAACTTGAACTGAAAGATTCACGTGCCTTGCATTCTTAGACTCTTGGTTTACTGCCCAATTTGTTTTTCAATATTTTACCATTTTATTGCCACCTGACTATTTATTTTAGCAAAATGTGAAACAAATGCATGGAAGAAACTTCAATTCAAAACGATCATAGTAAAGTCAACAGGAAAGCAATGGTGTGGATTCGAGTGTACAGAAGGACAGGTGGGAATTGCAGAGGTGATGGCCATAATCCTCCAACACAGGATACAAGATGAAACCAGAGGGCTGGAGAATTGCAATACATTTTTTCAAAAAGGATTTAAGAATAAACCCAGCTACTACAGGCAGGTTAGCTTAGCTCTGGTGGCTAGAATGCTGTTAGAAACATTTATCAAGGACAAAATCTCGACAAGTGTGGATTATGAAATTCAGCACAAATCTTTTCAAAAATAAATCATGCTGAGGATGGTGTGGTATTCAAGGACTTCCAAAAGTTGTTTGATAAAATGCTACAAGTTTGCCAAAAAAAATTGAAGATATTGGAAAAAAAGGGTCAGTGGCAGTATGAAGAGAAATTTGATTGAGCAGAATCAGAGGGTGAATGATTGATTTTTAGACTGGGGTAAAGTACATGGTCAGGCTCCGGAAGCAGTACTACTGGCTCTCTTGGGATATAACACATATGATTTATATATATTTTAATACCATTTAGCGTCTGGATTTTTGAATTTGAGTAAGTAGCATATGGATTTTCGGTTTGTCACAGGGTTTAATGGTTAACTTGTACGTAACTGTAGCCATTGTGATTTCTTTTAGAACCTAGTTTTAGAGACTTCCAGGAGAATAAGACTGTAAGGCATGGTATCAGAAATAGGCCATTGAGCACATCGCATCTGCTCTGCTCTGACCTGATAACCCTCAATGTCACTTCCCTTTTCCCCAGAATCAGTGATTTCCTTACACATTAAAAATCTGTCTCACTCAGCCTTGAACATACTTAACGACCAAACCTCTACAGCCCTCTGTTGTGAACAATTCCACAGATTCAGTATTCTCAGAAAAAATTCTTCCTCATCTTGGTCTGAAAAGAGTGACCCTTTATTCTATGTCCTCTGATCCTACAGTCTCCCACAAGGATAAACAACCTCTCTGCATCTACTCTGTCAAGTCGCCTCAGAATCCTGTACGTTTTATTTTATTTCTTACCTCCGCCAATATGGATTCTACATCATCTGATCAAAGATCATTTCTTGATTTGTCCTTTTTCCATATCCTACTAACAATGCTACCCCACCATCCTTTCCTTCCTACCTGATCTTTTGCAAAGTCACATATTCCTGAATGTTTAGTTCCTAGGTTTGAACTCCTTGTGGCTATATCTCTGAAATGCCAATATGATCATACCTATTTCTGAAGACTGCAACTCAATGTGTGGCTAAATCAAAGATATGATGACCTCTGAGCTGTATGTGTGTGTCACCTTCTTCTGCTAATATTATAACCTCTCTTCAAACTGGACTTGAAACAAGAAACTTGGCAAAGCTTGTATACAAAGTATGAGTTTAAGAAAATATAATGAACTGAGTATTGCACCACTTGCACATTTCTTTTCCAAAACAATTTGTTTCCTTTTGTTTTAATCCTATGAAGAATTCATCTTTCTTCAGAAACATTAATGTGAAGAAGAAGACAAGATTAATCATGAAAAGGGAGAAAAATATGCGTATTAATGACTTATCTTTTCTACATTAGTTGAAAATAAACAAACTGCTTAATTGTTTTATTTTGCTTCAATAAAGTGAGACAAAAAAAATCACAATCAAGGTATTACCAGAAATACAGAAACAACATTAAGCTATTCAGCCCCTTGAAACTGTTACCCCATTTAATAAGACCATACCAGCTCTGCTTTTGTCCATTTGCCTCAATACCTTGAACTAACAAGAAATCTATTGATCTCAATCTCAATTCGTCCAGCAGTTAATTTTAGGGGAACAAGTTCCATAATTTCACTATTCTTTGTGTAAAAAAAAAAAAAAAAAATGCTTCATAATTTTACTCCAAAAAGCTTAGTTGTAAATTAGGCATTCTGCCCTTTATTTTATTACATTTTTGTTTGCTTAAAATGAATATGTCCCAGTAACAAAGTTCCTGATAATCAGCAATAATGATAAACCCAACAAGAGCTCAACTGAGAAAATATTATTTCCATTAAATGTTTAACAGGCATCCAAAGGACCAACACATAAGTAATGTAGAAGTAAACATATTTCAAAGGCAACACAAAGGTAGCTGTAGTAAATACAAAAATAAGCAGGTGATTGCAAGTTAGTAAAGTGAAAAAATAAAGGGTGACAGTACTGCATATTTTATATAGACAACGCTAAAAAGATCAATTAGTATCTTATATAAAAACAAAAGCATGTTGGAATGATTTCAAAACTATAATCAAGTCTGAAGTTTTGCTTCCCATTTCAAAATGCTATCCAAATAGTGTATAGAATTACAGCTGTTGCTTTAAAATCATAATGACGTTTTTCACATTTCTAAATGAAAAGAATACTAACACGGTAAGCTGAATTTCTTTCCATTTCTGGCATTCAAAAACAAAAACTCTCTAGTTCAGGCGTATGTCTCAGTCAGATATGGATTACACCTTCTTGGTGTCACTCAGATACTTTTTAATCACAACTTCCTTTTGTCGTATCTGTGTAATTTTTCCTAAGTCTCTTGGCTGTCCCCAGTCCTGTGACTAGAAGGACACTGCCAACTTATTGCCAATTGCTGCAGCACTATCCTCTGGGCTGCTTTCTTACCTTAGGTAAAATACAGACTTGGTGGCCCTTTCTTGGTATACAAACATATTTTTCCTGTTCACGACCGAAAAAGCATTTAGAACAGACCTCAGGGCCTGAATAGCTGAAAAATATAAGTAAACAAGCTACACGTTAAATAAAGTAAGTGAAGTTAAATTAAGTGAAGTTCAGTAAATGTGCAAGATGTGGAGAGAAATTATAAGTCATACAGGATCAAGGAGAGTGATCATTTGTAATACGACAAAAAATTAGGACTGCGGATGAAGGAGGTTAAGTTCAGTGTTAAGAGCAATGAATAAAATCTGATCATTCTTATTTAGCCATAGATGAAACAGCAATAAAATCATACAACGCAGACAGAAATCATTCAGACCAATAAGTTGGTGCCAGTTCTTTCAAACAGCAATCCAGCTATTGCTCATTCATTCTCCACATTCTGCAATTTTCCCCTCAATCAAGTTTATCAAATTCGTCCTTGAAGGCTTTTATTGAATTTCTTTCTCTTAGATGATTAATGTTTCTTTAATTGTTTGAAACATCAAAGAACCTAGCTATTCAATTCAAATACAAGTCAGTTATGGGACTGTTTAGATGCCATAAAGTTAAACAGTGCAAAATGTTGGAAATATAAAGCAAAAATAGGAAATTTTGGAAACAGCACATTAAGCAGGATCTGGTCAAAGACTTATTATCAGACTGGAAAAGTTGGTGATGCAACAGGCTTTAAGCAAGTTACAAAGGTAGAGAAATGGAAGGAAAGGAGGGAAAAAAAGCAAAAAGGAAGGTATGTGATAGGATGTAAGATGAAGGAGACATTAAGTGACAAAACAGTAATAGTGCAAGGCAAAAGATGATGGTAATGGGAAAGTTAAGAACACAGGATGAAAAGATGGTGTAAAAACAGACAGCAGTTATGAACTGAAACTGCTGAACTCAACGATAAGGCTGAAATGTCATAATATGCTTAATCAAAAAATGAGGTGCTGTTCTTCAGAGCTCGTCTTGAGCTACACTAGAACCAGATAGAACTATCAGAGGTCAGAGCAGATACAAGTCTAATAATTTAAATGGCAAAAGCTTGGGATCAGGTTTGCAGAGTGAACCAAGTTGTTCTATAAAGGGGTCATTCTAGTCTGTATCTGGTCTTCTCAATTTGGAGGAAAGAGTATCATAGGTGTAAATACAGTATAGTAAATAAAAAACAATATCTATTAAAGTGCAGGACAGATGTTACACCTCCTGCAATTGCACTTGAAGTTTAATTGGGAAGAACAGGTTGTGTTCAGGATCCAGATTATTGCAACATAACATTCTCTTTGGAACAAAAACAAAGTTGCTGGAAAAGCTCAGCAGGTCTGGCAGCATCTGTGAAGAAAGAGTCAAGAGTTAACATGTCGGGTCCGGTGACCCTTCCTCAGAACTGTCTTTTTGGAATGTTGAAAGGGTGAGGTAGGGTGAGGTGGGAGGGGACATATTTGATGGTAGCTTCAACCTGGCTGTGGAAGCTGTTGGGACCAAACAGCGATTGGAGGACTACTCTGTGAAAGAATTCGGTTTAGTCTGTAAGCCTGGCCCAAAGTCTGTGCCATTTTAATTTCCTGGCCCACTCTTACGAAGACCTTTCTGTCCTTGACTTCCTTCCCTGTTTCAATGAATCTCAATCTGCTATCCAAAGACAGAACCTTATCTTTCGATTGGATACATCACAACCTTCCACAACAATGACTTTAACAGTTTTAGATCACCGCTGCTGGCTTGTTTTTCGGCAGCAGCTTTTGAAAATTGCTATTCCCATTTACACCTTCTCTTCACACTGTTTGTTTGGCAGCTATATTTACAAGGTTAAACACTATTTTAATGTTGTGAAATCAAAGAATCTAGACTAACACAGCACAGGAGACCATCCATCTTATTAAGACAGCACCAAATGTTTTGAAGAGCAGATTAGTCCACTTCTCTGTACTTTTCTCATTCCCTTGTATTTTTTTTCTCCTTCAAATACGTAACCAATTTTCTGGTGAAAGCTACAATTGAATCTGTATGCACCAATTCATTCAGGCACCATATTCCAAATCTAACACACTCAATGTAAAAAAACATTTTTCCTCATGTCTTGTTGGTTCTTTTTCTAATCACCTTAAATCTGTGCCCTCTGGTTACAACCTTTCAAGCACTGGAAACAGTTTTGGTTGATTTATTCTGTGAAAATCCTTCATGATTTAAAACATACTTCAATCAAATCTCCTCAGCTCCTCTAATCCAAGGACAGCAACTCCAGCTTCTTTAGCCTTTCCATATACTGCATAACTGTAACCGCATGCCTAGGACCATACTAATACATTTCCTCTTGTACTCTCAACATTTGAAAGAAATTAGCAAAGTACATAATTACTGTAAATGTGCTCTTTGCCACTCAATAGTTTTGTTTAGTGGCCCATGGAACAGTCAGATCATGCACATGCTTTCACTTTAGCGAAGACAAAGAAATTATGAAGTAGCCTGTGAAATATTTTAGTAGGCCAGAGTACAATGACAAAGGTTCATCTGCTCAATCTATGGCTCATGATATATTTAGATATTGAGCAAGCAAAGACCCACCATTTTTAATGGGGACAACATATGAGAATATGCAATGACACCAAATCCAATTAAATATACAGCGTGAAATGTGCCAAAGTTTAGTATACCTCTTGCGACACCCATGTTGGGTCCCATCTTGAGTCGAGGATGGATATGTATGATGGTCTTCCACACCACTTCACAGGAAAAGTGGCCTGCCATAAAATGCATTGTAGCAGCCAAGTAATCCTTCGACTGATAATTATCATCTGCTGAATAGTCTGAGAATGAATGGAACAAAAATATGAAACAATAATACCACCACTGCAAGTACCCCCTCCAAGCACTCACCATCCTGACTTGGAAATATATTGGTTCCTTCACTGTTACTGAGTCAAAATTCTGGAACTCCCTCCCTGATGGCATTGTGGGTCAACCCACAGCACACGGACTGCAGCGGTTCAAAAATGCAGCTCACTACCACCTTCTCAAGGACAACCAGGGACAGGCAAAAAATGCTAGCCCAGCCAGCGATGCCCACATCCCACAAATGAATAAAAAAAATTAAGACAGCTAAAAACACCAAATTTATGTATTTTGAAAGGTCGTGATTTTGCTTGTATCAATACAGCAATTAGAGATAAATGGAAACTGTCTTCCTCGGTTCAGAAGTCAAGTAAATTACTTTGAAAAAAAAACCAGAATACAAGAAATGCTAATGACGTGGGTTTTTAACTGTAACTTACATACTCTATGATGAGCTGTTTAGAAAATTCATTAAAAGATATAAAATACCAAGGAAACTGCATCATCTAGTTACAAACACACTAAACATGCATCTGTTAATTCCTTAATCTGTTTAAGGCACTTACTTCAAACTCAGTGACCTTAACATGCCAAAGAATCCATGCATTATAATCACAAGCTGTTTTAGTCTGATATAAGGAATGATTTCTCTGGATCAGCCATGTGCATAATTCAACCTTGATAGTCCAAAAAAGAAACAAACCTAACTATTGTTCATCATACAATCACTCATGTTCTTCTGGAAAGCGTATTCTAACCTTTCTTATCTGCTTATAGTCTCATTGTTAGCTTTCTGAAATATTGTGCTTCTAAGCAGCTTGCCATGATGTTTTGCTTTGCTTTACAACTTCACATAAATAAAGGGGCCAGTTTTAAGAAAGGTGTATAGGATGGAATAAGATACAGGTGATTCAGTGAACTGCAGTATAGCTTGAGTGACTGAATGGCCTTATCTGGTTCTACAATCCGTCACTGTATGTACTGGCTCGGTAATGTGTTACTTTATACATTTCAAGAGCAATGTAAAACATGTGAGGCATTCCATTATTTTTCCAGTAAATATTTACTACGATTAGGGCTTATGTTCAACCTACACTTGATTACTAATTAAAAGGATGCAAGTTATAAAGTTATGTCAAAATAACTAAATTAGACATTCATGTGTTTCCACCATAGCCTTATGGGATCTTTAGCTTTATCTTGCTTCTTCTCTGGCTATCATCAAGGCTCCCTCTGTCCATAACTCAACGTTGTTCACCCATCCAATTTTCCTCCTGCCACTTCTGTTTTTACTACGTGAAAATGGAAAGAATTGCAGACACTGCAAATCAGAAACAAAAAAACAGAAATTGCTGGAAGAGTTCATCAGGTCCTGCAGCATCTGTGGAGAGAAATCAGAGTTAACGTTTTGGGTGAAGTCAGCCTTCCTCAGAACAGCAGAGATGCTGCCAGACTAGCTGAGCTCTTCCAGCATTTTCTGCTTTGACTTCTGTTTTTATGCTTGATTTCTCCTTCAATTGTTGCCAAGACAAGTCTGTCGAATTTTCATTTCTAACAGATGCATTTGGTTATCTTTCTCTCTCTAACTGTATTTAGCAAGCTTTTGATTCTTGAACTTCTACTCTTGAAACTGGCTGCAATGATTGGATAGTCTGAATGAACATATAAATTTTAACCACTGCTTGTTAACGTTTTTGTATATCACGTGAACGTTACTAGTTTGTCGGCAAAAGAAAGCCCAGCTCATGATAGCTCTGAACATAGTTTTTTACGTAACTTCATCATAACCTAATGTTTGTATATTCGAAAATTGACAAAAAGAACTAAATTGAGACAAATAATTCCAGAAAGAATTTAGAACCTTTCGAATATCTAATTCCATCCACAGATTACTAAGCTTTCCAGCATTGTTGAATGATGACGTGAAACAGGCTGTGAAAGTTAACGTATGAACAAAATATAAAATTGGACTAATTAGGAACGTTATTGCAAACCATCACTAGCTGTAGCCCGCGGACGATATGAAGGGTAGGGGGTTTCATTCTTCCAGATGTCCTCTTCACTTTCAGCGACAAGCAATGAATTACAGACATGACTGTCATGCAGATCCTGGAGCAATAGGCGCTGTGACAAATGGAGAAGAAATAAAGTATAGAACAACATGGATTGCTAGCCACAATATGGAATGATGCAGAATTATCAAATAATTCATAGGCCAAACAATATCGTCCATTGACAGGTACAGTCAAATTGCTTACAATTTACATAGATGATTTGGAGTTGGGGACCATGTGTAGTGTGTCAAAGTTTGCGGATGACACTGCGATGAGTGGCAGAGAAAAGTGTGCAGAAGACTCTGAAAGTTTGCAGAGGGATACAGATAGTTTAAGTGACTCAAAGGTCTGGCAGATGAAGTACAAAGTTGATCAATGTGAAGACATCACTTTGGTAGGAATAACAAGTAAAAAGGACTATTATTTGAACGGTAAAAATTTGCAGCATGCTTCTGTGCAGAGAGACCTGGGTGTCCTTGTGCATGAATCACAGAAGGTTAGTTTGCAGGTAGAACAGGTAATTAAGAAGGCAAATGGAATTTTGTCCTTCATTGCTAGAAGGATTGAGTTTAAAAGCAGGGAGGTTATGTTGTGGCTGTATATGGTGCTGGTGTCTTACATACAGTCTCATGCAACATACCTGTTGTGAAATTTCGATGCTAAAAACCAAAAGTCAAACTAAATGCATCAAACCGAATATGATTACTGATTTTAGCCCACTGAGCTGACTTCCAGGATTCATCCACAGAATTCCAGAACAGCCTTTTGCTCACCAGCCATCCACAAAAGCTTGCTTCAATTCAATATTGGGTCTCTCTCTATTCCAAAGTTCAAACGAACACTCAACCTCATGTTTATGATTACCTGGTTGACCACACGACAAATTTCAGCAATTTTTTCAATCACTGTTCTATAGAGATGCAAGTATTCGAGTTCTTCCTCTTCTTCAACTTCTGATTCATCCTTTATCCCAATAAGATTTCTAGAAAAACACAAAGTATTTTTAACTGTTGACTTTCTTATCCTTCTCTGCCACAGCCACAATAAATCTAGAAGGGAGATTAGATGACTTAACAGTAGAAAGACATATTTCATTTCCAATTTATTGAAAAATTAGATTAACAGAATATTTGTCAACTTCATATCTTAAAAACAAATCACAAAAGTATTGAAGAACCTACTTTACTTCTTTGTTATGCAAATACACTTTACCTTCCAAATATAAATGAACTGTGGACATTATTCCCTTTAATGGTTAGTATACCATACTATTTGGGCCATTCACCCAATTAAATGTAGTGTAACCATGTCACATTCTTTACAGGTAGAAATTTGGCTACCATCTTATACTCACCGTGTATGACAGTAAACCTCAACTCGATCATGGTGAATTCTGATGATCAACCAAAAATCAGGCATCAGTGGACATTTTGGGTCCTGCTCATTCATTGTTGCACCTTCGCACTCTGAATCACTGCTGCCTCCATCATATCCTACAGATGGCCCAGAAAATTAAATCAAAGTCTAGTCAATTCAAACCTAACCAATCAGATCTAACCAATATCATGGTCTGCAATTGCTTATGAGTACAGTATCCCAAACTGATGAAAACCAAAAGAACTGCGGATGCTGTAAATCAGGGACAAAAACAGAAGTTGCTGGAAAAGCTCAGCAGGTTTGGCAGCATCTGTGAAGAAAAAAATCAGTGTTAACGTTTCGGGTCCGGTGACCCTTCCTCAGAACAGAATGGTCACCAGACCTGAAACGTTAACTTTGATTTTTTTCTTCACAGATGCTGCCAGACCGGTGGAGCTTTTCCAGTAACTTCTGTTTTTGTCCCAAACTGATGGTCTCCTCATTAGTAGCAAGTTATCAAAACTCAAATCTCTCAATCCAGAACTCAAGAGCAGCATTAATTCCAACTATCCTTATGAGCGACTCGGATGGTTATAGTGTGCTGAACCAGAGGAACTAAGGACATTATGTGGGGGGAGGGGGGGGAAAGTGAAAAGGAGAATCCTTCCTGGAAACCTCAGCCAATGCAGAAGTTGAACCCATGCTGTCAGCACCAAAATGGGTAACAAGCCAACTGAGCTAGCCAACCCTTTGTATATAAGAATTGATCCTCACCACATTATATTATGCAGTTAATACTTAGGTTTTCACTAAGGCAGCATAATATTGAGGATGAGCAACTCTTAAGATTTAATATGGAGGCAAGTCTGAAGCATAGGTGCTCCAAAAACCTTATACACTTCAGTATTAAATCAAGGCAGTGATGCTTTTTTGAAGAGCACAGAAATTACTTCAAGCTACCTTTCCTATAGTGGAAACAAATCTATGAATCAGGATGTAGTACAAGAATGCTTTGCTTTATTTGGTATTTTTCAATCAAAAACTACTTACTCCTATATTATAGCCAGCAGCTAGTTTGCATCCACCATCCACACCTGCTGCATTTAGAAGCATGCATCTTTGTTAATGGCCTACCAAGCTGTGCCTCTCTAGCTCATGAAAAATAGCAGACAATTAATGTTATGAAGAAGCAGCGTCCTTCCAGGTTTCATACTGCAAATCTCAGAAAGAACAGATGTAGCTTAAGAAAGATACATTTTGTCAAAGCTTTTCGTCTGAATGAGAGGAGAGTAATGATTAATTGGCAAGCTGACTGATAGGCAGAAGCATTGCCATGGAAACTTCATCAACCGATGACAGCTGACAACTAACAGCCAGGTTTTGTTTAGATGTTAAACCAAGCAAGTTAACTCTGACTGGTCAGTGCACTGCCCTAAGGTATGGAACCTGGCTAATAGTGAATAGCTATCATATATTCGGTTCAGTTGAAACAGGGACAGTGTGTGCACATGCTTTTCCTGCCTGCAAAGAATAGGGCTCTATGTAGTAATACAGGAAACCTCCAGCCTACCAACTACACCACAATGCAAGATTGACACTTAATGCTATATTGGTCATTTACATAATTCTTCACACATTCCGGACTATCCAACAAACATTGTCTAACTGCAGAATGACAATTTTTGTAAATGCTGGGTAAGTGTCTTTTTTTGACAATATTCAAGTTTTGTATAACTAAGCAACTATTTTATAACTGAAAGAACAATAAATCATTTTGAAATAATTAAAAATTGTTGCATTATGTATGATACATACTTCATTTCTCATTCTTTCTTAATGCTAATTCAAGAGGTAATTGTTCAAGAATATTATAGTATATACAATGGATAGAGTTTTATTAGAAAAGGAGAAAAATCTGTATGTGGTACTATTCATTCGATGTGATTAAATCAAATATTAGAATTTAATGCTGGGTACTTGACTAAAAATCAGAATAGATTACTTTAGACCAATGCTGAGGCTCCATTTGGAAAAGTGTGTTGGCTTCATCATCAGAAAGACATGAATGAAATGGAGAGAATGTAGAAAAAAAATAGTTAGGATGTGATTTATACTTTTAAATTAGAAGGACATTTGACAAAGATGAACAGAAATGTTTTCTCGGAGTATTGTTAAATGTGAAATTCTCTTCTTCAGAAGGTAGTGGAGGCTGGGTCGGCTGAGTTAGATAGGTTTTTGATAGACAAGAGAATCAAGGATTACAGGGGGCAGACAGGAAAGTGGATATGAGACCACCACCAGGTCAACCATGATCTTATTGAATTGTGGAGCAAGCTCTAAGGGCAGCATGGCCCATTCCTGTTTCTTGTTCTTGTGCTCCTACAATGAAAATACTGGATCCATAGCCAGTTACTCAGTATCACAGACAGCTACCTGTTTCAGGTACATTAAAGTCAAAACATTGACCTGCCTTTTCCATTTACAAATGCTCACAAACTCTATTATATTGTTTCAATTATCCAGTTATGGTCTTTTTATTTGAATTAGTTAATTGATTTTAAGGTCTTTTTTTGGCCTTCTCTCTCTACCGGTGTCTGCCTTCCACTAGGAAACTGCCCACAGCAAGATGAATGAGTTTGAGAATTCACTATACAAAAAAACAGTAGGCTTTGATCCATGTTTCCTCACTCCATGATGCAGCAATCGGACACTGACTGTCAGTCTCAAGCAAAATTTGGCCCTCAAAAGATTTAACAAAAAATACTTGGTTCAGACAACATTTACAAAAGATACATTTTTCTCCCAACTTAACTAAATGTTGTTTTGCTGTAGGTACAAAAACTTCATGTAAATTTCAGTGTTTTTCATTTTGAGTAATATGTTTTCAAACACTGATGAAATTAAAAATATTCTAAACATGCACGTCTTAGAAAACTCTGCTCCTTTTTTAAACAATCATCTTCTTCTTCCTTACCTGAAGGATTCCAAAGAAGAGTCATATCAGGCATAAATATTAACTGCTCCTCTCTCCAGAGATGCTGCTAGACCTGCTGAGTTTCTCTAGTACTTTGTTTTTATTTCTTTCTTTAGCTTGATGGCACGGCAGAAAGCTCAGCTTTTATTTTCAACTCCTGCCCAGATACATTTTCATCAGTATTTTCCAATGATTCCAACACTTTTTTTTTTCTGTTTATTCTGTATATATCACATTGCTTCATAGTTTCTTGACTGGCCTTAAAATCCCAAAAAAAAGGAATGAAATTGGACAGACAACCTGCCATCAACAAAGGGACAGGAATCAACCATGATGAGCACAGCCCTGTTGACCTTGCAAAGTCCTCCTTACTAACACCTAGGGACTAGAGCCAAAGCTGGGAGAGCTATCGTACAGACTAATCAAGTAATAGTTTGACAAACTCATTCTCAGGGAATCAAACCTTGCAATGTACCAGATAACAATAACACCATTCCTGTGTTTGGCCTGTCCCAGTGGCAGTACAGACTCAGCAAAGGTGGTGGCCCATGGTATACAGTCAGGAAGGAGTTCCCTAGGAGTCCTCGACATTGACTCCAAGAGATCTTATGGAATCAGGCCAAACATGGGCAAGGAAACCTCTAGCTGATTACCGCATACAGTGCCTCTCCTGGCTAATGAATTAGTACTTTTTGATGTTAAATGCTGCTTGGAGGAAGCACTGAGGGTGGCAAGGCTGTTGAATGTACTCTAGATGACGGTCTTCAATGTCCACCACGAAGAATGCTTGGCAGCACTGCTATTAATCGTGCCGGTCAGGTCCCAAAGGACGTGGTTGTTAAGAGTGGGTCTGCAGCAGGTAATGAAGGAACCAACAAGAGAGAAAAACATACTGATCTCACCAATCTGCCTGCATTTGCCCATATCAGTATTGTGGTAAGAGTGACCACTGCACAGTGCTTGTGGAGACAAAGTCACATCTCCGCATTAAGAATACTCCACATCATGTTATGGCACTATTACCAAATTAAGTCAGACAGACTTCAAACAGATGTAGCAATTCAAACAGGATTACTTGCATGCCAAACAACATAAGCGGCAAGTGACAGGTGAGTTAAGCAATTCTACAACAAATGGATCAAATATACATTCTATGGTCCCATCACATCCAATCATAAATGGCAATGGACAGTGAAACAATTCAAAGGAAGAGGAAGCTCCACAAATGTCTCTATCCTCACTCATGGGGAAGGTCAGCATCTCAGTATAAAATTTAAAGCCAAGGGCTTTGCAACCATCTTCAGCCAGAAATATCGAGTGGATGATCCATACCAACCTCCTTCATACGCCTCCAACATTACAGATGCTAGCCTTCAGACAATTGAATCTACATGATATGGAGAAATGGTTGGAAGCACTGGTTACTGAAAAAGCTAAGGGCCCTGTCAACATTCCAGTGATCAAACTGAAGGCTTGTGCTGTAGAATTTGCTGCACTCCTAGCCGAGCTATTCTAGTACAGCTACCACACTGGCTTTTACCCAACAATGCGGAAAATTGCCCAGGTAAGTTGTGTAAACAAACAGCAAGAAAAATCCAACCCAAACAATTGCCAATCCATCAGTCTACTTTCTAAAGTGATAGAAGGTGTCACTAACAGTGAAATCATGCAGTAGTTGCTTAGCAATGACCTGCTCACTGACGTTCAGTTCAGGGTCCGCCAGGGCCACTCAGATCCTGATTTCAATGTAGCGTCAGTTCAAATATAAACAAACAGCTGAAATCTGAAAATGAGGTGAGAGTGACTGCCCTTGACAACAGGATGCACTTGGCTGGTTTTGAGTTGAACGTTGAACTCGAATATTTCAAGTTCATTATGACTTGTAGGAAAGAACAGTTCTATTGTACGATAACTCTTTTTAGAGTATTAGACTATTAGAGTAATACAGCATGGAAACAGACCCTTCGGTCCAATTTGTCCACACCGACCAGCCATCCCAATCTGACCTAGTCCCACTTGCCAGCATTTGACCCATATCCCTCCAAATTCTTTCTATTCATGCACCCATCCAGATGCCTTTTAAAGGATGTTATTGTCCCTGTCTCCACCACTTACTCTGGCAGCTCGACCCATACACATACCACCTCTGCATGAAAAGTTTATCCTTCAGGTCCTTTTTAAATCTCTCTCTTACCTTAAACTTATGCTCTTTAGTTTTGGACTCCCCTAGCCCAGGAAAAAGACCTTGGCTATTCACCCTATCCATGTCCCTCATGATTTCATAAACCTCCATAAGGTCACCTCATGTTTCTCTCCCCACAGTTGCTGCCAGGCTTGCCGAGTTTCTCCAGAAATTTCTGTTTTTTTTTCAGATGAGGACCTGGTTTAATATCTGAATGATGGCATCGCCAACACTGTACCAACAGCACAGTGCATTCTCCATAATGCACAGGAGCATCAGCACTGATTTTAGGACTCAGCCTTTGGAGTGAAGCCTTGTAATTCAATGATGAGAAAATTCACAATTATGGCTACAGCTGCCACTCAGCTGAACTTTGTTTTGTGGCAAGTAACATAGCCCAGAAAATTTAGATCCCATGCAGCATTTTTTAGTGACAAGGTGAAATAAACTCAGTACAAAGTGTGAATGAATTGGAATGTGTTCAGATTTGTGCTTGTACGGCATTACAATAACTCAACTTCCCTTGTTCCAAGAGAATCCAACTGATCAGGAGTAAGAGCTGGACTTGTTTTGTGTACCTTAGAGATTAGTGACGCAGGGTGGCTTAGTCACCACTGCAATGATGTGTCACAAAATAAAGCTCGGAACTTGCTTTCCTCACCTCCCATTACGTGTCAAAGGTTTGGGTGTGTGACCATCTAGTGAGGACCAAAATGAAAGGAGAAAGCTATCAAGCCATTAAGAGAATGCCAAAAACTTGGTTGGTGCGTTTTTGAGTGGAATGCAACCAAAGATAACTGGAAAAAGTCAGCACATCAGGAGCAAGTGAAGGACGTAGTCAGACATCACAACATTTACTATTGGGCCGTTGATGGTCAATAATGGAGAAATGGCAAATTGCTGAATCATTCATTTTTGACCACTTAATCATGAAGAAACAAAGAACAATTTAAATGAGAGCACTACAGAAGAAAACTTTGAATACTAGAAATTCTTATTAAACAGGTTGCTAAACCCATCTGTGCGCTGCTCACTGGTGGTCATAAAACAAACAAATGCCAACATTTATAGCTGTTAACTTTTTAAGTTGTACGTTGCTTTGATAAGACCATATCTGGAGTACTGCATTTAATTTTGGGTTCCTTAATGTAGAAAAGAAATGATGGAGGCACTATTAGAGGGAATCCAAAGAGGCACTTTGAAGTTGATTCCTCAACTCAGATGATGGGTTGTGAGAAATGATCAACTACTCTGGTAGTTTATGTCCTTAAGAAGAGCATAAGGTGGACTTGATGTAGATCCTTAAATTATTTCAAAGCCATGGAGAAATTAGATCCAAGAAATCTCTGATTGGCACAGAATTCAATGACTGCAGACACAGCATAACGTTAAGAGTATCAACAAAAAAATATTGCAGTACGTTTTCAGTCGGAATACGATAGAAATCCAGCCATGTATCGAGTGGAATGAATAATGTTATGCCGGAGGCTATTGGCTTAGCCTTTAATATGAATTAATTTGCAAGATCGCAGTAGGTTTTGCAGGAGTTTGGCCTTAATGTTTAATGAATTGACTTCAAAAGCAACACTAGCATTTATTCAAAGATCCTCTCACTGAAGCAGCAGAACATGGTAGGTGCATTGCTTCTGAAATTTTTCTCATGCACTAAGGCAAAGCCAACTATGAGGTACTGAACATTAAATCTGGATGACTGAAAAGTGTCTTCAGTGCCAGGTCCAGTTGTTCTCAATGCTCAAAAAGCCAAAGTTCTAGGGAGGACAAAGAAAATTCTACAAAGACACTCCGAAGTTCTCCTTGGAGCATGGTGGCATTGACTTTAATGACCAAAATGAGCTTGCGACCAATCATTCAAAATGACAACTTATCCATGAAGCCTCATCATATTGAAAGCATGCACTCCAGATTCCACTTCCTCACAGGACACCTTGCCCCACGTGTCCATAGATCTATGGGTCAGGAATCAGCCCGTTCAATCACATGAAGACACATGGCAGAAAAGTGTAACCCTGAATAGATGTCATCCTTGATTAGACGGACAATCAACTACAATGATTTGCAGTGGAATTTGAGAAAGGAAGTCACTTAAAAAGGAACTAGTCATTAAAAAGTTAAGAAAACACAGTTATGCATGCACTACTTTTTCAGAAACAAAACAATAAAACATGTTTCCATTAGTCACAATGGGAAGAACTGAAACTTTTATACAGTTCAGATAGCATAGGTACATGGATAAAATCACCCCTTAGCCCTCAAAAATAATGCTTGTTCCTTTCTGTGGCAACTTAGGCATGCTTTCTAAAAGAGCTGGCAAGGGCACAGTGAGCTGAATGGTTTTGTTCTGCCCTGTAAAATTCAGTGAGTAGGTACTGTAGTGCAAAGATGAACCTGAATGAAGAAATCTACTTCCTGCCATCCTGTAAGTTGCAAACAAAGATACAAAATACAGTTATTTGTGTGTCCTGAGAATCTGCAATGGCAACATGATCCAATGGTGCTATAGCAAAGCACAGGCACTCTATTCACATTTATTAGCACATCATTTTCTGTACCTTTTCACTATTAGTTCCATACATATAACTTAATGAAACAAAGTATATAGTTTTAAAAATCAAAGTTACAGGAAAGATTTTCTCACCTAATAGATCAGAATCCAGACTGCCCTGACTGGAAACCACACTCTGTACTCGGCTTGGTCTCAGCTTGCAACAGCCTAAATGATACAGATATAAAAGAGAAGCTCAAGGATTAACCTCAGATGAAAAGTCAACAATAGTGTGAGAAAAGTGAAGAATGCAAGGGAGGATACACGTACAAGAAAGGGAGTGAATAGAAATGGAAAGCAATAAGATGCCCTGAACTGGTCAGGAATTTTGCAGTTGCTACAAGTGTTGCTCTGCTAGGCTTTGATTCTCTATGTGACCTAAAGGAAGTCCAAACAAAATGCCAGCTTTGCTATGGTTGATACTGCAACTAGCCATCTGTTCATGTTCAAGAACTCCCAGAACTCTCCCAACTTTGACGAGTATTAGTCAACTATCCAGCATAATTTTGGGATTTAGCGTTAGAAATTCATTTATACTGAAAATGATTATGATTATTAGGCTAGCACAGATGTTTAAGCTTGTGATTGGGCTACTTATATAATGTAACCAAGCTATCAATATGCAAAGATAGGATCTGCAAATCCCCATTTTAATTAGTAGTTTTTTTTGAACAATTAAGTGCTGCGAGCCTGAACTTCCAGACCTAAAATGACTCACAGATCTCCCAGAACCAAAATTAAATGGATAATAATTTTTATCAAATAAATAACATCCACTGCTTGTTTTGTTGAATCAAGTGCTCAAAGAACCTGTGAAAAATCAAAGAAAGAACAACATATTTAACATGTATTTTAGTGGGTTTCTACAAAATCACAGAATCCCTACAGTGCAGATAGGGACCATTCAACCTATCGAGTCTGCAGTGACTGCCTCCCCACCCCTCCCAAAGATCATCTCACCTAGACCCACCTTATTCCCATAACCCAACATTTGCCATGGCTAATCCACCTTGCCTGCACATCCCTGGGCACTGTGGGACAATTTAGAATGACCATTTACCTAAACTGCATATCGTTGGATGTCGGAGGAAAGTGGAGCACGTGGCAGAAACCCAGACAGACACGGGGAGAACGTGCAACTCCACACAGACAGTTGCCAAGGCTGGAATCAAACCCAGGTCCCTGGCACTGTCAGGCAGCAGTGCTAACACCAACTTCCTTGTGGGTAACCAAGCTGCCTGATAACTGAATCCAATATTCAAACATTCACTGCACTTTGTCACAAACTAAGCCTTTCCTTCCAGTTCAATTCCTTTTATGTTCGTCTCATGGACTAAGATTAGGTTTCTACCCGCAATCACCTATTTTGGAACCTAACAGACTAACATTCTGACCTCCAAGTCATTATATGAATTAAATTTTTAAAAAATGACACACCTGTACTGCCAGGTATATTGGACTGCACAGATTCAGCGAGACTCACAGCAGAAGAGGCCTGCGATGGGGGATTTGCCACTGGTGCTCTCTCAGGTCCTGGACTTGACTGCTGGAGAGGTGTACTAGTGAGAGATCGGTCAGGCTTGATTACTGTAAATACTTGATCCTGTTGATCAGACTGGCTGATAGAGAGGCAGCTTTTCTCTTCCATGCTCTCTTCAACAAATTCAGTTGAAGCAAGATATGCTCCATTAGTCACAGCAGATATCACCATTCTCTCAGATGTTGGTTTGTTTTCATCTTGCGAAATCTTCAAAATACAGACCACAGCAAGGCATAAATAACAACTGATTCAACTTATACCATTCATATTCCAAGAAAAGAACTAATGAAAATGACAGGAAAAGACAAACAGATCATTCAAACTTGTTCCTGAACTTTATGGTGTTATTAGAAGGAACACAATCCCCAGAACACTCCCAGCTTTCATCAACTGTGTAACATTCAAGGAGAGGTCAATCTAGGGGGAAGAAAAATCTATAAAATTCTTCTGACCCTCAAAGTCAATTAAAGTAAGCTCCAAAACACTAGCTACTTCATCATCAAATAGCCTTCTTTCCTCCTTAATGCAGTGTTAACAGCCACAGCCAGATTGCCAACAGTGAATACATCTTTATTGTATCGACCAGTAGTCTGTTCCAAATGTCAATGATTCCCTCCAGATACAAACTTCTAAAATCCAGCCTTGGTTTCTTCTTACATAAAACAACAAATATGTCCATTACTTCCTCCCTTTTAACCAATCCAAAACATGTTACAGCAGGGATCAATTCCTGATCAACTAAACCGAAAACACTTTTAGCACTCAATCTTTTAACCAACTAAATCCTTAATCGTAAACAGTGAAGAAAGGATACTTCCAGCTGGATGAAAAGCATTTACCTGCGATTTTTCTTCATTTTTCTCTCCCTCAGTTAATGTTGATGTTGTTGTCACTTCCATTTGTTCACTCCAATTCTCCTGCCGTTGATGGCAAATCAGAGCTACTTCTGCATCTGCACTCTCATCACATGCCACTGCCACACACTCACTTGCCAGGCTGTGCTGTGTTAGTTCTGTGGAACATTTCTGCACTGCCTCTATTCTTTGTGCATGCAAGCGACTCACAGACAGATAGTAGAAGTTGTTTGCCTCCTCATTGAGGAGGTATCCTGGAAGATTCATGCGTTTAAATTCCTTAAGATGAAAGCATGAAAAAAATATTAAAATTATAATCATAGGAACGATAATTGATCAGCTCCTGTCGGTCTCCATGTCATTTCTGAACTGTTGATTACAAGACTGCAGATGCTGCAATTCAATTATGCTGGTACAACAATAAACATGTTTGTTTTGATTAGATAAGATAGAAGGATGCTCCCAATCATTAACACTGACAGCATGTATGTGAAGGTGGTAGAAATCAAGAATTGCTTGCTGGACAGAGATGAAAGAGGACTTTGCTCACGTGTGATATTTCAAGAGTCATTCTGAAGTAAACAAGTTGTAGTTACATAATAATCAATCTCATTTACTTCATATCAGGACCTTTGTTTAGTTCTTGCCTAGCCTAACACCTATGTAATCTCAAAACATGTAATTAGTGCTTTAGTGGTTCCCTTCCTTACCCCTTCCCACCTTTTCACATAACCCCAGCCAGCCCCCTTCTCCAGCCAGTTTGTATGGGGACCTTAATTTAGAAATAATAATTACACTTTTCCATTGTTTTCTTTTTGCCATAACAGCTCTTTATGAATTCTGTATTAAAAAGATCATGTGACTCTGCCTGTCACACATGAAGTTTCTCGTACCTCTTTAAATTTCTCCAGTGACTCCTCCGGACCAAAAACAAACTTTAAAGGAACCACTTTGCTGTGGCATCGTGGTCTCTCCTTTGAACTGTACACATGATCGGCAACTTTCTGTAGGGTAGCTAAAGTAATATTTGTTGAATGGCGCAAGGCTGAAACAATCTCATCTTCCAGTAGCCAATGGATCTAAACAGGTAGTGTACCAGAACAGGTTAGAAAACAACAGATACCTGTGTAAATTGCATAATATAATCTTTACAAGGCTTTTATTCTACCGTATTCTTAAAAGTTGAATTAAAAACAAAGTAGAGGTTAATCATTCATAGACTATTTTAAGTGATGCAAAACTTGCATATGCATCAGAGCAGTGCAGGCCCTGATCGGATAATGGAAACTGACCACTAATTGCAACATGCATTATTTCAAATTATCACCTGCCCAAATCCAAGCCTACTCAAAAGCTGCAGAACATAATGTATTATTTACTTTCTAGCAGCTTCTATGAGACAATGTTGCATGGATGCAGGAACAGAGCATTTGGAAAATTATATATCGAGGCAGAATCAACATTGCTTTATTAAAAGTAAATTGAATCAGAGATAGTAGGAACTGCAGATGCTGGAGAATCCGAGACAACAAGGGAGAGAGGGGGAGGCGGATAGAGGAGAGGATAGGTGGAGAGGAAACAAACAGGTCGAAGAGGCGGGGATGGAGCCAGTAAAGGTGAGTGTAGGTGGGGAGTTAGGAAGGGGATAGGTCGGTTCGCAATAAACAACTGCACCTCCCAGTCGCGAACCATTTCAACTCCCCCTCCCATTCCTCAGACGACATGTCCATCCTGGGCCTCCTGCAGTGCCACAACGATGCCACCCAAAGGTTGCAGGAACAGCAACTCATATTCCGCTTGGGAACCCTGCAGCCCAATGGTATCAATGTGGATTTCACAAGTTTCAAAATCTCCCCTCCCCCTACCGCATCCCAAAAACCAGTCCAGCTCGTCCCTGCCTCCCTAACCTGTTCTTCCTCCCACCTATCCCCTCCTCCCACCTCAAGCCGCACCTCCATCTCCTACCGACCAACCTCATCCCGCCCCCTTGACCTGTCCATCCTCCCTGGACTGACCTATCCCCTTCCTAACTCCCCACCTACACTCACCTTTACTGGCTCCATCCCCGCCTCTTCGACCTGTTTGTTTCCTCTCCACCTGTCCTCTCGTCTATCCATCTTCTATCCGCCTCCCACTCTCTCCCTATTTATTTCAGAACCCCCTTCCCCTCCCCCTTTTCTGATGAAGGGTCTAGGCCCGAAACGTCAGCCTCTCTGCTCCTATGATGCTGCTTGGCCTGCTGTGTTCATCCAGCCCTGCACCTTGTTGTCTCTTTATTAAAAGTAGTCATGTTTGCCAATTCTGTTGGAGTTCTTTGAGGCTGTAGAGACCAGGAGGAATAAGGGGGGTATTTACAAATTATATCAACGACTTAGATGAAGGACTGTGAGTAATAAATCCAAATTTACAGATGGCACAAAGCTAGGTGGGAAAGTAAATGATAGAGAGGTCAAACAGGTTACAAAAGGATGAGCGAGTGGACAAGGTCGCAGGTGGGTTAAATTGAGGGACAGCGCAAGATAATCCCTTTAGGAGGATCAATAGGAAAGCAGACTTTTTTTAAACAAATAGATAACAGGCTAGTAAGTCCTGGTACTGAGCTGGGATTGGGCATATTTGTGAACTCCATATGCGTGGGCACAAAACAGCTCCAAACAATGATCCTTATGGCACTCCAGTGATTGTGCCTTGTCATCCTGAAAATAACTTATTTATTCTTTCTTTCTCAGACAAATTTTGAGTCCCAAAGATGTCTAACAGTCTCTTGTGTGGTAACTTAATAAATACTTTCAGAAAATCAAGGTACATTATGTTCTCAGGTGCCCCCCTATCCCTCTGGTCTCCACAACCTCAAAAAAACTCCAACAGAATTAGCCAACATGACTGCTTTTATAAAAGCCATGTTGATTCTGCCTCTACATATAATTTTCCAACTACCCAATGTCTATGAGGAATATTTATTGGGATATTTTTCTATGCTAAAGGTGCACTATAAATACATTTTTTTGTTAAATATGCATAACTGAGAGACTAATAAGTGAGAATGTTACCTGAAAACATAAGCATGAAACATAAAAAATTATGATCTCTCTTTTGTCCTCAGTAAGGACTTTCATTTTTTTTAATCCTTATTGACCGTAAGAATGGTGGGAAACAGAGAAAATCCTGCATCTGGATAGGTACCATACAGTAGAAATAAAAGCTAGTTAGAGAACTGCTGAATCCTCTGGAATGTGTTAAAAAATGGAGCTTCACCCAGTATTGTAAGAACTATGGCTTCCACGCAACAATGATACAAGGGGAATTAATGGAATCGGTGAAGCTTGCTAAAACATTCAACAGGCTGTTTAACAATTCAATAGTTACTAGTTCTTGACAGTACCTCATCCATTGTAGCAAGAACAGCTTGCTTGTGCAACATGGGCAACTTAGACAGTGGATCACACAAAGCTTCAGTAATCCTGAAAGAACATAACACAAAGCTCAAGAATGAGGAGACATTATGATGCTTCTCTCAAATTTGGCAACAGTAAAAATGTAAAATACTATCCACTGTATTTAAGACAGACATCAGTTAAAACACATATCCTGAAAACACTAAGAAGCAGATTTCCTGCACCTGGGTTATTCTCAAAGTGAATGCAAGAAAATCTGTTAGGAAGGAGCACAAGCCTGTCAGAAAAATTGCCCAATTCTGCTGTGTTAATTTAATAGAAGGAAGATTAACTGATAGGCAGCCCACTCTGCTCAATTTTCCTGGAATCACAGTGCCTAGGTGCAAGAACAGAGAGCTACATACTCCAATATCCCTTGTCCCAGTCACATAGCCTTTGAAATATCAGATCAATTTCAAGTTAATAAAGATTAGTACAGCTGGTAGTTTGGTAGTTTTCTCTGGTGCCTGGGGATGAGGTCCCAGTGCAATAAAGCAAGGTTCACTGCATGAGTTAGCTTTGGCTATTGGCCTAAATTGTTCATATAAATTTGTCTATTGCATGGATAGGATAGGTTCTTCAACCAATTCCAAAGAAGGTGGATACAAAAGGACATTTTTTAAAACTGCTACCTCAAAAGAATTACATGATCTTCTCCAAATAACTGGTTGTTTTTTTTCTCTCTGTCAGAAATAACTCCCCATATATTAGGGGTTTTTTCCCCCCAAAAAAATGTAACAGCATAATGATAAGCTATTTGAACTGGACTGGAAATACGATGTAAAGACATTTGCAGCAAAAGAGCAATCCATAGGCAAAGCAGTGATGTAGAGTGCTTAAATATAGAGATTAATCCTTGTAAGCAGCCTACAAAGGTTTTTTTTCCCTCCAATTGAGTGAGTGAAAGAAAGAACTTGTGTTTATACCATGCTCTTCACAATTGCAGGGTCTCCCAAAGCACAGCTGATGAAGTATTTTGAAGTGTTGGCATGGTCTCACAAACAGTGAGATTCAGGGGTAAGCCGGCAATACAGTACAAGTACAGCACTATAATACTATAGCCATTAGCAACTGGGAATCCTTCAAGAGTTAAAAAAAAATCAGGTGCAGGAACAACGAGCTACATTTTTAAGAAAAGTAAGGAGAAAGGAATGTCAAGGCAGCAAAGGAAAATCAGCAATTAGATGTCAGAGCTGAAAGCAATTGTGCTGGTGGGGCACAAGAAATGGTGCAAAACAACTGGAAATGGAAATACAAATAATAGCCAGGACTCTAGAATATTTAACAAAGGATAGACCGGATGAAAAGGGCGGCAATGTCAGCCGGTGTTTCAAGGACACTTTCAATCTGAAAGACGTTCTTGTGGAAGGTAGCAAGCTACAAAATGAAACTCCAGCTACAGTTCTCGAATACAAAAAATATCCAAGCTAACATGAGGATCTGTTTCAAATCCATATGCAGAATACCAGTATAATATGAATTTGAATTCAACTTTAAAAATCAGGAGTTAAACTCTGGTCTACTGGCATATAGCCATTGTCAACAGTCATAAATAAACATCTTTGCTAATATCCTTCAGGGAAAGCAATTTGCCATTTTTACCTGCTCCAGCCCACGTGTGACAACAGACACACAGGTCAAGATGGTGGGAGAGTGGGACACTTCACCCGGAGCTCCTCCACTCCTTCTGTTTATTTCCTGTTTACTTCCCTTTCTCTTCCCCCTTTTTGGTGCTTTCCCCTGACGTAGAGCAGGCTGGAAGCATGGAGTGGAGCAGCTGGAGGCCTGAGCGAAGCAGGGATGGCAAGCAGGGTGGAGGCCCGAGTGGAGCAGGGTTGGTTGCTGGACTGGGGACTGGTCAGTGGTTAGCACCGCTGCCTCACAGTGCCAGGGACCCGGGTTCAATTCCAGTCTCAGACGACTGTCTGTGTGAAGTTTGCACATTCTCCCAGTGTCTGCTTAGGTTTACACCAGGTGCTCCGGTTTCCTCCCACAGTCCAAAGATGTGCAGGGTAAGTAGATCGGCTAAATTGCCCATAGCGTTCAGAGATGTGCAGGCTATGTGGGTTAGCCACGGTAAATGCAGGGTTACAGGGATAGGGTAGGGGAATGGGTCTGGCCAGGATGTTCTTCAGAAGGTTGATATAGTCCCATTGGGCCGAATGGCCTGTTTCCACACTGTAGGGATTCTATGATAGCCTGGGCCATCAGCAGGTTGCAAGCTCAGTCAGAACACATGCAGAAGCCCCCTGCGCTGACCTGTAGGCTGTATCGTTGATCTTTTTAATTTATCATTTTTCTAACTTGTAGAATGATTTACCATAAGGTAATGCAACATTTTTTCCTTCTTTTTCCTTTATTTTTGTATTTTGTATCTAAGATCTATACCTAGCTACTTTGTATCCAAGATGGTGCCATGTGGGGTGACACTGTAAACTTTTCACCGTACTTGCATACTTATGTACATGTGACAATAAAGGATATTCTAAATTCTAATGTGGTTAGCTCTTAATTGCCCCCTAAAATGGCACTAGCAAGCAACTGAGTTCAAGGGAAATTAGGGACGGGCAATTGTTGCTGGCAGGGCCAGCAACAGTCTCATTCTACGTAGGAATGAAAATGAAAAATGCTGAAAACATTCAATGAACTCCTCATCTAGGCTATCTTTATCCTTCTGACTTTACCAGTCAATATGTAGATTAGAATCTTCCACAATTGTCAGCATACCTTTCTGACAAGCTCTCAGTATTTCTTCCTTAATGCTCCCCCCTACCACATGGTTACTGTTAGAAGGCCTGTACACCATTCTCCATAAGTGATTGCTTCACTTTATCATTTCTCACTTCTACCCGAACTGTTGGATACAATTCAAAACAAAACTCTTTCCCAACCTTAGGTCATCTCTATTTATTGTGCTAATCCCATCATTAACCAATGCATCCACAACTCCCACTTTTCCTCATTTTCTGTCATTCTTAAATGTCCTGCAGCCTTCAAGATTCAGTTCCCAATCCAAGTTATCCTGCATCCATATTTCTACCAAATCGTTCTTATTAACTTTTATTTGTGCTCATAGCACCTATATTTTGCATGAATGCGACATGTTTTTGAAAACTGAGCGTTTAGTTTCATCCTTTCACTCTTTTTGTAAGTTCTAGTCTTATCTGTAGGTGGACTCCTAGATTTGTACTCTCTACCCTTTCTTGTCAGAGTGTGCTTATTAATTACCATATTAATACCTTTAACTCTACTTTGATATACTGCATTTTCCCAAATTTGTCCCTACTGTTTATATTAAAATCCACTCTACCTCCCCAGTTTTACAGTTGGCAGGAACCCAGCCATGCACAATTCAGGTGGAGATTATCCCACTGATACAGATCCCACATTTCTCAGTATTTGTGCCTGTACCCCACAAACCAGAACCACAAACTCTCACATCAATCTTTGAGCCACTGAAGCAGATTCAAATGGTGATCAGGTAGCAGTGACAGACCTACTAAAGGCTTAATAGCTGAGGATAAGAATATTAATAAAATAATCATTTCACAGGTACAACAGCAACAAAGCAATTAATAAAGGTTCATGAACAGTAAATAATTTAAATAGTCTTGAAATATTCATGAGGGAAGACATTGGCTACATGCCCTCTTTAAACAAAGACAATTAATATATTACTTCTTGGTAACTAAGACTGAAGTTTGTGACATGCTCAAAGCAAATATATTGCCAAGGATAAATGATAAATAAAAAGTAAAATACAGTTCATGCTAGAAATCTGGAAAAACAAAAATCAGGAATGTCTGAAAATACTCAGGGAAGCCAGGCAGTACCTTTTAAAAAGATATAGTTGATGTTTCAGATAACTTTTCATCAGAGATGGGGGAGTCCAAAACTAGAGGACAAGGCTTAAGGTGAGAGGAGAAAGATTTAAAAGGGACTTGAGGGGCAACTTTTTCATGCAGAGGGTGGTGCATGTGTGGAATGAGCTGCCACAGGAAGTGGTGGAGGCTGGTACAATTACAACATTTAAAAGGCATCTGGATCGGTATATGAATAAGAAGGATTTGAGGTATATGGGCAAATGCTTGAAAATGGGACCAGATTTATTTAGGATATCTGGTTGGCATGGACGAGTTGGACCAAAGGGTCTGTTTCTGTACTGTACATCTCTATGACTGGAATAAGGTAGATGTGTGGTAGGTTTAAATAAAGTACAGAAGCAGGGAAAGGGGATAATGGTAGGATGGAAGAAGAGAAAAGGAAGATCTACAATAAGATACAACAGTCCTTTCTTTTTGATCTCCACTGCCTCTACTCTTCTGCCCATAAACTTGCTTAAATATGCTACATTTCTAACTTATTGTAATTCTGGTAAAAGGTCATCAATACAAGTATTTCTATGGATTTTCATGAAGTCAAAATGAGCCAGGAGACCTTTCAAGTGGGAGTGTATACGGGTGTGAGGAGTGAACACTCGAGAGTTTAAAAGCCTTTAATAAATCTGGGCTGAAGTTCCAGAGAACATCTTAGAAGCATCCTGAGGACACTCTAACACCTAAATAATCAGATGTGAACTGCCTCCAGAAGCAGTGGACCTGACTCTACCTCCTGCACCCAGAGCAAGAATATGATGGGAGGCCTTTTTGGTTCACCTGTCTCCTTTAATTAAGAGGTTTCTCAACATCTCCATGAAAATCTGGCAAAATAATTCTGCTTCTGTCTTCACAGATGCAGCCAAACCTGCTGAGTATTTCAAAGATAAATAGCATTTATCTCAGGTCAGAAAGACAAAGATAATTGAGAGGCACTGACAATCATTATGAGGGAATCAACAAACACTGCGGACTGCAGCAGATTAAAACCAGTACACGTTGGTGCTGATAGTCAGTAAAGCTGACGTAAAACAGACAATGGCAACTGCAGATCCATTAGGTTTACTTTCATTCCAAGTAAAATAAAGCAATAAAGTGTAAATTTGAGGATAATCTGTGCAACAATAATCTAGTTGGTAGCAGTTAGCATGGACTCAGAAGCAGAAAATCCCACCTGACTAAACTGCTTGGCTTCTTAAAGGGATTAACAGCCCAAAATGGACTATGATAAGCCATAACAATTACACTTTGATTTCCAAAAAGGCTTTTGATAAAATTGCACACAAAAAGCTACTAACTAAATTAGAAATCTGAGGACTGGGGGTAAAGACAGAGTAAATGACAATGATAAATAGTGTTGAGGTTCTACTGCCATTCTTTGTGGGTCGCTCGCATTATGTCCAATTGTTAAATTAATTACTTCCAAATGATCATTTTCCTAAGAGTCCAGCTCCAGAACTGCCAAAAAACTTGAAATTCTAAGCTAAGCACAGGTCCAGGATTTCCACAGCACAAACTACTATAAATCAGTTACAGATTGCTGAAAGAAATCATTTTTGATTAGAATATTATATTAGCAAGTAACTTTCACAAATGACAGCAGAGCTTCATACAGTGGGCTTAATATTTTATTCTGGAACATACTGCTGATATTTTACATTTTTTCATATTGGAAATAGCATGCTGCTCATGCAGATAATTTCAAATTGAAATAGATTATGCAAATTCTGACAATATACTGAAGAACAATCTCACCAGGATGCATTATTTTAAAATTAGTTCTCAGCAGACCATACCTCTCGTCTGTGGTAGAAACAAGTCGATCCATGTTTTGCATTATCTCATCATCAGATCGATATGATGATGGTTGGCCTGGTGATCGGTTCATAGAGCTGCTGCTTTCAGATGTGTACCTAGGGACGGTGAGAAATTTGTAAAGAGTTAGACACAAAAATCCTAAACAAATTAATTTGCAATAGCACAGCTGTCCTTGGAAAAAGTATCACAAAGTCAATGTAGCCTGAAATTGAGTATTACACATAAACATCTGCTCATGTCTCAGACAACTCTATAACTCAAGTACAGCATGGCCAGGCAAATGGACTTCTATTTATTTCTACACAGCTACATACATAATCTAAATGACAATACTGCTAGAATCTGCAGAAGCACTGAATAAAATATGTCCACATGCAGCAAGACCTGGACAGTATCCAGGCTCTGCACCACACAAATGCCAAGCAATAACCATATCCAAAAAAGAGAGAACAATGATTTTCTCTTGACATTCAATGGCATGACCTTTGCTGAATCCCCCACTATCAACATCCACAGTCTGTCATTGACCAGAAAGTGAATTTGACCAGTCATATAAATAAAACGGCCTTTAAGAACATGTTTAGGGGCTGGAAATTCTATGGCAAGTAACAAAGGCATCTCTTGAACAAGATGGGGGAGGTGGTGGCCTAATGGTATTATCGCTGGACTGTTAATGCAGAGACCCAGATAATGTTCTGGGGACCTGGGTTCAAATCCCACCATGGCATATGGTGGAAAGGGGAAAAAAAGAACAAGAGGTGCATTTGAAAGTGCAGAAAGCAAAGCAAGTTGGAATTAAGTCTAGGTAGTCACATGAAGAAGTGTTCTAGGGAAGTTCTGATGGGCCGGAACCCTGTATTTGTGTTGTAAAATTTGATTCGTTTTTACTAAAAGCACATGGAATACTTGTTGGATTGTTTTCCAGAAGTGTGCCCAATGCTTTACTCCAAAAGTCATGTCTTAAACTCTATGAAAGTATCACTCCTGGTTAGCAGTGGCACTCTCCACTCAGAGTCAGAGGCTTCTAGAGACTTGAGCACATTATTATAGATTAACTTTCTGGATGAAATGTTAAATTAAGATCCTGTCTACTCCCTGAGATGTAGAACTTATTCATGTTGCTATGCACTCTGCAGCTGAGACTTACAAAACAGATATTATACTCTTGACTTACCTGTGGTGGTTTACATGGGTGGGCATAATCTCAATTTCTAATGGAAGAGTCAGCACAAAAATGTCCAGGGTGACAATTAAGTCATTTAGATCAATCGATTTGACTGGAAAGTTCTCCGGGCAGCTGATAATTTCACCTGAATGAAGACAATTCAACATTTAAGGAAGAATGTCCTATGGTAGAACCAATCACCAGTGAAATGAGAAACTGATGGTCCAGTTAGAGCAACAGTTTTGCAACGTTCCAAATCCAAGCAGCTGGTTCTCTCTCAGTTAACGATTTACTGGACCCAAAGTACTTCATACTCGTCTGATCCCCCAGCAAGTCACAGTCAGAAACTTTAACTGATCCTGTGCTCTATCAAACTGATAAAGTGCACATGCTGGTCATTCAATACAGTTCAGTGATGTGCACAGGTTAACACTTGAAAAGCACACTACAGCATTAGACACCACAAATGTGTAACAACTTAATGACACGACCCAAGGTTGCATCTAAATCTCTCATCATTAATGCTTTATCATCACAGGGAGACATCAAGCTGACAAAAGAGCAGAGGCAAGGGAACAGCCAAGTGTTTCCGATGCATAGTTGCGCATACAAGCCTATCAGCAGCAGTGCAGCCCACCTTTCCAATTCACAAATGGAAAACACCACTGGGAATGCAGAAAAGTTAACAAATGAACTACAAGAAAATATTATTATTATCCAAGCTAATCTTTAAAAATTAAGCTCTTCACTTACCAAGGCAAGTAGGCAATGACTCTACTGGTATGGATTCTACCGAGAATGGTCCATGGCACTTCTTCCCACCAATTGAGCAAGTGAGATGAACAAATAATGGTGGCATTTCCTGATCTGAAATGTCTTGTTCATTTAAAGAATCACCACCAAGAACACTGAATGAATCATCATCCCTGTTCACAGTGTTTGTATCTGAAAGTGATTCTGCATCCTGTAATTCTTTGTCAGATCTTTCTCGATATTCCACTTCCAGATCGGGATCACTCTCGGTCACTACACCACAACCCGATATATTGCCTATTCGATTTTAGAAAGCAAAATCACAACAATGCAACATACTCATATCAATTTATCTCACAAAAACCTCAAAAGTTCAACACATTAAATACCAGCTGACAGCTCTGAAATGAAATGGTCATTACTAGATTCAAACCTGAAATTCTGATAAATAATTTCAGGAATCAGACCTGAAAGAATACTATTTCTGAAGAAGTGGTACATATGTTAGAGCACTATCATTTCATCTCAAAGTGGACATGCATTCTGAATAGACCATTCTAATGACCATCAACGTTCTTTAGTGATTTTGAGTATCCCAAACTGAATTCTGAGAAATTATAATGTAATTCCCAATGAATCCAGCTCTTGAATCTACCCAAGTTGGAAGCGTTGCCTTGTCAATTCACAAGGATGGTCAATACGGAAACAGAAAACATTGTATGAGTTTTTTGTTTAGTTATGATATGGGACAAAGGTTTCAGAGTTTGAAATTAAGACAATTTACTTAGATCATAGAATCCCTACAGTGTGGAAACATGCCCTTCGGCCTAACAAGTCCACACCGACACTCAGAACATCCCACCCAGACCCATTCCCCTACAATCCATCTAATCTACACATCCCTGAACACTATGGGCAATTTAACATGGCCAATCCATGTAGCCTGCACATCTTTGGACTGTGGGAAGAAACCGGAGCACCCGGAGGAAAACCACACAGACACGGGAGAATGTGCAAACTCCACACAGACAGTCGCCTGAGGCTGGACTCAAACCCAGGTCCCTGGTGCTGTGAGGCAGCAGTGCTAACCACTGAGCCACCGTGCTGCCCCTTTTTTTCAGAGATGTTTACTTGCAGAGTTTCAGAATTTTATTTTGCGTTCAACTCTCATCTAACCTGGTAGATGCAGATAATGAGTGCAATATTTAGAATAAAGTACATTCTTCAAGACAACTCATTAATTACTAATTCAAAATCAAACCATCATTTATGTCGGTGAACGTAACTGGCAATTAAATCACACCATATCGCGAAATCCCCAAACACCTTACCCTCCTCCCCTGCAATCTCCAACTCAGAAAGATCATTTTCTTCACTCTGTTTTCGGTCCCTTTCATCTTGATAAGTTTCTTCCTATACATTTCAGGACAAAGCACATTTGAGAAAATCTTCTTTAGAGCAGCATCAGTTCTTTTCGTTAATTCTGGTAGGCATCATTAGGTTCAAATTTTTAAAAGAATGGCATATGGCTTTAAAGGGTGGTATGGGCCTTCTGACTGGGGATACATGTGTTCTGCTTTGGTCATGCTCACACAATTATACTATTGGGTTGATGAAAAGTCAACGTTTTTTTAAATATGGGAAATGGACAATCTGCTTTCAAAACAAGTCAGGTGACATCCCTTCTTGTCTGCCAATACACATGCAAGCGCACAAGGTGGGAAGCTAGCCTGAAACAGGACATTAAAATGCAAATGACCGATTGGGACATTCATTGAGAAGACATTTAAATGTAACAGATCTTTCTGTTGGATTCACCAGCTCCTCTCATGCAAATACCTAAAAGAAAAGGGACACAATGTTCAACTATACAGACTTCTTGGCTACAGCGTGGAATTTCACAGAATGGTGGTGAGGAGAAACTCTCACAAGGAGATGCTACGTTTGAAATGTGAAACATTATTGTGTGTCAGTGCTTAAAATCACTAGGAACTGATTGTGGGGACAATGGAGAAACAAACACTAGGGTCTCTAGACAAAATCAAGTTTGTGATAGGGAATTTTGATTAACAGACATGTTAGAGCAGCCTCAGTCTGAGAAATAAGGGAACTTAGAGGGAACAAATCCAGCCCAGCAAAGAAACAACCCCAAATAAAATCATGTCACAGGGAGAGAATTAGGGCTAGCCTTTTACCTACTGAAAAGCTTAGCCAGAACTTTGCTCCAGGCTCTCTGCTGCACATAGACTATTGCAAAGCTGCTGCAAGAAGTAAGCCACGGTGCACCTGTCATGAGAAATTTCTTATGTGAACTAAAAGCGAACCACCAGGACTGCAACATTTCAAGCTTCCATTTCAGGGATCAAGTATAACAATGAATTTATGGATCTTTTAAGAATACTAAGCTCATGTTGCCTCTTTCGTTATCACCATTTCTTGCGTCTATCCATGCCTGTATGCATGAGTGAGTGGGTGCCGTTGCAAATACATTTCGGTGTTGGAAAACAAATATTTATTCTTCCTTTTTTAAAAAATCTACGACAAATCATGTATTTTGCCATTCTCACATTTACTGCACTCAAAGGGTTAAAACCTTCATCTATCTGTGGTCAGTCATGAGTTGGAAACAGGTGGAATCCATCCTACCATCTTTGCCCTGTATGTAACACATCCAAAATAAATGCAGTCCGCACTCCATTTCTGCCACAACTTTAGCCATTTTTGGAATCTTGATGAACTATTGAACTAAACTGGAAATTCTACCCCAGCAACCCACTGCTGTAGGAGGACAATGACAATCAGTGACTTGACATTTAAAAAAAAACTGTTTTGAGCTGCTGAAGGGGCACGTTTCGCTGTTTGCCAAAGCACATTTGCCAAAGCTTGTCACAATCACTCCCCTACAGTTCCCATCTGACTAGAAACACTATGCTATAATTGGCAGCCCATATTCAGCTTTCAATGTAACCTATGCTCCCCTGGCTCACATGCTATTTCATACAACCGGATCCATCCTGCTGAAAAGGAAATGGCTTGGGAGTTGGGTAAATAATGAGTACATTCCCATTTTTATCTGCAGCCATACATGCTGGAAAACTGACAGGATACATCAGAAAGCAAAAATCATTATGTACAATAATATACATAAATAAGTTGCCTTCATAGCACATCTCTTTTTAAAAAAATATATAACTAGCAAGTCTGACAAATATTGGAGAAAGTTGCTATAAGATAGTTTAAAAAGAAATTTAATATCTGGAAAAGACAAAAATGTTGGAAATTGTATCCACCAGGAATCTTTGGTTAGGCTATCACTGCCAACTTCTTTTGAAATTTCTCTCTAAATCTCCGTGCCTTGTTATTTCTGCCCCTGCTCTTTAAAGTGTTGATAAAAATCTTATTTTTGGTCCCTTCTAGCTCCCAATATTGTTTGGTGCTATTTGTGCTTGGGGTTTTATAATATTAAAGTTGCTATACAAATTCTCCAATATAGTTGTGGAGCAGATGATGACAAGATACTTGACGCAAGATTCTGAGAATTCCTAAAAATATCAAGAATACGGAACAATGCTTACAAATGGTACTTCACCCTCCTTATCCCATGAGCAATTTAACATTACAGTTGTCTAGTTGTGTTCTGCACTACACAAACAACTTTTGCAATTATTAAAACAAGCAACAGAAGGAATTTAATGCAGTTTAGGTCTGTGCTGACTCCTCCAATGGTATTTATTTTAAATAACATGAAAGCCATTTAGCAATTCAAGGAGAAAGTGAAAAGCACACTTGAGCACAATCTCTGTACAACAAAACCAAAAAAATGCGGATGCTAGAAATCAAAAACAAAAAAAGAAATTGCTGGGAAACCTCAGTCGCATTTGTGGAGAGAAAGCAGAGTTAACGTTTTGGGTCGAGTGACCCTTCTTCAGGGCTGATTGTAGCTAGGAAAAGGTTAGTACATATGCTGAAGATGGGCTGGGGTGGGGCAGTAAACAACAGGTGAAGATGAAGCCCACAGAGAGTGAACAGTTGGGCACACAATGGAATGGGTAAAGGTCTCCTGGAACAGTCAACAGCTGATCATTGGGACCATTAGTAGCTGACAGTGGGATGGTTGTGATAACAACTCATGTGATGACAAAGCCTGGTGTGTGGGGTTGGGGTAAGCACATGGGAGAAAGTGCTCAGGTTCTAGAATTATTGAACTTGTTATTGAGTCCCAAAGGCTGCAGAGTCCACAAATGGAAAATGAGATGCTGTTCTTCTAACCTGCGCTGAGCATTGCTGTAGCACTGCAAGCAAGCCTGAGTCAGAGATGTTAGCCAGGGAACAGAGTGTACATAATCCCTCCAGGCTTATTGCAGAGTGCAGGTCCTGGTGGGAGGTGGTTATGAGATTAATTTTGTTTCTTATACTTCTTCACTATCACATAATCTGTGCTTGAAAATTCATGTACTGTTGTCACTTAAGAACAGATTTGCACGGTCATAAAAACAATCAGGATGTGACAATTGGTCCTTTGAGCCCACACAGCCATTCTGTAGCCTTAACTTCACTTTCTCATCTGTCCCCTGTAATGCATGACAGCCCTGACAACACAAAATCTGTCTAATTCAGCTTTGAATGTTCAAGAACACAACCTCTACGCTCTTTCTTAAGGGGTAGTGGATGTGCCGTTTTTGAATATTTTTTAAAGCAGAGTCAGATAGATTCTTGTTTAGCAAGGGGACGAAAAATATCAAATGTAGGGAGGCATGTGGAGTAATCAGATCAACCATAATCTTACTAAAAGGCCGAGTAGGCTCAAGGGGCTTTCTCCTGCTCCTAATTCATGTGTTCCAAACACTAACGATTCTCAGAGAAGAAATTCCTTCTCAGCTTCAATTTAAATGGGAAGCCCCTCATTTTGAAACTGTGACTTTTTGTACTAGATTTCTCCATGAAGGAAAATCTTCTTTCAGCATTTATACTGTGAAGCCCCCTCAGAAGCATATATGTTTCAAAAGATCACTTCTCATTCTTCTAAATTCAAAGTAGTATAAGCTCAACTTATTTAATCTTTCTTCATAAGACAAACCCTTCATTCCCGGAATCAGCTTAGTTATCCTTCTCTGAATTGGTTCCAAAGCAAGCATCTCCATTGTTAAAAGAAGTGATAAAAATTGTACATACTTCTCCAGCTATGATCTCCCCAGTGCCCTGTACAGTTGTTCTTATACATTTCATTTGCCTTGCAATAAAGGCCAACATTATGTTTTCCTTCCTAATTACTTACTTCACCTGCATTCTGACTTCAATTGATTCATGTACAGATCCCTCTGTCCTGCAGTATTCTACAGTGTCTTTCATTTTAAATAACAGTCTGCTTCTATACGTCCTGACAAAGTGATCAACCTCACATTTTCCCACATTAAAATCCACTTAGCAAACTTTTGCCCACTTGCTTAACCCATCTTTATCCCTTCGCAGACTCACCATATCCTCTTCATTACCTGCCTTCCTACGTATCTTTGTACCATCAATAAATCTGGCTACAGTTTAGTCAGTCTCTTCATTCAAGACATTAATATACATCATAAATAGTGAGACCTCAGTACTGATTGTTGCAGCACTTCACCAGCTATAGTTTGCCACCTTGAAAATGAAAAGCTATGATCCTCCCGAGTGCACAAGAATTCTTCCAGCTGTCATCACTGCAACTTTCACAATGAGAATGGCCATACTGTGAAGCTGCCATTTCCAATGAAACACACACTGAATGAATTAAAGGAAAAAAGTGAAATGGCACATCCTTTATGAGGTTTAATCCTATTTGTAAGCATATAACATTTCTAATCAGGCTTCAATTGACATAACCAAATAGTATTGCCAATCTGTCCCTCAATGTCCTTAACAAAATAGCTGATTTACATATCTCATTGGGGATAGTCATGCTTCATAACCATATAATATGATTTGTGACTTACTGTGCAGGCAATCTGCATTTCTCATTAGTTAAGCAATTTATAGCTTAACGTAATTTCTTTTCTCAAATCTCAGACTCAGTTCCCAATTACAGGGCATATTTTAGATCATTTATACTTGCCTCTCTCTTCGCTGAGGGCGGACAGTAGAAGAAGTAATAAGGGTTTGAAGGCACTGTCTTGAAGTGTTGCCGTCCAATTTCAAGGAATTTGTCCTGAAACGACCAGTTTCAAAGCAAGGAGTCAAAACAGAGATTACATGAATATGTCATTATGTACATCATTTCATCACAGTTACTGCTTTTAATTTTAAATGTTCATCAAAAAAAATTCTGAACTGAAGAATCATTAATTGAACAAAGTCAGAGATAAACAGAAGTTAAAGGTTAAAATCTAATAAATTCTTCACTCCAGTATGCCCAGGAGTGAAGTTTAGTTAAGGCAAATTTGCTGAATGCAATCAGTTGCATGATGTCTCACCCAATTTTATATTATCCCTTCAATTTTTTAATACACATAGTCCACCTCTCTTTCTTCTTCAAGATTTACTACTGAATGCTCTATCCCCAAGAATGGTAACATACTCTGTTCCATCCTTATCTTTCTAATGATTGTTCTATTGTCCAGTCATTGATACAGGTTACAGAAATTGCTGTTAAATTTCACTGCAATACCTGAATGATTTTATGCAAGTTGGGGTAGACCTCACAATGTTGGCTGGACTGAAGAAGGGAAAGGGGAAATTCCAGACAGATCTTCTTTGCTTTTGGTTCTTCATGGGTCACTGGAGATGCAACACTCGACTGTACACTCTTCAAATCTTGCTCACTGAGGTCTTCAGTCTCTATACTGGTAACAGAACAGAAAAATATCAATGACTTTTGAAGTTAAAATCTAATAATACACAGAACATTGTTACTTATATGATTGTTACTTATAGGATATGATATCTGATTAAATATGACATCCACTTCCAGTCACTGCAAGTGCTAAATCTAATAATACATTTTCTACAATACGCTCCAAAAGCTGTATGGCTTATCCATTCTCCAAGAAAATATGTAAAATAGATCTGGTGTCTGTTGGACTTCTTTGAAATGTTTGGCAAAGTTTAATTGCATCACAAGTGATACCTTAAGGCAGGCGAGATCATCCAAAACTCTGCTACCTGTACACTAATTTGTACCAAATCTTCTTCACTTATCATGCCTGCACACACTGACCTAAGTTGATTCCCAGTTAAGCAATGCCTCTAATTTTAAAATTCTCAAATTATTCCATTACTTTATACCTTATCTCTGTAACCTTCCCCAGCTCTCCAGGAAATCTATTTTCCTTGAATTCATTATTGAACACCCCTGATATTACTTGCTCCAGCACCGATAGTTGTCTGTTCAGTTATTGAGCTCTGCAATTCCCTCTGTAAACCTACCTCTCTGCTTCTCTTTCCTCTTTTTTGATACTCTTTAACATTTACATACTTTGACAAAGCTTATCATCCTCCCCAATACAGTATATCCTTATGTGTTTTAGTGTCACATTTTGCTCATACCGGTTTTGTGACGCATTATAAGACATTAATGTCGCGATACGAACACAAGTTGGCATCATTGGTGGCAACCTGACAAAAATTATTGACTAATTACAAAGATTTCTCAGGAATCGACAGCCACTTTATTTTGGTCAGCAAGACTGACATGGAATCCATAACTAAAACAAAAATCAGTACAATTAGTCATTGCTTCAACTCACAATGCGATTGCTTGTCATTAAAGGTCAAAGAAAATTCTCACTAAGAGAATTTATATTGACATATTTAATCTCTGTTACCAATAGGTATCCTCCCAATGCAAACATGTGCATTCAAGATGATTCAGAAAATTTTGCAAAGAAAGAATTCCAGTTTACAAGGTACGATAAAGCTGCAGCAACCCAGGTCACATCAGTCTAATGAATGGAAATGATTATCTAGTTAATGGTCATTTATCACTTTGAGAGTTTAGGATCAGAAGTGTATTCACTGGGTATGTATCTCCCAGCTGAATTTTATGAAGCAATATAATTCAACTCTCAGCAGCTGCCGTCAATTTCATTGTCTTTCTATCTCCAGATAATTGCTTCAATCAAATTTACATATGGCAATTTAAAATTGTTCTGTTAGCACGAACCAACTTCCAAGGCCAGCAAGGAGACAGGGGGACTTTTGATGTGCTAACAGTTTTATATAAAATCTTTTTATGGAAGGGAATCAGATGGTCCCTAAGATCCAAAATCAAATTTCAGTGAAATTATGGAGAAAGGTGCACTAAGTCACAGATAGTTTAATACAGATACCAAAGGCTTTGAGATAATGAAAGGGAATAATAAAGACATAGAGATGATGTTTCTAGTTGTGGAGAGACCAAACCCAGAGACAAACACATAAAACAGTTACCAATAAATCAATAAGCAATTCAGGAGAAATCTCTTTACCCAATTGAAACAATTTTGATACACCCTTACAAAACCACAGTCCAAACATATTACAGCAAATCCACAGACTTCTAGGATGAATGAGTCTGAATGTCTACAACCTCTAAGTGAAGACATTTCTCCTCATCTATTTGCTGGCCTTTTATCCTGAGAGTGTAACTGCTAGTCCCAAACTCTCCAGCTAGGGGAAGCAGTTTTTATTCTGTGAAGCCAAAGAAGAATAAGATTGTGAAACTTGCTAAAACAAAGAGTAGTTGACGCAAGGGGCATATTTAGGGCAAAGCTATGCAAGTACGTAAAGAAGAAAGCAACAAAAGAACGTGCTGATGGGGTTATACAGAGAGAGGCAGGAAGAGGCTCATATGAAGGTAAATGGCAGCATAGAATAGTCTACTTCTGCACTTTAAGAGCTCTGTAATTCTACAGTAACTATGCTAAGGCATACTGTCATATTTCAGAGTTAAAAGCACATAAATTATTTTGTTTGCAAATTGCTCAGGATCAAATACTTGTGTAATAATAATTTCTGCAGCAAACCTCAGGAACAGAAATTACAAGTGAGAGGAGAAGATCACAAAATTTTGCATTCCACTGTATACTTCCTCGGTTTCTTTGCTAGTTATCCTAAAGCTCAAAGTAAGCGATCACCATGCTCCTCCACCTAACAGTCTCTTTAGAGTTACTGTTGCTGACATCCAATTACTCTCAGGCCTTCACAATTGCTCTTGTCACAATGATGATTCATCTGAGATTTTTATATGTAGTAATATATTTGAAGGTCTAAAGATGAAGGTTTCTTTTCTATTTTAAATCACTGAAATATTTCTGCAGACACTTTGTTAATATTGTATTCTTCAAGGACAGTGTTGATGTGAGCTTTCAAAAACAAAATGGGGAGGGTATAAAATGAAACAATTTTGACAGACTCTCACAAAACCACAGTTATATTTTTGGACTTCTTACAGCATCTTTCATTATGATTTAACATAAATATTTTAAGTATATTTGTCAGAGTACTGTCCTGTGTATCAGCATTTTATTCTTTGGCCAAATTTAAAATTCATATATAAATAAGAAGTTTACTTAAAGTATAAGGAAATTATAAAAAGAAATTCACTCAGGCATTCTATCCACGTAATAAAACATTGAATTATGTGCGAGTTGAGTAGTCTTCTTGCACAAGATCTTATTCTAAGCCACATTCTTGACAAGATGAAGCAACACTAAGACCAAGAAAAACCAAAAAACAGGAATGTACAGTTGTCAATTAGCAGCACTCAGTACAGAAAAAGGAATTGAAACTGACAAACTAAGTGGAAAGTACAAAAATCTGTCTATGTAAAATATGGTGTATCAAATTCCTGGAAGGCTTGACAGAATAAATACTGCTTCCCCTAGCTGGAGGGGTTGGGACTAGCAGTTACACTCTCAGGACAAAAGGCCAGCAAATAGGTGAAGAGAAATGTCTTCACTTAGAGGGTTGTAGCCGTCAAAATCATTCATCCTAGAAGTCTGTGGATTTGCTGTAATATGTTTGGACTGTGGTTTTGTAAGGGTGTATCAAAATTGTTTCATTTTATACAGTTTCCTTGTTGTTTTTGAAAGGTCACATCAACACTGTCCTTGAAGAATACAATTTTAACAAAGTACCTGTAGAAATTTAAAATAGAAAAAGAAATCTTCATTTTTTACTTTCAAATATATTACTATGTATAAAAACCTCGTATGAATCATCACTGTGACAAGAGATTGGGCATTAACTAGGAGAACCAAATGGCCACAAGACATAGGAGCAGAAGTAGGCCATTGGGCCGATCGAGTCTGGTCCAAAGTCACGGCTAATCTGACAATCCTCAACTCCACTTTCCAACTCGGTCTCAAATATTTTTAATGACCTAGCCTCTACAATTCTCTGTGTTAAAGAATTCCACAGAGTCAGCACCATCAGAAAATAAATTCCTCCTCATCTCTGCCTTGTGCATGTGAACCATTACTCAGAGATTACGCCCTCTGGTCCTAGACTTTCCCCCAGGGAAAACGATCTCTTCGCATTTAACCTGTCAAGCCCCTAAAAATCTTCAATAAGGCTGCCTCTCGTTCCTCTAAAACTCCAATTAGTACAAGCTCAACCTACCCAATCTTTCCTCATAAGAAAATCCTTCCTAAGTAACTTCTCAGGGTTCCTCCAATGCCAGCATATCATTTTTCAGATAAGGGGCAGAATTCTAGATGTGGTCTGACTAGTGCCTTGCATAGTTTTATCAAGACCACCTTATTTTTATGCTACATTCACTTTGAATTAAAGGCCAAGATTCCAGTTGCCGCCTCTATTGGTTGCTGCACATGGATGCTAGCTTTTCGTGATTTATACAATGAGAAACTCCAAATCTGTTTTGTAGCATCAAATTCTATTTGCCAAATTTTTGCCCACTCACTTAATCTATCTATATTCTTCCGTCGACTCTTTATATAATCCTCACCATTTCTCTTCCCACATGGTTTTTGCGTCTTCTACAAACTTGGCAACTGTACATTCACTTCCCTCATCCAAGTCATTAATATGTATTGTGAATAACTATGACCTCAGCACTAATCCCTGTGGCACTCTACTAGTTACAAGCTGCCATCCTGAAAATACCCACTTGATCCCAACTTTCTGCATTCCCTTAGTTAATCAACCATTATCTTTTGTGCTGGGTATGACTCCAACCAGTAGAATTTTCCCTCTGACTTCCAATGACTTCAATTTTGCTGGGTGGTCTTGAAGCTATACCCGGTCAAATGTACGAATATCAAGGGCAGTCACTCTTGCCTTACCTCATGAGTTCAGTTCTTTTGCTCAAGTTTGGACAAAATGGGATTTTTAGTTTCCATCTTTTCCAATTGAGGGATGAGGTTTTAAAAAAGAAAAAACATGAATCTAAAAATCAAATTGGTGCACATTGCATGAAAGTTTCAGGGGAAAGACAATTTTAAGATTCAAAGGCAACTTGATAATTGCTTCCATACTTCTCTAAAGTTATCTTTCCCAGCTAGTAAATGTTTAAATAAATAAGCATTTTATAGAAAGTATTTTTCAATCATGTTAATACGTCCATAAACAAACATAACTAAAGCGAATCATTTTCAGAATTCATTAAACAAATTTCCAACCTAACTGCACGCTGTCTAAACACTGTGTTCCTTACTAAGAATAAATACTCAGAACCTCAAATCCCAAATTTAAGTTTAACTGCGAGATTTACAGTTAGATGTTCAATTCCAATATAGGTAAATTACATTTAACTTTTAGAAATCTAACACTAAATTCAAGAATCTAAAGTGATGAGTAATAATGACAAATGAATGCTGTTGCTATGTCTTCTAAGTATCATGTATTTTGATATAAGTTGATGGGAGATTTATATTCTGGCTTTCATTGCATGCAGCTCTCCCGACATCATACCTTTGGTGGCAGAGCCTTCGACCTGGTTCTTTAGAACTCGGTCCCTATATCATGATGTTTTACAGCACAGGAGGAGACCCTGCAGCTTTACTAGTGCCCTTAAAGAGTTAGCCAGAAGCTTTGTTCCATTTCTTGCCTTTGTACAATGCTTGCTACTCTTTCATGAATATTTATCCATTCCCTTTTTAAAAGTTATTTGGATTCTCCTCTCACTACTCGTAGAATTTTGCATTCCACTGTATACAGAAGTAGACCATTCAAAAACGTTCTAACCCCTTCCTTGATTTTTTTTTGGTGACAGGGTCAAAGAGCCAGAGATCTACAGCATGGAAAAGAGCCCTTCAGCTTGTTGTGTCCATGCCAGTCAAGAATAACCATTTAACTGTTCTAATTTCATTTTCCAGTACTTGGCCCATAACCTTGTATGTGTTGGCATTGCAAGTGCTCATCTAAATACTTCTTAAATGTCATAGAGGTTCATGCCTCTACCATCATTATAGGCAATGAGTTTCAGATTCCCACTACCCTTTGGTTTTTTTTGATAGCAAACTTATGCAGCTAGTTAATGAGAGGTTTTAGTTTTTTCTAATAATTTTGAATTTGTAAACATGATCTTCTTAAAATCTTGATTGTTCAATTAATAAAACCCTTGGTTTCTCTGGATTTCTTCTTAACTAAAGCTCTGGGAACATCTGGGCAGCACGGTGGCTCACTGGTTAGCACTGCTGCCACACAGCACCAGGGTCCAGGGTTCGATTCAAGCCTCAGGCAACTGTGTGGAGTTTGCACATTTTCCCCATGTCTACATGGGTTTCCTCCGGGTGATGCTGTTTCTTCCCACAGTCCAAAGATGTGCAGGCTACGGTGGATTAGCCATGGGAAATGCAGGGTTACAGGGATAGGGAAGGGAAGGTGGGTCTGGGTGGGGTGCTCTTCGATGGGTCAGTGTGGACTCAATTGTCTGAATGGCCTGCTTCCATACTGTACAATTCTATGATTTCAGAGAATCTCTCTTGTAGCCTCTCCATAATATTAACATCTTTTTCAAAGAAAGGCAACAAAAGCTATGTGCAATATTTTAAATGCACCTCATCAATGATTTAGACCACTTCTGATGAGATGATCACTGAAACAATACAACTACAACAGAAAATAAATTAGTATAGCTTGGACAGTACAACAAATTCCTCATGCACTTTTACAGTGAATATGAACTTATTTGTTACTGATCAGAAGTTAAAATGTTTGAACGTATGGAATTACTTTAACACAAGATCTTGAATCCTAATACTATTCGCCTGTTATTAGCAGACAGCTACTAAATACCATAGCAGGTCAAACCTAAATACCAAATGTGCTGGTCGGGAGTTAACGTGACAACCAAAAACCCATGACATTACCTTGAAGTAGATGCAAGAACACCCCTCTGGACCCGCTCATCTTCAGGTTCTACTCCTCCAATCACAAATGTTGTAGGGTTGGAGTCATGATCACTCCAAGGCTGCAAGTCATGACTTTCACGGAACGAACGGATATGTCCACAAAGTGTTTGCAGAAAAGTGGTGATATCGATTTCCTGTAGCAATTCCTCACAGTAGTCCATAGCTGTAAGTAGGTCCTGAGAGCTGATGTAATATGATTGCTGTAAACTTCTAAATACACCTTTAAGAAGAAAATACAACAGCATCTTAAGATAAAATTGCACTCAGAATAAACAGTTGAGGCTTCAGCAGGAGTTTTAAGGTACTAATATACCCATTAACATGAGTGAATTCAACTTTGGAAATGAAACATTTTTCTCCATCTTTTAAACTAAGTAATCCCACATCACATAGATTAATATAAACATTGCTTCAAAAATGTATCTTAATCCAAACCTCAAAAAATAAACACAATTTACTGCACCTTTGTATTATACAGAAGCTCAGGATCAGTGTGCACTCAATTGGGTCAAACAAAAACAACCTGTACTGACAGAGCATCTTTGGCAGATTGTAGCAACGAAAAACAATGGTTAGAGTGGGGATACGACTCATAATTGTAATGCTGTGAGAAGGGCTCAAAGTTTAGTTTTAATTTTTAGTCACAGTTACTTAAAATTAGTAACATTTGAATTCAGTTTCATGACAGTTTTATCAACAAAATTGAAAAATGAGGATTATATGACAATAATAGGGGGGCAGAGTGTGGAATTTCCCTTCTCCAAAATGAAATATTTTGCCACCAAGCGAAATTTAAAAGTGTAGTGTAGTAAAGCACACAATTCATTTTGCTGAATAAAAACGGCAGATTAACAGTTAAAACAGTATGAGATTAGAATAGGACCCCACCACCTCGTCAGGTTTATCTCTGAATTACTCATCTGCTTTTAATTTTTCTTACACAATATAAGCCAAAAAACAAGGGTTCGGAATTTATATGGGGACAGGAAGAATTGCCTTTTTCAACAATAAACAGGTAGCCTGCTTTAAAGTAGCAAATTGAGCACTGGAGAGATTTCCAAGAATTCTAGTGTATGGTATACAATATATCATTATTTTATCAGTTTTTATATACATAAACATTGGGAAACAATATTCGTGTCTTTTGTAATGTAATGGGAGAAATCGACGTTGAGTTACTCTAACATCAAACAGCAACATCCTTCAGCAAGTCCTGGTGACTTTCATTACCTTTTACATAACACTGATGGTAATGTTCTTGTAGAAGGTTGCAGTAGTTGGCGAGTTCTTTGTTCTTGTGAAGATAGGATAGTGGATCCATTGAGGAGGAGTTTGCTGGCCGTTCCTGCGACAACGATCTTAAGCCAGTGTTAAAACATTAGTAGTCGCAATTAAAAACATGTTCTTGCCCAATTTTACATGGCATTAGCTCCCAACACTAACAGCACTATCAAACTCAACACCAATAAATACCATAGAGAAACTACAATCAAATAAATTTAGCACAAGGAGCCAAGACAGAGCAGAAGTATTGTGAGGGAAATTCTTATGGTAACTTTTAGACAATGCAGACATCAGATACACCTATTGATAGCAAAACATTGATTTAGTATCACTACTGATCTGTTCTTTTAAAAAGCATTCTAGTATTAAGTGTGAATTAACTTCAGTAGTGGAATAAGGATGAGTTAAGTACAAAAGGATTCTCAAAGAGTTGTATTGTACTAGAATGAAAGAATGGCTTTCTCAACTAATATTAATAAACGAAAAACATCTGCTGCATGAGACATTCTTGACAGTTGTGACAATTTCATTGTTGCTATTAATGAAGAGATAAAAAGTAAAAACTTGAAAGATAACATCCAAAACAGAAGAAATTGAAAAAAACCTCAAAAATCTCAACTCATATTAAAGATCTTCGCTCAAGAACCATGGTGATTGTACATGAAATAACCACTGTTGTCATTTTCATTACAGAAATATTAATGCTATAAGGGTTCCTTAACCGCTATCAAAACATGCAACTTTTCCAGTGAACCAGAAATCAAACTACAATCTTGATTCCAAAATATATGGAACAAAAATTTCATTCAACGGCCAATTTTTTGCCCTATTATTAGATATTAGTTGCTTCCAGTTCTCCAAGCTTGCTCACAGTAACAGTTCAATATACATGCCCCACACCAAATAGCAACACTAGGTTCAGCACCAGCAACCCTCTCCCAAGTTACAAAAATAGTTCACGTTCATTACCACGCAGTTCCCCATTAGTAGCATTTCTGCAAGCACTGTTCTAAAGAAAGAAGATAGAAGGAAAAGGAACTGTCAGCATAGCACACTCCATAGAACAGTCCCTGGTTATAAATCAACACTGGCAGAGGCCAGGGTTCAGATTTTCTGTTTAAATACTGGCTGGGATTGTGCAAGGACAAAGAAAGCAAAAAAAAAAAATTGATTTGAAAACTCAGCTTTATATTCCAGAGATCAGTACACTTTCTTTGAGGAAGTAGAACAGAATTTTTACAAATGATTAAATGGATGCACAGCAAATAAAACCATCCGAGACCTTCAGCACTGCAATTAAAATGTAGAAAATAGTTTCATAGACTAATCAAGGTCACAAAAAAACAGCCAGATTTTACACTGGCAGACTAAATCAAAATCTAGGGCTGCATTTTAACTTCTAACCCTTGCCTGGTCAGGTGCAGGGGTTTCTACTCCACAGCATACATAAGAAAACACTAACAAGCTTCCTGCTCAGAAGTCAGCCTGATTTACAGGCTTTGTTCTAGTTGGGAATGAAGCAGATCACAGGCTGTCACAGGGCAAGGTATGCCCTTCCCCATGTAAAATCCATGGAAGTTCTCATTTAGGAAATGGGATCAGACATTAGATTAGAAGGTTGAGGGGTGTGCAGGGGGACATCAAAAGGCTCATGGGGATGCCAGTGGGAAGACTGGAAATTCGATATTGCAGGATTTGACCAAGCTAGAATGTTGGATCCATCAGATAACTCAAAAAGTGCTTACCATCCCCACTCCCCTTCAAATATCGGACAGTCGATGGATGAATTTAGCTGCTGGATTCTCAAGGTTCAGGAAAACCAGTGCCCAGTTTAATTCAAAATGTTGAATTATAATGTATCTCACAGGCACATTCTAATATTTAAAGTGCCAATCCACATTCTTGGAGTGGGTTTGTTGCTCACCAGAAGTCAGTGGGTTGAAGTCAGGATTCAGAGTTTTACCACTCTAACCTCCCATTCAACTCAAACAGGTCAGTTTTTGGCGTTCAAAAAGCAGCCACTCAGTGTCACTATTTGTTTGGATTCAAACTTTTGACATGAAGCAGACGCGTTTAGTGCTTCAATGGTCATGTCACTGAATCAATGTTTCTGAAAGGCTTTTGTTTAACATTTACAAAATAAGATGCGACCCAACTTATATATCTGAAGATCTGTGAAATGTCTAAGTATTTTCTGCAGCAGCAAACAGCAGAATACACACAGTAGAACATTAGTTTAGAACTTGTGCTATCCTGGGGAAAGCTGCTTGTCAAATTCCCAGGGTATTTGGATAAGAAGAGAAACAAAAACAGAAACAAGCTATTTTAAACAAAAAGAGTAAAATACACAGGGGACTCTTTCACAAACATTCATTCAGTCAGTACATAAGCAGCTGTAGGGACTCAGCACTAGGCAGTATGCTGCCTTTTATATTAGGTGAATCCTGGTACATGAAACTTTGAGAGGAAAAGGAGAAAACAATAAGAATATTATAGATAAGAACAGAACATTTAACTGAAATGAGAAAGGATTGGGACACGAACATGCAAGTCACCCAGTAACAGAAAAGAATACTCGCTATGACAAAAAAAGTCAATCCCTTAACCAAAGCAATCAAATCATGTCCAGCAAGCAATGAATAGGAATCAGGGCTTTAGCTGATAGCTTAGCTACCTGGTTTTCAAATCCTGATACAGTTCCCAGGAAACATTGTCTTGAGATCTAAATTATTCAGAAGAGGAGGAAATAAAAAAATGCACAATCGAATCAGTCCCATTTAATTCAGACATGAATAAGCGGAGAGGCAGAAATAAAACATAAAAAGAGTACAACTGACAGTGCCAATGTTCCTGATATTAAAGTGACACAGTCCCTGAGCTCAGGTTGCGAGTGGAATTACAAGGGTGAAAAACTTAAAACTGAAGTTAACTCAATAGATCCTCCAGCTCAATTAAGATATTAAATTTTTACTTCTAGATTCTGATGGCCTGGTATTATTATCTCTAGGCTATTAAACCAGTGATGTCCTAGGAACCCAAGATTAATCCCAACATTGCAGATGGTGGAGTGCGAATTCAATAAAAATCTAGGATTATGAGTCTAAAGATGGCCATGAAACCATTGCCAATTGTTGCAAAAACCTCACCAGTTTCACTAATGTTCTGCAGTGAACGAAATCTGCCATCCTTACCTGGTCTGGCCTACATGTGACTCCTGGCACACAGCATTGTAGTTATCGCTCAGCAATTAGGGGACGGGCAATAAATGCTGACTGAGCAACAGCCATGAATGAATTTTTAAAAACCACAACTGTGTGAAAGGATTATTAAGAAATGTGATTTGGAGAAGCCCAGAAGGTTTTTAGAATGACTGCACAACGGGCAAGGGCAGGACTCAGACTGAACGTTGCACCATTGAAATTACTGCTGGGAGCAGTGAGGAAAGGGAGGGGTATAATTTCCATCAACAAAGGAGGAAGAAACTTGCAGTTATCACCAAGGTTGGTAAATTACTGGGGAGACTAACAGCAAGGAGCACGGTGCCCTGATGTTGGCCACAATAAGATTTAGAAGCAGAAGTAGGCCATTTGGCCCATTCGGTCTGTTCCACCATTCAATGCAGTCATGGCTGATCTGATAATTATCGGCTCCACTTTCCTGCATTTTCCCTAAAAATCCTGGATTCACTTATGGATTAGAAATGTCTTTAAATACTTAATGACAGAGCCTCAACAACCGTCTGCAGTAAAGGATTCCTCAAATTCACTACCGTCAAAGAAGAAATTCCTCCTCACTTCTGTCTTATGTGGGTGACCTCCTACAATGAAATTATGCCATCTAGTCCTAGACACCCCCACCACGCCAAACAACCTCTCCACATCTACCTTGTCAAGCCTCCTAAAAATCGTATGTGTTTCAGTATCATTGAAACTCCAATAAGAACTAGCCCAACGTACTCAACCTCTTTTTTTCAGAAGACAATCCCTCCATATCTGGAATCAACCTGGGGAACCTTCTCTGGACTGCTCCCAATGCCAGTGTACCTTTCCTTAGATTAAGGAACCAAAACTGGTCTCGGTGTATTCTTGCATAGCTTTAGCAAGACCTCCCATTTTTTGAACACTCAACTCCCCTTGAAATAAAAGCCAAATTTCATTTGCCTTCCCTAAAACCTGCCGAACTTGAGTGCTAGCATTTTGTGATTTATACAAGAGGACACCCAAATGTCTCTATGCTACTGCTTTCTGAAACAAGATGGGAGAAAAGACAGACAGGTTAGTACTGAAGGGCACCTCTCAAGGTCTCTAAAGTGCACCTTCAACATTTAAATGGCTTACTTTATTACACAACTGGTGATCATGTATCTCTCATTGTAACATTCCTATCCCTCATTACTCGATTCTTTACATGTATCAAGGGCCAACTCTAAAGTGAGTATTCTTTGTTTTCTACGCACCAACCCAGACTTTGTTTCTTTGAATGATGGATAATGCAGGATGAAAGCATCATGACAACTCCCAAGCAATGTGGAACACACTTCATAGGTTGAACACCAGTTGTACATTCATTATGATGAAACTCTTGGTTTCTGTGATGTTGTTCAGGGCAGCAGGGTGGCTCAGTGGTTAGCACTGCTGCCTCACAGCGCCAGGGGCCTGGGTTCAATCCCAGCCTTGGGTAACTGTCTGTGTGAAGTTTGCACATTCTCCCCGTGTCTGTGTGGGTTTCCTCCGGTTTCCTCCTACAGTCCAAAGATGTGCAGGGTAGGTGGGTTGGCCATGCTAAATTACCCATAGTGCCCAGAGATGTTTAGATTAGCTGGTTAGACATGGGAAATGCAGGGGTTGGCAAATGGGTCCGGGTTGGATGTTCTTCGGAGGGGCCGAATAGCCTGTTTCCACACTGTAGGGATTCTATGATTACCTGGTGGCACCTTGTACTTCTGAAGTGCCAGACAGAGTGGCAATCCTGAGTACCTGCTTATTCTTGTTATTATCATGGAGAAAGTTTAGGTAACATTCAGCTCTGGCAAACAACTTACCATCTCATGAAACAGACTGCAAACCCAAGTTTGAGAAGAATCCAGTGGCACCATGCAAGAAACTAGAGACAAAATGGCTGAGGGTAACGTGGCAACGAAGGTCTACCAGGTCAACTGGGTCTTCTTCTAGGGGGCTGACGATGCCTGCAACCACTCAACACTACAATCTCAGTCTGTGGTTACCCTACCCTCGAGGGGGCAAGAAACCTGAGTCTCTCATGCCTGTTACATGGTTAATGCCTCCTGCACCCTCAGTAACTCTCCTTTGCAACTGATGATTGCACTGCAGCAGATCATCACTGCCATGATGGTAATAGCTGTCTTCTTCATAGGTACTGTCAAGAACATTCACGGTCCCTCACTTTGTGCTAAGGTTTGAAAGTCTCCAAAGTTCTCCAATATTTTGTACGATCACAAGAGCTCGGTGTTAAACATTTGCCAGCGAGAACTGGCAAAGCAGCTGTAAGAACTAGATGTTTATAAAATTTGGGCTATCTAAAGTTGGTAAACACCCATGAAATACACTTTCAACACTCCTTTTTGGATTGAAAATCTTCCCAAGCTTTGGTGATCACATACTTTAGGTATTAAATCTGAAGCAAAGTTACATTTCTGTGAAAATCTTATTCTCATCCAATTATCATGAAAAATGCTACCTGCAGAGCCTAGCACCTTGTGTCAACTCCAGCAAGCAGATTTGTTTTGTTTCGCAGCCAAAAGCAGTTCAGTGAAATATAGTATTTCGATGGGTTGCGATCATGATTTTTCTCTCCGTCAAATGTTATTATGTATCCTCTCCAACTATTTCTTCTTGCCTGTTAAAATCCACCCCCATTGCGTCCATATCACAAACCAAACGTACTCTATAAATCTCAATGCAGTGTGTGCTCAGTGAATAGTTACATTTACCACAAATTAGAAAAAAGAATCTTTTTCCAATCAGGATGTAATTGTTTCATGGGTATAAATTATCAACTGCCTTTCCACATGCTGTTGTGTGGTGCCTAGTACCGCAAGAAGTTCTGTGCACAAACTGCTTCCATGCTTCTGGTTACATTTAAAGTATAAGGATAGATTAATCAAATGTTGCCAAAAACAAAACATTTGCAGATGTGGTGCCAGCCATTCCTGATCTATCAAAGATTGCTGGCTGACTTTAATCATGTAATTTATCTGCTAGACCAATTTAGCCTACATTTCTTTCGTAAGAAGATTGTGTAAAACTGAGAAATGACAATGTTTCTGTGACATATAATTCCAATGTGATCAGAGGGAGCAAAAACCTACCTGAAATAAATGTCCTTTTTAGAGCGTTCAGCACAAGAATTCACAAGTTGCTCTCTCAAAGATTCCAATGAGCAGCTGTATATATAGACAGGACATCGAAGGTGATTTGGGTCACGCAAGTCAATCTGAGAAGTTTGTCGGCTGAATGTGATGTGGCAGTCTTTTTTGGGAGGTAAACTGAACTCTACTCGTTCCTTTTCTACTTCTGAAGCCACATAGACTGAGTCTGTGGAACAACACCAATAAATATAAAGCACGTTTGGAAAAATTTCATAAAGAAATAGAGACTGCATGGTATAAAACACTACGTTACTCGCAGTGAGAACATCTCTTTCTTGAATAGCAAAACTATTACATTAATGTAACTATATGAGGGTTTGGAGATGAACAGCAGAAAGACGCAAACTGATAGCTCACCCTGTCAGTTAAGTCAAACAGTGAGTGTTTATCAGAGATAGGGTGGTGCTGAAAGAATAGTAAAGTCATATTCTGCATAATCTCATTCCAGGAACAAATGAAGGACCACTTATTCACACAGATTATAACAAGGAAGACAGACAGAGATCCAAATTCAGGCATTAATGATCACATTCGCCACTGCTGCCACACAAAGCCAAATTTTGCAGCCAAGCTGGTGACGGTTTGCTGGGGTGACTGGTATTACTCCCGGTTTTATTTCTCAGTGATTTGTTTACTGGAGATGCACTGACGATGTTACCTAGCAGGTGACGAAACATTTGCAACCAAACCCATCGGCTCAGCGAGCATGTCTACAACCTCATCCACAACCCGAGCAACAAATCTTCTTGAAAAATCACTTAAAAGACCACAATGAAAAATATATTTCGAATTCAAACGCTAATAACTCTAACACCTGAAAACTAACATAAATATTAACCAAAAATGAAAATCTGTTATATCCAGTGTTAGGTGCATACAGTGCTAATCACTGGGGCCCATGCATTCAGAGGAGACTGGGAGCAGGGTGGACACTCCACTACAGGACAAAGTTCAGCACTCAAGATCCAACTGTCATAGAATGAAAGCCTGAGACCCCATGGCCATAGATTTCAAAAGCAGGGATGCTTTCTGGGTGATGTAGTCCATTCTTGGTCATCCTCCCTTCCAAGCAGATGAGGTACCTCCCAAGTTCCGAATACCAGCAAGGCCCGCAAACCAGCACACGGGAACATTCATGAGGGTGAGATGAGTAATGGCTCCTCCAATCACAGGCTGTTTTTTTCTCTCTCTTGCTGCCATTGATAGATATAGTCTCTATAGTGAATCTTTCAGCCCTAGCAGTGTGAGGGAAGCAGCCACCGACCAAAGAAGCAGCAAGCAGTCAGGTGACGAAGTTCCAGCAGTGAGGAAATCACTGGGGAAGCTATGGCCATTTTTTCTCTGAGCATGAAAATTGAGCTGTCAGAGAGGTTGACTTTTGCGGGTTTCTGTGAATGAAGCAAGCTGCAAGCAGGCTGGGAGAGAAACAGACTGTGAAGGGATTGGGAAAGGGGCAACAGTGTGCCTGCAAGCAGATTGGGAAAGGGATGGGTGGATGCAAGGGTGTGGGGGGTGAAGAGAAAGAGTAGCAAAGAAAGGAAAATGGTTTTAAAAACTAGTCAACCAAAAATAGCATTCACCTAATTGGGGGCTAGAAAAACTTGAAATCACTTATGTAATAAATTACTAGCAAGTAAATGTAGAATTTCTAGCTTAAGACTACATATATTCAGGAACTACTGCCTAGGGAAAAAGCTACTGTGATGAACACAGTGAAGGTTGTTCAATTTAAATCCGAGATTAAGATCTGAGATGTAGCAAGAAGAGTAGTGACTCCTCAGATACTAAATCAGTCCATGTCCAATTGTAGTAATGCAGTAGTATGATTGCTGAACGTCCCACTATCAACATCCTAGTGGGTTACCATTGACCAGAAGCTGAACCATTAAGCCAACCATATAAATAATATGACTACAAGAGCAGATCAGAAGCAAGGAATCCTGCAGCAAGTAACTCACTTCCTGACTCCACAAAGCCTGTCCTTCATCTACAAGGCATAAGTCAGGACTGTGCTTGCCTGGATGAGTGCAGCTCCAACAACACTCAAGAAACTTAAAACATTCCAGGACAAAGCAGACTGCCTGACTGGCAACACACCCATAACATTTGTCCTCCACCACAGAAACACAGTAACATCTACAAGATGCACAACAGAATTCACACAGGCACCTTAGATAGCACCTTCTAAACACAAGAAATAATTTTTTAAATGGCTGACTGTGAGGTGTCTAAGAAATTCATATTTTTCTTGTGTACTATGCCCTTAAATTTAATGAAGATGTGATGACTATTGAAGATATTGCTGAATTCTTCCAATTCTGCTTTTGAGTCCAAAAATCCCATAAATTAGCACAATTCCATAAGGTACAGTTACTATGTAGCTGCATTGCCTAACAAATAAACTCATGAGAATGAAAAAAAGTAACGCTGAACACAAAAGCCCCACAAAAATAAGCCATGTATCTAGTATGTCTAGACTGTGACTCCAGCATTTCGAGAATTTTTCTATCTTATTCATTGCTCCATGCTGGGCACTTAAGTGTGGTTAGTTTCAATTTAAAATAAGAAAACGTTTATCACTCATTTGCAAGGTGTTTTTTTGTTATTAGAGTTCACTTGTGCATATAGAACCAGCACATTATTGCAGATGAATGGGTTAGTGCTAATTTACTGGAACATTTGTCACATTTAAACTTGGAACTGAAATCAGGAATCATACAATAATAAAATTCACAGTTCAAGATATTTTCAAATTGTACATAAGATTATTATTTGCAGTGCTTGTTGTGAGGTTCAAATCTTTAAGATACTATCCAGATTGTACATATGGCCAGGCTCAAAAGCAACCACTGGTTGCATAATATATAATTGTCTGATAAAGTCATGGTTCTAAAGTGTACCTTACTAAAACCTAAGCTTTCGTTGGAATTCATAAATTGAAGCATAGACTACAAAAGCCAAGAAATTTTGTTAAACCTATAAAATTCTGTTTAGTCCCACTGTGATAATTTTTACTGTTGCCTGAATCTCTGAGGAGTATGCAGCAGCAGCTTCCAGAAATGGAAGCCTTTCACCAGCATGACAATCGAGTATGAGAAGCTCCCCAGCAGTTTAGAGGGAACATTGACTGTGTCTATGGGGTGTCTTAGTTCTGGGTATCCAAAAAATTTGAAGGGAATGGTTAAATGTGGGATAATGGGAGGGTAGGGGAGGCATTTGCACAATATGGGGTCTCAGAACATGAGAAGCACTAGGGACCACAATTTCTCTCCCTGGACCTGCTCATAGTTATCTGTAGAAGTATCCATCCAAAATATACAAGAGCATTCTCTGACACATGATCAAAACCACAGATCATTTCATTACAGTCCTAAACAGCTTACATGCAAATTACTTCAAATAGTATGTTACCTGTATCAGGTTGTATTTCCTCCTTTTCAGATTCAATAAGTGACATTTCATTAACACCTGCCAAGGTTGGAGAAAGGAGAGGCGTGGATCTGGCAGAATGAGTTTCCTGTCCTGAAGACCGCAAAGTTGTCACAAAATCTTTTTTGCTGCTGTTATTCTTCGATGCACTGACAGCAACTTGGCTAGCTTTGCTTTCAAGTGCTTCCTCAACAATGCCCAACTCAGACTTTGTTGTTGTTGAGGTTGCACTAAATGCTCCAGAGTGCTCACTCAACACTGATTCTTTCACTTCCACCTGGAGTAGTTCATCATCTTCTAATCCAGAATGTTTTGTGCTCTCATCAGTCCCAGGAGCAATCAGTCGCTGCACATCTAGCAGAAGAAAGTTCAGATAGAAAACAACTCAAAAGAAAATGTGCAGTGAGAAGTAATTGTAACGTGAAGGACTTTGTTTCCTAAATGATATTGAATTGTTTAAATATTATCATTTTGAGTAATAGAATTAAGAAAGCACAATTAACAACGGACTTCATGGCTGGACCTACTATGGTGTTGCAGGTAATCATCCAAGGCTATTGGGGGTGTTCATAGCAAAAACAGGATAACACCTGTGTCACTGATTTAGTGTTTTGCAATTGAACTTCATAACTCGACTGTTCTGTTTAGAACTTTATAGTTTATATATAGTATTTATTTATTGTATACTATATTTTGTACACTTTATGTCATAGTTTACAAATGGAACACTGAGATTTGTCCATAAGACCATAACATACAGGAGCAGAAATAGGCCATTTGGTCCATCAAGTCTGCTCCACCATTCAATCGTGGCTGTTTGTTTCTCTTGATTGCTGCTTTCTAACATTCTGGGAAGAGCTGCATCGGTATTTGGCAAGGCTGCTTGGCATGCCGTCTGACCACAAACAAACTAGTCTATTTCTTTCACCTTCGATAGCAGTGTAAAGGATTGTAACACAAAACACAGAACACAGATATCTTGGTAAGTAAAACATTGTAGTTCTAGGTGTTGGAAATACACATTACTTGAACACATAACATTGTGAAGGAAGGTGCATAGGACCATTTGGGACTAAAAGTCAAAAGTGAACATAGGTTGTGATTTGTGTCCTGGTTACAAAAAGTCAAAGACTGTGTGTAGAGAGTTTGGAAAGAGATTCGGGAATACAATAAAGACAAATATCAGGGTTTATAACCATTTTTCACCCAAACACAAGTCTGATTTGAGGATCTCATTGATTCTATGGCTAGTAGCATTTCAACCTCATTGACAAGAAATCAACTGGATTTTAAGATGTTTTCCCATTTCATCCTTTGAGTTTTGACTCTTGGCCCACCATCACAGTTTAGAACATAGAACAGTACAGGCCCTTCAGCCCACGATGTTGCGCCGAACTTTTACCCTAATCCTAGGGTCTATCTAATCTCCACCCCTACCTTATACTATCATCCATATGCCTATCTAATAGCCGCTTAAATGCCCCTAATGAGGCCAACTCCACTACCCTCTCCGGCAATGCATTCCATGCCCCGACCACTCTCTGAGTAAAGAACCTACCTCTGACGTCTCCCCTATATCTACCTCCACTCACTTTAAAATTATGCCCCCTCGTAACAGCTACCTCCACCCTAGGAAAAAGTCTCTGGCTGTCTACTCTATCTATACCTCTGATAATTTTGTACACCTCTATCAAGTCACCTCTCATCCTTCGACGTTCTAAAGAGAAAAGCCCTAGCTCTCTCAACCTTTCCTTGTAAGATCTTCGCTCCATTCCAGGCAACATCCTGGTAAATCTCCTCTGCACCTTTTCTAACACTACCACATCTTTCCTGTAATGAGGCAACCAGAACTGGACACAATACCCCAGATGTGGCCGAACCAGGCTTTTGCATAGTTGCAGCATAACTTCACGACTCTTGAACTCAATCCCTCTATTAATGAAAGCTAACACACCATACGCCTTCTTAACAACTCTTATCCACATGGGTGGCAGCTTTCAGGGAACTGTGGACATGAACCCCAAGATCCCTCTGCTCCTCCATACTGCCAAGAATCTTTCCGTTAACCCTGTATTCTCCTTTCAAGTTTTTCCTTCCAAAATGAATCACCTCACACTTTTCAGGGTTAAACTCCATCTGCCACTTCTCAGCCCAGCTCTGCATCCTATCAATGTCCCTTTGTAACCTAGAACAGCCCTCCGCACTGTCCACAATGCAACCCACCTTCGTATCATCTGCGAACTTACTAATCCACCCTTCCACTCCTTCATCCAAATCATTTACAAAAAATCACAAATAGAAGAGGATCCAGAACAGATCCTTGTGGTACACCACTCATAACTGAGTGAATATGTTGAATATTTTCCGTCCACTACCACCCTTTGTCTTCTAAGGGTCAGCCAATTCTGAATCCAATCTGCCACATCTCCTCCTATCTCATGCCTCCTTACCTTCTGCATGAGCCTATCATGGGGAACCTTATCAAACGCCTCACTTAAATCCATGTATACCACATCCACTGCTCTACCTTCAACCACATGTTTGGTCACCTCTTCAAACAATTCAATAAGGTTTGTGAGGCATGATCTACCCCTCACAAATCCATGCTGGCTATCATGAATCAAACTGTGCCTTTCCAAGTGATCATAAATCCTATCTCTCAGAGCCCTTTCCAATAATTTGCCCACCACTGAAGACAGACTAACTGGCCTGTAATTTCCGGGGTTATCCTTATTCCCTTTTTTGAACAAGGGAATGACGTTTGCCTCTCTCCAATCTTCCGGCACTACACCCGTGGACAGTGAGGACGAAAAGATCATCGCCAAAGGTCCTGCGATCTCTTCCCTCGCTTCCCATAGAATCCTTGGATAAATCCCATCAGGCCCGGGGGACTTATCTATCTTCAACTTCCTCAAAATTCCTAGCACATCTTACTTACTTACTAGCAGTGACCTCCTCTCGCCTACCAGCCCGTTTCACACTGTCCTCCTCTACAACTAGGTCCCTCTCAGCTGTGAATACCGAAGAAAAGTATTCATTAAGGACCTCTCCTATCTCTTTAGGCTCCGTGCACAAATTCCTTTACAATCCTTGATCAGTCCTACCCTTTCTCTGGTCATTCTCTTATTCTTCACGTGTGTGTAAAATGCCTTGGAGTTTTCCTTGATCCTATCTGCCAAGGTTTTCTCATGCCCCCTTATAGCTCTCCTAAGCCCTTTCTTCAGCTCCTTCCTGGATAACTTGTATCCCTCTAGGGCCTTTTCCATTCCTTGTTTCCTAAACCTTACATAAGCATCCTTCTTCCTCTTAACCAGTCGTTCAACCTCTCTTGAGAACCAAGGATCCCTCACTCGGCCACATCTTCCCTGCCTGCTAGGGACAAACATATCTAACACGCACAGTATGCATTCCTTAAACAATCTCCACATTTCAATAGTGCTCTTCCCTTCTCCCTTTTTATTTGAAAAATCCATATCAACTATGCAGAGTTGTATTGTCTGTCCTATGAATATGTGTATTTGAGATTAAGGGAATATAATTTCATTCTACATTGTAATTTAGTTGTTAACAACTTTTATGATTTATTGTAAGAATAAGTTTGCATCTAATGAATGAGCTATGTCTGTGTAATTATAGATGGATATTTCTTTTATTCGGTTTCATGACAATTATACAAAACAATGTAAAAGAACTATGCACTGAAAAATATGGTTGCACACAATTGAATTTTAAAGAAGATTGTACAGAACACCTTGTTTCTTTACTAGGACGCAGGCAGCTGCCATGTTTTGAGGACCGCTCTGACTTAGATGTCTGTTTTACTACAAACAATAGGATAACAATTTAAATACTATCAGATATTGCCAAAAATTAGTCCTTAGGATTTTAACATAGAAATCATTTTAGAGACACGTTATTTCTTAAGAGGAAAGATAGTCATGAATAATTCCAAACATGGCCCACATAGATCTTTAGAACAGAGAGAATGGAGATGGGACTGACTCAAATTCCATCTTAAGTAACCTTAACAGTTCAATGAATCTTTGTAACGAGGACAAAGTAGCTACTTTTCTTCTTACAAAAATAACGGCATTATCAGTAAAACTTACCTGCAAAGGTGGCTGGTAAAAAGGTGAGCAGGATTTGCTGTGCAGTCACAAACCTGGCATAGCATTTCCACTGCGGTGTGCTCTTATCTTGTGCTGGCAAGGTACTGTCCTCTGTCATCTCAGGATTGCCAACACTCTATTCAATTAGAATTAAAAGAAACACATTTATTACAAGACATTAAAAGAACTCATGTGAAGGCAGTAAACATTTTGAAGATATTTTAAATTTAACATGGATCACAACATACCTATTATGTCTATCTAACACTCCAATCAGTATTTCACATACTTCCTGATAGATCATCTAAAACAAGAATTGCTACTTCCAGCTCATCCCTTTCCACTGCTGTGACCATGATGGTACTTATTGTGAAGTAAAGTAAAAACACCACTGTAATCCCACCTTTTAGATTGTAAAGCACATTTGGCTTTAATACATTGTGGTTGGATAATAGAGATTACTGTACACATAAGGTGCTAGAATACGTTGGAACAATATAGCAGTCCAGAATTTGCATGACGAAATCAATGACAAGCCACGTTCAGGTAGAACTAATCATACTAAGTTAGTATCCAAATTCAGGAGGGCATTATAAACTATTTTATTGCCACAGGCGACAATTTAATAACAGGAATTAAACAGAGACCAAAAGAACTGGGGGATGCTGTAAATCAAGAACAAAAACAGGAGTTGTTGAAGAAGTTCAGCAAGTCTGGCAGCATCTGTGAAGAAAAAATCAGAGTTAACATTTCGGGTCTGGCGACCCTTCCTCAGAACCCGAGTTGAGTTATGAGGAAGGGTCACCGGATCCGAAACGTTGACTCTGATTTTTCTTCACAGATGCTGCCAGACCTGAATTAAACAGAGACGTCGGCTACACTCTGCATATGGACAATTTGAAATATTCATTACATACTCATATGTCATTACGTTGAGTTCATATCAACCAAACCAAAATTGACAAACCATTTTGTACTAAAGATAGAGTCATGGAGAACAAATTCATCACGCAGAATGGGACAAGGGATTTAATTACCTTTGAACTTAACTAATAAAAATTTACAGATAATACATACAAATGTATTTAAATACTTCATGCTTCTGTGAAATAACTCAGCAGCTATTGAGCTGTGTGTTTGCTGCAATGCTTTCTGTAGTTGAAACTGTCCATAATAAACCTTCAAAAATATAATCTTACACAAGCTATCTTCTGTGCTGAATCGCATAGCCCAAAACCCAAACCTGGCAAATGCAGACACAAAGCACAGAAACCTTAGGACAGAACAACCATTGACCCACTTTGTCCTCTTTGGCCCTGGGTGGATCCAACGTATTCCCACTTTTCATATCTTGGTCCATAGCTCAATAGCTTATTGCACTTGTAAGTACACATTCACGTACTTTTTAAATGGGATGAGGGTTTTTATCTCTGCACTCTTAGGCTGAGAGTTTCATGCGCTCACTACATTCTAAAGTGAAAATTTACTCCTCAACATCTGAAGCTCTAAGGAGGAGTCACAAAACAAACACTCTTGAAGAAACTTGAGAATCACCTATTACAGCAAGAAATAAATCTCAATGCAATGTTGACAGCTGGACAACCTTCAGGGATAGACAGTCATCCACTGCTGTAGACTTACATCTGGAAAATATCAGAATTTCTTTGTGAAAACAATAAGGCAATTCAAAAATTACTGATGCTACAACAACGGATGAATGGACACCGGGCAACATTCACCAGACAGGGATGTTCCCTCCCATTGGGGGATCACTTCAGCAGTCAAGGACATTCAGCCTCAGATCTTCAGGTAAACATCCTCCAAGGCGGACTTCAGGATATACAACAATGCAGAATCGCCAAACAGAGACTGATAGCCAAGTTCGGTACCCACGAGGACGGCCTCAACCTGGATCTTAGGTTCCTGTTGCACTACAGATGACCCCACCACACTATATACACACGCAAACACACACATCCATGGGGTGAATTTACATTTGCAGGTTTGTAATCAAAAAGCACACAATTTATAGATAGTCAATGCGGCATTTTATAAATTCTTACTTTGGAAATAAAACCAGTCTGACTCCAAGTTAAAACACAGACAGATTTCAAACAAGGCCTCACACCTCAAATGCTTTGTTTGACCTGAGATGTCACCTCTGGTTTACTGATAAAACCTTTAGTTACCTCGCAGAAGTGACTTGAAAGAAATTCTCGGATTTGCATTTTAATCAATTGAAACCTGCATCTCCTTTCTGTTTAAAGATTTAACAGCCATCTTAGGTTTGTTCAACACATTTGCATCAGTTCTATAACCCTTTGATCTTTTGCTTATAAATTCTGTGTCTGATGCCTCCTCACTCACCAACACCTGAAGAAGGAGCGAGACTCCGAAAGCTTGTGTTTTCAAATAAACCTGTTCGACTGTAACCTGGTGTCGTATCATTTTTGACCGTGTCCACCGCAGTCCAACACCGGCACCTTCACATCACTGAAGCAGCAGTATCAGCTTGACAGGGTTTGCCCTCCACGACAAGCAAACACTATCCAGGCAAATGCCAAATGAAACATTCATTGAACTTTCCAAAGCAACCTCATAGAGATGCAACACACTTGGCTAAACCAGGAAGCATACAAACTTCAATGATATGCAGACCACAAAGATTGGAAGAGATTCTACGATACTTTGATATCTGTCCACTGGCACGAATCTGCTGGTTCATCATTAATCCTCAGTGCTGAGACAGATCAATATAGCTCATAGCAGAAGGCCAAACTTTTAGAAAGCTAGGCAGATCATTTAACCATATCCTCAATTTTCTGTTGTTCATCAATGAAAAAGCAATGAGAAAGCTGCCATCAGGTATGCTCCTTTGACCCTTCCAGGCTTTTAGAAATGACAAAAGCAATCAAACTCCTGTCTAAAAGCAAGGTTCCAGAAGCTGATGTTATTTCAGCTGTGGTCGACAAGATTGGAGGTTAATGCCTAGGCAAGAAGCTCACTAAATTCTTTCAAGCTATGTGGGTACAAGAAACCATCCAAAAGAGTACAAGCATACCTCTATTCTCCACCTGGGCCGGCTAAAAAGGTTTTGCCAATCATATTACAATCAAGAGGAATCTCAATCCTCTCTAACTCCAAAAATATCTTTGCCAGAATCCTTCTGAACCGCTTAGTGCAACATCTCGGTAAAGATCAGCTGTCAGAGAGTGAGTGCTATTTCAGAAAAGGTCAAGGAACCACTGATATATTGTATGCAGTTAGACAGCTCCAGAAAATGTGTCAAGAACATAACATAGGCCATAACATAGGCCACACTGCCACATTTGCTAATCTGACTAAGGTGTCTGACACAGTCAGCTGTGAGGGCCCTTGGAAGAAATTCAACTGTCCTGAGAAATCTATCACATTGGTTTGATAATCCAATGATGGCACGCTCATGCGTGCCCTGAATGGTAGTGAATTTTATGACCCATTCCCAGTCACTAGTGGAGTTAAACAGGACTGCCTGCTCCAGCTAACCCTCTTTGGTATGTTTTACCTACCCTGCTCTCTCATCACAGAAGTAATGATAATTCTGGCATTGAAATCTGATCTTACATGGACAGAAAGGTGCTCAATCTGAGACAACACTAGTAAAAGTCCAAGGTCTCCAAGGATACTTTACCATTGATTGTGCACTACTTGCCTGTTCAAAGCTGGACATGCTATACACAGTGGACATATTCCCACTGCTTGCAACAACTCTGCCTTACGATCATTACAACACAAACTGAAGTGTTGTATTGAGGCTTTGCCTGAAATACCCTGCCTTGAGCCGAAATTAACAATAAATGAGCAGGACTGGTCAACAATGAACATAATCATTTATCTAGGCCACAGGCTCTCTCATTGTCAATACTGTCCATATTGACAATGTGAAATATGCAAGAAATGCTAAGACAAGTGCAGCCCTCAGCAGCCATTGCATATCAGTGTGGGAATGAAGAGGAGAATGTCTGCCTGGCAAACAAACAGTCTATAGAACAATAGTTCTATATATGTCTATGCATCTAAAACTTGGACTGTGTATCAGCATCATGTTGAGAAGCTCAACTACTTTCACACTGAGCTGCCTCTGGAAGCTATTGAAGGTCAGATGGTAGGGGAAAATACCAGACAGTGCCAACCCAAGCTGGTGTGCCAAGCATCCACGCCATACTTAGACAGCCACAACAGAGTTAGGCTGGTCAAGTAGCCAGAATGTATGACACGCTCCTTACCAAGACAAAGCTTCTACGAAGAGGTAAGAGCATGCACTGTCATGGCAGTCAAAAGAAGTGTTGCAAGGGCAGTTTGAAGAATCAACTTAAGAGTTTTTAAACCAACCTCAAGCTTCAAAGAAGCTCACCCAGGTTTGCTGCTGCATTTGTTGCAACCAAGAACAACTAGGGCAGCCTCCTTCGAATGGAGGCACAGAACAGAGACAGAGACAGAGAAAAATGTGTGGAGATAAAATCCCGTGCCAACAACTTGTCCAATACTCAATTGCTACAGTGTCATGTGCTATTTACAGTAGAGCGCTACAGGTTAGGTGTCAGTCTTACTAAATATACGCCCAATGGAACCCAATCACATAGCCCTGAAGATGAATGGCTTCACCTCAAATAATGACAAGTACATACTCTTTCTGGCAGTGAACCTCAGATGCACATGACTCACCAGATGAAAATGAACGTCTTTATCCATCTTTAATCTTTCCACCAATCATTTTAAATCTACACCCTCTCTAGCTACTGTTAAGAGAAATAAGTTCTCCTGATCCATGTTACCTTGGTCACTTATAATTTTATACAGGTCAATTAAATCTCCTTTCAGCCTTCTCTGTTCCAATATAAACAAACACAGCCTAGTGACCTAGATTTCCATTCCTAGCAACATTCCATCTAGCACAGTCACATCCTTCCTGTAATGCATTGACTAAAACCGTCAGCTATGCTCTAACTACAGACTACCTGATATTTTTATAGTTTTTAAAATCCATTCAAAAGAGAGGAATATTGCTGGCAATATAGCTGACAAATTTATTGTCAATCTTAAATGCCCTATGTAAGGTGGTGGCAGCAGACCCAGCACAAGCTCTCTGCTCTTCTGTTCCATGCAACAACCTACAAAGTTTTCCATGTTCATTCTTAACTTCATTCCTTTAGTACAGACAATCTCTGGGTTGCGAACGGGTTCCATTCCTGAGTCAATTCGCAAGTCAATTTTCATATAAGTCAGATCATAATGCAGGACAATATAAAACAGTGGTTCCCAAGTATGGGAAATGTTCGTATGTCAGATCTTTAAAATTACATCTGTGTGGGATCATGTTCAAAAGTACGAGCATTCATCAGTAGGACGCTCGTAAATCTGGGGCTCCCTGTATGTCAAATTTAAGTTGTTCCACTTCTATCAACATTGGGAAATGGATGAAACAAAAACAGAGCGAGACATCCAAATTCTTGGCAGAGGACCTGTTTTCTCTTTTATTCATTCAGGGAATCTAGGTGTCGCTAATTGAGTTCCCATTTATTGCCCATTCCTAGTGGAAGGGAGCTGCCTTCTTGAACTACTGCAGTCCAAATGCTGTAGGCAGACCCACAATGTCACTGGGGAGGAAGTTCCGGGATTCTGATCCAGCAACACTGAAGGAAGGCAGTATACTTCCAAATCAGGATAGTCAGTGGCTTGAGGAGAACTTGCAGGTGGTGACGTGCCTAAGTATCTTTGCCCATGGCCTTCCAGATGGTAATGGTTGTAGGTTTTGAAGGTGCTGTCTAAAGGAACCTTGGTGAACTTCTACAGTGCATTTTGGAGATAGCATACAATGCTGCTACTGTGCATCAGTAGTGGAGAGAGTGAATGTTTGTCGGCAAGCTGGCTGCTGTCTTGGTTGGGACTCAGTTTCTTGATTGCTATTGGTGCTGCACTCATCTGGGAAGTGAGAAGCGAAAAGCATTCCAGCCTGACTTGCACCTTGTAGATGGCGAACAGGCTTTGTGGAAACAGGATACCTCTTATAGCCAAATTTACATGGTTAGTCCAGTTCAGTTTCTGATCAATGGTAACCGTAGGATTTTGCTAGTGGAGGATTCAATGATGGCAATGACTTTGAATTCCAAGTTAAGTTCTCTCGTGTTGAAGATGGTCATTGCCTGGCATTTGTGAGACTTGAATGTTAATTGCCACTTGCTAGACCTAAACCTGGATATTGCCTACATCTTGACATGGACTGCTTCAGTATCTGAGGAATTGCAAATAGTGCTGAACGTTGTGCTATTGTCATCTAACATCCCCACTTCTGACCTTATGATGGAGGAAAGCTGACTGATGAAGCAGGTGAAGATGGTGGAGGACGGGAAGCCTATTCTGGGCAACTCCTACAGAAATGTCCTAGAGCTAAGATAACTAACTTCCAACAACCATTTCCCTTGTTATGACTTCAACCAGCAGAGTTTTGTTAGGGCTCAATGTTGCCACACTCAGTCAAATATGACTTTGATGTTAAGAGCAGTCATCTCACGTCACTTCTAGAATTCATCCCTTCTGGCCATGTTTGAAGGAAAGTTGCAATGAGATCAGGTGCTTTCGTCCTTGCGGAATCCACAATAAGTATTAGTAAGCCTGATAGCTCTGTCTTCCATCACTTTACTGATCGTTGAGATTAGTCCAATGGGGTGATAACTGATCAGGTGGGATTTATCCTTTCTGTATATTGGACATACCCAGGAAATTTTCCCCGTTGTCAGGCAGAGGCCACTGTTGTTGCTGTACTCAAAGAGCTTACCTAGGGACATAGCAATTTCTGGAGCACATGTCCTCAGTACTACTGCTGAAGTATTGCCAGAATCCGACCTGCTGAAGACTGGCACCTGAGATGCAGGGAACCTCTAGAGGAAGCAGATCATGCATCTGGCACTTCAGGCTGAATATTGTTGCAAATGCTTCAGGCTCATCTTTCTCACTGATGTGCTGATATCCCCCATTATTGAGTACAGGGATGTTTATGGAACGTCATCCTTCACTGAGTTATTCAATTGCCTAATCACTCTTCACACCTGGATGTGGCAGGACTGCAGAGCTTAGGTCTGATCTACTGGTTGGGGACTAGCTTAGCTCTATCAGTTGCAGCGTATGTTGGTTGGCACACAAGTAGGCCTGTTTTATAGCTTCATTTGGTTGACACCTCATCCTTAGGTATCACTGGTGTAGCTCCTGGCATGCCTTCGTCCACTGGTTTATTGAACTAGGGCTGTCGCTCTGGTTTGATAGCACTGGTGGAGTGTGGAATACGGCAGGATATGAGGTTGCAGTTCTGTGGGGTACAAATCAGCTGCAGCTGACGGCCCACAGTCCATCATTGATGCCCAATCGTGAACTACTAAATTTGTTTGAAATTGCTCATTAAGCACAGTGATAATGTCACCTAACACAACTGAGGGCATTTGCAATATGAAGACAGGACTTCATCTCCACAAGATCTGTGGGGTGGTCACTCCTAATGTACTGCAATGAACAGATGTATAGGCAGCAGGCAGATTGGTCAGGATGAGATCAACGATGTTTTCCCTGTTTCTCCCTCACCACCCAGTACACCTAGTCTATCAGCTATGTTTTTTTAGGAATTGACCAGCTCGGTTAGTAGTGGTGATTAATGCTGAAGTCTCCCACCCGTTCTGTGCTTTTGCCAGCCTCAATCTTTCCCTAAGTGGTGTTCAACATGGGAGAGTGGTACATGGTGATAACAGAAGGTTTTCTTGGTTTTCCACATTTTATCTGATGCCATGAGATTTCACTTCTTAACCAATGTTGAAAACTTGCAGGGTAACTCCTCCCCAACTTTATACTACTGTGTCACCACCATTGTGCCAGTAGGATCAGATACCTGAGGTGATGGCATTTTCTGGGACATTGTGTATAAGGCATGATTCTGTGAGTATGATTAGGTCAGGCTGTTGCTTGACTAGTCCTAGAGATATTTTAGCATGAGCCCCAGATGTTAGTAAGGACGCCTGTGCAGGATCAACAAGGCTCTGTTTGCCGTTGTCATTTCCTTATTCAATGTCAGGTGGCCCTCAAGTTTCATTCCATTTTCCCTTTTTGTGCAGCTGATGCACTCAGTCTAGAGGACAGTTATGAGTAACCACATTATTATGGATTTTAGAAGATAAGGATGCCTTACAAGGTAAGGATGGCAGTTTCTTTCCCTAAAGAATATTATCAAACCAGATGGATTTTTACGACAATCATCAGACTTTTAATTAATTCAAATTCAAATGCTGTGGTGGGAATTCAACCTGGGGCCTCAAAACATCACCTGGGTCTCTACATTACTAGTCCAGCAACAATACCACTAGGTCATTGCCTCTCCAATTTAATTTATTTATTGTCTTGATCTATATTTTTATTCCAATTGAACTTGGGTAGGTGGGACCAATCACCCAGTACATGAATTGAATTCAAATGTGTTAACAGCTCTGCAAAGCCTTGTGTACCTCCCATACTCGCCTACCTGTAAGGTGCTGGTTGAACCCAGGACCTCTTTGTTACTTCCAAGGGTATGCAATGACATCATGGTATCTTGTCTGTCCAACATTTTGGTCACTTTCAGTGGTTCTTCTGCAGAACAAAAACAAAGCCCATTAAGGTCTTACATGTTTCACTAAAGCCAGTCCTTGATTATAAGACTTTTATGAATCCAATATAACATCATTAAAACACAGGCCCATACTGACAGAAATTTACTCAATTGCTTTTAGTTTAGGTGGATAAGGACATTAACCAAGGCAAGACACCTTTCCTAAAACTAATTTTTCTGTTCAGACACACATTAAAATGTGTTCAACCGCTTTCAGAAATGTGATTAGATCTTGAATTGGTTAGAAAAATAAAATGTTAAACTTGTACTCTACCGATTTATTAAGATGGAGATTGACACAGACAAAATGCAGCAAAACTTAGATTATTTTACCTTTAACTTGTGGTAGCGAAAAAGGCATGGGATGACCATTCCGATCCCGTTGTATGATTTGCTGCATAAATGCTATGTGGTCAGAGTCAGCTAATGGCAATTCACGGTCACTAAGATCCTGTTGCAAACAGCTATGGAAAAGGTTTAACAGGATCTCATTGGGTAAAGAGGTAGTCTCCTTTGTACTCTCATCATTCTCTGCTGAAGGAAGGGAAACAACACAGAATAAGGTGCAAATATTCACAAGACTTCTATCTTAAAATACTTTTTGGGAAGAAGTGGTATAATGTTTACAGCTGTACCAGACTTGAACACAGGTTGAACACATATTGGTAACCAGTTATAAGGAATGCACTATCATTTGTTCAGAAAATTTGATTATTTGTTCCCATTCTATACTACCATTTTTATAAACACAACCAATTTGGAAAAAAAATACTTCTTTCACCACAATTTATTAATCTGCATTTCTGTTTATAAGTTAAAGAACTTTTTCCAACAATGCTATTCGTGGGCATGGAAAGGACAGGGGACGTATGGAAATGTATTTCAGTTAAAAGTCCTTCCTTGTCCAATCATCACCACCCTGTTTCTCACCACATGCAGAAACAAACACTCAGCTTAGTAGTCACATTCCCACTCTCCTCCGAGGCAGGTCTGGATTGTTCAGGGTTCTCCTTCCTACAGCAGCAGCTAACTCATGAATAAATGTGTTATGTCTGTATTTGGGTAAAATTGCACATTATAGTGGCACAATGTGTGCACCATCATAGCACAGAGGCAGTATTGGCATCCGTCATTTAGGGAAAGCAAAACAGTGGAATCTTACCTTTAGTCAACATGTGGAAAAACAGTTCTATTTGTTGACATTTTGACAAAAGCTTCATCAGATCAAACTGGAATGGAACAGCTCGAATAAAATCATTCTCTGTTTCATAATCACCTGCTTGGAAGAGAAAATAGCAATTAATCTAGGCGTAATGGGGAATAAAAAGGATCCAAGATACAGATAGCAAGCTAAGACTATTTGAAGAATCTCTTTAATTTACAGTAGGCAGGCTTATTATTGGGAAATAATAAACATGTGGACGTCACTTATCCCTAGTTACATAAGAACTAGAAGCTGGAGTAGGCAATTCAGCCCTCAAGCCTGCTCTGCTATTTGATACGATCATGTCTGATCTCATCTCAGCCTCAATTCCACTTTCCTGTCCGCTTGCCATAAATCTTCAACCCACTACTAAATAAAAAACTGTATCTCCATGATGTTCAACGTTCCATAGACAGCTGCTCTCGCCACGTCCTGAGATCCACACACAGTGCCATGTGGCATCACATGCAGATTCTCAACTTCAGTCTCCAAAAGGATCGCATCACACTGGCTCAGGGCTACACAAATCCATAGTTCCACTTCATCCTCCAACTCATTCACAGGGCTAGCAAAAAACCTTTTCTTTTCCTTTCAGGCATCACAGCCCACAAAATGCAACAACTAAGAGATACCCATGGCCCTTTCGAACTTTCCTCCCCTCCCTTTCCCTCTGACTCCATTCCCTCCCCCAACCCCACCTCCTGTTGGGTATTCACCATCCCTCCTAACTTTCCACTCTCCAATGCTGAACATTCCGTACTCAGCAAAAGGTCTCAGCTTTATCCCTCTGTGACCCCACCTTAACGAATTTGGGGCACAACATGACATCGAATTCTTCTTCCACTTCCTTCACCTCCGTGCCCAATTCTTTGGGAAAATGTCTTCTCCCCATCCCACAGATCACTTCACCCAGTTCCAATACTCTCCATCTACTTGGACCCCTCCCTCTGGCCTTTTACCTCCACTTGACCTGTTCCTTGAGAACTGTCAACATGACTTTGATCGCTTCAATTTCTCTGCCCCCCTCACCCAATCCAATTTACCTCCCTCTGACCTGACTGCATCCCATGCGCTTAGATCCACCCGGGATTTTGTTGCTAAGCCTGCTTATAAGAGTGTTGCTGTTACAGTCTGGCATACTGACCTCTACATTACAGAGGCTGAGCGCCAGTTCTCAGATTCCTCCTCCTATATTCCCCTGGACCATGACCCCACCTTGGCACATCAGGCTACGACAACAGGTACAACTGTTGCTACAGGTATCAACAATAGTAACTGATCTCATTTCATCTGGTGATCTCCCCCACAAAATCACTACCGCCAAGCTGATAGTCCCCCAGCCCTGCACAGCTCGCTTCTACTTCCTTCCAAAAATCCATAAACAGGACTGTCCGGGCAGACCCTTTGTTTCAGCCTGCTCCTGCCCCACAGAACTCATCTCTTCTGACCTTGACTCAGTCTTCTCTCCCCGGTCAAGTCCCTGCCCATGTACATCTGTGATTCCTCCGACGTTTTATGCCAGCTTCAGAATCTCCAGTTTGCAGGCTGCAGCCATGGACCTCTTTACCATGGACGTGCAATCCCACACATCCATTCCCCACCAGGATATTATCAGGGCTTTCTGTTTCTTTCTAGAGCAAAGGCCTGAACCATCCCCACCCACCCACCTCCCTCTTCTACTTGGCCGAGCTTGTCCTCACCCTCAACAATTTCTCTTTTAACACCTCTCATTTTCTTTAGGTCAGAAGGGTGGCTATGGATACTTACATTGGCCCCAGTTATGCCTGTCTCTTCGTGGGGTATGTGGAACATTCCTTGTTCCAATCCTATTCCAGCCCCCATCCACAACTCTTTCTCCGATATGTTGATGATATTACTGGTGCTGCTTCCCTCTCTTGTCCGGAATTGGAAAAGTTCATCGACTTTGCTTCCAATTTCCACCCTGCCCTCACTTTCACCTGGTCTGACTCTGACTCCTCCCTTTCCTTCCATGACATCTGTTTCCATTTCTGGGGACAGCACAGCTACCTGGACTATACATTCTTGCACCCGGCTTCCTGCAAAGACTCCATTCCATTCTCACAGTTTCTCTGTCTCCATCACATATGTTCCTATGAGGGCAACTTTGAGAAGGCAGTATCTGAAATGTCCACTTTCTTCCATAACCAAGGAATCCCCTGCACCATTGTCAACAAGGCCCTCAACCGGGTCCGACCCATCTCCTGTACTTCTGTCCTCACCCCCTTTCTTCCCTCCCGCAGCAGCGATAGGGGTCCCCTTTTTCCTTACCTACATCACACCAGCATCCACATGCAGAAGATCATCAGCCACCATTTCTGCCACCTCCAGTGAGATGCCACCACAATTTACATATTCCCCTCCCCTCCCTTTCTGCAGGGACCATTCTCTCCAGCACACCCTGGTACACTCCTCCTTCATTCCCAACAACCATTCCCCCCCACAAAATGCTCCACGGCACCTTCCCCTGCAACCGCCGAAGGTGTAACACCTGCCCACTTACCTCCTCCCTCCGCAGTATCCAAGGGCCTAAATATACCTTCCAGGTGAAGCAACACTTCACCTGCATTTCCCAGAATCTAGTCTACTGCATTCGCTGCTCACAATGTGGTCTCCTCTACATTGGGGAAATGAAGCGTAGACTGGGTGACTGCTTCACAGAACATCTACGTTCTGCTTGCAAAAAAGACGCTGAGCTTCCAACTGCCTGCCACTTGAACACACCACCCTGTTCCCTGGCCAACGTCACTGTCTCAGGCTTGCAGCAGTGTTCCAGCGAAGCCCAGCACAAGCTGGAAGAACAGCACCATTTTCCACTTGGGGACCCTGCCGTCCTCTGGACTCAATATTGAGTTCAATAATTTTAGGGCCTGAACTCTGTCATGTCCTAGTTCCCTATCCCTCACACCAGGCCTTGTTATCACATAGCCTGCCATTACACACCACCCATTGTTAGCAACTAACAGCTTCCATTAATAGCTAATCACCCTCCTAGCCAGATCCTATGACTGTCCAACTGTTCTTTTCTTGTCTAGGCCCGAAACGTCAGCCTTCCTGCTCCTCTGATGCTGCTTGGCCTGCTGTGTTCATCCAGCTCTACACCTTGTTATGGCAGATACTGAAATGTGAATTCAATAAAAATTGAAATTAGAAGCTGGATTGTCATAAAAAATATCTGGTTCACCGAAGTCTTTTTAAGGGAAGCAAATGTGCCATTTTCACCTGATCTGGTCTACACGCAACTCCAGATATCATGCACTGCAAGTGACTCAACTTTCCCCTGAAATGGCCTAGCAGATCACTCAGTTGCATCAAACTGCTACAAAGTCTAAATAAAGCAAAGAAACCAGATGAAGTGTTCAGTATCAACCACCAAGCTCCACAAACAACAACAGCCAAACACAGCCCTGACGACAATATTTTCTCTAAGCTGCGTGTCTATGCACGCCAATCGCCATGTGGATGCACTGAAGTCCAGTCCCAGATATTGTATGCAAACATTAGAGGAAATACACATCAAACATGCAAAGTCTGCCTTACCCACATCTGGGGCTTATGTCAAATTGGAAGAGGTGTCCCACAGATTAGACAAGCAACAGCCTGACTTTGTCATTCTCACAGAATCATACCTTCCAGGCAATGTCCCAGTCACCACCATCACCATTGCTGGCTAGATCTTATCCAACTTGCAGGACACACTCACCAGAGGTAGCTTCACAGGGATATACAGTCTCAAGGAGGAGTTGCCCTTAGAAACCTCAACACTGACTCTGGACCCCCTCCAAAATGCAATAACCCTTGATTTCCTCCCGATTAAAAATCTGTCTCTCTTGACTTGAGCATACTCATTGATGTAGCAGCAGGAAAAAAAAACCTAAGCTGTTTGGAGACATGCCTACCACAAAGGAAGACAGTTGTGATTATTTGAGGTCAATCATCTCAGCCACAGGACATCATTGCATCATTTGTCAAAGTAATGTCCTACACCCAAACTTCTTCAGCAGCTTCCTTAATGACCTTCCCTCCCTCATAAGGTCCAAGATGGGGATGTTCATATATGTTTGCAATATTCAGCACTATTTGCAACTCCTCAGGTACTCAAGCAACGTGTCCATATGCAGCAAAACTTGAACTGGATTGTGGCAAGAAATATTTGGGCCGCATAGGTAAAAGACAACGAATATCTCCAACAAAAGAAAATCAAACCATTGCCTCTTGATGTTTAATGGAAATACCATTATTAAATCTTTTACCATCAACATCATGGCCATTGAGCTGAAACTGAACTGAACCTGTTATATAAATACTGTGGCTACAAGTACAGGTCATAGTTTAGGTATTCTGCACCAAGTACACCAAGTAAATACCGGGAAAATGCTCTGTTCACAACCAACACTCATTTACAGTTCCAATAGAAGCTTTACAAAAAAAAGTGCTACCTGCGTTGGAGGAAAAGATTTTACAGGCTATTAAATCAGAAACTCAGTAAATGTTCAAATTCTACCATGGTAGATGTTAGAATTTGAATTTAATGTTAAAAATCTGGAATTAAGAGAAAACTGTTGACATTGAAACTATTGGTGGTTGTCGGGAAAACCCATCTGGCTTGCTAATGTCCTTCAGAGAAGGAAATCTGCCATCCTCACCTGGTCTGGCCTACATGTGACCCCAGACCCACAGCAATATGGTTGGCTTTCATCTGCCCTTTGAAATGGCCTAGCAAGTTCCCGGTTCCGAGATGGCGGTAGAGTACCAGGGCAGCGTGCGGGCTCTTGCCCGGGGCTCATCTGCTTTCTTTCTTTTTAACTTTTTATGTCTGTTCTTTTTCTTTTATTTTCGTTTTCTTTAGCAGGTTAGTTGGTGGAATTCACACGGGCCACCTGCAGAGGGGCAGCAGGCTTGGAGGCAGTGGACTTGGCACATCTGGACAATTGGAGACGGTGGCAACAGCTGCGAGGATGTCCTTGTTTGGAGCTGGCGGCGATGGCAGTGGCAGCAAAGCTCCTCCAGCGATCGAAGGCAGCACGGCAGCGGCCTGGCCTGAGAACAGAGCTAGGGATTCCTGGTTGTAGTAGGCCCAGAGCAGGGACTCCTGGCATTGGCGAGGCAGTGGTTGCAGCAGCATCAGCATGGCATGGAGCGCGGACTCCAGGCACTATCATGGCAGCAGCGGAGCCAGGGACTCCTGGTTGCAGGGCGAGTGTGAGCTCAGCATGGGACTCAGCGTCAGCGAGGCGGGCACAGCGGCAAAGAGATGGTGCCTAACGAGTGGAGACTCCTACATTGGTGGGTAAAGCACAGATGGCGGCAAAGTGGTGGAGGAGGGGTGGCGGTGCAGGTGTCACTGGTGAGCTGGCTCAGGACTCAGGCAGCGGAAGGAAGATAAGTGGTGAGGGAACCAACAAGAAGGAAAAATATCATTGACCTCATGACTACCAATCTGCTGGCTGCAGATGCATCTGTCCATTGCAATATCGGTTAAGAGTGACCTCCGCACAGTCTCATCTTCACATTGAGTATATCCTTCATCGTGCTAAATGGGTCAGACTTTGGATAGATCTAGCACCTTAAGACTGAGCGTGCACGAGACAATATGGGCCACCAACAGCAGCAGATTCGTACTCCAGCACAATGTGGCCCGGAATATCCCCCACTGAACCATTATCATCAAGCTGGGGATCAACATTGGGTTATATGGAGAGTGTAGTTCAGCCTGCTACCAGGCATACCTAAAAATGAGGTGTCAACCTCCTGAAGCTGCCAAACAGGACTACTTGCATGCTAAACTGCATTGGAAGCAAGAGATTGACAGAGCTAACCGATAACACTACCAATGGATCAGATCTAAGCTCTGTAGTCCTACCACAGCCAGTCGTGAATGGTGGTGGACAACGAAACAATTCACTGGAGGAGGAGGTTCCAAAAATTCCCCATCCTCAATGATGGAAGAATCCAGCACATCAGTGCAAAAGTCAAGGCTGAATTATGCACAGCAATCTTCAGCCAGAAATGCCAAGTGGATGATCCATCTCATCCTCCTCCAGTGGTCCCAGCATTACAGATACCAGTCTTCAGCCAATTCAATTCACGTCACATGATATCAAGAAACAATTGGAGGTACTGAATACTATGGGCCTTGACAACATTCCGGCAATAGTACTGAAGACTTACACTCTAGAACTTGTCCCTCCCTAGCCAAGGTCTTCCAGTACAGTTACAACACTGGCTTCTATTGACCTGCTCAGTGACACCCAGTTTGTGTTCCGCCAGGACCACGCAGCTCCTGATGTCATTACAACCTTGGTTCAAACATGGACAAAAGAGCTGAATTCCAGAGGTGAGGCGAGTGTGACAGCCCTTGCTACCAAGGCTACATTCAAGCGTAGCATCAGAGAGCCCTAGCAAAACTGGAATCAATGAGAATGAGGGGACAAACTCTCCTCCGGTTGGAGTCATACCTGGCACGAATGAAGTTGGTTGTGGTTGTTGGAGGTCAGGAGATCTCTAGGAATTCCTTAGGTTAAATGTCCTCGGCCCAACCACCTTCAGTAGCTTCATCAATGATCTACCCTCCATCCAAAGGTCAGAAGTGGGTACGTTTACCAATGAATGCGCAATATTCATCACCATTCACAATTCATCAGATATTGAAGCAGTCCATATTCAAATGTAACAAGATCTGAACAACATACAGGCTTGGGCTAAATGGTGGCAAGTAACATAAGTGCCACACAATTGCCAAGCAATGACCATCTCCAATCTAACCACTGCCCCATGACATTCAATAGTGTTACCATCACTGAATCCGCCACTGTCAACATCCTTGGGGTTTCAACTGACCAGAAACTCAACTGGATTCACCACATAAATAGAGTAGCCTCAAGGGTAGGTCAGAGGCTTGAAATACTGCAACAAGTAACTCATTCCTGATCCCCAAAGCCTATCCACCATCCTCACAGCACAAGTCAGGAGTGTGATGCAATACTACCCACTTGCCTGGATGGGTACAATCCAACCACATTCAAGAAGCTAGACACTATCCAGTACAAGGCAGCCTGCTCAATTGGTACCACATCCAAAAGCGTCCATTCCTTCCACCAACGATCCTCAGTAGCAGCAGTACGTACTATCTACAAGATGCACTACAGAAATTCAAAGATCCTTAGATAGCACCTTCTGAAACCACAACGACTTCCACCTAGAAGGATAAGGGGAGCAGAGACAGGAACTCTACCGCCTGCAAGTTTCCCTCTAAATCATTCACCATCCTGACTCAGCATCACCATTACATCACGGTCGCTGGGTCAAAATTCTGGAATACCCTCCCCAATGGCATTGTGGGTCAACCCAGAGCACATGGGCTGCAGTGGTTCAAAAATGCAGCTCATGAACACCTTCTCAAGGGAAACTAAGAATGGGTAATAAATGCTGGCCAGCCAGTGCCACCCACATCCCAGCACACTCTGGTACACTCCTCAAATTTAAAAAATTAAAAAGGTATTCTTTCAGCCTTGCGTGAAACTGTTCAATTGGTCATAACACTGGTGGCATACAGTCATAATAAATTATATTTATAATGTGCCCTAAAAGTATAAAACATTTCTAGATGCAATAAAAAGCAACTGTCAAATAAAATTTGATTTCAGCCAAATAACATATCCAAACATGTAGCCAAAACCCTTCCAAAAAGTAGTTTTTAAGGAATGCCTTGAAGCAGGTAAGACAGGTAGAGAAGTTTCTGGATGGAATTTGAGTTTGGGCCACAGCAGCTGAAGCCATAGCCACCAATAATAGATTAATTAAGATCAAGTACACATATGAAAACAAATTGTCAGAAACAAATATCTCACAGATTTGAAGGTTTAGAGGAGATTACAGTTACAGAGAATGGTAAGGCCATGGAAGAATTTGACAACAAAGATATGAATTTTTGAACTCAGCTGTACACCACTGCAAATAGTCAGCCTCAGTTCTAACTTTATAACCCTAGATTATAGGAGTCATCATTCACTACATTTTAAATTTGTTTGGTGGTACATGTATGAATTGAACACATATGAGGGACAATGGCAGCAACAAAACATCAGTATGGAATAATATCAATTACATTAGTAACTATTAAGGTAGATGGGTGGTACAGTGATTCAATATTTCAATGAGTTTTTTGTTGTGCGTGGTCAAGTATTCATAAAGGCTAACAATTGCTGTCTACTTAATAAAGACACGTCAGCACTGTCCAAACTTCTATACACCTCTTAGGCTTTAAAATTCTAGTCCTAGCTTCCATCTCTTTTAAATCCCTACCTTCTGTGCTCCTTGACCCCCACAGCGGCAAGATGTAGTCTTTATTCTGACAGAGTTGACTCAGATGTTCAAATGTCAACATGGAAGATACACATGCATAGTCTTGTGGAAAAATCTGGGAAAAAAATAAGTTATACTTATGAAAATACTTCACATCATCAACCCTTGCAGAACATAATCAACATGAAAAGATCTCTTCAATAAGAAACTGATGGATTAAATTTGCAGAAGATTCAATGTTAAAGTACAATTTTAAGTGTTTCAAAATCCTGGTAGTCTCGAGAAAGGTTTGTTTGCCAATCCCAGAGGATGATATAACTGTGCAAGAGGTTGACATTTTTTTTAAAAAAAAACAAAAATTAAAACTTCAATTTAAAATTGTCAAGCTTTTCTATAGCTTCTTTAAGAGAAGGACCATCAAATTTCAAAATATCAGTCTTTTTTGCTCAGTGTTTAGTTTCGCTTTGCTGTTGGATTATTTGTTGACAGCAGACAATACACACAACATTCCAAGGAGTATTTGGCTCTTGTGCATGTCATTCATTTCTGCGCACGATAACAGTAAACTTTACGCTCAAGATAGTAGCTCACTGCACTCAAGGATTGCTGAATCCCTGCACAACGTAAAATTAGCACGTTGGAATTCGCAAACCTCCAGTAAACAGCAGAATAATCCAACCTGCTGATTGAGGAGTTTTTTCTTCTTTATTCATGAATGGGTTGAGGGCATTGCTGGCTAGACAGCATTTATTGTCCATCCTTAATTACCCAGAAGACAGATCAGAGTCAGCCACACATTGCTGTGGGTCTGGAATCACATGTAGGCCAGACCAGGCAAGGATGTCACAGTTTCCTTCCCTAAAGGACATCTGTGGACCAGATGGGTTTTTTCCCGACGATCGACAGTGGATTCATGGTCATCATTAGATTCTTAATTCCAAAATTCAAATTCCACCGTCTGCCATGGCAGGATTCGAACACAGGTCCCCATGATGTTATCTGGGACTCTGGATTAACAATCCAGCCATAATACCACTAGGCATTGGCTCCCCTTTCATTTGGCCAGCATTACAGATGATCCCAATCAGTGAGCACCACCAGTCTCTGAATCCCACACAAGTAAGTCGTTTTACCCAGTGCATACTGATTGTGGAGACACTCTTTGTTTAGAAATGATCAAACCCTCTGAGTGCAGAAATGCTCTTAACTGATTTGGAGTAATTTCCCAAATAACTTACTGCTTTCGGGATGTCTAAATAGGACAATCCATTCAAGTACTTGCGGCTGTCAGCAGAGGTAACCACATGACCGCTCTGAGGCTCCACCCAACATTCAGTCACTAAATTTAACTCTGTGTCAAGTTCAATTGCCTCAACTTCAGTATCATTATCGTCATCTGTGGAGAAGCTAAGAGAAAATTGGACGCAGATCAATAGTTGTCTATATATTGCATGCAAATATTGAACAGATGAAGCTTGAAAATATATTAAAAAACCATATTCAATATCTGAAAAAAGTCCAAAAAGCAGATAAAAAGTGCCACCATTGTCAATACATGATGGTAAAGTGATATCACACCTACACGCTCCACACACAACGGAGATTTACTCGGATATTGCCTGGATTGCAGCGTTTTACTGTGGAGAGAGGCTGGATAGGCTTGGGTTGTTTCTTTAGAGCTGAGGAGGCTCAAAGGGAGCTTGATGGAGGTGTACAGATTTGATTTGATTTAGTTATTGTCATGCGTATTTTGTTACAAAATACAGCAAAAAGTATTGTATGGTGTCGCCACGCCCTGGTGCCATCTTAAAATAGAAATGTAAGCCAAAATATAGCATATAAAGGCAGAAAAATGAAGAAATAAAGAAAAAGTGTTCAACTTTACAGTCCTTATTGGGCCTGGTGACCCTCACACTAACAGTGCTCCCTGAACATTGCCACTGCAGACACCACCGATGCTGCTGGGTATTGACCGGCCCAAACTCGAGTCCGCCACTGGCACAAGTCTGCTTTGGGCCCACCTCACCGACGCAGCCGCTGCTGACGCTGCCAGGTCAGGTTGGATAGGATTAGGATACAACCATTAGTTGTACGGTCAATAACGAGGAGGCATAATTTTAAGGTGAAAGGAAAGGGGTTTAGAGACGATTTGAGGAAATTTTTTGTTTCCATCCACTGGATGAAGAAAATTTGGAATGCACTGCCTGTGAGGGTAGTAGAGGTGGGAAACCTCATAACCTTTAAGAAGTACGCAGATGAACACTTGCAACATCATAATGTTCAAGACCATGGCCCAAGTGCTGGAAAGTGGGATTAGCAGAGATAGGCCAGCACAGGCACAATGGGACAAAGGCCTCTTCTGTAATGTATGGCACTATGTTGCTAATATGCTTTCCACACTTCTGAAGAAACTCTTGCTATAATCCAGTTCCACAGGTACCAGCAGACCTAACATATTTAATCAAAATGGTGAGTCTTCGTGTGAACATAAACACTAAGTGCTGGAAGGTTATTCAAGTATGGAGTCATCACAACTCAGCTTAATCCACTGCTCGCCTGGACATCAGGCATGCTTCTAAGAAGGGTTTATGAATGATAATGATTTTCTACCTTCCTTCCCCAAGATTCTGAGAATAATTGCAGTAATTCAATTACTGCAACAGCAGAAATAGCCAGTGCAGCAAAGACTGCAAATTAAACTGTGACCTTCAGATCTATATGGCTTCACGCTACACTGGGCAACCTCTTTAGATATGTGATCGTCAGACCAGCTACCTGCCAAAACTACTGAGCAGCACAGCATATTTAATGAAGTTGCAGAATAACTGGCTTGACAACAACAAGTGGTATTTTCCAGTAAAGGTCAGCTAGATAACAGTTGGCCAGAGGTAACCATTAGGGATTTATAAAGATCACGCATTCGTAATAAAATTCACTCCAGTATCCTTCTGTTTATTTCATATAACTAACCCCAGATTGTATTTTAAGAGACCTAGAATTAAAAACTACATTATGCAAGATGTATTTAGATAGAAAAGTATTTAAATAGTCAATGACAATTTAATGTCACCATTTTGCAATCTGCTTAATTCACACCATAAAAGGAATAATCCACATACATAATAATATCAGATCATTTCTGAACAGCAGTTTCATATATCAGAAGTTTACCTGTCTTTGGTAGATGTAGTATGAGGTGGAAAGATGATGTACTGTACTAGGCATGTGTGCAGCACATCATTATCAGCATCACATCTTGAATTGCCCTGCATCCAAATAAGTTGCATTAACAAACAGCTCCAACAAAACACATCTACCAATCCCAAATACGTGGAATCAACTAGTTTAAGATTTTCAATATGCAATGCACATAATGTAAATGATTAACGTGGAAAACAATTTCCTTCTCCAGTACTGATGTCTTAAATACTTACAGATTTATCTAATAGGCTCCACTCAGTCAGTTTAACTGAGGAAGAAGAAATGGAAGGGACCACAGATTCATATTCTAACAAGACGTTTGGTTTCCTTAATAGTGTGCACGTCACTTTCAATCAGAATGTTCAGACACCCAAGCAATGAACTTTCATAAAGTATACTCTCAGCAACCTTACCTTCATAGGTAACTCAATCACCATGGTGACAATGCCATCTCCAGTGGCAGCAAAGTGGAACCCTTCAGACAAACGAATTCTAAACATTGAGACAGACAAAACAGATGCAATAATGGCCTTGTAAGTCTTTATACTACATTTGTTGTGAACAGACACATTATATTGAAAAGAAAATTATGGGGAGGCAGTGGCATGATGGCAATGGCACTGGTCTAATAATCCAGGCTAATGATCTTGATAAGTGGGTTCAAAATCTAATGCAGCAGATGGTAAAATTAGAATTCAATAAAATCTGGAATTGAGAGCTAATGTAATTACAACAACTGTAACCATTGCTGTTTGTTACAATCCATATCCGGTGAAAGGATTAAAAAAAATGCTCAATTGTAAAACTGTATCATAGTACATACAATCTGAACTAATGATGGTTGTTTAGCGAATCATGTATGTTAACAATTCTGAACTTTTAGCTCAATCAAGGTCCCCTCAAAGCTACTCACCTTCAAGATTTTGAAATATACCGTCCTTCCTTCAGCTTTGCTGTATTAGGGGTCTACCTACAACACATGTACTGCAGCGGTTCGTAAAGGCAGCTCACCACCACTTCTCAAGGGCAAATAGGGTTGAGCAATAAATGCAGGCCGAGCCAGTGAGGTCCATGTCCCACAAGTAAATTTTTTTTTAAAATCCTTTAATGGATCCTTATACTGATCTGGCATACAAGTGACTTCAGAATCATGTCACTGTAGTTGATTCTTCACTGCATCCTGAAATATCCAAGCAATCCACTCATAACTGTCACACCACCACAAAATCTAAACAAAGTAATAAGTGGGCCGCCAGGCATGACCTAGGTATCAGCGGAGACAGCAGTGAATATTGCTCCGTTAACCCTGCAATGTTCTCATTACCCTCATCTACAGGCTTGTGCCAAAAGTGGGTAAGATAATCCACAGAGTTTTCAAGCAATTTCCTAACATTGTCTGCAAGGTATGATTCCTTAAGTGTAACAATGTCCCAGATTCCACCCTACATCCTACTGTATAACACCTCACTATCCAAGGCCCTTGGCACACCTTCCTCCAGCAATTTATCTAAACTTCACTCAATCTAGTCTACGGTACTTGCTGCTCACAACGTGGTCTCCTCTACACTGGGGAGATGAAATACAGACTTGTTGTTCCTTATCTCGTGTAATGTCACTTGTATATTTTAAGAAATAATGCACAGTTTCAGTCCTATCAAAAAGCTCCCAACCAAAGACAAAAAAAAATTCTGAATTTTCATGATAAATGCACAGTCACGTTTTGTCTTTAGAGTGTAACTCCTCCAAACTAACACTGAATATTGATCTTTCCAAATTACATGCTCACTTTCAGCAATCTAGATCTACATCATGAAATTCACAGATCTCCTTACAGAACCCAAACATCAGCCAATCTCAGTCTGAAAATCTTAGATTAAAGAGAACTAGATGCGTCAAATTTTTGACATAACAAGGATAGCTTAAGTGGTTGTAGAGAGGCATTTTGGGTAATTTCAGGATAGAGACATGATAGATATGACTAATTGAAGTTGTGCAAATTAAGCTTGGCATAAAGATATTTTTCAAGTATCAAATCATGGATTTTCGGAATAGACTGGATAGACTTAACAAAGCTGAATCAGAGATAGTAGGAACCGCAGATGCTGGAGAATCCGAGACAACAAGGTGCAGGGCTGGATGAACACAGCAGGCCAAGCAGCATCATAGGAGCAGAAAGGCTGACGTTTCGGGCCTAGACCCTTCATCAGAAAACAAAGCTGTTGCTTTCTTAAAATATTTTCTCCACAGACCAAAACATTAACAATAATTGTTTCTTACTCAGTGAGAATAGAAAGCATCTGTGCTGCAGAAGTGATGGGCACTGATGGGCCCAAACTTGGCTGCACAGACCATATCCAGCGTTGATGATAAAAGTAACGAGACAGGGAGGCAAGCGTGGAGGAAGCTGTGCGAGTAGTTGTCATTGTTGTAGCTCCTGACATAGATGCTGGATGCCCACAGTTGTCTAAGTTCAAGATAAAAGGAGTTCGATAGTCTGATGGAAGCTTCTCATACCTTGGAATTAGACATAAAATAGCACATGTTAAAAAAGGGCAATATCCAGAAATCCTTTTGCTTATTCGATATAAACAACTGTGGCAATCATGTCATATTTTCAGAAGCCAAAATTTCAAACACCAAAAGCTAATGATAGCTAAAGGGAAGCTGTGGCAGTGTTAAAAGTCATTGGGCTAGTCATTGAGAATTCCAGACTAATGTTACAGAGACCCAGAAACAAAGAACTGCGGATGTTGGAAATCTGAAAAAGAAGCTGGAGAAATTCAGCAGGTCTGGCAGCATCTGTCGAGAGAAAGCAAAGGTAATGTTTCCAATGACCCTTCATCAGACCAGATTGTAAGTAGGAAAAAGGTTGGTATATAATGGGTGGGGGAGGGGTAAGGAGAAGAGGAGGAAGAGGAATAAGTGACAGGAGTCCAGAAAGAGAACAGCAGTTAGGCAGAAAAAGGGATGGATAATGATGAGCTGGGGAGAAAGAAAAGCTGAAAATGGGTCCATTAGCGGGTGATAATGGGTAGGCTGTCATGAAAGCACCTGATGTGATGACAAGGCCTGGGGTGAAGGGGTGGGTAAAGGGCATGGAAGGTGGTGCTTAGGCCCTATAATTATTGAACTCGATATTGAGTCCTGAAGGCTGCAGGGTTCCCAAGCAGATAATGAGAAGCCATTCTTCCAGCATTGCTGGAGCACTGCAGCAGGCCCGAGACAGAGTTTTTGGCCAGGGAACAGAGTGGTGTGCTGAAGTGGCAGACAATTGGAAGCTCATGGTCATTTTTGCAATGTTCCACCGAGCAGTCACCCAGTCTGTGTTTTATCTCCCCAGTGTAGAGGAGACCACATTGTGAACAGCCAATATAGACTAGATTAAGTGAAGTGCAGGTAAATCACTGCACCAAGTTGTGTCTGGGGTCTTGGATAGTGAGGAAGGGGCAAGTAAACAGGCAGCTTTCAGGACTCAATACTGAGTTCAATCATTTTAGAGCCTGAGCACCTCCTTCCATGTTCTCTACCCAAACTTTACAATACAGGCCTTGTCATCACATCAACTGTTTTCATCACAGCCAACCGATTTTCACCCACTAATGGCCCTCATTTGCAGCTTTTCTTTATCCCCAGCTCACCATTATCCATTCCTTTCTCTGCCTAACTGCTGTGCGCTCTGTCTGGGCTCTGTTCCACCAATCATTTGCTTCCACTTCCCTCCACACGCCTTTCCAGTTCTGAAGAAGGATCACTGGACCCTGAAACATTGATGCTGCTTTCTCTGCTGCCAGACCTGCTGAGTTCCACCAGCAATTTCTGTCGTTGCTTGTTGTTAATGTTCCAGGGACTTGGATTTGAATCCTATCGTGGCAGATGGTGAAAGCTAAATTTAAGTAAAAAGGTGAGTCTAATGTCAGCCACATAACAATTAGCAATTGTCGTAAATATCTAATTGGTCCTTTACGGAAGGAATCTGTCCTCCTTCCTGGTCTAGCCTGTGTGAGACATCAGACCCAAGCAATAGGTTGGCTCTTAATTGCCTTGTGAATGGCCTAGCGGGGCTCTCTATTCAAGGGCAATAAGGGATGAGCAATGCTGACATCCCATGAATGAATTTTAAAAATTCAAATATCATCTATAAAAGGATCCCAGATTTAAAACTATGCCATAATTTTTCAAAGAGAAGGGTGTCTCCCACATGTGCCTATCTCCTTTTCTAATCTTTTTTGGATAATATGTGACTCTTTGTAGTACTAGTATCACGTTACACAGCACTGCCAATTGCATTCATACTTGATCTAGTACAACATCATTTCTTATATGGGCATTTATGTTAGATACAGTCATTTGTGAACAACATTGCACTTTGTGATTAGATCATACTATCATTCAATTACACTGACTCAGCTGCAGAACTGGGAAGGTTGTTGCGCTACGGTAATGGTTTCTCAATTCATTGTTTGCTGATCAATACCTAATGAGAAGCTTTTCCAATGGTTTTTTCAGAATTACAACACAGGGTCGATCAGAAAGTGCCAGCTGTGTGGCAGGAAGAGGAGGAGACTTTGAAGGAGAGGCATTCCCCAGATGTTTCCTCTTGACTTTTGGTGTTGCTTCTTTGCTTTGCACTCTTTGGGGAAAGCGAAGTGAAAGTATCTGATCTCGCAGTTCATCAACAATCTGCCAATATAACCACATAGAATATTCAGCACATGGTGCAGGACAAAGTGATCAATTACTGTACAAATATCCACAATATTGAATGGTGTCACTCTCATTTGGATTGTGCAGATCAAAACTGGAATTTTGCTATTCTGAATGGTGGAATTATATCATGATATAATTTACTGACAAATATAATAACTGTTTCACATCTAACATAAATAAAAAAAACACTTAATCTGGCATGAATTACCATGGTATATTTGATGCCTTGTTGCTTTAGTGCTTGCATTGATGTGTTTACCAATCAGAGGTCTGCTCATACATTCACTATTAATGCTCTTTCATCCTTGTTCTTCCTTCAGGACATCCAGCATAACTTATTAACGCATTATGGAGCTGTTAGTCTATCACTATTGGAGGTTACAGACTCTCAAATGTGATTACTACTAACCTACATAAATTACAAACAGAAGTAGATCATTAAGCCCTTCAAGTTAACACCACCATTCGATAAAATCATGGCCAATTTGATTATAGTCTCAACTCCCCATTCAACTATCCTAATAACTTTATATTCTTAACTAACAAGGGAGTAAATGGTAGTGGTGGTGAAGGACTACTGGTAATGTCACTAGAACAATAATCCAGAGATACAAGTAATGTTCTGGGGGACCCGGGTTTTTGAGTTCTACCATAACAGATGGGGAAATTTAAATTTAACAAAACCTAGAATTATGACCATGAAGTGATTGTTCTTATGGACTTACAGAAATATATAGGTTCTTGATTAGTAAAGGGATCAAAAGATTATAGGGATAAGGCAGGAAAATGGTTTGAGAATGTTAAAAAGAAAAACGATAATGAAATCATTGACAGACTCGATGTGCCCAATGGCCTAATTCTGTTCTTGTATCTTATGGTCAATGTACTCCAGTTGAAACTTGAGAAACATAGGTTAGCATGGAATATATAATACAATGTAACTTCCCACCACCTCATGAACTTTTAGCAACTTGGAGAGATGACAAATGTACGTAATATCTTCCCTTTAACACAACAGCCAAAAATTGTAATCTTGACATTAGCATCAGTTTTGTTATAATACATAAGTGGAGAACAGGTATATTACACCTTGAATCTCCTCTGGCTACATTATAGTCATTAGACTTTTCTGATACTTGATGGAGATACCCACAATAAATTAAACACCTTATTCTCTGCAATACATGTAATTTCACTTTTTTAGGATATTTACCGGCTAAACTGAAAAGTCTCCCCAAGTCTAAATGTCATTCAGCCCAAGTAATCCATGGTGGCCTGAATTTTTCACACAAGCCTCAGCAGTACAGCAATCTATGCCAAGATGGCGGCAGAATAGGATGCTTGAGTCGGAAGTCATCCACTCTGCCCATTATTCCTCTTCTTTTCTTCCCCTTTTAGTGGTTTTTTTTATTTTCTTCTGTCCCAGCCTCTGATGACTCCCAGCCTGCGGTGACTGGCAACCTCCCAATCTGGCGTAGCAGCCTCCCGGCATGGCGTGGCAATCTCCTGCAGCGGCCTTCCCAGTGTGGTGTGGCAACCTCCCGGCCTGGTGCAGCAGCCTCCCAACGTGGCATGGTGACCTAGCAGCCTCCCAGCATGGCATCCTCCTGGCCCAGCGTGGTGGTTTGAAGGAATTTCCCACCCTCATGATCCTCAAGTTCAAGCCTGGCATGGTCTGGAGCCAAGGCTTCGTGCAGACTGGCAAGTAGGGGCCAACGTGGTAATGGTTGGAAGACCGTGGTTCTGAACATTTAATTTCTGCAACGCTGGACATTTTAATTCTCTACTTTCTAAGATCTTGTAACTAAAGAAGCTGTACCTAGGTATCTTTGTACCTAAGATGGCACTGTAAGTGGCAACATATAAACTTTTCACTATTCCCATTGAGTGTATGTGACAATAAAGGCTAATTCTAATTCCAGTCGATCCTCAACTAATTTTAACCTCATCGATCATCATTATTCCTATTCCGTTACGCACTTTGTATGGTATGATCTGCCTGTACTGCACGCAAAACAAAAAATTTCACTGTACCTAGGTACATCTAACAATAATAAATCAAATCAAAAATCAAATCTATTGTGCATCATTAATTCATAATCAGCTCAAAGTCAAATCATTATTTGAAGAGAATGGTTTCTTTTTCAATTCAAATATATATACACCTAATCTATTGCTGAGAATGAACAGCATGTGAAGATGACAAAACTCAATCACAAGTTTTTTTTGAACCCTTAATTAAGGAATGAAGCTTTATTCTATTGATTCTCTATTGGACAGATTAATAGAAGGTAATGTCTCCATCATGATTATGGTTTCCTTTCCTGTGTATAAAATCTCATTTAGTGACAACTACCCATTAGCAGAAGGCACGTATTAATTACTTTCTACCTCCTAGTCACCTTTGCTAAGGTCAACCCTGTATCTTTATTCTCAATTGTCCCCAAGTTGGCTCTGACTTTAGTATTTCTAAGATTTTACGAATCATCTCCTGAACATGGACTTTTTTGCTGTTTTGATCTGCAGAGCAAAACAGTGTGGCTGCTGGAAATCTAAAACAAATACAGAGAATGCTGGAGAAATTCAGCAGGTCCAGCACGATCTGTGGAGAAAAGTTCAGTTTCTGTTCTGAAGAAGTCATACCATACTTGAAAAATTAACTCTGAAAACACTGTTCCTCTCGCCACGAATGCTGCCAAACCTGCAAAATTCCTCCAATATTCTCTCTGTTGCCATATTATCCATTTGACTACAAGTCTGCTAACATTGCACATGTTAAAAATGTGGCTTTCAGGTCTATTTGCATCTATGTTACTTATTTGCTGGCTATACTGTTTGAAATTATGGGCCTCTGAACTTGAAGGGCGCTAATCATGGGACAGTTCCTTCATTGGTGCATGTATCACAAATCAATGAACCAGGGTCTGTTAGTAATCATGGAGAGAAATTTAAGCAACTAATGAGTTTTTTGAAAAAATATTATTCATGGCTGGCTAGGATTTATTGTACATCACTGTTTGCTCTGGAGATGGTGGTGTTATGCTTTTTGACCCACAGTGCTACTGGGAATGAATTCCAGGATTTTGACCCAATGACTGTTAAGGAACAGCTTACAATTACAAGACAGGATGGTGCTTGAACGGAAACATGAATCTCGTGGTGTTGCTATTCGATGAGTGCCCCGGTCCTTCCAGGTGGTAGATTTCATGGCTTGGAAGGTGCTGTTGGAAGAGATTTGGTAAGCTATTGTAGTACCAGGATGCTGCCTGGACTGGAGGCAGGTCTTATGAGGAAAGGTTGAGGGAGCTAGGGCTTTTCTCATTGGAGCGGAGAAGGATGAGATATGACTTGATAGAGGTGTACAAGATGAAGAGAGGCATAGATACAGTGGATTGCCAGAGACTTTGTCCCACGGTGGAAATGGCTATTACAACGGGGCATAATTTTAAGATGATTGGAGGAAGGTATAGGGGAGATGTCAGAGGTAGGTTCTTCACACAGAGAGTGGTGGGTACATGGAATGCGCTGCCGGCGGTGGTAGAGGAGTCAGATACATTAGGGATATTCAAGCGACTCTTGGATAGGCACATGGATGATAGTAAAATGTAGGATATACAGGGTAGTTTAATCTTAGCGTAGGATAGTAGGTCGGCACAACATCATGGGCCGAAGTGCCTGTACTGTGCTGTACTGTTCTATGTTCTATGTACACACTGCTACCATTATCCATTAATGGTGAAAAGAGCTGAACGTGATGAATGGGGTATCAATCAAGCTTAGTCCATGAAGCAGCTCATGTAGACAAATCACACACATATCCAGTAACCCATTTATAATTAGTAAGCATGTAAGTCATTTATATTTAGGAGGGGAGGAGGTGAGGTATCTTTTTTTAAACCCCAACTGCAAAGTTACCGTATCATTCAACAAACTATGGAATTCCAACCCAGAAGACAGCAATGATTGTACATAACATCCAACCCAATATACTACCTACTTTAAACCTTAATATCCACATCTTCAAACTTTAATTGTTGTCATAAATGATGCAATACTTACTTAAGCTATATGTGCTCTATCATCTTCAGAACACAGATCCTAATTGTTGCCATATCGTTGTTAGTTTCTCAAGGCTGCCTCTCCCCACCTTCCCCAGTGTCCCCCATTCAATTTATCCTACAGACATCACTGCATGAGTTCCAAGGTAATATCCAAATCCCAACCATGATTGACTGCTTCATCAATAACCATCCCTCTATCCTAAGGGCAGAAGTGGAGATATTCGCTGATGATGTTCAGCATTATTCCTGACCCCTCAGGTACTGAAACAATCCACGGCCAAATGCAAGAAGACTCAGCTTGGATAACAAGCTGCATGCAATGTTCATGTGACACAAGTACCAGGCAATGATTTTCTTACAAAAGGGAACTTAACCTATGTCGCTTGACTGTTAATGACCTCACCATTCCTGAATTCCTCACTATAAACATTCTGAGGGTTAATACTGACCAGAAACTGAACTGGACTAGCCACACAAAACAATGGTGACAAAAGCAGGTCAGAGGCTTAGGAATCCTGCAGCAAGTAACTTGCCTCCTGGCTCCCAAAAAGCTTGTTCACCATCCAGAAGGGATAAGTCAGGAGCGTGGTGGAATACTCTTTACTTGCATAGATGTATGCAGCTCCAACACTCAAGACGCTTGACAACATCCAGTACAAAGCAGTCACATGATTGGCGCCACGTTCACAAATATTCACTCAGTCCACCAACAATGCTCAGTAGAGTACCATCTACAAGATGAGTCATACAGTGAGTGGTCTACAACACGAAATAGATCCTTTGGCCCATTGGGTCTGCATTGGTCAAAAACAACTTGGTAAATCTCCTCTGCCCCGCCTCCAGTGCTATCACATCCCTCCTACCTCAGATTCCAGAGTGCTGTACAATATTCTAGCTATGTCCAAATCAACATTTTATATAGTTCCAATGTAAACTCCATGCTCTTAAATTCAATGCCTTAGCTAATAAAGGAAAATATCCCATATACCTTCTTAACTTTATCTACCTGCCCTGCTACCTCAAAAGGACCAGTAGACATGTGCACAATAAAGTCCATCGATCCTTAGTGCTTCCCAGGATCCTATCATTCATCATGTATTCCCTTGCACTGTGTTACAAAGTGGAGATCGACCCACCTTTGATAACTGAAACTGAAAAGCCCAGAGGTGTGCCTCGCCCCATAATCTGTTAAAAGAGCCCCCAATCTGTTATAAAGGAGCGGTTAAGCAAAAATAAACTCATGACACTCTTTATAATCAACAAGTAACAATTTATTTCTCTAACTCCAACAGTGAACAAACTAACTAAACTATTAACAAACCAAATAAACCCCTTCTAACTACTAACTATTCCTGAATAAAACAAGATTATAATAGTATGCTGTTCCAATAAATACAAGTCCCACTTGCATAAAATAAAATAAAAAAAAATTAGAATTTAGTCTTTCAAAATTACAGCCAGGTTATGTCTTCCAGAATGTTCTGTGTCTTCTCTGATGAATTCTTCTGTCAGGAACAACTTCTTGGTGAATCCTTCTGTCAGGAACGCCTTCTCTGTTGAATTCTTTTGTCAGGAACATTAACTATTTCTGCCCTATGTGCCTATAATTTAGATGGAGCTTAATCTAAGGCTTAGAATCACTGGCTCTCACAGAATTCTCTTTCTTTAAGAGCTGAGACCTGTTCTCTTGGCAGATGACAGTTGGCTCTGCCCCAATTTTCCAAATGCCATCATCTTTTATACCCTTGATGACATATCGATTTCTTATAATATGATTGATCCTGTATTATCAAATGATGAAAAAGTTTTAAATTTAATTGGTTATTGATATCTAAGAGACTGGTTTAAATTAATTGGCTAAATTCAAAAACCTGTTGTCTTGGTAAAACTGCTGCTTTGCCTGTTAACAGTACAGATATATGTCATAAAACGCGATAGTTAAATTCTTGTGTGACCTCACGTTATAGAAAATCACTATACCTATACAGCAGAAAATTCATGTTATTCAAACAGCGTCCACTATTCATCAATTGCATTACAGAAATCTGTACAGCCTTTTGATACGAACGTCACAATTCGGATGCCCTGTTTGCCTACAAAACCCCCAGACATCCTTTTTGAATCTCTAAGCATAGAAAAAAGCACATCATCTTTTAAAGGGACCATGCTCTGCTGTCCCCATAGCATTTTACAAACACCAACAGGTTGCAAGCACCAAATCCTAATGTCCTGCCTTCCAATCCACAAGTATTCTACCCAACTTCACATCACTCACTTGTCCTACCCAGTGCATCACCTCACACTTATTCAGGTCAAATTCCATTTTCTGTTGATTCGCCTACTAGTCCACCTATATCCTTGTATAGTCTAAGACTATCTTGCTTACTGCCTGCCACACCAGCAATTTTTGTACCATTTGCAAACTTAATGATCAATCCTCCTATATTCAAGTCTAAATCATTTATATGTACCACAAACAGCATGGGCCCAACACTTATCCCTGTAAGACAGAGGCTTTCAGTCACAAAAATACCCCTCAACCATTGCCCTCTATTTACTGCCGCTTAGCCAATTCTGGATCCAATTAGCCAAATACTGCTCTGCAGAAACTGCACCTTCTCAACCCTTGACAACTACCATCTGCAAGGACAAAGCCAACAGATACATGGGAACACCACAGCTTGCAAGTTTCCCTCCAAGCCACTCACCATCCTGACTTGGATATATATCACCATCCATTCAGTGTCACTAGGTCATATTCCTGGAACTCCTTTCCAAATAGCATTGTGGGTGCATCCACACCAAATGTAATGCAACTATTCAAGTAACAGCTCACTACTACCCTCTCCAGAGCAGTTAGGGATGGCTAATAAATGTTGGTCAGCTTATGAAGCCTGAAGAATAAAAGAACTACAACATTCAAATGCTAGCCAACATTAACATTTTACAGAGATAGTAGGAACTGCAGATGCTGGAGAATCCGAGACAACAAGGTGCAGGGCTGGATGAACACAGCAGGCCAAGCAGCATCATAGGAGCAGAGAGGCTGACGTTTCGGGCCTAGACCCTTCATCAGAAAAGGGGGAGGGGAAGGGGGTTTTGAAATAAATAGGGAGAGAGTGGGAGGCGGATAGAAGAGGGATAGAGGAGAGGATAGGTGGAGAAGAAACAAACAGGTCGAAGAGGCGGGGATGGGGCCAGGAAAGGTGAGTGTAGGTGGGGAGTTAGGAAGGGGATAGGTCAGTCCAGGGAGGACGGACAGGTCAAGGGGGTGGGATGAGGTTGGTCGGTAGGAGATGGAGGTGCGGCTTGAGGTGGGAGGAGGGGATAGGTGGGAGGAAGAACAGGTTAGGGAGGCAGGGACGAGCTGGACTGGTTTTGGGATGCGGTGGGGGGAGGGGAGATTTTGAAACTTGTGAAATCCACATTGATACCATTGGGCTGCAGGGTTCCCAAGCGGAATATGAGTTGCTGTTCCTGCAACCTTCGGGTGGCATCGTTGTGGCACTGCAGGAGGCCCAGGATGGACATGTCGTCTGAGGAATGGGAGGGGGAGTTGAAATGGTTCGCGACTGGGAGGTGCAGTTGTTTGTTGCGAACCGAGCGTAGGTGTTCTGCAAAGCGGTCCCCGAGTCTCCGCTTGGTTTCCCCGATGTAGAGGAAGCCACACCGGGTACAGCGGATGCAGTATACCACATTGGCAGATGTGCAGGTGAACATCTGCTTGATGTGGAAAGTCTTCTTGGGGCCTGGGATGTGGGTGAGGGAGGAGGTATGGGGGCAGGTGTAGCACTTCCTGCGGTTGCAGGGAAAAGTGCCGGGTGTGGTGGAGCTGGAGGGGAGTGTGGAGCGGACAAGGGAGTCACGGAGAGAGTTGTCCCTCCGGAAAGCAGATAAGGGTGGGGAGGGAAAGATGTCTTTGGTGGTGGGGTCGGATTGCAGATGGCGGAAGTGTCGGAGGATGATGCGTTGGATCCGGAGGTTGGTGGGGTGGTACGTGAGGACGAGGGGGATTCTTTTTTGGTTTTTATTGCGTGGACGGGGTGTGAGGGATGAGGTGCGGGAGATGTGGGAGACACGGTTGAGGGCGTTCTCGACCACCGAGGAGGGGAAGTTACGGTCCTTGAAAAACGAGGACAACTGAGATGTACGGGAGTGGAATGCCTCATCCTGGGAGCAGATGCGGCGGAGGCGAAGGAATTGGGAATAGGGGATAGCATTTTTGCAGGAAGGTGGGTGGGAGGAGGAGTATTCTAGGTAGCTGTGGGAGTCGGTGGGCTTGAAATGAATATCGGTTTCTAGGTGGTTGCCCGATATGGAGACAGAGAGGTCCAGGAAGGGGAGAGAGGTGTTAGAGATGGTCCAGGTAAACTTAAGGTTGGGGTGGAAGGTGTTAGTGAAACAAACTGTTTCATTATTAACTGTCTTATTATTAAATGCTAAAATATTTCACTTTCAAATGTTCAAGAAAATTACCCTCAGTTAACCTCATCAATTTGCCCTGCACTTCCAGAAGATTGCACAACTGTGCTAATTAACTTCTGGATTATTTCCAAAGCTTAGACATATCTTCGGGGGAAACATCACCGCTTGTTATTTTTAAAAGAAGTAAATCTCATCTCTCAAAGTGGTTACAATTTAGAACCAAAGCATTTTGTACCACATTTCCTTAGGTAACAAAAACAGCACAGCCTTTGTGGAAAAAAATACAATTGTATCTGCACAACTGTAACAAGTGTAGCAGTAGTTAAATTATTTTATTGAACAAATATGTTTTGAAACCAAAGAACAAGGTGAAAGAGACAGCATAAATAAGGAAATAAAATAATCAGAGAACCAAGAAAAGTACTTTTCCAAGTCTTGTAAAATTAAGAAATTAAAAAATGCTTTACAGAATTTCTTATTTGGGAGTAATGCACTTTTATGTCAAATCTGCAATCTTTGGCTCCTGCATGGAAAAAAATGGCAATGCTATACCAACATCAATGTATCAATAGGTCCTAAAGCATTTCACAGAGCGCTGAGGAAGAAAATTTGATGCAGTTACTTTAGGAGACATTGGTGTAGGTATAGCTAATCAAAAGTCTGAATGAAGAGGTAAGTTTCAAAGACAATAGTGGTATAGAGTGTTTGGCCCTAGGCAACTGAAGGCATGATCACCAATACGCAGATATAGGGAGGGACGGATCACAGATACAACAAAAAAAAACATCGAAAGTGATTTCTGTGAGCTTGTTTAAAAAGTAAATACCCAAATATAAGGCAAATGCTGTTCCAAGACTAAGACTACCATTTCTACATCTGACTGTTCTTTGCTTCACTGCACAACTCCGTGCTCTCAAATCATACCTTATTTCTAGCTTGAGCTTGCATTCCAATAGGAAATCCCAGACGAAGGACCATGCATGGAGCTTTGGAAATAACTCGGACAAGATAAAAGGAAGAAGGAGGCTGATCTGTTCCACTACAAATTAAACAAATAATACTTTGATCAGCAGCACTTTGAAATTATGAAATATGCTGAAAATATAAGATTGCAAAAAAATTAACACCCATCCACTATTCACAGCACAGAATGAATTCAGTGTATTATTCCAGTGAGACACAGCTTCTTTAAACTGCTCTAAAACAATTGACCGATCTTAGTGTTATGCTATTATTTATGGCTAGTCCTGAACAATACGCATTACAGTATCCTCAGGAACTCTGCGAAACCAAGGATTTTAGCTTCACTAAATTGTATAACTGGAAAAGTATTAAGGAAAATGAATGTTTACTTGTAATGAAGCTTAACATAGGAGTATCCTTCTACCAGCACAAAACTGCTCCAATCCCGCAGGAGGGATGTTAATGCAGAGAGAGAAATCCGACACTGGATGGTACTGTAGCGGCCATTACTTCCTGGTGTATGGATATGTTTTGGCACTGGGCTAAAGGGAAGAGGGAAAATCAGATTTAAAACAAGTAACAAAACAAGGCAGAGCATAAGTCGTAATGTTGAACTATGTCTGGGGCACACACAGATTTAAAAACATATTTTCCTTATATTAGAACATGGAACATAGAACATTACAGCGCAGTACAGGCCCTTTGGCCCTCGATGTTGCGCTGACCTGTGAAACCAATCTGAAGCCTATCTAACCTAAACTATTCCATTATCATCCATATATTTATCCAATGACCATTTAAATGCCCTTAAAGTGGGCGAGTCTACTATTTTTGCAGGCAGGGCATTCCACGTCCTTACTACTCTCCAAGTAAAGAACCTACCTCTGACATCTGTCCTATATCTATCACCCCTCAATTTAAAGCTATGTCCCCTCGTGCTAGCCATCACCATCCGAGGAAAAAGGCTCCACTGTCCACCCTATCTAATCCTCTGATCACCTTGTATGTCTCTATCAAGTCACCTCTTAACCTTCTTCTCTCTAACGAAAACAGCCTCAAAACCCTCAGCCTTTCCTCATAAGACCTTCCCTCCATACCAGGCAACATCTTGGTAAATCTCCTCTGCACCCTTTCCAATGCTTCCACATCCTTCCTATAATGCGGTGACCAGAACTGTACGCAATACTCCAAGTGCGGCCGCACCAGAGTTTTGTACAGCTGCAACATGACCTCATGGCTCCGAAACTCAATCCCTCTACCAATAAAACCTAACATACTGTACGCCTTCTTAACAACGCGATCAACCTGGGTGGCAACTTTCAGTGATCTATGCACATGGACACCAGATCTTTCTGCTCATCCACACTACCAAGAATCTTACCATTAGCCCAGTACTCTGTATTCCTGTTACTCCTTCCAAAGTGAATCACCTCACACTTTTCCGCATTAAACTCCATTTGCCACCTCTCAGCCCAGCTCTGCAGCTTATCTATGTCCCTCTGTAACCTGCAACATCCTTCCTCACTATCCACAACTCCACCAACTTTGGTGTCATCCGCAAATTTACTAACCCATCCTTCTACGCCCTCATCCAGGTCATTTATAAAAATGGCAAACAGCAGTGGCCCCAAAACAGATCCTTGCGGTACACCACTAGTAACTGAACTCCAGGATGAACATTTCCCATCGACCACCACCCTCTATCTTCTTACAGCTAGCCAATTTCTGATCCAAACCGCTAAATCACCCTCAATCCCATGCCTCCGTATTTTCTGCAATAGCCTACCATGGGGAACCTTATCAAACGCTTTACTGAAATCCAAATACACCACATCAACCGCTTTACCCTCATCCACCTGTTTGGTCACCTTCTCGAAGAACTCAATAAGGTTTGTGAGGCACGACCTACCCTTCACAAAACCGTGTTGACTATCCCTAATCAAATTATTCCTTTCTAGATGATTATAAATCCTATCTCTCATAATCCTTTCCAACACTTTACCCACAACCGAAGTAAGGCTCACTGGTCTATAATTACCAGGGTTGTCTCTACTCCCCTTCTTGAACAAGGGGACAACATTTGCTATCCTCCAGTCTTCTGGCACTATTCCTGAAGACAATGACGACATAAAGATCAAAGCCAAAGGCTCTGCAATCTCCTCTCTAGCTTCCCAGAGAATCCTAGGATAAATCCCATCCGGCCCAGGGGACTTATCTATTTTCACACCTTCCAGAATTGCTAACACCTCCTCCTTATGAACCTCAATCCTGTCTAGTCTAATAGACTGTATCTCAGTATTCTCCTCGACTACATTGTCTTTTTCCTGTGTGAATACTGACGAAAAATATTCATTTAGCACCTCTCCTATCTCTTCGGACTCCACGCACAACTTCCCACTACTGTCCTTGACCGGCCCCAATCTTACTGTAGTCATTCTTTTATTCCTGACATATCTATAGAAAGCTTTAGGGTTTTCCTTGATCCTACCTGCTAAAGACTTCTCATGTCCCCTCCTGGCTCTTCTTAGCTCTCTCTTTAGGTCCTTCCTGGCTAACTTGTAACTCTCAAGCGCCCTCACTGAGCCTTCACACCTCATCTCTACATAAGCCTCCGTCTTCCTCTTGACAAGAGATTCAACTTCTTTAGTAAACCACGGTTCCCTCGCTCGACCACTTCCTCCCTGCCTGACAGGTACATACTTATCAAGGACACGCAGTAGCTGTTCCTTGAACAAGCTCCACATTTCAATTGTGCCCAGCCCCTGCAGTTTTCTTCTCCATCCTATGCATCCTAAATCTTGCCTAATCGCCTCATAATTGCCTTTCCCCCAGCTATAACTCTTGCCCTGCTTCATATACCGATCCCTTTCCATCGCTAAAGTAAACGTAACCGAATTGTGGTCACTACCACCAAAGTGCTCTCCTACCTCCAAATCTAACACCTGGCCTGGTTCATTACCCAGTACCAAATCCAATGTGGCCTCGCCTCTTGTTGGCCTATCTACATACTGTGTCAGGAAACCCTCCTGCACACATTGGACAAAAACTGACCCATCTGAAGTACTCGAACTATAGCGTTTCCAGTCAATATTTGGAAAGTTAAAGTCCCCCATAACAACTACCCTGTTACTTTCGCTCCTATCCAGAATCATCTTTGCAATCTTTTCCTCTACATCTCTGGAACTTTTCGGAGGCCTATAGAAAACTCCCAACAGGGTGACCTCTCCTTTCCTGGTTCTAACCTCAGCCCACACTACCTCAGTAGACGAGTTGCCATCAAACGTCCTTTCTGCCACCGTAATACTGTCCTTGACTAACAATGCCACACCTCCCCCTCTTTTACCACCTTCCCTGATCTATCTGAAACATCTAAACCCCGGAACCTGCAACAACCATTCCTGTCCCTGCTCGATCCATGTCTCCGAAATGGCCGCAACATCGAAGTCCCAGGTACCAACCCATGCTGCAAGTTCACCCACCTTATTCCGTATTCCGGATGCTCCTGGCATTGAAGTAGACACACTTCAAACCACCGTCCTGCCTGCCGGTACACTCCTGCAACCTTGAAACCTTATTTATGACCTCACTACTCTCAACCTCCTGTACACTGGAGCTACAATTCAGGTTCCCACCCCCCTGTTGAATTAGTTTAAACCCTCCCGAAGAGCATTAGCAAATTTCCCCCCCAGGATATTGGTACCCCTCTGGTTCAGGTGTAGACCATCCCGTTTGTAGAGGTCCCACCTACCCCAGAATGAGCCCCAATTATCCAGGTATCTGAATCCCTCCCTCCTGCACCATCCCTGTAGCCACGTGTTCAACTGCTCTCTCTCCCTATTCCTCTATTCCTGAGTTTTTTTTATTTGTTATTGCTAAAAATTAAACTCCTTGGAATAAAATCATAATATTAACAGTTCAAGATGGGAAAAACATTGCTTCCCATCTCTTGAAAATCTGAGGGTGAGTACACATTGACTAAATGAAACCAAGTGAGACAACACTAACTTACATATCATGTTCCAGCAGTATGCCAATGCGATGCATATGAAGCCACCGCTGCCAGAAGCTGGCATCCATAGACAAGATAGGCTTCCAGTAAGAGGAAAACTGGGATTGGCTGGAGTCCTTAGAGCCACTATGTTGCAGCGACAGCACCTAAGGAAGCCACAATCAATGGTTACAAACTTCTATACAATCAAAACATTCATAATTAAACAACACAAATCTGAACTATAGCAATCTGATATTACATAAAAACTCTACAAAATGCATGCTTTACAATAGCTAATTACTCCAGAAAAATGGCACTTTAGCTGTAGTGATATGAAATAGCATGATAGGAGAGAAGAGCTTTCTCACCACATAAAATCCCTTTCCCAAAATAAATTCCCTTCTCATTCATATCGGAGAAATAAACTTATTTTAGATAACTGGATAATTTCAAAAGAGCAAAGTGACTTCTTACCATGATATATTAGCTCTTTGATGTGCTTCATCTTAGTTTTTCCACCCAGAACACTCCCACAGTCCCTGCTTTAGGGACTTAAATTGGTCCTTCAATTATTCTAGACTTTTTTGCCCCATTCCTTTAATTGGAAGGTCATCTCATTTATTGATTGCTGTGTCTCTAATGTTTTTCAAACCTAAATTTGTTTTGTATGATTTTAAGTTGTTGGCTCAGCATCTTGCAATTTAGATCAATGTTAATTTCTACACCATTTTTCCATAAGTTATGATACTGTAACTATGTTATTACACTGTAAATGGCCAGAGATCCTTAGGAGCATTGACATGCAAAGCGATCTTGGGGTCCAAGTCCACAGTTCAATGTAAGTAGCAACACAAGTGGATAATGTAGTAAAAAAGGCATATGGCATGTTTGCCTTCATTGGTCAGGGCACCAAATATTGGGGACTGCTTTGCAGAACACCTACGCTCGGTTCGCACTAAACAACTGCACCTCCCAGTCGCGAACCATTTCAACTCCCCCTCCCACTCCTCAGACGACATGTCCATCCTGGGCCTCCTGCAGTGCCACAACGATGCTACCCAAAGGTTGCAGGAACAGCAACTCATATTCCGCTTGGGAACCCTGTAGCCCAATGTCATCAATGTGGACTTCACAAGCTTCAAAATCTCCCCTCCCCCTACTGCATCCCAAAACCAGCCCAGCTCGTCCCCGCCTCCCTAACCTGTCCTTCCTCCTACCTCAAACCCCACGCCCATCTCCTACCTACTAACCTCATCCCGCCTCCTTGACCTGTCCGTCTTCCCTGGACCGACCTATGTCCTCCCTACCTCCCCACCTACACTCACCTTTACTGGCTCCATCCCCGCCTCTTTGACCTGTCTGTCTCCTCTCCACCTATCTTCTCCTCCATCCACCTCCCCCTGTCTCCCTATTTATTTCAGAAACCCCTTCCCCTCCCCCATTTCTGAAGAAGGGTCTAGGCCCGAAACGTCAGCCTTCCTGCTCCTCTGATGCTGCTTGGCCTGCTGTGTTCATCCAGCTCTACACCGTGTTATCACCAAATATAAAAGTTGGCTAGTCATGTTGCAACTGACTAAGACTTTGGTCAGGCCACATGTGGAATACAGTTCCAGTCACCACACTGTAGGAAGCACGTGGAGGCTGTGGAGAGGGTGCAGAAGCAGTTTACGGGGATGTTGCCTGGATTGGAGTATATTAGCAATAACAAGAGGTTGGACAAACTTAAGATTGCTCTAGTGAAAACATCGGAGGCTGAGGGGAGACCTCAGTGAAGTATATAAAATTATGAGGAATGGATATCGTTGGTAATCAGAGTCTCTTTCCCAAGATGAAAATGACAAATATAAGGGGGCATAAGTTTAAGGTGAGAGACAGGAAGTTTAAAGGAGACGTGCAAGTAAAGTTTTTCCACACAGAGGGTGATAGGTGCCTGAAATGCACTGCCAGGGGAGGTGGCAGAAGCAGATTTCACAGCAAAGTTTAAAAGGCATTTAGACTACACACGAACAGGCACGGAATAGAGGGATATGGACCATGTGCAGGCAGATGGGATTAGTTTAGAACAGCACCATGGTTGGCACAGACACGGTGGGTCAAAGAGCCTATTCCTGTGCAGTACTGTTTTATGTTTACCATCTTATACACTATTATAGGACCCCTCACAGAAACTTCCATTCAAGGGTGAAGAAAGCAAAGTCGCTCAATAGATTTTTCATAATCTAGACAGCAATATTGTTCGCCAGTACTAGAATTGTTCCCTCAGTGATCCACTATGGACACGTTTTAAAAAAAAACAAAATAACACAGTTGCTAAACATCTGAAATAAAAACTCCACAAGTTTTGCAGCAACAAAAACAAAGTTGTTGGAAAAGCTCAGCAGGTCTGGCAGCATCTGAGAAGGAAAAAGCAGAGTTAATGTTTCAGGTCCGGTGACCCTTTCTCAGAACTGATGTTTTGCAGCATCTTGGAGAGAGAAACAGTCCAATAGGATCCTCCTTTGGAATCAAAGGGAAATAATAAACAATAGGTTTTATGCTGTTGCCAAGGACGAAGGGGGTGGCAGAACAGATGGTGAGGGTGTCCACAGCAAAAGGTAAAGGGAATATCAATGGTAGTATAGATGCAGAATAGGCATGAATAGTAGAAAAAAGGTCAGCTTTGCTGAAAGCAAACCCATGCAAATAAGAGGGAGGGGAGTTTGCAATCAAAGTGGAGGAGTGAGTTAATGAACTCAATGTTGAGCCCTGAATACTGTAAAATTTCTTAAGCAGAAAATTAGATGCTGTCCCTCCAGTTTGCATTGGGTTTTGCTGGAAGACTGCAGCTGACCTAGAACAGAAATGGTAGTAATGCACACTATATTTAAGCTGCAGTTTGACTAGAGTACTGTCTAGTTTTTATCATGATTTACGTTGTATTGTTTTGAGCACAGTTTAATATTCTATCAGCTTTGACCATAACATGTTAGATGGATATAAAATTACCATAGATTTTGCTAAAATCTCTTATTCCTTTGCTGTCTCAACATATAAATGAACATGCAGCATCCATCTTTTCTTCCGACCAGCAGCACTTTAACATATCCACATTTAATTTCATTTGTGGTATTTTCTCTTATTTATATATTTTAGCCAACTATGTAATTTCGGAGTTTCCAATTTTAACTTTGATATAACATGACCTTACTCATATGATCTTACCTTAGCCTATATGAGATTAAATATTTTGCATTGCTGATTGCAGAAAACAAAATGAAATTGTGTTTTCAATAAGTTATATTTTCCAATCAAATATGAAAGCACCAAAAACAAAACTCTGATGACAATAGTAGTCAAGTTGTGTAAAAAGAAAGAAACACAAGACTAATGTTGTATTTTCTTATAATTATTAGTCTTCCAAATTAATTACATCATGTAAATCACAACTAATATTGACATTAAGACCGTAAGATATAGGAGCAGAATTAAGCCATTCACTCAGAGTCTACTCCACTATTCAATCACGTCAGTTTTGTTTCTCTACTCCATTCTCCTTGTAACCTTTGATCCCTTATTAATCAAGAACCTATCAAACTCTGTCTTAAACACACTCCATAGCCTTCGGTGGAAACGAGCTTCACAGATTAACCAATTTTCTGGCTGAAGAAATTTTAGTCTTTGCTACTCATAGAAACATCTTCTCCACGTCCACTCTATTAGGTCTCTCAGTATTCTGTAAGTTTCCATCTGATCCTCCCTCAGCCTTCTAAACTCAACTGACTACAGACCCAGAATCCTCAACCCCGCATGTGGCAATCCCTTCATTCCTGGGATCATTCTTGTCAACATCCCCTGGACCCCTCCAAGGCCCATTAAGGGCATACCTCAACAGGTTATCTATTGATTAGATAATATTTAACTTTTGGACATGATGGATTGATAAAGGTTTGAGTTTATTCTAACCACAACCAGAAATTTTATCTAGATGGTATTTGCTCAATCAGAATAAATTTGGCTGGCATTTAAAAAGTGACCTTTTCTCCCCTTCTTCATTTGCTAACCTTATCAGCAATATTGCAAGCAGATAAATATGCAAAATTCATTCAACAATTTTTACAAGAACTACAGATTCTTACTGATTTACATCCAATGTCAAAATGGTTTCAAAACATACATGGATAGATGGAATTTGCATTTATATAGTGAGAGCCAATATCAAAAAACACAGCATATGCCAAGTCAAGGAAATACCGTACACACTTTTCCTTCTGCTGTTTTTGTATAACCTCATGAAAATTACTTTTTTCTTTAATAAACAGGAGATGATTGAAACAGGAATCCACAGAATTACTAATTACCAGTTTATTCAGAATATTTTGAATTTATTGCTGTCTGCAGAATATTTATGCATTCAAGTGATTTTGAAATATATTAGTTTGTACAGATAATTAACTGAATAATACCGGTGTGGTCGATCCTGGTGGGATGTAGAATAATGGAACCCCATTCTTGGTGCTCTCTGGGATGGTGTAATGCTCAGGGATAGTGTTGAAGGATTTGAGATGAACCAGCATCTGATCCGTCTGATTAATACTATGGAAGTACATGATACACACGTTAGCTTTTTTTTCTCATAACAACAAGGAACAAACATTCCCCTCCCCTTTGTTCTGACAAATACACAACATTTTCATTTTTTAACACGCAATTCTACGTCCTTACCTCTGCAGAGTGTTCCAGAACCGCCGAATAACTGTGGTGCGATATGGGCTGGTTATTGGTTTCCTCATAGTGCAGCTAATGTCATGGAGCATATCATAGCTGCCCTCCATTGTTACCTCCACCCAGGTCAAGCGTTTGGCTGCATCTAGAGGCCATGATGCTACCACAAGATATTCAATTCTCATGTTGTGTTTCCACAGCAGCATCAGTTTCACTTCCAACTGAGTTCCACCTAAAGTCCAAAAAAGAATGAATAGAGGAGTATAAAATCTTAAAAGCCATAAATATGATTGCCTTTCAGGGCTGAACTGACCCAACCATGGGTGCCAGTAAGCAAGAACCAGGCTATAAAATCACCCTGCAAATCCAAAAAGGTGCTGTTTGATATCAAGGTGATCAAGCATCATTATGGCAACCTTACATAACATGCGAAATGCCAAGAGAAAAAAAAACAAACAATCACACTCAAACTGCGTGGTCCTTCTACAGCATTGGTCTGCATTGTTGGTTTTCTACAGAGCAGGTAACTTAGTTCACATGCACTAAAATACTTCATTGGTTGTGATATAGTTTATTTTTAAATTAATGGCTTATGGAGCTGTTTCCTCTACTGAAGGGTTTAAAAAAAAAAATCTAGGTCAGGTAGTGCTTCCAGACAGTGACCACCTAATCCATATGTAAAGTCAGAAGTCACATGATAGCAGGTTGTAGTCCAATAGGTTTACCTGAAATCACAAGCTTTCGGAGCCCAGCCCCTTCGTCAGGAGCACGAGAAAGAAGAGCACACAGAAACTGGGGTTTATAGGCAGAGAGATCAATGACTGAGAGATCAAAAGATCATACAACTGATGTGAGTGGAGTGTCAGGAGGTCTTTGCAGGTGACAAAGAGTATTAGATGGTGAGTAAAGTGTCAACAGCTGAATAACCAGCAAAGGGATGACCTATAATCTGATTAAATGAGGCAGAGAAATAATTACAAAAAATTAAAAATAAAGGTGGTGCTGGAGAGAAATTGAATGAATGTCTCCGGCACCACCTTATTTTTAATTTTTTTTAAAAATTATCCCTCTGCCACATTTAATCAGATTATAGGTCATCCCTTTGCTGGTTATTCAGCTGTTATAACTGTTAGCAGGTTATAGTCCAACAGGTTTATTTGAAATCACAACCTGACGAAGGAGCAGCATTTCGAAAGCTTGTGATTTCAAATAAATCTGCTGGACTACAACCTGGTGTCAGGTGACTTCAGGGAATTTGGAAATTGTTACAAAAGCCCACATCAGGTTCTGAACATAAAAATAAGATTGACACTATAGTGTGGTACTGAAGCAGCGCTGTTCAGTGGGAGATGCTGCATACCAGATGAAGCCTTAAACAGACATCAAATCTACCTTGCAGATGGTGAGCAAAGATCTCAATGCAATATTTTGAAGAACAGGGAGTTAGCCCGCGTGCCTTGATAAAAAGCTTTCTAATCAATATTACAAAACAGATTATCTGGTCATTATCATGTTGTTGCTTATGAGAGCTTAATGTGCACAAATTGGCTGCCACATTTCCTACAACAGTGATTACACTTCAAACAGTAATTAATTGATTCTAATGCGTTTTGAGAGGTATAGCAGTCACAAAAAACATGACAGAAATGCAAGGCTTTCGATTTGAAACTAAGCTCATCACATTCATGATAAATATTGTCACAGATGTAAAATCTAACTCTTGGTACAGTGGTTTGTTAGTAGCAATTTCCAATCATCCATAAATCCCCAATGTCCACTAAGGACCATAGACATCTCTTCTCTGTTCAGAGACAAGTGATTATAGCTTGAGAGGTATCATTCTGCAACACACATAGTAAACCAAGAATCTCTCTTTATCCAACTGCCGTGCTGGCAGGCCTAGCAGGTTGCTTGCCAATCTCTTTGGCCATGCTGTGAATACTCCTTCCTTGGTTAACAAGTCCAGAATAGAATGAATGCTTTTGGTTAAGAGGTAGGGGATTTACTATCTGAGCCACAAGACTTCCCTACAGACACAATTTACAAAATCATGATCATTTCAACAACTAATCTACTGGGGTTCCACTCTATAATATCACCCAAACCGATCTAATCCATCCCACGTGCATTCCCAGACATATTAACACTTCAAACCATTGCCCTCCCCATTACTTTTTTGCCAGATTGCTCTGACATTTTAGCATTATTTGTTTACCTTTAGTGATATTAAGTTCCTTCACTGTGTAGCCCTCACGCAATCGTACTGAGACAACACTGGTCAGGTCTGCATGCACCTCATTCTCAGCATGTTTCTTTCGTCTCATGGCCAGTGCGGGATTACTGCTGGCAGACACCAAGTGCTCATTGAACAGTTTATGTTGGGACACTAGATTGGCAGAAGAACAAATAATTCAGGAATAGAAAGGCCAGCCATCAAATGGAACAAAATAAACAAATTTCTTGTAGATATACTTGCCACAGTAATATTCTGGGTTCATTGACTCTCCAGGTCTCAGGAAGCTATACAGTAGAAACGCTTTGTGGTATGCATTCATATTGAGGTTACTTTCTGGGCATGTGGACATGTAGGATCCAAATGTTGCCATAGCAATGAATTTCATTAACTCCAAGTTTGGTACATAACCAAAGCTGCAATCATACGAATACACACCTCCAACCTATAAAGATCACAACAACATTTATACAGCTACAAAAGCAGTTTGGTCTATTGAATTCAAAGGCATTACTTAAAAATATATGATCACCTGTATAAAAGAACAAGCAATTGTGCCACCACGTAGTTGGTTTAACAATGTTTCACACACTGCGACATCTGGTACACTTGTTACACCATCAGTGATGATTATTATACCTGTAATAGAAATAGGGTCATTCATGCAAACTTTTGAAATAATACTGCAATAACGTCATATTAAGTTACCATATTCAGCGGAATAATGAGCTTCTATATTATCTTAGTACTGTGAACTTTTGGTGTCAACTCCTGGATCACAGTTCACACGACCATCACAATATTTAATATGCTCCAACTGAATCTTCTGAATCTTTATAAGCACAAATTAATCCTGTTGAGGTTTAAAGTAAGCAATTCCTTATTGTCAGAATTTAAAACAAGGATCAGATTGTCTTGGGTTTATGACTCGAATTATAAAGATGCATTATACACAAAGTATTAACCTGCACTGGAGTTGGATGGCAGCAACTGAAGTGCAAGGATTCCACTGCGGATCATGTTGACGAGTCCCATATCTGGTGTTACCATAGAAAATGTCATCTTGCGCAAGGACTGATCATAGAAGTCAGTAGCATCCCCTTGGGGTAAAATGGGCCTATCAGACTGTGATACAAGAAATTAAAGATTAGATAGGAAACCAAAATGAGCAACTACCAGTGCAAAACTGAAATTCTGACCATTTATGCACATCTTTACAATCATGGCTGTGTTGCATTTGTAGCTCACTGGATCAGTTGGTTTGAATTTCCTTCCAAGGGAGATGGCTGGTTAATATGTAGTTTATCCTTTACAGGTCAACAAAGAATTGGAAGTTAATTTCCTGGGGTGGTGGTGAAGGGAGAGAAACATCCATGTACCACCATACATGATATGCTGGAGCAGTGAATATAGGTTTATCACCAGACCAGGCTGTTGCACTCATGCATTACCAGTTGCTTGAGAATTAATAATGTGACTTTTCTTCTTGACAGGTGTGAGATATTGAATTTTCCTGCATATTCAGGTCAAAAATATTACTGCTTGAATATGCAGCATTTTAGATGGAGCGTAATAAAACACATGCTCTCTTTCCAGTTAACATTTGGCACACTTTACGAAGACATTGTTTCATCTACAATTTCAAACAAGACATATTAACTCTTCACATCAGAAGTGCTCTTTACTGAACTAAATAAAATATGAACTAGCCTCTGAGATAACGGATTGGTAGTAATATCATTTAGGATACTCAGATGACCGAGTTTCTTTCTCCCTCCACTTTTACTAAGATACTGACCTGCATTTTGGGCTTGTAGTACTGTTGAAGAACTTCAGCCACATTGTTTTCAAATGCTCGTAACTGCTGATAGATGTGCTGATGGAAAGTATCCAAGCTGCTTCGATCCAATAAATAGCCTTGAACTAGAACCTACAATACATATATGCAAAGATCAGAAGAGTCACCTATAAGGGTCTCTACTGTAGTTGCGCACAAGCACATGTGCATTTGCAGACAGGAGGAAGAATTTTGAAGAATTATAAAATTAATTAAAGAACAGTGACTAATTTTGCCAAAAACAGAGATTTTTACGAAAGTGTTACGTTCATAACAGGGTAAGAAATAACCTACACTGTGCTGCATGGCCCATTTCTACCTTTTTCTACCCAATTTCGATATCATGCATTGCCAGTTTATATATAGCACACATCTGAACCAATTAGTCTAAAACCAAATAATAATTTAACTTTGCCAGCTGAATATTGCATATTTACTCTACCCTTGGGCTGTTACATTTCATTTAGTACAAAAATTTCTCAATTTTTGACATGTAGCTTCAGCACTCAAATAATTTTACTTGATATTATTACAACAAATGGAGAAAAATTTTCATTTGTTCACTTCCATGCAATTTGAACTCAGATTCTAGAAGCAAAAGACGTGTCCTGCCATATCACTGAACAACCAAAAATAGTGATTCAAACTCAAATCTCTTTCACTTATCAGACTCTCTGTTCTCCTGAGTCAAGTTTTATCTAGTCTGTCAAAATAGCAGTGAAAATTGCCAGTATTGAGAGTATAGCCAGCACAAGATTCTTCCACTTGTAGAAAGAAGGAATGATAGCAAGAGAAAGAATGAACCAAAAAAATTATGCAGTTTTGGATTGTCAGAAAAAATAGCCATGTTAAGCTGCATGAAATGGAAATAAAGATCTTTCGACATATACAAGCTTGGCACAGTACAAGCCCGCTGAAAATACCCTTCTGTATATTTGTCAATGAATTAAGTAAATTTTAACTTTAGAAATAAAAGCAGACACAGTAACTTGTTTGGCAGTGACAGCAGAGGGGAGTTAGTAGTAATCAAATCCAACGACTGCTTTATATTTTCATTAAACAAAATATTGGTAATAATTTCATAGTCAACAGCATGAGGCAGAGAAATTGTTAAAGATAACCAAGTACTTACCTGGTGAGACTGAAGTCCTATGATAGAAGAATAAGCAAGAATAGTAATGTAGATCTCTGGCTGAAACACTATATCCGTACCCGGGACTTTAAATGGTCGCAATAATTCCACTAAACACTTCGAGAGTGCATGAAACACTTCATCAAAAATCAGCTCTCCAGTAGAATCATCCTGTGAAACATTTACAATCAGTTCACTGAATAAATAATGAACATGCAATTAGAAAAGAGGGATACTCCTATTTCTTCAAAATCTAGCTTCAAAGTGGTACTGCACTTCCTACAGGCAATAAAACAGCGAGACAGGCTGAAGATAAAAGCAGAATGTGCATTCATATTGCAGCTTTCACCTGCTCAGCATATGCCAAAGTGCTTCAGAACAAAAAGAATTATTTTTCAAATATTGTCACTTATGTTCTATTGGCAAAAACAACAACTAATCTAGGCACTTCAAGATTCCTTAAACAGCATCTGAGACAAGCAATCCAATCATTTATTTTTGCTGCTTTTTGTTGAAGTAAATGTGCACCATAATACTGTTCTAATATTCACACTTCCACGATATTCCAAGATTATTTCCATTTTCACTGAACAGACAGCCCTCGGTTTAATTTGTCATCTGAAAGACGGCAATTTGACATTGGAGCATGCCTTTATTACTCGAACAGAACTTTTCTTTTATTATTCATTTGTGGGATGTGGTCGTCATTGGCTGGACAGCATTTATTGCCCGTCCCTAGTTGCCCCTTAAAGGGTGTTGGTGAGCTATCTTCTTGAGCCGCTGCTGTCCACCTACTGTGGGTTGATGCATAATTCCATTAGGGAGGGAATTCCAGGATTTTGACCCAGCGACAGTCAAGGAACGGCAATATATTTCCATGATGTGGAGGTACCGGTGTTGGACTGGGGGGAACAAGGTCAAAAGTCACACGACACCAGGTTATAGTCCAACAGGCTTATTTGAAGACACAAGCTTTTGGAGTCTAGCTCCTTCTTCAGGTGTCAGTGAAAGAGGAGGCATCAGACACAGAATTTAGATCAAAGGGCCATAGAACTGATGTGAATGTATTCACCAAACCTAAGATGGCTGTTAAATCTTTAATCAGTTAGAAAGGTTTAATATGCAAATCCCAGAATTTCTTTCAAGTCACTGCCCCAAGATAAATAAAGGTTTTATCAGTATACTAGAGGTGACATCTCAGGTCAGACAATGTATTTTAGGAGTGAGGCCTTGTTTAGATCAGGCTGTGTATTAACTTAGGAGTCAGACTGGTTTTATTTCCAAAGCAGAAATTTGTAAAATGCCCCATTAACTGACTGTGTCTACAAATTGTGCACTTTTTGAACAAAATAGAATGTACCTGCAATTACAAATCTGCAAATGTAAATTCACCCCATAGATTTGTGTGTGCAGGTACGCACGGTACACGTGTGTGTCTGTCTGTTTGGGAGGGAAAGGGGGGAGGAGAGAGAGTGAGTGAGTGCGTGTGTGCGTGTATGTGTGCGTGTGCATGCGAGAGTGTGTGTACGAGACAGAGTATGTGAGAGTTATCTCAGGGCAATGACTTGAAAGAAATTCCGGGGTTTGCATATTAATCCTTTCTAACTGATTAAAGATCTAACAGTCATCGTAGGTTTGTTCAATACGTTCGTATCAGTTCTATGACCCTTTTATCGTTTGCTTATAAATTCTCTGTCTGATGCCACATCCCTCACTGACATCTGAAGAAGGAGCGAGGCTCCAAAAGCTTATGTGTTCAAATAAGCCTGTTAGACTATAACCTGGTGTCGTGTGATTTTTGGCCTTGATATATTTCCAAAGCAGGACGGTGAGTGGCTTGGAGGGGAACTTGAAGGTGGTGATGTTCCCATATATCTGCTGCTACTGAGCATCGGTGGTAGAGGGAGTGGATGCTTGTGGATGTAGTGCCAATCAAGCCGGCTGCTTTGTCCTGGATAGTGTCAAGCTTCTTGACTGTTGTTGGGATTGCAATCATCCAGGCAAGTGGGGAGTATTCCATCACACTCCTCACTTGTGCCTTGTAGATGGCGGACAGGCCTTGGGGAGTCAGGTGGTGAGTTACTCCCCACAGTATTCCTAGCTTCTGGCCTGCTTTTGTAGCCACTGTGTTTGTGTGGTGAGTCCAGTTGAGTTTCTGGTCAAAGACAACCCCCAGGACATTGGTAGTAGGGAATTCAGTGCCAGTAACACCGTTGAATGCCAAGGGGGCAGTGGTTAGATTCACTCTTATTGGTGATAGTCATAGCCTGATATTTGTGTGGTGCGAGTGTTACTTGTCCACCTTTCAACCCACTTAGACTCTAACATTCTGACCGATCAGATGACATTTAATCCAACCATAAACAAACCCACAGGATGATGACACAGTTCAATACAAGTCCACTGTACATACTTTTTTTTTTCGAGATGGGTATCTTCAATCTCAGCTCTTTCCCTTTCACTCATAGAATTTTCTTCAATCAAATTATTCTCTGTTGACAATCCAACTTTCACAGTGGTTCACTGGATTTTATCTTTCTTATATTTTTGATATTACTAAGACGTCTAGTGTCTTTTTAGTTTGGCAGGGGGCAAGTGAAACTTTTGCTCATATCATATTTTGAATATTTTAACAACAGTTTGGTCATTTTAGTTGGTCCTTTTCAATGTCTTTGATATTCCACTATGATGATAACAAGAGTGGGAAAAATAGACTGTGGATAATATTATCAATCCATTAGAAGACCAGTTTGATTTTATAACCCCATATCAGAAGGATTTACAAGCAAAGTGTATGCTCTCGCCCAGCAAAAATTGAACTTATATGAGCACCGTGTTAGGAAATAAATTTGACACTGAACGACATACAGCAAAATTAGGACAAATTATCCAAGGTTTTGTTAGAGGTTCTACAGACTCTGGCTAAAACTTGGAAATTACTAGGCAATCAATCATAGAAATCTATATGTCACAAGCTGAAACCAATACCATGAGCCAGAGTAGAGCTACCAAGCTAAAAATCATCCCGACCCATTTCTTCGCACTCAACAAATGACAATCCCGAGATCCTGCAAGGCCCATTCCTGATATCCTTAATCCAACTGCATTTCAGAAGCCATCAATAACTTTTTCCTCACCCTCAAATATAATTATGCACCTCAAAAAAAATGTCAGAAGATTTATGTACTATACTCAGCTACCCTGCAATGTGGAAAATACCTAGGTGTGCCCTGTGCACAAAAAGCAGGATAAATCCAACCCAGTCAATTACCGTCCCATCTTAATCGTCAGCCAAGTGATTGAAAGGGTCATAAACAGTGCCATCAAGTAGCACTTACTCAGCAATATCACATTCACTAATAAGAAGTTTGGGTTTCACTAGACCCGCTCAGTTCCTGACCTCGTTAAAGGTTTGGTCCGAATATAGCCAAAAGAGCTGAACACCAGATGTCCAGCAAGAGTGACAGCTGTTGAAATCAAGGCCACATTTCACTGAGCATGGCATCAAGGAGCCTGAGCAAAACTGGATTCAAGGGGAATTGGAGAAAATAATCCACCGGTCAGAATCATACCTAAGACAAGGGAAGATGGCTGTGGTTGCCTCAGGTGTGTCAACTCAGTCCCAAGATATTGCTGCAGGATTTCCTCGGGGTAGATATGTTCTGATCAACTTGCACAGAGATGGTAATTTCCCACATCTGTAGCAGGTGGACTTGAACCCATGTCTCCTGGCCCACAGGTAGGGACACTACCACTGTGCTACAAGACTCTAATTCCCTAGGGTGGTGTCCTTAGCCCAACCACTTTCAGCTCCTTCAACAATGACTTTCCCTCCTCGTTTGCTAATGATTGCATCATATTCAGTACCATTTGCAGCTCCGCAGATACAGGTGCAGTTTAAGACCTGGACATCATTCAGCTTTGGGTGATAAGCAATATTTCCCCTAACATTTTTTGCACAATCAATCATAGAACCATTCATTACAGAACTGGCCCTTCGGCCCATCAGGGTTGTACTGCCAAAAATAAACTAATACCTACACTAGTCTCATTTCCTGCACTAGGCCCATAGCTTTTAATGATATGGCACTTCCAGTGCTCAACCAAGTACTTTTAAAGGCTGTGCGGATTCCATCTCAGCTCGCCTCCCAGTCAGTGCATTCCAGACCCCCGCCACATTCTGTTTGAAAAAGTTTTTCCCCAAATCCCCTCTAAATCTCCTTTAATTTTTAAAATTGTGCCTCCTTGTTACTGACCCCTTTACAAAGGGGAACAGCTGCTTTCTCTTCAATCTGTCCAGGTCTCCCTATAATTTTATACACCTCCATTAAGTCCCCCTTCAACCTTCTCCATCCCAAAGAAAACAACTCAAGCTAATGGAGCCTCTCTTCAGAACTGAAATGCTCCCCCCTAGGCAACATACTGGTGAATCTCCTTTGCACCCACTCGACTAGAACTACACACAGTACTCCTGCTGTGGGCGAATCAAAGTTCTGCAACCTCCAACATGACCTCCCTGCACGTATAATCTGTGCCATGACTAATAAGGACAAGTGTCCTCTATGTCTTAATTACTCTATTAAGCTGTCCTGTCACCCTCAGGGACAAGCACACAGATTCCTCTGTTTCTCTGAGCTTTCTAGTGTCACGTCATTTTTTGAGTATTTCCCTTGCTTTACACCTTCTTCCAAAGTGCATCTCCTCACATTTATCACAGTTAAATTCCATCTGTCACTGATCTGCTCATCTGACCAATCCATCTATATCCTACTATAACTTAATACATTTCTATCACTGTCAACCACTTGGCCAATTTTTTTGTCATCCACAATCTTACTTATCATCCCTCACAACATTCTCATCTACATCATTTATGAATGTCACAAACAATAAGCAACCCAGAGATAGCAATAACTGCAGATGCTGGAGTCAGAGATAACACAGTGCAGAGCTGGAAGAACACAGCAGGTCAGGCAGCATCAGAGAAATAGGAAAGTTGATATTTCAGGTCAAGATTTCTTCAGAAATGGGTGTGGATCCTGTGCAGAATGAAAAACAGAAGCGATCCTTTGCTGGCCTGGGAGAGGGAGGCTCTGAGCTGGGGTAAGGTTGATTGTAGTGCCAGAAGATGCCAGCATATTGCTGAGAGTGTGTACTTAGGATCTGTAGAGAAAACCATTTTTGGAGGATCTGGATGTTGTGTACGTAGAGGTTGTCACAGTCAGGGCCAAATTGGGATGGCCTGAATGTAGACTGGAGTCTACTGGGGATGGCCTGGTTCCGTAGGCAGGTACTGAGAAAGGAGATGTAGCTGTAGTACCGGGTTTGCTCGAGTGTGTGGTCAAAGAGTTTCAGGGCAGAGGAGATTACCGGAGGGTTGCAGCGGGACAGAGATCCACTGAGGTCTTTCCGGAGGGAGAAGGACAACTTCTTCAAGGTGGGCATCCTTAGGAAAGGCTTCGCTGTGGGGTTATAACTCACTCAGAGATAATAAAGAACTGCAGATTCTGGAGTCAGAGATAACACAGTGTGGAGCTGGAAGAACACAGCAGGCCAGGCAGCATCAGAGGAGCAGGAAAGTTGACATTTCATGTTCTCCCAGCTCCACACCATGTTATCAATAAGCAACCCAGCAATGATCCCTGTGGCATGTAATTCACACTAGGCTCCAGTCACATAAATAGCCTTCTACCATCAACCACGGTCTCTTGTCACTAAGCAAAATTTACATCCAATTTGCCAAGTTACCATGGATCCCATGAGCTTTTACCTTCTTTCTCAGTTTCCCATGTGGGACCTTATCAAAGGCCTCACTAAAATCCACATAAATTACATCAAATGCCCTACCTGTATCCAAACACTTAGTCACTCCTTAGATTTACTAGGCATGATTTCCCTCTATCAAAGTCATGCTGCCTATCCCTGATCAAATCTTGCTTCTCTAAATGGAGACAAATTTTCTCCTTTACCATTTTCTCCAATTGTTTCCCTACCGCTGATGTTAGATGCACTGGTCTACCTGTGACCAAAGACAATTTAAATATTTGGGTCTGGGCCCCTGTAATTTCCTCCCTCATCTCCCATGGCATGCTGGGATTCAACTCATCCAGACCTGGATATTTGTCCACTATTAAATCCACCAAAATCTGTAATACCTCTGGCTTCTTATATCAATCTGCTCAAGAACTTCACAGTCCATCTTCTTCAATTCTGTATTTATGTCTTTAATTGGGAGAAGGAAGACACAAGTGAAGTACTCATTTAATACTCTACCAATGTCCTCCAACTTCATACAGATTTGCCCCCTTGGTCTCTAATAGGCCCAACTCTTTTCCTGGTTATTCTCTGCCCTTTAATAAACTTGTAGGATATCTTGGGATTCTCCCTAATCTTGCTCACCTGCGTTTTCTCATGCTCCCTCTTTGCTCTCCTAATTGCTTTTTTGAGTTCACCCCTGCCCTTGCACATTATATACTCCTAAACATCCTCATAATTTTTCTCCCTTTGAACCTGTTATATGTCTCTCTTTTCCTTTTCAATAAAAATCTAAAACGCGTGAAGCTGCAGTTGCTATCAGTAAAATTCTCCCCTGCTGTCACCCGAGTAGCTGTCCGGCTTCATTCCGCAGAATTAGGTCCAGCATGGCACCGTCCCTAGTAGGACTATCTACATGCTGATATGAAATGGACATTTTTTAAGGAATCTACCGCCTCTCGACCCTTGATACTATGACTATCTCAATTAATATTGGGGCAACTGAAATCCTCTATTACCCTATTATTTTTACACGCCTTACCGAACTGACTACATATCTAGTTCTCGATCGCCCACTGACTATTTGGGTGCTTCTAATACACTGATAGTGCAAGTCCGCCCTTTTCATTTCTAACTCACTGGCACGTTTACTGGTGTGTATGAAGCCTCTCAACAGTTGTGCAGTGCGCAGCTTTACATATGACAAGTAACATTCACACTATACAAATGCCAGGCAATGACTATCTCTAACAAGAGAGAATCTAACAATCCTTCCTTGACATTCAATGGCATTACCATCGCTGAATCCTCCGCTATCAACATTCAAGGGGGTCAAAATTGATCAAAAACTGAACAGTAATAGTTACATAAGTAATATGGCTATAACAGCAGGTCAGAGGCTGCAACTTCTGAGAGAAATAACTCACCCTGTCTCCCCAATACCTGTCCATCATCTACACACACAAGTCAGGAATGTGACGGAACACTTCTCACCTGTCGGCATGGGTGCAGATCCAACTATACTCAAGAATCATGACACCATCCAGGACTAAACAGCCCAAGTGATTGGCAACTCAACCAACACCATGAAACACTGTGGCTGCACTGTTCACTGTTTACAACTCACACAGGCTCCTTAGAAAATACCTTCCAAACTCTTGATCTCTACTTCCTAGAAGAGCAAGGGCAACAGATAGATGGAAATTCAAACGTCTGCAAGTTCCTCTTTAAGCCCATAACATCCTGACAAGGAACCATGTCGCCATTCCTTCAAGATCACTGAGTAAAATCCACCGACATCACATGGGCTGCAGTGGTTCAAGAAGGCACCACCATCTTACCACCATCTTCTCAAGGGCAATTAGAGATGGGAAATTAATGCTGTTCAGCCTGTACACCAACATCTCTTCAAATAAAATATTTAAAAATATGTATACATATGATTAAAGAAAACTTTTAGTCAAAGTTGATGAAATTCAAAATATTTATTCAGATGTTCGCTTTCAATAGCTTCAAATTTAATCACAGTATCCCTACTGTGCGGAGAGAGTCCATTCAACCCATCAAATCCGCACTGACCCTTGGAACTGCATCTTTGAGACCCAGCCCTCCACCCGATCCCCATAACCCCGTTTTTATCATGGCTAATCCACCTAGCCTGCACATCTTTAGACACTATGGAGCACTTTAACATAGCCAATCCACCTAAACTGCACATCTTTGGACTGTGGGAGGAAACCAAATCAACCAGCGGAAACCCAAGCAGACACAGGGTGAATATGCAAACTCCACACAGACAAGCACTTAAGGCTGAAATCAAACCCAGGTCCCTGGCGTTGTGAGACACCAGTGCTAACCACTGAGCCACCGTGCCACCTCTCTCTCTTCCCACCAAATGCAACAATTACTCACCACAATCCCTGTAGATGGACTGAGATCCAGCTCAATAACAAAGCGGTATCGCTGAGCAAGGAAGGTAATATTGGTTGAGGGTACCAGTTGGTATGTTTGATTAGCAACTGGTTCATCTGGCTGCCAGCCTTTTGGTAGGACACTGAGAACATCCAATTCATTGTTAGAGTTGCTCTGTAAGAGAAAAAGGATAATTGTGAGATGGATCACAATGGCATACGTTACAACTATTATAAAGCATAAAGGAATAAAGGACTTCAATTACTGAATAAATGGAAGATGCTGAGATTGTTCCCCTTAGAGAAGAGAAGATTAAAAGGAGATTTGATAGAAATGTCTGGAAAAGCTTACAGATGGATCCTGGCAGTGTTGGAAAAAACCTACGTCCATTGGCAGAAGGACAAAAATCAAACACCACCAATTTGGGTTGATTAGCAAAACCAATGTGAGGAAAAAAACTTCTATGCAGAGAGTGGTTATGATTTCAAATGCACTTCCTCAGAATGTGGAGGAGGCAGGTTCAATTGGGGCTTTCCAAAGCGAACTGGATCAACAACTGAAGGGAAAAAAAATTACAGATTTTCTAGGAATCACTAGGAATTCCCATCATTGCATGATCAATCCACAATCTTGGATAATATCAGGAGATTTTGCATGTTGGCTCAGTGGCTACCAGCACTCTATTGTGTCAAACTGAGCCATGCAGACCAAGGAGGTCCCAATTTCAATTCATAAATATTACATTTTTTCACTTCAGTTGGCCTCTGTGTCCTTTGTTTGAGTTGGTGGTGGGGGAGGGTGGAAAAAATTAATGAGTTCACATTCTCAGTCATTTCGGAAAACAAGAGGGCAATTACATTAGTGTAATTATCTATTCTAACATGTCGTGAAAATACTTGTGTTACAAATAAATATTTTAAACTAACAACATGACCATCTAATTTTCTCCCAATGTACTGAGAGTGCAATTTACATTTCATGCAAAGATTAATATGCCACATTAGGTTCCCACTACTTTACTTCATCCATGTGCTCACAAACAGGTCACAGAACAATTCCAGGGACTCTTTCACTCACAAGCTCTGACTTTGACATCGGTCGAATGCTTTGATTCAGTCTGTTGAGAAACCAAGCTAATCTCACATTGCGGGAAATCCGATATTCCTTCTTCATAAGTAAGAAAACCTGTCCTGCTTCTTCCACCTGTCAAAACAAAAGTATATGACTTGGAACTAGAAGTTTAGGTCACCAGAAGCTCTACTAGTATAAAAGAACCCACATTAATAAGTCTATAAATACTCGGATGATTTTGCAACAATGAGATTTGAATGATTTTCTTTCTTCACATGCTCCTTAGTTTGCTTTCTTTCTTTGCTCCTTAGATTAACCTCTCATAAAATTAAGCAACTTAGGCACTCAATGAAAGTCCATATTACACTTCACCAGCTAGAAAAAGGTTATTAAATCAAATATAGCATTTCTAATAGGAAGTAGATACCTTCCTATGTCTTTCTTTACTTCTTGCAAACATAGAAAATAGGTGCAGGAGTAGGCCATTCTTTCCTTCAAGCTTGCACCAACACTCAATATGATCATAGATGATCAAGAAAAGTTCATGTTAAACCCAAAAGAGAAGAGAATTTACTACTTCTATTTTTTTCCCCTGATATTCAGAACGAGTCATCTTTCAGTAGCCAAACACAATCATTTTGTGAAACATCACACTCTCCCGGCAGGCAAAGAAATATTTTAAAAGCATCAGAGTTGTTATCCTGCAAGTCTAATGTGACAATAAAGCCAACTATATTAGTTACAGGGAACATCTTGTCACAATACATGATATGAACGTAGCACTGTAACTCTAACTAAAAATACCCTTTGAAATCACCAAAAGAAATTTCCAAACATATAACGCATACTCACCAGGTATATTTCCTCAAAATTCCATGGATTCCAATGGCTACATTTTTGCCAATATGTCATATGGTCTTTTATACTATTGCTCCAAAAATTAGCTCCTACGTTTGCTGTGGTTTGATATTGCTTTTTTATCATCTACATACCAGCTTTAGTTAATTTTATCTCAATATACTAGTTTTCTGATATGAGTGCTTAACTGCACAATTAGCAAAATTTGAAGACCTTATAAACAAGATTTAAAGCGCATAGACCCCGACAACATGTGTCAAGATTCCATGGTGTGATGTAAGCAGCTGTCTTCTGCTTGTGCAGGAAGCAATTCATATTTTGTCTGTTAACAACAAGTAGCACCCTCAGGGTATGAAAGCCCCTACAAGACAATTTGTGGTTTGTTGATTCATAGGATGTGAGCATCACTGGCCAGGCCAGCATTTGTTGCCCATCACTAAGAATGCAACTTCTAGCAACGTTGGAGACAATGAGAAATAATTTATTTCAGGTGTCCTCTCCAAAGTTGGGTCTGCTGATGAAACTCGGAGTTCACTGATGACACAGCAACCTCCCCCAGAGCAAACACGGGAGCTGTCACTGAGACTGTCAAAACAGAAAACGCGTATTTATTCATGTGCAACTCACTGGACTTTAACTCTCCGACACAAGAAAAAAAAACAATCAGAGGGAGAGCCGTAAATCCTATGCTAACAAAGTTTAAGGAAGGAGCTGCGTGCAGAAGGCAGGGTCGCATGTCCGGTCCCCCCTCCTCGGGGCCGCCCCTCACTGTTTGCTGACACCGCACCCCAACCCAGGCCCTTCCCTTTACCTCGGAGTCTCTCTCTCCACCGGACATGCTCGATGGCCGCTCTCATGCCCACCGGCCGGCCGGCCTTCCGCCCCGCCGCCTATCGATTAGAATCGGAGCACTCTGTCGCTCCCGGTTCATCTCCCGGCACCGCCCCCTCCCCCAATCAACCTACACACACGACGTCACCTCTGACCCCTGACCCCGCCACCCGGAACCGGAAACGGGGCGGTCGCGGCCGGGGTTGCCATGCAGGTAAGGAGCTGCCAGCGGGACTGGATCGTCCCCTTGAGCTCGACCCTCACAGCAACTCATTTGTCGGAGGAAATCACTTCCACTCGTGTTCCCCCCCCCCCCCGCGAATTCATCCCGTTTTCCCCTCGCAGCGCAGAGACTTTCAGTCCTCAGCTCGTCATCGCATTTGTGGGCTGGAGACTTGAAGAGAGCCGGACAGGTTAAGAAGGCACATCAGACGCTGGACTTGATCAGTCAAAGCATTAGCTACGAGAACAAGGAGATTTACGATGAAGCTGTGCGTCACGTTAGTTAGGCCGCAGCTGCACTGCTGTGCGCATTTCTGGTCGCTGTGCTGTAGGAAAGATGTGATTGCACTGGAGAGCAGGTAGAGGAAATTTCACCAGGATCGAAAACAGATATTGCTGGGAAAACTCAGCAAGTATGGCAGCATCTGTGGCGAGGAAGCAGAGTTAAAGTTTGGGTCCAGTGACCCTTCTTCAGAACTAATTCACCAGGATGTTGCCTAGGCTGGAGTGATTCAGGTGTACAAAGGTTTGAAGGGTAGATAGAGAGGAACTTTCCCCCTTAGCAGAGGAGTCAATATCCAGGGGTGCAGTTCTACAGTAAGCAGCAGGAAATTTATAGGGTATTTGAGGAAAGTCTTTTTTCACCCTGAGGGTGGTGGGTATCTGAAACTCACTGCCCTGAAGGGTGGTAGAAGTGGTAAACCTCAATTAATTTAAGAAGTATTTAGATGAGTACTTGAAATGCCATAGCATACAAGGTTTCGTGCCAAATGTTGAAAAATGGGATTAGAGTAGATAGATGCTTTGTGACCAGCATGAGTATGATGAGTTGTAGTGTCTCTTTCCATCATAGAATCCTACAGTGTGGAAGCTGCCCATTGGGTCATCCCACCCAAACCGCTGTCTCTTAACCCTGCATTTCCCGTGGCTAACCCACCTAGCCTGCACATCCCTGGACACTATGGGCAATTTAACATTGCCAGTCTACCTAATCTGCACATCTTTGGACGGTGGGAGGAAACCAAAGCACCCAGAGGAAACCCCATGCAGACACGGGGAGAATATGCAAACTCCACACTGACAGTCGCCATAAGGTGGAATTGCACCCAGGTCCCTGGCACTAGGAGACAACGTTGCTAATCACAGCCGTTGTGCCACTGCATGTTGTAAAAATGCCAAGACTTTGTGGGATTTTGCTGTGTGCAAATTTGGCTGCTGCATTTCTGACATTAAGTGACTGTACGTCATTTCCAGCATCTGCAATGTCATTTGATTTCAATATAAAATATAAAGGCACTTTAGGAGATGTAGTGTGCATAGAAGGGGCTTTATGATAGACATCAATTGGAAATGTGGGTGGAGAAATGGAGTTTAATCCAGACAAATGTGAGGTAATGAATTTTGGGAAGTCAAATGCAAGAGAAAGCATACAGTTAATGGTAGCACCCTTAGGAGCATTGATATACAGAGGGATCTTGGAGTCCAAGTCCATGGCTCCCTGAAAGTAGCAACACATGTGAATAAGATGGTAAAGAAGGCATACGGTATGCCTATCTTCATTGGTTGGGGCATTAAGTATAAAATTTGGCAAGTCATGTTGCAGCTGTATAAGACTTTAGTTAGGCTACATTTGAACTATTGTGTGCAGTTCTGGTCTCGACACTGTGAGAAGGATGTGGAAACTTTGGTGAGGATGTAAAAGACGCTTACCATGAAGAAGGGTCCAGACCTGAAACGTCAGCTTTCCTGCTCCTCTGATGCTGCCTGGCCTGCTGTGTTCATCCAGCTCTACGCCTTGTTACCTTTACCATGATATTGTCTGGATTGGAGAGTATTAGCTATAAGGAGAGATTGGACAAACTTGGATGGTTTTCACTAGAGCCTTGGAGGCTGAGGTGCAACCTAATAAAAATATATAAAAATAGGAGAGGCATGGATAGGGTGGATAGTCAGGGTCTTTTGCAAGGATGGAAATGTCAAATACTAGGGGGAGCATATGTTTAAGTTGAGAGGGGGAAAGATTTTTACAGGGTGGTAGGTGCTTGGAACATGCTGCCAGGAGAGGTGGTAGTAGCAGATATGTTAACAAAAGTTTAAGAAGTGTTTAGGCAGATGCATGAACAGGCAGGATGTAGAGGGTTACAAATGATGTGGCGGCATCAAGGCTGGTGAAGACATTTTGGTCCAAAGGGCCTTGTTGCTATGCTGTACTGTTCTATGAATGCAAGTCTAGTTCTTCAAAGGAAGAAGTACTTGCATCTGTGCTGCACTTTTCACTATCTCAGTCTTAATGCAGTTCTGCAGGATGTTACAGTGGAAGCAAAATATTACAGATGCTAAAAATCAGATCCTAGAGAAATGAAGTGTAGGGCCTATTGTCCTCTAGGAAATGCAGCAACCAATTAGTGCAGAGACAAAAATAGAAATTGCTTGAAAAGCTCAGCAGGTCTGGCAGCATCTGTGGAGGGACATCAGAGTTAACTTTTCAGGTGGAGTGACCCTGAGAACTGAGAAAGGGTCACTCAGCCCAAAAAGTTAACTGATTTCTCTCTACAGATGCTGCCAGTCCTGCTGAGCTTTTGCAGCAATTTCAATTTTGTCTCTGATTTACAGCATCCATAGTTCTTTTGGTTTTTAATTAGTGCAGATTGCTTGACAATGTGATAGTAACCAAATAGTGTTTGCTGAGATTAGTTGGAGGATAATTGTTGGCCAGGACACTGGGGATGGCACTTGTTTTTCTCATGGTGTCATTTTTTTTTTGTGTTCACCCAGTAGCTCAGACCTTTAACATATTATCTGAAAGACCTCATCTCTGATAGTACTGTGCTGGGTGTTATCCTAGATTTGTGTTTTAATATCTGGAGTGGGACCAAGCTGAACACCTCTTGACTCAGTCAAGAGTACTACAAACTGCTGCAACATACTTTTATATAAATTCCGAAAATGCTTTAAGTGTGAGATGTCATTAAACACCAAGGAGTGGTCAGAAATGCAATTTGTTGTCAGAAACTGAAACTGATTCATTTAAACAAACTTGCTTGTTTGTTAGTGAATTTCACATTTTACATTTTTAGACAAAAACATCTAGTTTATTTTGACAAGCTGTGTCAACAAACTTTAGTGATGTATGAAAACTCACTTCAGTGACCATAAGATGTAGGAGCAAATTTAGGCCATTCGACCCCTAGAGTCTGTTCCACCATTCAATGAGACAGTCCTCAAATCCGTTTTTGTGCCTTTTCGCTTTAACCCTTGATTCCGTCACTGATTAAAAAAAATCTGTCTATATCAGCCTTGAATATACTTAAGGACTCAGCTTCTACAGCACTCTGCAGTAAAACATTTCACTGCCCTCAGAGGAAATCCCTCCTTATCTCTCTTAAATGAGCGATCCCTTACTTTGTGATTACATCACTTGAATTTAGATTCTCCCAGAGGGGAAAAATACCACTTAGGGGTTTTATAGATAAATGCTAGAAAACCATCTTTTCCAGTAAGGTCACTTCTATTTTTCTTCATTTATTCTTCAGTGGTTTACATTCTATACATTTTATGTGGATTGTTATACCCATGTGGTTTTGTACAATGAGTGGCTGATAGTGAAGTGAGCCTTACTGTACAGCGCTATCTTTAGGAGCGCATCAGGAATCAATTAAGTTGCCGGTGTTTGGACTCTTCATGGACGAAGAACTATACAAGATATAGGGAAAGTAACACAGTATCACCAGTTGTGTTGGGTACACTGAAAAGAAGTACTGTATCTGAAGAATGGCATCAATAATGTTATGCAGAAGTCCATTGGTTAGTTTGGAAAATGGTCAGATGGCATAGGGATGCTTTGAAGTGGTGTTAATGAGCATTTGAGTTCAATGTTTAGATACCAAATTTGCTTTGGTATCTAAATACATTCGCAGACACCAATTACCAAGACTTAACACTGAGGGAACCTTGTTTTTAAAAGCAAGTCTGGGCTGCATTTTGTAACACCTTTTATATTTAGAATCATGTTGACAGAAACTTCAGCAGGCAGTATTAAAGCTGTAATGAGACAGATATTCGTTAGAAAAGTTTTAGCAGAAAATGAAGAGTTCAGCGACTCCCAAATTAAAAGATACAATCTTAATTGTATACAATATACCAATGAAATCATGCTTATTGCTGACACAGAAGATAAACTGCATAAGATTTTGGATAGAGTAGTGAATGACCATTAGAAGAAAACAGTGACCAGAATCTGGAAACAAGCAAGTCTAGTAGACTCCGAAAAGAAAAATCAGGCCAGAATGCAAGGTCAAAGAAAAGGATAAAAATGTAAACAGTTGATAAATTATCACCTCAGAAGTATGTTGACATTAGAAGGAAAAAGGTCTGACCCAAGAAATAAAATGAAGGATTGGAATGTTCAAATATGCATTTCAAAAAATGAAGAAGATTACTTAGGTACAGAAACAAAATCATAATTTGGAATGCTCTGTTACACCAATTCTGATATTTGGAAGCAGGTATTGGATGATCAGCAAAGCAATAGAGAGAAGAATTAAGTCTGCAGAGTTGTGCTTTTTTTAAGCCAAATAATTCAGATGTCTCATGGAAGTTACACTACCAATGAAGGGTGCTTGCAAACTCTGAGACCGAAAGAACAGGCAGTACAAGGTAGTTGGAATTTCTTAGGCACATAATAAAATTTAGAAAGTCTGATGCTGATGGGATCACTCATAAGAGAGATCAAGGCAGACAAAGAATTAACTTTCTAAAGAACCTTGCAAACTTATTGAATGTACCAGCAAAGATGATCCATGTCGTTGGAGCAAGATAAAATAGCCAACACACTTTCAGGACATGTCACCTATGGAAAAAGAAAAATGGAGTCACTTTGCAAAAACTTTGTGTAACTGACCCATACAGTCTATGTCCCATGTTAATTCTGGTTTTGTTCGGTGTTAACCGAGTTGGTGGTTGCTATATTTGGTTATAATGCTGTGGGCTTAGGGAGAAAATATCAGCCATCATTGCCAATTCTGATCACTATTGTGTTGGCAGTTGTATGTTTGGTTTTTGATTGAAGACAAGGTTGCACCAAGTGCTGCCAAAGTTGAAGTTGTTAGCACTGCTGCCTCAGTGCCAGAGACATTGATTCACTTGTGTGTGGGGTTTGCACGTTCTCCCCATACCTGCATGGGTTTTCTCCTTGTGCTCTGGTTTCCTCCCGCAGTTCAGAGATGTGCAGGCTAGGTGAATTGGACATGCTAAATAGTCCGTAGTGTCCAAGGATGTGCAGTTTAGGTGGATTAGCCATGAGAAATGTGGGGTTACGGGGATAGAGTAGAGATCTGGGTCTGGGTGGGATGCTCTTCAGAGGGTCGGTATGGTCTCAATGGGCTGAATGGCATCTTTCCACATTGTATAGATTCTGTGATACTAAGGGCTTCACCTGTATTTACTGACCAGTTCTTCATAAGTGAAGTAGAACAACCTGCATTCAATGCCTAGGCACAGCAGCACCTCTAGAGTCAACCAAGAATGAGGTAAGAGGGGAAGAGAGGAGGAGTTCGGCAAAAAATGTTCATCCCGTGCTTTCCATATCCTGAACATCCTTACTAAAGATTTTTCATTAATCAAATTGTCTGAATTTCATGCTTTGAGCACACCATCTACAGATTCCTTGATCCGTGCAACTAGAGGAAGGAAGGTTTATAGTGAATTGTCCTGTAAAAGATGCTGCATCTTATTAAAACTTCAATGGTAACTTTCCATAGCCACAAGAAGAAAAGCAGCTGGAGGCCTCTCTTGACGCCATCATCAGTCGGGTGGCTGATCTGAAAAGCTCTTTAGCAGCTTTCATCCTCAAATTAGAGAATGAATTTGAACGAATGAACTGGTAAGATTTCCTTCTGATTGTACTATGCTGTGCAGTTGCTTGTAGTGTATGGTCATTTATCTCTCTTTGAATTGGTCTGTGTGTAAGAGTATGTGGGAACTGAGGTGACCACTGCCAGTGGAATTACTGCTGAAATCAATTGTATGCATGAAATCAGAATCATTATAGTGCCAAGGGAAACCTGTAAAATGATCATATCTAGCTGTTTGAGCAATTTAACTTAGTGCCAGTCTCCTATTTTTCCCCATAACTGTGCTTATTGTTTCAAATTAAATAATCATCTAAGATCTCTTGAGTATGCCAATTGAATCTCCTTCTACCACACTTCCAGGCAGTCCTTTGCAGAACCTAACTAATTGCCATGTGAAAAACATTTTTCACACCTTACATTTGCTTCTTTTGCTGAACACCTTAAGATTGTGCTGTCTGGTTCTTGATCCTTCCAAGTTCACATTCAATTAAGTATATTTTTTCCTCACAACCTACCATTTTTATGATAGTCTAGAACCTTCGTGGCTAAATTGTGTATCAGCCTCAATCTTGTTGTGTTTTGTCATGTCAGCCATTGCTTAGTTGATAGTATATCACACTCCGAGTCAGAAGTCTCACTCCAGGACATCAACGCAAACATCAAAGCTGTGACTCCAGTAATGAAGGAATTCTGTACTGTCAGGAATACTGTCTTTCCGATGAGATGTTAAGCCCAAGCCCATTTTATCCCCTCAGGTCAATGTAAAAAAAATCCAAAGTCTCTACTTTTTAAAAGAGCAGGGAGCTGGTTCGCAGGTATTCTGGCCAACAGATTCTGATCATTATCACAAGGTTTCAGCACTTGTCCACAAGTTGGCTGCCATGTTTCCTATATTACAACAAGAAGTACATTTTAAATCTGCTTCATTGGTTGTAAAGCTTTTGACTCTTTTGCTGTTGACCTATCATCCTATTCAGTCACTTTTTATGCTTCTCTACAGTAGTCTGCGTGGCCATTTTTGACTTTTACCTTTCTTTATTGTGTTCGGTCCTGAACTAAAGTATCAAAGGAGACAAAGGAAGATTATAACCCATTAGTCTTAGCTTGAGGTGAAGCCCAATAAAGTATATTCCATTTAACATCCTTACTACCTGGATCTTCAACTTGCAATTCTGATGGTTTGCAGTAAACAATATTAACCTAGTTTTTGCTGTCTTCAAATTCTGATTCATCCATACTACTTCCAAAATTGACTGTTTTTATTGCTGTCTTTAACAATTTGTTGTAAATTCTCCCAAGACTACCTTTACCTAACCTGCGTTGCATCCACTGCAGGCCTTCAGTATTGGATAACTTTGCCCTGGTATCTGGCCAGCTGAACACTTTGAATAAGCTCCTGAAAAATGAAAAAACACCACTGTTAAGAAATCAAGTCATCATTCCATTGCTGCTTTCTCCCGACCGTGATGATGAACTAATGGTAGGTTATGAATGCAGTAATATATTAAAATAACAAAACGCAGCTCACGGTTAGACAGTATCTGTGTAAAGAAAAGCAGTGTTAACATCTCAAGTGAACATCCTTTTGTCAAATCAAAGATCAGTACATTTTTAGATACTAAGGAATTCAAGAGAAGCAGAGTTACTTGCGGCATGTTGAAATGATGTGAAGGATAAAGTAGGCTTGAGGGCCAAATGGCCCACCGTTTCTTCTGTTTCTTGTGTTCCCATGACGACAAAATGCTGGAGCTGGTTCAGGAGTTTTATCTGCAATTATTTTTCGAGTTTATGTAGCAGGATGCTGATCAACAGTCTTTCCCAAAATGTGGGTGCAGTTGACTTCATCTGTGCCTTGGGTCTATGTGCAGGATGCATTAGTGCTGAGCAACTCTTTTCCAGGAATGAGTGTGCAATTCATTTTAATTGTAGAAAGCAGTAGTGTGGAAAAACTGAGAACAATGAAATAAAGTATGTCTTGTGATCTGGAAAATCTAGCTATAAATGGTAGAACAAAGTCCATCTTTATGTGTTTTAACATATAGAAAGCCAACTACCAAAGGTCAATCTGTTCCTATTTAAAGAAGCTTATGCAAATCTATAGTTAATTGTCACCATCTGCATTCAATTACTCAGTTAATATACTCAGCAAATTATGAAATTGGACAGTCAACTGGATTAACGACCAAGATAATATCTGTATTCACAACAGCAAACAAAGCTCATTGAGATTCAAACATGAAAGTAGAGATTCGATTCTGCTGGAATCTCAAGATTTTATATTTAAGCATCTTGGACTTCAAAACGTAGTCAGGTTGGTGATTGGGGGATTTGGTTGTGCATGGTGGGCGGTTTCCTGATAACCATTATTAACAAAGTTAAGAATGTAAACCATTCGCTCATTGCCCAAACATGCAGCATTAGATTATAGATTTTCACTTTCAATTGACCCAGTGATAGCTTTGATAAATGACTACATTTGTCTTTAGCTTTTAGCACTTACTTGGTCCAGATCGGATCATTCATTCTCACTACAGTAAACTGCTTTTTGTATATCATAAAATTTGCAGCAGTTCACCTCCACTTTGAGGGAAATGAGAGATGGACAATAAATGTTGGGCCAGCTAGCTCTCATCTCGTGAAGCAATAATATGCTTTACAGAGACAAGCAGTAAACATCGAGTTCTAATTTATAATACATATATCTAGTAACAGGTCCTTAAAAGACATCACTTTTCCCCCCTCAGTGTGAAGTAACTTGGCACATGTTCCTGTGCTTGAGCAGAACCAGAGAAATGTTAGTAGTCACTATAAAGAGTTACCTGGCTTCCCATTCTTCCTTTAAGAGCTTCTTAATAACAAAACTCATTGTAGGGCATGATAATTTTTGAATATTATTTCAAGCAATTATGTCATCTTGTGAATCCAAATTCATATTTAGTCCAATAGTGTTATTCAATCCCATTAGAACTGCTGAACTCTGATCCTTTTGTCTTCTACCCATCATTCCTTTACGGTATTTTCAATAAACTTCATAAAACCACCCATAGCACAGATTTCATAATCAGACCAAATGATGGAAAAGTCAGATTGTATTGCTAATAAAATTAAAGGTAAATCTATACCATTTTCGTAGGTTGATTTGGAACTTCTGAAAAGTGAAAGTGCAGGCATTATTGGCATAGAATTCCTATAGTGCAGAAAGAGGCCATTTGGCCCACCGAGTCTGCACTGGCCCTCTGAATAGCATCCCACCTACATATGATTAAAGAAAAACTTTAGCCAAAGTTGATGAGACCCAAAATATTTATTCAAATATTTGCTTTCAATAACTTCATATTTAATCACAAAATCTCTACAGTGCGGAAAGAGGCAACTCAACCCATCAAATCTGCACTGACCCTCCGAAGAGCATTCCCACCCAGACCCACCCCATCCCTGTAACGCCACATTTACCATGGCTTACCCACCTAGCCTGGACACTATGAGGTGAATTAGCATGGCCAATTTACCTAACCTGCACATCTTTGTACTGTGGGAGGAAACCAGAGCACAACATGGACAATCACCCTAAGGTGGAATCAAACCCAGTTCCCTGGCACTGTGAGGCAGCAGTGCTAACCACTGAGCCACCGTATTTCTCTAACACACTTGCGCTCCAGATTTTTCACTGCTGCCATGGTCACTGTGACTAGCTTTAAATTTCAGAATTTGTTAATAGAATTTAAATTCCACCAGTTGCTATGATGGGAATTGAACCCCTGTCCCTAGAGTAGAAATTCGTCCTTATTGTTACAAATCCAGCAACATCACCACCACGCCACAGGCTTCCCTGTCTTTTCAAAATCCAAAGATGCTCCTAAGCAGCACTTGAAGGCAAAATGTGATACTAAACAGGGTATCAAGGTTGCTCAGATAAGTAGGTTTTAAAGAGGGGGGAAGGGAAGAGCAGCAGAGTGGCTTGTAGGGGGGAGAATCACATAGCTTGGAATCCAGGCATCTTAACGTACAGTTGCTCTTGGTTCACCGATTACAACCAAGGGGGTGGTAAAGAGACCAGGATTGATGGAACGGATGGATCCCAGAGGGGTTGCAGGATGGTTACAGAGATAGTGAATGTTGAGAATTTGAAACAAGACTGAGAAATTCAAGAGATAACACGTAGAGCTGGATGAACACAGCAGGCCAAGCAGCATCATAGGAGCAGGAAGGCTGACGTTTCAGGCCTAGACCCTTCATTTCTGAAGAAGGGTCTAGGCCTGAAACGTCAGTCTTCCTGCTCCTATGATGCTGCTTGGCCTGCTGTGTTCATCCAGCTCTACACCGTGTTATCTCAGATTCTCCAGCATCTGCAGTTCCTACTATCTCTGAGAAATTCAAGATCAAGGTGAGTTTAACTGAGAACCAACAGAAGTCAGTTAGAGCAGGGGACATGGATGGATGGGTGAATGGGCGTAGGTGTGCACATAAGGAATTGAGAATCAGAGTTTAGGATGACTCCCCAGCTCACAAAGGGTAGAATGGGAACTTTGGGCCTGGAATACATTGTAACAGTCGACTCTGGAGGCAATGAGAGTGTAGATGGGGAGCTGCAGCAGCAGGTAAACTGAGACAGTGATGCAGTCAGGGGATATTACAGAAGTGAAAGCATGCAGTCCGAAGTTGCAACTCAGAACACCAGCTGAGAAACAAGTCTTCAGTCTCCAAGAAGAGCACGTTAGCTCCTATCAGCAGTTCTTTCCAGCTCAACAAGACACTGTGGCTGAGTTGTTTGCCATTCTTGAGCACATGTTGACAAAAGTCCGACAGCAGACAATAAACATCGGAGAGCATAGTCAAGCCTTAAAGGAAGAGGGAAGATGTTTTGGTGATAAGTTCCAAATCAATTTAAGAAATTTAATGACTTGAAATAACAGAAGAAATATATTTTCTGACAATGCATTATTAGACTTTAAACTCCAGGTAATTGAAAAACTATGAAAACTGCAATTTTGTTCCTTTGTTTTTGCTGCTTTGAAGAGAGTTAACAAATTATGTGGGAGTTTATTTGTATCAATCATCTCAAAAGCCATAAACCCATGTCTAGGATTTGAACATAGAATCTATACTGGCAGTTCATAGTGTCACAGTAGCTTCCCGATGAAATGTTGAGGGACTCTGAATGCCTACTTGTGTCAATATAAAGAATTCTATGCCACCATCCAAAGAAGATGAGGGAAGTTCTCCATGCATTAGCCAACACTAATCATTCACTTCATTGTCATTTGGGACATCAAAGTATGAAATTTGCCTGCCATATTTGCCTACAAAACAGTAATCAATCTTTCAAAAAAAAATTCATTAGCTGTGAAATGGATTTATAACATCCTGAGATGAAAAAGCACACAAGCATGTTCTTCCTTTGTGTGAATTCAAGTTGACCCAGTTGAGCACTTTTTGAAGGTTAGAACATTATCTGCAAGTCCAAATTTAGGCCTTTGAACAAATTAGCGTTTGAGCTGGCATGAAAGGGGAAAAGAGGTGGTTACATTACATAGGTAACAGAAAAGTAGTTCACATTTTTGTTTGAAGAGACATAATTAAATTTTAAAATTGCATTTTTTACCCTGGAGGATGCATGGTATCAAAATGCTTCAACTATGAGGGGCAAATTTTTTACACAGCCGGTTTTCACCTGTGGAGTGAACTTCCTGAGGAAAAGGTGGATGTGGGTAGAATTACAATGATTAAAAGACATTTGGATAAGGACATGAATAGAAAAGGTTTGGAGGGATATGGGCCAGGGGCAGGCAGGTGGGACTAGATTAGTTTGGGATTATGTTCAATATGGACTGGTTGGACTGCTCTGTGCTGTATGACTCTATGACTAGCACCACCTTTTTTAATTCATTGTCTTTTTACCATAGAAATTAACAGAGGGTCGAGTTCCTGTTTTCAGTCATGAGGTGGTGCCTGATCATCTCCGGACCAAACCAGACCCAGAAGTAGAAGAACAGGAGAAGCAATTGAGTGCAGAGGCAGCACGCTTGGCACCTGATGTAGCTCAGGTATGGCTTAATTTCTATTTAGAGTGATCATTGGTTTGCTAGTAATGAAAGCAAATCAGTAGAAGTAGCTAACAGTAAACAGGAAATGACAGCTAGCCACCTGAAGAAATCACATGCCATTATGATAACAATCATACCCAATGTGATCAATTAAACAATGCTGCAGAAAGACACAGAGGAACACCATTGCACTTAATTTGGTATAAGTGCAGCAGAAAAAACGGAAGTCTCGTCCTGTCAGGTTGTTAAGAAGAGGATACGTTGGAGAGGACGGTGAGAGTCCTCAGTAGCCAAAAACTTAAGAACTGTAACTTTATTGATCATCTGCATGTAAAATTGGGAAAGGTTGTCCCTAAAATTGCAATTTATGTTCCATTGTTTAATTCTTACAATATTTCAACTTTAAATACAGTGTATTTTAATTCATTCCTTAGTTAATATTTACCCATTCCCTGCGTCTTGAACTGAATCAAGGATGGTAGAAACAAATTCAATCGCAACTTGCAAGAGGGAACTGGATATACAGTATACTTGGAAAAGGAACGATTTACAGGGCTGAGAGAAAAGACCAAAGGACTAGAACCAATTATATGTCTCTTTAAGGGAACGAGCAGAATAGATTGCATAATCTTCTGTACTCTGTTTTCCTCTCCTGAACTACCACAGTTTGCAGCTCTGTACAACTGAGTATAGGTCTACATATTGCAGAATGTGATAAATTTTGTTTCTATACGGTACATGACAGACAGTGTACTGTTCTATGTTCTACATTTAAACCTTCTTTTCTCCTTCAGTTTAATTATCTTCTTGCTGCTGCTGAAACCCATCGCCATGCCTTAAGCTTTCAAGACCTGATTTCTTAATTTCCATCTAAACTGACATTTGAACTTGGCCAAGGAATTCACAGAACACATTTTTCCCACAAGTTCCAATATTTCAATACTCAACAAGATCCACTGCCTCTCTGTGCCACAGTATGCATCCCTGCTTTATAGTATCTGGCTACCTTTTGACCTTTCCTGTCTTATCTGCTTCACACACCTTCTGTAACCTAGCTTTTTCCTCAGATTCTCAACTTCCATGCATTCACTGCCATGGATAACTCACTTCCCAGTTCCCTGTTACACTACTTGCTTTGGAAAGTTACTACTCAGTCCCTTTTTGATTGCTTCACTCCTTTATTCTACTGCCCTACACCCCCTTCCCCTTATTTCTACTTTGTGTATCCACTGTATACTATTCCTAATTTGTAAAATCATATCTGAAATCTTTGCAATAAGGGGAACAAACTAAATGTAAGTTATCAAGTTCAGTATCTAATCATCTTGGACACAAGATAAAATAATATTTCTATTGTTATTTTAAGTTGCTTATTTTCTCCCACCACAGAAACACATCCAGTCATTGAACAAAATGTGTGGCAACTTACTCGACAAACTTAACAACACTCGGGAGGAACGGGAGTCTGAAAGTGGAGGTATGCAACACATTCTTTGTTGTCGTGATAAGTAAAGGACAGATAAAGAATTTCGTAATTGTTCCGATGTATTTTCACAAAAGCATCTGAAATATGGTCTGAATGCCTCACAAGTACCCAAATACATAGCAAAGAATCAAACTATTAGCAATTGGAGTTTAGGTCTGAATGTTCATGGTAAGATCAAGTCGCTATGATGAAAACATTGAAATACTGTCAGTGGTGAGCTGCTATATCTCCTAGCATCTCTGAAGGAAAACCTTTTCTTAAATGTTGAATAGAAGAACATTCCTGAAATGGGCTACAATGGTAATTTGAAGATTAATGATTTATAAATGTTGGTTCTTTATTACTCAAGAATGGTTCTTTAAGCTGTCTGCTAATGTAATACTTTGAAGAGAAAACGCTGATCATCATTTATGTGACTACTTTACCAGCCTTCAAGAGAATGCAACAAAGCTACTCATCTGTCAAAGCTCTTTATATGGCTATCCAAATGTTGATGCAGACAGTATCTATTGGCTAATTTGAGGCAAGATCATTGTTAACAGTAAAATACCTTTGTATGTTTGTGACCACAAATTAGACTGGTACCAGTGTTCTCCCTAAACCTTTTGTGTGTGGCATACTAATTTTAATGTATGATACCTTTGAGATTGCAGGCGTACATAAAATAATTATAGGGAGAAACCTTGAGTGGCCTGTGCTGTATTTATCAGACTGCTGTGCATTTGGTCATGTGCACAGCTTAGTAGGTACATTGGTAAAACCTATGCACACATTTGCAATGTTCTTTATGTACTTTAGAACCAGATTAATGGCCTTAACTTATCTGCATGGAATTAAAATTTAATGAAGTCATTTGAACTAAAAGTGAGGTTTAGTTATCAGGAGAATCCAACAATCAAAATGAAATCAGCCTCATAATTGTGAGGCTGCTTATGGCAGTTGAGCAGATGAATAAAACAAGTTAATTTAACATCAAGTTCAGCAACAGACACAATTATAGTATTTCTGAATATTTTAGTCTATCAATTTTCAATGTGGAGAAAATTGTTGTGTAAAGATAGGCACCTTTAGCATACTTTATACATATTCTGATTAAGCCTAGTAAATAAAGGAAGTACATTGTGTGATGCTGAACATTATAGAGTAGGAAGGTTCCAGGTTTAACCCGTGATCTTTGTTGAGGTAGCCAGTCTCAAGCAAAGTCCACTCAGTGACGTTGCAATTAAAATTTTCATGCTTAGTCTAGTGTTCAATTCCTAACTTTTGTCCATTGATAACTCTGGAAATGGTGATGTGTGGATTATGGGTGAGGATGGGCTCTGGACTTGCTGTGAAAAACCATCTGGCAATTTTTGTCCATGCATTGGTCTAACTGGCTATTGTTTATCTAGCACCAGAGAATAACCACTGTCAGGGTCGCCTTACCTCAGCGTAAGCTCCAATTTCAAAAAAAGAATGGGTAAGGGAAACATCGAAATTTACACAAAGTACAGTAATTAATATGTTGACCATAAAACTATGTTAATAAATCTCATCTAAAGACAACAGTACCATAAAATCAAGAACATAATTCAATGTAAAGAAACCTAATGGTTATAAGAACAACAAATTTGAACTTTCCAATTTTTTTTCTCTCTAGCTTCCCGTCAGAATAAACAGACCTATAACCCAGCAGATACTAATGCTTTATTGGCAGCTATTGGATTTGGGAAAGGATTGTCCAAACCAATTAGACCAACTCCCCAAGGTGGTCCAGTCTCATCAGGTCAGCCTGTGCCAGGTGCTGGTCTCCAAGGTGCTCCAAGTATAGCACAGGTGTCCATACAAAGTGGGCCTAACCAACAGGGAATGCAAGGCCAGGTTCCACCACAGCAAGGTCAGCCAGGTAAGTGAGACAAATGCTATCTCAGTATTCCACTTTATAGCTGGAAAACTGAAGAACTCACAATTGCTACAATTATTTATACTACATATAACCACTATAATGGAAATCAAAATTCAGCTTTAGAGAGATTTGTGAGCTCATAGAGGGAAGTTTGATTTCACTTTAGCACACATATTTTCAAATTTGGATGATGCTTTCTGTGTTTCACACATGATGCAGCTCTGGAAGTTAAGTGTAATGTTCATATTGTTCCAAAAATCTTCCTTTGAAATCAATCTTGCAGAGTCTACTAGTTAAACACAAGGTGAAGCACAGCAAAAGTAATTACATTTCTGTAATGCCTTATCATAGGTATCAGCCTTCACAGGGTGAAATGACTATTGCTGAATGAAAAGATCATTAATTCAAGCCCTGGTTTAGAAACTTGATTGTAATTTCCTGACTGATACTTCAGTGCTGGACTTGAGGGATTACTGCATCGGAGGTGTCACCTTTTAGACAAGACTTTAAATTATACCTTGTTTCCCTGCAGGTAGTAAAGGATCCTAAAGTACTAGTTAACTATGTATTCCTCAATCAAAGTCACTAAAGCAGACTGTCTGGTTCTGCTTCTTATTACTGTTTGAGAGAACATTCTATCTGAAATTAGACTGATGCATTTCCTTGCAATGAAAACAGTGACTTGAGGACTACTTGGCTTTAGAGCATCCTGAAGTTATGAAATGAACTATATAAATGTAACAATCCATTCAGGTAACATCATAAAATTTTAAGATTTTGAATGAGGTCAACTATGATGATCCAGACAGAGGGTTAAAGTAGCAAAACTTGTTTAATAAAAAATTAGACCTTTCGAAAAATAGAATCTAGGTGAATATTTCCATACTGCAGAGAACACTCTTGATGGTGGGAGGTTGGGGAGCCCACCTGGCAAATAGTACCTGTCCTGTTATCATGGTAGGCCTGGTTGCCAATTAACAAAGGTAAATTGGGACTTTGGTTAGAGGCTAACCACTCTCCAGTATCAACAACGCCTGTAGCAGTTACTGTCAGTACTCCAATGATGTCAACGGGAAGCATGGATTCAATCCAGCAGCTAAGATCCTCCTTTGTTGTAAAGCACCCCCTCCCCCCAAACCACGACCACCTGCCCAACCGATAAATGTGAAATCTGCCAGGCTGGGTTCTTTAGGAGCTTTTTGAGAGCCACTTTCTCATTTTCACTAACACATTTATTAGAATTCTGCAGCACAGAGGAGACCCATTGAATCTGCACTTACCTTTCTAAATTAATCCTACTTTCAAGCATTTGGCCCACAGCTTTGAGTGTTATGACTTCTTCAAATCCATGCCCCTCAATCTTGTGCACCTCAATCAGGTCCCCCCCTTAGCCTTCTCTGCTCTAAGGAAAACACCCTGAGCTTATCCACCCTATCTTCATAGCTCCATCCCAGGAAATGTCCTGGTGAATTTCCTCTGCACCCCTCCAGTGTAATCACATCCTTCCTGTAGTAAGGACCAGAACTGCATACAGTACTCTAGTTGTGGCCTAACCAAAGTTTTGCACAGCTGCAATGTCACCTTCCTCCTCTCATAATTTATGCCGTGACTGATAAAGACAAGGCTCCTGTGTACCTTCCTAACTAGCCTATTAACCTGTCCTAACAAGGTGTAGAGCTGGATGAACACAGCAGGCCAAGCAGCATCAGAGGAGCAGGAAAGCTGACGTTTCACGTCGAGACCCTTCTTCAGAAATGGAGGAGAGGAAGGGGATTCTGAAATAAATAGGGAGAGCGGGGGAGGCGGATAGAAGATGGATAAAGGAGAAGGTCTTCCACATCAAACCGATATTCACCTGCACATCTGCTAATGTGGTATACTGTATCTGCTGTTCCCGTTGTGGCCTCCTCTACATCGGGGAAACCAAGCGGAGGCTTGGTGACCGCTTTGTGGAACACCTAAGCTCTGTTTGCAACAAACAACTGCACCTCCCAGTTGTGAACCATTTCAACTCCCCCTCCCACTCCTTGGACGACATGTCCATCCTGGGCCTCTGGCATTGCAAAGATGATGCCACCCGAAGGCTGCAGGAACAGCATCTCGTATTTTGCTTGGGAACCCTGCAGCCCAAGGGTATCAATGTGGACTTCACAAGTTTCAAAATCTCCCCTCCCCTGACAGCATCCCAAAACCAGCCCAGCTCGTCCCCGCCTCCCTAACCATTCCTCCCACCTCAAGCCCCACCCCCATCTCCTACCCACTAGCCTCATCCCGCCTCCTTGACCTGTCCGTCCTTCCTGGACCAACCTATCCCCTCCCTAACTCCCCACCTACATACACCTTTACTGGCTCCAACCCCGCCTCTTTGACCTGTCTGTCTCCTCTCCACCTATGTTCTCCTTTATCCATCTTCTATCCGCCTCCTGCCTCTCCCTATTTATTTCAGAATCCCCTTCCCCTCCCCCATTTCTGAAGAAGGGTCTCGATCCGAAACGTCAGCTTTCCTGCTCCTCTGATGCTGCTTGGCCTGCTGTGTTCATCCAGCTCTACACCTTGTTATCTCAGATTCTCCAGCATCAGCAGTTCCTACTATCTCTATTAACCTGTCCTACCACTTTTAGGGATCTGATGACAAGAACCACAAGATACTTCGGTATCTGTGAGCTTCCTAGTAGTATTCTGCCATTCATCGAGTACTCCATTGTCTTGTTACTTCTTCCAAAGTGAATCATCTCAAACTTCATTGTTGCGTTCCATCTGTCACTGAACATTTGACCAACCTGTCTATATCCTCCTGTAACCTAAGACCTTCTTCCTCACTTTTGACCATACAATTAATCTTCGTGTCATCTGCAAACTTACTTATCATTCTCTGCAGATTATCATCAACATTGTTTATGTATATCATGAACAATAAGCAACCCAGCACTGATCCCTGAGGTAGGCCAAAGGGTGTTTTCCTTCAGTCACACGAACAGCCTTCTACCATCACTGTCTGTCTGCTACCACTAAGCTAATTTTGGATCCATCTTGCCAAGTTACCCTGGATCCCATGTACTTTTACTTTCTTTCACAGCCTTCCGTGTGCGTTCTCCAGTAGTTTCCTTAGCACTAATTGAGACTCACTGGTCTGTAATTCCCTGGTTTATCCATGACACTCTTCTTGAAAAGTGGAACCATATTAGCTGTCCTCCAGTCCTCTGGCATCTCCATGCCAGATAAGAATTAAAATTTGGGTCAGAGCCCCTGTAATTTCCTCAGTCACCTCCCAGCATGACTTGGGGATTTGTCCACTTTTAAGCCTATCAGAGCTCCAATATCTCCTCGCTGTCTGTGTCAGTCTGCTCAAGAACCTCAGAGGCACTCCACAATTCGGGTTATTAAGTGATGCAATCACATAGTAACATTACTTTATGTATTTGTGTTGATGCATGAGGTATTTGGAGTCGCACAGAAGCAGAATTAGTTTTTAAAAATTATCAATATTTATCAACCATCCATTGAATTTAAACCCTCAGAACATCAGAAAACATTGATTGCTGAGACATCACAGTATTTAAGTTGGCAGAAGGCAACAGGCATAAGTTAGCAACAGAAATTTTTCTTTCTCAAGGTAACTTGATATACACTTCGCATATAAAGCCGTCAGTCTATGTTCACTGCTAATACATTTCCATATTTCCATTGCGTGTTCACAAAACTGGAAAATTTTAAATTGCTAGTTACTGCCCTTTTTACCACACCTCAAATTTCTATCTCAAAATTTTAAAATTTAGCAATTATGTGTTCATTATGGTGGAAGGCACTACATCTCCTCCCCCACCCCTGAACATAGTAGCTCCTGAACTTATGCAACCCTTGAGCTAGTGATTCCACATTAACTTGCCAGTAATTTAATATCTTTCCTAGCTCCTAGTTAGCTGGGTGTTCCTTTGTTGAACAGTTTGAACCAGTGTCCCTGTTCAGCCTCACTCTTTCGCTTCCCCACCATTGCAGCTACCACTTCTGTATCAATCTAACATCTCACCCCCATACCCTAACATTGTCCTACTGCCTCTCCCTGCCCTGGTGCCCTATATTTTTCTCTCCCTTACCCAATATGGACATACATACCTCTTTCAGTCCCACCATTCCATCCCAGATGCCCTGACAGCCCCAGATTAAACAGCAAACGGCTCTATTATCCTCCACTACCAGTTCTCGGCAGATCCTCTCCCAGATACTCCCTCACTGCCAGTACTTACATAGTTAACTGCTCTCTGCTGCTCCAATCACAGTTGTTTCTCTCCTGCATTTAGTGCTAATGGGTTTACTCATGAGTCCATCAGCAGCAGGTACAGGTAAGTACCTGCATTTGATTGGAGGAGCACCTTATGGGGTGACTTTTTAGATTTGTTGCCTGTGAGTGAATGTTTCCAGGAACCTCAGGGAATTGAAGTACGATTCACTGACCTCTTTTACGTATTTGAGAATTGATGAACATCTCCTGCGATCAGTTAAATCCTGGTGGCATTTGGATGATGCCCTTAATTGGAAATTCATTGCCTACATTGAACACCATTTGTGGGCAAGCTGCCCTAAGCTAGTACTGCTGTGGTTAAAATTCCTGAGCTGGCATGAGTGGGCATGATGGCCCTTGCCTCAGACATGTTGGGATAGTGGGGGCATGGTTGCATAAACTCCAGTCTGAGTAATAAACAAAGCATTGAAACAAATAGGAAGTGATTTTGAAACACACTAAATGTTTTTGAGACTTTGAGGCTATAACGAGTAGAGGATAGGTATATTTATCAGTTGCAATGATTTGTTTTCATATTTTCTGTTCTTATTGTGCAGAATTCATTCTGGAATTCTTGCAGTTGTGACTGTTAGAGATAACATGAAAATACATTTAAGTAAAACAACCAAATATAAACCAAAATAAAAACCAAGGCCTGTGATTTACAGAAAATGTTATATTTAGATCAGTTACCAGGAATGCTATATTTAAGTGTAAACTAATACTTAAATGTACTTAAACTTCATATTTCTGTCTCTCAGGTAAGATGCCAAGCACCATAAAAACCAACATCAAGTCTGCATCAATGCATCCGTATCAAAGATGAACGCTGAAATTTAACATGACAAAGGCTGTCAAGTAGTTACAATTGAGTATCTGCAAATCTCAACAAGAAAACCTAAGTCACGTGCAATAAGAGTTAGTCCACAAAGTACAGAACCAACTTTAAAAGGGATGTTGTCATAAATTGACTATTTTGTTGTGCATGGAACAGCCAGCAGTCAAAATGTTGTTTTGTTGGCTGATCGAGAAGCCTGTGCTCAAAGAGAATCTGCAGTACTAGGTGTTTTTTTTTCTGATCTTGGTGAAATTGTACACCTCAGTGGAAGTGATTTAATGATCTTGCATGTAAAACAAACATTTGCCTGTTGTTTCTGAACCTCAACAAGGTTCATACAAGGGATATTCCAGTAATCACTAAATCTGTTCCTACTGGTGTTCTACAGGTAGGTAAATTGTGCAATTAAAAATGATAATTTTTTAATCATTTTTGATTGGAGTGGATTACAGTTAAATGTTTTTAACCAGAAGGTTATTAATAATTTGTACATGATTGAATCTTGCAGAGTGCAAAATTTTACAATTTTAGGTCTAACTTTTAACAATAACCACAATAATGCAAATTGACTGTCCTAGTATGTGAGCAAGTGTGGAAATACTGAGCTCTGGCAGAATTGAAATCAATATGAGATAGTAGGAACTGCAGATGCTGGAGAACCTGAGATAACAAGGTGTAGAGCTAGATGAACACAGCAGGCCAAGCAGCATCAGAGGAGCAGGAAGGCTGAAGTTTCGGCCCTAGACCCTTCTTCAGAAATGAAGAAGGCCTGCTGTGTTCATCCAGCTCTACACCTTGTTATCTGAAATCAATATGAATCAGGGCAGAACTTTCCTCTGATTGGAGGCATGCAAAGCACGAAGAAAGCTGACTATGGTTATTGGACACCAATAGTCTTAGCCTCAGGACATCACTACAAGAGCTCCAGAGTGTCCTGGGCCCAACCACCTTGGTTGGATAATGATTGCATAATGGTTAATACCATTCACAGCTCATCTTATACTGAGCAGTCCATGTCCAGGTCTTTTTGCATGTGGATAACATATGTGCTTAGCCTGATTAAGTGGTAAGTAGTATTTCTGTCAAGGGCCAAGCAATATTTTCTAATATGAGTGAAATGTAACCGTCACCACAAGACATTTATTGCCCTTGCCACCAGTGAATCCCTCAGCATCAACATCCTAGGACTGAACATTCATTAGAAATTAACTGCCCACGCATAAATACTGAGACTGCAAGAGCAAGCCAGAGGTGGGGAATTCTCCACTGGGCAACTAACCTGACTCCGCAAACCATGTCTGCCACCTATGAAGCACAAATCAGGAGAGTGAGGAATATTCTCCAATTGCCTGAATGTGTGCAGCCCCAATAGTCGAGAAGCTTAACACCATCCAGAACAAGGCAGTTCACTTGTTGAGGGATGACTTGGTTGAAGTGCATACAGATCCTGAGCCATTGAGTCATAGAGTTATACAGCACGGAAACAGATCCTTCGGTCCAACTTCCACGCCGACCAGATATCCTAAATTAATCTGGTCCCGTTTGCCAGCATTTGTTCCATGTTCCTCTAAACCCTTCCTATTCATAAACCCATCCAGATGCAATTTAAATGCTGTAATTGTACCAGCCTCCACCACTTCCTCTGGCAGCTCATTCCATGCATGCATCACCCTCTGCATGAAAACGTTGCCCCTTAGGTCGTTTTTAAATCTTTCCCCTCTCAGCATAAACCTATGCCCTCTAGTTTTGGACTACCCCACCCCTGGGAAAAAGCCTTGTCTATTCACCCTATCCATGCCCCTCGTGATTTTATAAATCTCTATAACGTCATCCCTCCCTTCCAACGCTCCAGGGAAAATAGCCACAGTCTATTCAGCCTCTCCATATAGCTCATACCCTCCAACCCTGGCAACATCCTTATAAATCCTTTGTGAACCTTTTCAAGTTTCACAACGTGGTTAGTACTGCTGCCTCACAACGCCAAGGACCCAGGTTCAATTCCCACCTAGGTCGATTATCTGTGTAGAGTTTGCACGTCCTCCCAGTGTCTGCGTGGGTTTCCACCAGGTGCTCCAGTTTCCTCCCATAGTCCAAAGATGTGTAGGTTAGGTAGATTGGCTATGCTAAATTGGCTGTAGTGTTCAGGAATGTGTAGATTTAGGTGGATTATAGGGAAAAGGGGTAGGGGGGATGAGTCTGGGTGGGATGCTGTTCGGAGGGTCGGTGTAGACTTTTTGGGTCAAAGGGACTGTTTCCACACTGTAGCGATTCTATGATGATGATTTTCTGATCCTTCCTATAGCAGGGAGACCAGAATTGCATGCAGTATTCCGATAGTGGCCTAACCAATGTCCTGTACAGCTGCAACATAACCTCCCAATTCCTATACTCGATGCACTGATCATTAAAGGCAAGCAAATGCCTCTTCACTATCATATCTACCTGCGATTCCACTTTCAAGGAACTATGAACCTGTGCTCCAAGGTCTCTTTGTTCAGCAGCGTTTCCCAGGACCTTGCTATTAAGTGTATAAGCTGTGCACTGAATTGCTTCTCCAAAGTGCAGCACCTTACATTTCTCTAAATTAAACTCCATCTGCCACTCTTCAGCCCATTGGTCCATCTGATCAAGATCCTGTTGTACTCTGAGCTAACCTTTTTGGCTGTCCACTACAACTCCAACTTTGGTGTCATCTGCAAACTTACTAACCTCTTACGTTCTCATCCAAATCATTTATATAAATGACGAAAAGCAGTGGACCCAGCACCAATCCTTGTGGCACACTACTGGTCACAGGCCTCCAGTCTGAAAAGCAACCCTCCACCACCACCCTCTGTCTCCTACCTTTGGGCCAGTTCTATATCCAAATGGCTAGTTCTCCCTGTATTTCCATGTGATCTAACCTTGCTAACTGGTCTCCCATGAGGAATTTTGTCAAACGCCTTACTGAAGTCCATGTAGATCACATTGACTGCTCTGCCCTCATCATTTCTTTTTGTTACATCTTCAAAAAAACTCAATCAAGTTAGTGAGACATGATTTCTCATGCACAAAGGACACATGTAAATCCTGTCCTTCAGGACTCCCTCCAACAACTTGCCCACCAACGATGTCAGGCTCACCGTCTATAGTTCCCTGGCTTTTCCTAACCACCTTTCTTAAATAGTGGCACCATGTTACCTAACCTCCAGTCTGCCAGCACCTCACCTGTGGCTATTAATGATACAAATATTTCAGCAAGGGGCCCAGCAGTCACTTCCCTAGCTTCCCACAGAGTTCTAGCGTACACCTGATCATGTGCTGGGCATTTATCTACCTTTATGCGTTTTAAGAGGTCCAGAACTACCTTCCCTGTAATATGGCCATTTTTCAATATGTTGCTATTTATGTCTGAGTGTTTTCTATCCTCCATATCCTTCTCCACAGCAAACACCAATGCAAAATACTCAATTTCGTACCTCCCCCGTCTCCTGCAGCCTTGCTGATCTTTAAGGGGCCCTATTGTCTCCGTGGTTACCCTTTTGTTCCTAATGTATTTGTAGACTTCCTTCTATTCTTCTTAATCTTATTTGCCAAAGCTATCTCATGTCCCCTTTTTGCTCTCCTGATTTCCCTCTTAAGTATACTCCTACTGCTTTTATACTCTTTTAGAAGATTCACTCGATCTCTGCTATCTATACCTGGTATAAGCTTCCTTCTTATTCTTAACCAAAACCTCAATTTCTCTAGTCGTCCAGCATTCTCTACACCTACCAGCCTTGCTCTTCACCCTAACAGGAACATACTGTCTCTGGACTCTCATTATCTCATTTTTGAAGGCTTCCCATTTTCCAGCCGTCCCTTTACCCGCAAACATCTGCCCCCAATCAACTTTTGAAAGTTCTTGCCTAATACCGTACCTCTTGCCTAATAATTGAGCTTCCTCCAATTTAGAACTTTAACTTTTAGATCCGGCCTATCCATTTCCATCACAATTTTAAAACTAATAGAATTATGGTGACCAGCCCCATAGTGCTTCCCCAATGTCACCGCAGTCACATGCCCTGCATTATTTCCCAAGAGTAGGTCAAGTTTTGCATCTTCTCTAGTAGGTACATCCATTACTGAATCAGAAAACTTTTTGTATATGCTTACCAAATTCCTCTCCATCCAAGCGTTTAACACTATAGCAGTCCCACTCTATGTTTGGACAGTTAAAATCCCATACCCCAACCACGCTATTATTCTTAGAAATAACTGAGATCTCCTTACAAGTTTGTTTCTCAATTTCCTGCTGACTACCGGGGTGTCTGTAGTACAATCCCAATAAGGTGATCATCCCTTTCTTATTTTTCAGTTTCACCCAAGTAACTTCCCTGGACATTTTCGCAGGACTGTTATCCCTAATCAAAAACACCACTCCACCTCTTCAAAAAAGGGTCTAGGCCCAAAACATCAGCCTTCCTGCTCCTCTGATGCTTCTTGGCCTGCTGTGTTCATCCAGCTCTACACCTCGGTATCTCAGATTCTCCAGCATCTGCAGTTCCTACTATTTCCAAATCATGTCCTGAGTTCATCCGCCTTACCTGTTAGGCCTCTTGCATTGAAATAAATGCAGTTTAATTTATCAGTCCTACCTCATTCTGTGTTGTTCCTGACTGTTTGACTTACTCCTTTACCCAATTGTATCAGTTTCAGACTGATCTCTTTCTTCACAAGCTCCCTGGAACCACCCCCACTAGTTTAAATTCCCCTGAGCTGCTGTAGCAAATCTCCCCACCAGTATATTAGTACCCTTCCAATTGAGCTGCAATCCATCCTTGTATAGCTCACTTTTACTTCAGAAGAGATTCCAATGATCTAATAATGTGAATCCTTCCCTGCACCAGCTCCTCAGCCTCGCATTCATCTGCTCTATCCTCCTATTCCTACCCACACTAGCTTGATGCACCAGATATTACTGCCGTCGAGGACCTACTTCTTAAATTCCTGCCTAACCTCCTACATTCTCTTCTCAGAATCTCATCCTTCTGTCTTCCTATGTCATTTGTTCCAATCTATACAATGACCTCCTGCTGGTACCTCTCCCCTTTTGAGAATATTCTGCACCGTCTCCAAGATATCCTTTCTCCTGGCTCCAAGGAGGCAACACGCCATTCTGATGTCTTGCTGTCAGCTGCAGAAACATCTGTATGTGATTCTGACTTGAGAGTCCCCTATCATAATCCATCGCCTGGAACCCCTGGTTTGAATCCTACCGTGGCAGAAGGTGGAATTTGAAACCAATAAAAATAAACGTGGAATTAGGAATCTACTGATCACCATGAAATCATTCTTGCTTGTCAGAAAACCCCATCTGGTTTATTAATGTCCTGTCTGGGAAGGAAATCTGCCATCCTTAACTGGTCTGGGCTACATGTGACTCCAGACCCATAGCAACGTGGTTG